TGCGCTGAGTCCTTTTTTCGATCTAGAGCTCGTCGAATCGAGGCAAACTGCTTGCGCACCACGCTGATCTTGTTCGACAATTCACCGCCGCCGCCTCATGTTAGAAGGACTCTAGATTCTACAACTACCTCTACTAGTAGCAGGAGCTTTATTTCTACTCTAGAACAAAGATGTAAAAAATGTACGATTTGATACAATGCATATTAGATTGACCACATGATGCACGTGTGATAGAGATCATGACGATGCACCAGGAAGTGCATTAAAGTCCTTCTCGTCTAAGTTAGTAGAGTAAATCTTTGGACGACGTACATCAGTTGGACGTGCATATTTCATACATCTACTCCAGATCCAGTCTTAACAATGAAGGAACGGAGGAAACATCCGGCGTTTCTCTTGCTGGGCTCTGCTCTCTCCGTGCCCGCGGTGAATCCACCACCATTCGTGGAGGCTGGCGTGGCGTGAAACCCGGTAACGACGCCGGTCGAGGAGTTCTTTGCCCCTGTTGTTCTGCATTAACATTTCTTCTTGCTCCGGACAGAGATGGCGGGCCGTTGCAGTGCGGGGAATTGCCATTACTCCTCCTACTGGTGTTGTGTGCATCTTCTTGGTGCTGGAGGTGGCTGTCGTTATAGGAGGAGTTGTAACTGTTGTTGTAGTTGTCGTGGTGGTGGTGAGTATAGTTGTTATTGTGGTCGTCGCTTCTTCTGTGAGGATCAACATGTTGGTGATCTCTTGTTCCACTGGAAGACGATGGAGGCCGCGTGCCGCTTCGTCTGCCCCCGTTGTTCATCCCTTCTACACGGCTTGAAAGTGGCTCAATTGTACTGCCGAGACCTCCTCGTCGAGGTGTCCGTGTGAGTGTGTGATTCGGATTTCCCTCTTCATGTGCTGGGGGACGTGGAGGTCGCGAGGGGGCACTCAAACACGAAATATCGTTCAGGGGAGGTGGATGTGTAGGCTGGTGTTGGCTCGTCGAACTTGAAGCATAGAGACCGGCAGTTGCTCTTAGATCACGGCTATGCTGCTGATGCCTAGAGCCGGATGCGCCGCCATTCTGCAAGACGCCGGGAACGGAAAATGTCGAAGTGAAACTTTCGTCTCTCCAGTCTCGACTACGCCTTAAAAAATTAGGATCTTCTACTCCAGCAGGTTCAGGTCCAGCATGATGTTGAATTTGATGATCTTCTCGTCTTCTAGTTGTGCCAGCAGATGCTGACGCAGAACAAGCCGAAGGAGCTGATGATGTTCCTCCTGCGCCCGTTGTATTACTTCTATTCATTGTAATAGTTGTACTTCTTGGGCCGAATTCATCAGGATGCCGTGGACGGGCGACTTCGATAACAACCGGACGCCGATTGTGGTCTGAAGAAAGGGCTATATGAGGCCGCTGATGATTTGGCGTTCTTTCAGAAAATGAATTGAAAGCTCCTCCTCCTGTGGAGTAGTAAGACGATGCAGGTGTATATCCGCCTACTCCAGTCGCAGCGACCTCCTGATGATGCTGACTTTGATTTCTAGCAACTCCTGCCTGTGTATCGTAGTTCTTGTTCTTGTTCGTCGTGTTCGACGCATTCGCACGTGCTTCTCCTTGGTCGTGGTGCTGGTGTTCGTCGTGATGTGTCATCCGACTTCGATCTACTACTTCTGCTTCGTCATCCTCGATTTTGACAAGCTGGAGTAACTGTCGGACTAAGGCCACTGGATCGTCGGCTGACGTCACTGAGGAGGTCACTGACGATTAGAGGTAGGTTTTTGGTGCTTGCAGCTTACCCCGCTTTTTATGCCTTTCTCCCTTAGGAGAGGCATAAAAAGCGGTAAGAAAAGCACCTTTAACCTACCCTTAAGACGAGATGACAGGCCTGAGCAAGCCCACAATCGTTTCCTCCCGTTGTCGCAAATCCGACAAAAGCTGCTCTCCGGAGTGCGATACCATAGTCGACCCCTTCAAATCGGAAAGTTTGCGACGCATGGCTGCGATCGTGTTCTGAGAGAGACTGTGCTGTTGGGCGAATTCTTCTCGGAGCTGCTTTTCACGGGCGGCGAAGGTCTCCCGTAAAGCCATCAACTCGCTCTGTTGTATTCATAGTAATGATGTGCTTGTTGTATTTATACTAGTAAGTGTAACAAGGATCAAGATGATCATCTACTGTAGAAATACTGCTCGTACCTCCTTCTACTTTACAGCCCAACAACATGGAAATCATAATCAAGAACAAGAGTACAAAGACAAAGAGGAACGTGAAGATTTTTTGGACCACCTAATGAACTTGGTTTTCAAAAAAAATCACAATACCGCACTCGCTTCCTTGGTACAGCTGTGATCGAGCTGTTGCCTGAGTAGTTCGTTCTCTTGCGTCAGCAGATCACTGCGGTCATTGACTTTGGCGAGTTCTTCTTTCCGGCTTGCGAGTTTCCGTTGCATTTCCACAAGGGCAGTCTGTTGCCTTGCTAATTGATTGCGGCAGTCGTCTAACAGCGATTTGTCCTCTTCGATTTTTCGTTCTAGCGCGACGCTTTGTTCCTGCAATGCCGCTCGCTCGTCCCTTAAACGCGCCTCGCTGCCGGTCCTAGAGTGCTCCTCACTGCGGATGGCGACAAGTTGCTGCTCCTGTCTTCGTCGATCCTCTTCACGTTGCTGCAGGATCGATTCGCGCTCGCGCATCGCTTCTTGCACTTGCGCACGGAGCGCTTCAGCCTCTTGCTGCCATGCTTCGGCAGTCTGGCGCGCAACGGCTTCGCGCGTTATAGCCTGGTCTTGGCGCGTCATGGCGTCAGCGATCCGGGACTCACAGGTTTCTTCGAGCATTCGCCGTTGCTGCTCTGCGTGCGCCAGCGAGGCCCGCAACTCGTCCACCAACTTGTTGTCCGAGCCACCTCCTGCTGCAGACCCGTGCTCCCCGCCATGTTGACTGGAACTCCCCACACCACTGCCACTACCTCCACGACGCCTCGTCTCCTCAATATACCTTGTGAAACCGAGAAATTTTAGCACGCTAAATTATGGCTGTGCATAGATTCTCATCGGGTTCACTTTCACAAATAAATGACAAATGAAACATCAAAGGAAAAAGTAATTGTTAGTTACGCTTATGGTAAATATATTGAATGATCCTACTAGTATCCAGAACCAGAAACCACCTTTCATTCAAGAAAGAAAAAGTACTCCAAAAGTGCGTTTTTCTCGGTGTTCCATTTCTCCTCCTTCTGTCTTATGCCTGCCAGCTCCTCTGCCCGTCTCTGCCGTTCTTGGTTCAATTCAGCCTGCGCAGCTTCGTGTAGAGACTTCCAATGCAGTGCTTGCCGGTTCGTTGACCATGCTGGTTCAGTCGGCGCGTCCGTTGTCGAGACATTGGAGTCCTTGGACGGCGTCGACAGGTGATAGACACGCGGATGCTGCGTTGAGGTCGCCATCTTCCACTTGAAGATGTGCAGTATTCTTGCTAAACCCGTCCTCGTCACAGTCGTCCTCTACGAGCCGCGGTGGAGATCGTCTGCTACTCAGTGACCGTTTCCGCATGTCACTTCATTATGACGTTGTAGCTCTCGCCCTCGCAGCTACTGGTTCATTCCCACTTTTAGCAGACGCAGGAAGGCAGACGCAGAGAGTGCCGGATTCCGACTACACGAAAACGACCTTCCATGCTGCAGACGAATTTTTATCCTCACTCGCGCTTCGTGATGACTGCAAGCGCCGCGGCATTGCTGTCCGCGAACACCACCAGTCGATGAAGAGTAACGGTCCCCGCCATAATTCTGATTTCAGCCGTGTCGAAGTAGATTGTCTTACATCAAAAGGTATTAAGGCACGAAGACAAAAGGTCAGAATCAGGAAGAAATATTTCCAACATATTTTTCTTTTCAACAACAGCTACACTAAAGAAAAATGTATCTGAAAGAATAGAGGAAATCGAAATCACTCTCACTCAAAGCTAGCAATACAAGCATCTGCGCAATTTTAAGAATGTCCTGCAACCCGTTTGCGTTTTTATTTTTGTCAAAAAAATTACTTAGTCGAGGCAAAAGTAGAAGACCTTTTTCCCACTACATTTCTTGACACAGACAAAGTAGCAACATGAGGATGAATGTTGCCCCACTACTAATAGTTGTAGCGTCAATACAACGAGCTCATTCGTTCCAGGAGCTACTTAGACGGAGGCTTTCATGCATATAGAGGACATTTTTTCGTTGCTCTACTTCGTTGACTTCTTGGTGTCCTTACCAACACTATGACCACGAAGAATGAACTTCTCTCCTCCAAAGGAAAAAAACAACTTGAACTTCTTTCTACTTCTCATTTTTGACACTTCTTGTTCTTGTCAGTTTTTCAGCAACAACGCAATCATAACCGATGATCTCCATTTCCTTTCTTTCATCGCACCAATCTAACTTGTCTCATTTGATGACGCTCTTTTTCAAGCCTTTGTTTTGGTCAAGCCTTCGTTCTTTTGGTCGGGCTCGGGCTCGGAGGCATCTCGCTATGGTATAACTAGTACACTGTCGTCTTCTTCTCGTGATCATCAAAAAAAAACTCGCTCTAAATTATAATGAAGACGGCTTCTCCGTGTTTTCGCCTCTTGTGTTGTCAGCTCCAGCAGCCGCCTGTTCTTGTGAATGATGTGATGGTCCTTTTCCAGCGCTCCTACTTCCCGCGAATGTGGCTAGGCATCTTGAAATCGAAACAAAAGCTCTAAGAAGGAATAAATGTCAGTCAATCGAGAAAAAGTAAATCCATTACGAAACCCTCATAGGGTCGGGAATGAAGTGCCATAGCAGGAGCTTCCGTTTGTAGTAGTATGACATCTTCGACATAGAGGTAGACTGGAAATGGAATCATGTTGATGTATGCTATTGCGTGTTTGTAACGGAGATCGAAACAAGAATGAGCTCTACTCCAGGTTAAGGAGATCTTCAAAATGCTTGTTTGTGTGTTTTTCTTCTCGTCATACTTACTGCTCACCAGTTCTGCTTCGTGTGTAGTTTGCGTGCATTTTCATCTTGAAGTATGGGGACTTCTAACAAGAGGGACTGAGTCTATATTTTTCAGATTCAGTGGCGTGGTAAACGAGTAATTTAAGATGAGCCTAGGACTTTCTAAGACCAGTATTTCTATGGAGTAAAAATGTAGTGAGAGAGACAACATGAACATCATGCACAGAGTTCTAACTACGCGACTATTTGGTCAAAAATTTCATCACTTCTTGTTGTCGAAAAATATTAGGTATCGGTTATCGCAGTATCGAATTTACTGAGTTGTATCAATGACAATGTCAAGTAGCTATTCATTTCTTTGTCTTGTTTCATGTTCATGTTCAAGCTTAATATCTGACTCGTCTGACATACTGTAGCTGTAACTCACCAGTTTAACTAAAAATTCCACGAGGTCAACTCGATCAGGTGGTTACAAAGCAGGCGCAGATGAGCTATGGGCCGAGCTGCGACCGGTTGTCGGATTCCCTTCATATGCCATGAGCATACTCAGGTCGCGCGGTGTCTCGTCAGGCTGCATTATCGTCGAATACCGCGTCTTCTCCGGATAGTAGGGTGGATGGACCTAGAGTTTTTCACATGATGTACTTCTTGAAATTTTTTTTGAATACGCGTAGATCGAACATCATTGACTACCAGTTGTTGTAGATCTGTGAATGGTTCCGGTTTTTTGGTATAGCCTGAATTTGATCATAAGGGAAAACAAGAAGAAGAGAACCCTTAGGATCAAATTCAGGCTATACCAAATACCAGATGAACCATAAAATCTGTGAATTTGCTATTGATGTTCTTGTATATACCTTCCCAAGCTGCGGGACATCGAAGAGGTCTTTGTCCTCTTTCCACTTCGGCTTCCATCCTGCGTACCCACGGATGCCTCTCCTCCAACCGTTGTGGCCTCTTGTTTCATTCGGCTTATTTGCTGCCCATGTTTGCACTTCATGCGTGGCGCTTGCATACCGCTTATCGCTCTCGTTTCTCCGCATCTGCTCGGCGACGCGCAGACGCTGGCGGTGGCTGCGGAGATGGGGATCACGTGGATTCGCTTGATTTCACAGATCATCAAGTATGTTTGAACAACTTCTACAACTAGCAGCAGGTCTAGAACTAGTACGAGGTTCTTTAGATCATGAACTAGAACTATTACAAAATTTTAGTTCAACAGAAGTAAAAACAGACGAGCAATCGTGTCTACAAAAACAAGGAGCAGAAGGAAGGAAGGAAGGAATAGGAAAGAAGGTGGAAGGAAGTAAGTAAGTAAGTACACTGTCCCATCGCCATATGGGGGTCCCTCCTGGTGTGTCATTCCATGTGTTGCTTTGGTCCAGTGTCTATAGGCCTGATCTCGCCACGTTCCTTGTGGACACCGGATTTTGAAACTAGACGTAGATTGTCTAAATCCATTTTCTGTTGGTTTCCTCCGTTTGTCTAGCGCGTCTTCGGCATTCTCGTTCGAGGTTGAATAGCCCAACGCGTATCTGTTGCGTCGTGGTGAGAGGGAAAGGAAGATGATTTAATCATGATTTTTGACATGTTCTTGTGTTTGTCATTGTCTTCAGAAGGCACGAATCTAGTAGTATTTCTATATACTTATGTATATGAGATTCTTGAGAATTTAGTAAATTAGCTTAAAAAAAATGTCAACATTCTTATAATATAGGGTGAAGCTTACATGTTCTCCGCTGTTTTGCCTCTTATGTGCCCAGTGTATCCGGGAATCGAGCTCCAGGATGGCGTTGTCGTGGCTAGTATATCATGCAAAGATCCCTGTCGGTGTGGCCTGCAGTCCGTCATATCTGGTGGTAGGTAGCAAAGTTGTCAGAAAAATTGATGGAACAATTTTGGTAGCATCTAGAAGACATCGAGATTGTTTTTTAGGTCGTCGTGCAATCTCACATCTCCGTCATGATCAACACACATCAACTACGTCAACAAGTACTACAAGGTTAACAATTATAACATCACCAGTACTAATAAAGAATTCGTACCTCGCACTTCCGGGTTACTTTCTGTTGGCCGTAGTCTCCTCTTCGTTATTGTCGTCATATAAGGTGCCGTATGCGTTACATCTTTGTTTAACTGACACGGGTCGAAGTTAAACGGATGGTGCCTGAGCCGGTGGGAGATGGATGTCAGGTCGGTGATGATGGTGACGGAGTTCAATGAAAATAAAAGGTAAAAATGGTGAAAATTTGAGTATTGAAGAGTCAGCCGCGTTGATCATTTTACTTCTCTTCAACGAGATGAAAGAGATGGCAGTTTTCTCGGAGGTTCCGATGCAAAAAGTAGAACGAAATGGAAATCTGCCTCAGCAAACAAAGAATCAAGAGGTAGTCGAATACGCGACGACTTCTGTATCGTCTTTTCCGCCACGCCATGTTCGTGGTAGGGTTTCCCTTATGTCCACATTCACTGACCGCTCTCGATCGCATGCGTGGTAGTTATCGATACTCCATGACCTTATTTTTACATTTTCCGGAGGTAAGGAGCATGATGATGTAAAGAGATGTAAAGAGAAACTATGATCTTTAGGTCGTTGTGGAAAAGGGTAATGCTCATCGTGGCGAAGAAAAACAGCAAGGCTCTTCACATGCATCAAATTAATCAAGTCCTCTTGCAGATTGAAACAAAATACACAACAAGTACAATTTTCATCTTGACTTGTTTGAATATTTCATATTATGAGTGAACAATACCTCGCCGCGGGAGCAGCGTGCGGGTCTGCAGTGCTGGTGTCGAGTGTCCTGTTGTGCCAAGCATAGTTTCGTAACCTTCCCTGCGGTATGAAGTTCCGCGGTGTCATCCGCTTACTCTTTGGCCCTGGCATCTTGACGGTGGAAGTTTCCTACAACTCAGGAGCCTGTTAGAGTGCTAGTAGAGTTATTAGTACTTCGAGCAACTTCTTCTACTAATGCTATTTTGGTGGTCTACTTGGTCTTGGTCTACTTGTAGGAGTTGTGGAGGTGAAAGAGGTAGACGAGAGCTGCCAGGAGCTGCTGTCCACCTTACTCGAGTAGAGTTAGGGTTCGTTTGTACTGCTCGACAAAAGGTTGATTTGATGCTGTCGTATCTGCAATTGTTTGTCCTGACTCCTCTAACTGCGCAGGAGCCTCCTCCCTGCAGATGTGGATGTCGTATGATCGATTTCAGTGTGTTCGGCCACTACCTAGTCCGTCGAGTTCTTGGTGCTTGTTACAACACCTGCCTCGTCCAGTTGGAAAAACAATGCGTTCTACTCGCGACCACCTGTAGAAGCCGGTCTACTGGCATGAACCAATACAATCGGACTCGGAGTTTGTACTATTTAGAAGTACTTTTTGGAGGTGTACAAGTAGGTTTCTCGGTCCTGCCTTTGTGCCAGTACTATAGTACTCTATCTCGTGTTGTCGGTGGCCACCTGGACCAAGGCACGCACGGTGGGATCGGATTCGCAAGAAGAATTACCAGCTAGTTTGCCACGCCAACGTGGATTCGTGTGATTGTCGTACAACAACGCACTAGAAGGCATTACTAAAAGAAGAACTCCTGAAGTGCCTAACAGGCACAGCACTGAAGCAGCTTTATTCAGCTTCGAAGAAACAGCTCCATCCTCATGATCCTGGTTAGCGGGACCCGCCCAGCATCATCGATCAAATTATCTATCATGACATATCGTAACTACGCGTGTTGTTCTTTCATCCGCCGACATGGTCTGCTATAATAAGAACAGCATTTTTGGGGGAGAATAATTGGATAATCTGAACAAAGACACACTAGAGTCTTGCTGAGAAAGCAGCTATTGCTGGATGCATTCTACGCAATTTCGATCTGCCGTATCCATCAAAGATTTTTGGGGGATGTAGGAGGCATGTTGGAGGCAAGGAGTGGGAGATATATTGTAAAGTTGACACGGGACTCGCGGCATGACCGACACTCATCCCTACCGAATTGCCAGCAAACGTTAGAGGGAATCTCAGAAGACTGACATGACAGAGAGGCTGTCGGACGATTACAGCGAGGACAAGTTTTTGTGCGAGTAATTTTCCCTGCCTTGTTGTTTTTCAAACCGACCCTGTAGTATGCTGACACAACCGACATATTCGATCCGCAATTCTTTTGCTCCATAGTCACTCGAAAATGCTTTTCATGAAACCAGTTAATCATGAAAAGCATTTCGAGAACTGCAGGAGAAGGTCAAGATGTACATGGTCTAGTAAATCTAAGTACTTCGTCGATGCCATACTTGAAACTTGAAAAAATGTGCTTATTCTATTCACCTTGTTCTTGTTGCTGAACAAATGTTAACTCGATTATTAAATTCCTTTTCTATGTGAAGTTCAACAAAGCTGTGCATTCGCCGCATAATTCTGTTGTCACGACAGTCGCTATATTTTCCTCGGAATCTTCACGCAACGACGAGGTGGTAACGCTAACGATTTTGTTGTATTCATAACTATAAGCAAAAGTCTCATGTTGATCTCCAACATGTCCATCTTTCTAGTACAATTATATCTTCTTACTTTATATATTTATAATATTGGCTTACTTTCATCTGTACAAAAAAATACTCTTACTTGGTATGCTGAAAAAAATCTTCCTCCCAATTCGGAAACGAGAAGAAGCAGCCTCTTCAGCCGTCGTTATCGACGCCTTTTCCATATGGCTCGTCCGGTCGATGTCTGGTTTCAAACACCTTATTTGTCCTTAGAAGAAGATCTTACCAAAGGAGAAGGAGTGCTGATGTGTAGCGTCATGCTCACGATACAAGTCATCGCTATCTTGTTCCTCTATATTTTTAAGTATGCTCACGAAGGTCATGGTAATCTTGTTCCTCTATTATGCTCCGGAAGGTCATGTTTATCTACATGTTCCTCTGTTAGTGTTACAATTTTCCTACAGTACACGAAGTACATGATCAACGCAATCCCTTTGGCACAAACAAACATCACAAACGTACCTGTACTAGTACTTCTACGTATGCTTATGGTGTCCGAGCCTTAATATTATCTTTGGGTCGGTCACCTCGTTTGCGTACTCGCGGTCTGACCGCTTAAGTTCGTTAGGCGTTTTGTTCTTCGCGATGCAGACCCGCGAGTGTATGAAGACCCTAACCCTAAACCCTACTAGTTGTAGTGCTATTTTCATCAACTACTAGGTGGAATAGAAAAACAATGATCTTCAGCACAAGAAAACAACGAGCGTTCTAGGGGAAGATGAATATGCTGATAGAAGCAGTCGCTGGAGGTGGTCTACTAGCTCTACCTGTTCTACTTGAAAAGAACTACGAAGACGAACTCCACTATGTATTAGATATACTAGTATCAAAAATCTAGTACTACTAGTAGAGGTCGACTACTTACTACTTTACAGCAGGAAGTACCTTCTACCAGCACTAGATCTAGAACTAACTAGCTTCCCAATAATCTTCAACGTGTAAGTAGGTGTACTACTACAACTAGGTGCAACACATTCAACATAAGTTGCTGTCCAGTCGCAGCGTTCCCACGGTCAAGGATCGTGAACCAGCTCCGCATGAAAATTTCGCCAGTCACGAAAATGTTTGGTCCGTAGGGTGGTGGCACGTCACAAGAATGAAAGAACAGAAGAAAATAATAACTGTTCTATCCAGATCCAGAATATGGTTGGATTTGGATATTTCAGTAATTCGAAAACATTACTGATGAGTGATGATCAACAGGAAATTAGGATATAACAACTACAACATTGAACTTGTATGTATGTGTGGATCCTTGATGACACTGTTAGTAGTGCCCGTAGAGATTAGTTGAACAAGAACCCCTTTTTTCATACATCGACATGAACGCCGGTTTGCAATATCCTCCACCACCTCCCACGTACCATTGTTCTGGAGGCTGCACGATCTGGTAAATATCTTCGCAGTAGCGGTCGAGGCATAAGTCCAGGACAAGGTAGGGAACCTTCTCAGTCCCATCCTTGACTTTCAGGACGTCGCAGCTCTTGCTATTCCATCCGCCTTGGCCATGAAGGTAATTTAGCAAGTACCTGCTTGTGCTTGTTTTTATGATCAAGCAGGATCCTCGGTGTAGAAGTTCTACTTCTACTACAATCATGGACGAGAAGTACATGATGTAGAAGTTGACAGACCTAGTTCTACTTCTAGTACTAGATCTTCTAGTATGTGAGTCTGAGTGCAGTTGTAGATTGACATCTCTAGTAAATGTGATGTTTTACTTCTACAATGATGTTGTACTAGTTGTAGATTGACATGATCTAGTAGATGTTTCGGGACTTCTTTTCACAAGAGATGTTCACAAGAGATGAAGTCACAAGGGTTAGAATGTTCATAAGAGATGAAGCAAGTCACACAAGAGAAAAAAGAAACACCTAGTCAGATAGGTTCCCATTCCGTTCCATGTGGTGCCAGTGTCCCAGAAAATGCTCTCAGGCCCAGGCCCACCAGGGGGATCGTCCATCCAGGTAGTCTCGCCCTGTGCTCCGAAACGGAATCCTAGACCTGGTTGTAAGATGTACTACACGTGTACACCATCTTACAAGGAATGTAGTGTCTTCATCTTGTAAGATGTACACGTACAAGCAATGTAGTGTCTTCATCTTGTAAGATGTACACGTACAAGGAATGTAGTGTCTTCATCCAAGTTCTTCTGGTCGTGCAAGTGCGCAAGAACACTCCAACTTTCATTACTGTTGTTGAAAATAACTCTAAAAACTTGATTTTGATGACCTTGTTAAATCGCATTCTAGCCAAGTACTACGTACTAGTAGTAGTACTTAGAAACAATCTCGAGGACAAAGAGCTTGAACATGTAGTACGTTTCAATCCCGTTTGCCAATAATGCTGTTTCTGGACATCGAGGCAGACTGGGGTTCCATGATAAACAATGGGATCGGTTCCACCAAGATAAACCACTGAGCGGGCTTGCGGGTGTGGATGAAGGAAAAAATAATTACTCGACGACATGATCTTCTTGATCAATTATTATGTCTTCCTCATGTGTGAGTGTTGCGACCTAGTCCTAGTAGTATCTATTTATGAATCTCGTCAATCCATCATGATCATATCGCTGTAAGAGAAAAAAGTCTAGATAACCCTCAGATACTAAGTTGTTGTACTAGTATCTGAGGGTTAAGAACTCCTCCACAAGGCTGTAGTTGCACTAAATCTAAAACTAATTCGAGCTACCATGATCATTTTACCTCTTCAAGTCTTTTAGCTGTGCTGCCAGAAGCCATACTCTTTTGTGAAGTAGAAGGCCATGATATTTTGGCCACCGAAGACATCATTCGCAATTGCGTTTGAGATAACTCCCTGCAACGACGGCGACGACATATCTTCAAAAGCGACACCCATAATGCCACCATATTTCAGCGTGTCAAAGACTGCGCCGGATTCCTGAAGAAATATTACACGTCGAAAGTACAATATATTTTTGCGAATCATTGATTCTTGATGCTACATCAATCCAAAATAGGACAAGTACTTCATAAATCATTGCGAATCTTTGATTCTTGATTTCGTGTCCAGCGAGATAGAGGGTGTCGGTCCCTAGTGGTCCGCGAAGCGTGCCAGAGCCGAACTCTATCCTAATTTCTCTGCATGCTGATCGGTCAATCTTGCACAGAAACTGCCCCTCCTTGCCGCTCTTTCGGATGTCGTACAATGTCTCCTTGTTGGCGAGGCAGCGGTCGCTGCTGCATTTCCTGGGGAGGATGTTGTTACTCTACTTACGTCGTATTTAGATGAAAATGATGAAATTCTACTACTTTTACTTACTTATAATTTTCAGCCTAATTTGCTTAAAAACTCTTATCATGTAAATGTATTAAGTACCATAATAACAGTTTGCTCTATTGCTGGAGGTATTAAAATCAAGTACCATAAGAAGTTGCCATTTGTACTAGTTGTACCTTGCAGCTAGCCACATTTGTGCTAGTACCTCCACGACATTTGTACGACCTCCACATTTGTACTAGTACCTTGCAGCTAGCCACAAATTCGTAGAACCACTATCGAAGATCACTTTTAATCCCTGCTGCTGCTCTCCGATGTAGATAGGTCCAAGGTGTTGAGAGGTTGCATCGCGTCGGTCAGTTAGCGCCGCAACCTTGTGTGACACTCTGAAAGGAGGCGGGAAGGAGAAGGTGAATGGCTCCGGTCTTTGGTGCCCTGATTTTGATCTTAAGGGAAAACAAGAAGAGAATCCTTGTGATCAAATTCAGGTTACCAAATACCGGAACCATTCAGAAGGAAAAGGGGCTCGTCGTTGGTATTGGTACGACTTCAATATTCTTCATATTCATCATTTTGTTCTGGTTGTAGCATACTACACATGTTGCACGACTATTGGCGCTGACCAACACAACCGAGAATACAAGTAGAACTGATTCATTTATTTCACTAAGAAGTTGTAGATGATGTTATGCTTTTTTCATACACTCTTTGAACGTGCCCTTGTATTTCTCCGCTACAGCGCTTTCTAGGTTTAGCTCTGTCACTGAGGACGACGCCTCAGATGAAGTAGAAGTTGAAGACGTTGAACCCATTAGTTTTGACCAAACGGTGGTTGCTGCGTCGGTTACCGTCGAAAGCACCTGTTGTGCGAAACTGGTTGTCTTTGGCGAGATCGAATCGCTATCCTGTGAAGAGTCCGCATCAACTTCCGTAAAGGCCGTGTCAATCTGCGACGAAAACATGCTATTGAACGAAATGCAGGAAGTAGTTGGGGTTGTAGGAAGTAGTTGGGGTTGTAGGAAGGTCAAGCCCATTAACTGCTAGATCCAGGGCTGAAACTGCACTAATATGATCGAAGACCTCGCATGTTCAAGTTAATAATTTATGCAGAAAGGGTAACGACAAGGTGGAGGTACAACTTGTGGTAGTTGTGTCTTTTATTTTACGAAGAAGTATTTTTGCAACATGGGTAAAACTTGAAGGCACAGCAATCACTTCCCATTTGAATCATAATGTCTTTTTCACCTTCACCACTTCCACTGCTACCTTCTCCACTGTCCTCTTGGCCATCAACCTGCAGCAATGACGCATGATGCTCCTCGAGTTTGCGGAGGTGGCGGACCGAAGGCGCGTAGTGATGAGGCCTCTCGTGAATCGGCCCGTCACCGAGCCCTAAGAAAACCCGCGTCTCGTCATCGACATGCGTATCGAGAGGAATGGGCCGAAATTTCGGACGTCTACGTGGTCTCCTAGGTCCTTTGTCCCTTCTGTTCTTACCACGACGTGTGTGCCTGCTTCCAGGCGAGGACGTGGTCGTGCCTGGACGAGGACGAGCAGTACTAGACGATGTTGTAAGTGTAACTACACCTGCATCTTCTACATCTACATGTTGTTCTTGCCCCTGTGAAGATGTAGTACTGTTCTTCTTGTGCTGACCACTCTCAGAAGATGCCACATCTGCTGTAGTGGTCTCGTCATCGTCGTCGTCGTGGTCGTGCAGTTTTTCCTGGAGAATGTACCGCCCGAACCGTTCATGCTGCCGAAGTTTGTCATAGAGATTATTTGATGATGGACGTCGTTCTTCTACTTCTTGCCCTCCTGCACCAACATAGAGATCTTGTTCATCTGTTGTTGTTGATGCAACATCTTCTTCTACTGTAGCACTGGCACTGCTCGTAGACGTCGACGATTTCTGAACCTTGTGGTCATCATCTCCTTCTGTATCTTTTCCCCCTCCAACGTCATCTACTTCTTCTACTTCATCAATATAACCACCAGGTTCATCTTGTCGTGTAGTGATGATGAGATCTTTGTGTTCATCGACATTGACGATGAAACCTCCGAAAGATATGCCCAAACTTTGTTCCAAGTCAGTGTCAAGCGACGAAAGCAAAGCCTTTTGGCGCTGTTGAGGCTCAGCGACAACTTCTCCCAGGACTTGGGAAAGGAGCAGGAGGTGGAAGGTTGCCGAGAAGAGCGCAGGCATGGAGAAAATCGTGGCTAGAAGTCGTACAGCTGATATGCCGCCATCGCGATGTCCGCAAGACACAAACATTCTGGTACTCCTTGGTAGATGGACTAGAGTGCCGCTAAAATCTTTTTGCTCAGGCACCAGCGTCTTGTATTAAGCGTATGGTACTGGACCTGCGGTTGGACGTTGCCACGCGACCGCTGGCGCTGCCTCGCATTACAACCCTTATTTTTTCTCCTGCCTACCTCTACCACGAACTACAGACTTCAATGGTTTTCGCAACGTTCGTTTTGGTCTTGTAGTACAAGTGGTGCCCTAGAGTATGAAAATAGCTATAATGCAGCGTGACGTCGCTTGTTGTCTTATTTGTGTTATAATAAGAACTAGGTACTTAGTCGCACCAGGTGGATACTCATGATGTTATGTCATGGATCCTCTTTTATGTGTTATACATGAATGATTGGAGATAACGAGGAGAGGGCAGAGCTGAAAGTAACACTACTTTTGTCCTCATAGTTTTTTTTTGGCACTTTTCATCACTTTTGCACTTGCTTGAAGTTGCCGTCAACTCTATTTTTTGCTTTTATTTTGTCATGGGAAGCCTTAGCTTTTAGCTCTTCTTGCGTCTTCATGTTTTGATTCACGGGAAAACCGACTCGCATGGTAGGACCGAAGATGATCTCACGTATGGGGATTGGCGGGGTCGAGCATGTAATCCTATTGCCACCTTTCAATTTCATGTTTATCACTCCTGCTTAGAGGTTTCACGGGATAATTTGACCACGTGGACGTGGTATTAATATTACAGTCTAACTCTAAACAAGAACATTTTTAACAGACAGGTAAACAATAACAGACAGGCTTACTACAACAGATAGCCAAATGTTGAATGACTCAAGGAAACCTCTCGCCTCAGCTCACGCTCGCTTCGAGCTTTTTATCTTCACACCTTTCTTTCATCTTGCATCCTCAAGTCCTTCAAGACTGATGACGCTTTTCGTTCTTGTATTCAACAACCAACGAGACGACTTTCTTTTTCATCAATTCAATTCTTTCGGTAGGAAAATAAAAATAATGTTCGTCTTGCAGCTTTGCAATTGCATTTCGTTCCTTGAGAAACAGCGAACCGCACTAGAACATCTTCTACTTCTAGCACTAGATGAAGACCTGCCAAGCCAAACATTTGTACATAATGATAATCACCAGCTTCGTCTGCATCTGCAATATGTTTTTCAGCAATGCCGTTGATCATCATCTGTTCATTTTTAGCTATACAATCTACTGATCTACTCAAAAAGTATGGCGCAATGGAAGATCCAGACACTTGTGCTACGGATGTCCATCAGCCAAGCATAGGCTGTTCGTACCAAAGAGTAGCCAGCAACAAGAAGTAGAAGTACAACTGATGTTGTGCAAGTATTTAGTATAACGGTCGTGCAACTTCACAATGAAAAGAGCTGTGCTTGTCCTTGTGCATCTTCACGAGAATAAATTTGTCAAAGTTGTAGAGGTAGTTAAGTATCCTATAAGTAAAAATCCAAAGTCGGAGTAGTTCTACTTGCACAACTACTCGCTCTGCCTCAGAATCATATGGGGATCGTAGTAGGCGTTTTGTACGGCACGGACGAACATTTCTGGGTTGTCGAGGTAGAGCTGGTGTCCCGCGTTAGGAATGAAAAGGAGATCGCGTCTAGCCACGCGGTAACGGCACTCGTGAGGGCTAACCCAGACTGTGTTTTTTGAGGATTTCTTTATCGAAGGCGGCGCACCGAAGACGACGTGGGTCTCCCGTTCTTGACCTGAATCCCTTCGCAATTTGAAAATACTGCTCGCATCATCTTCTCCTACTTTTGAGACAGTGATAGTAGAACTCTGAACTGTACTAGAAGCTGAAGGAGCTGAAGCACCTCTACTAGTTAAAGGAACTTGTTCCGAAGTAGAGGTTTTTGGGACGTCTGCAGGGGCGGCGCCGTTCTTTTTTAGGGCTGCAGCAGGTGTCCTTTTCCATTCTTCTAGTTCTTGACTGGATGGAGTAGAATGTACGACATCCTCAAACCGAGAGGCTGATCGAAAAACACGTTCTTGAGGCTGGTAGGTTCCCTTGTTAGCTGTTGTTGGCTCGTTAGCAGCTGTCGTTTCTGCGGTCTCGTTTTCGGTTTTGGCTACACCTGCTTTCTTCGTATCATCGGCTACCGTGGCGGAAGTGGACGTTTTCTTAGATGAGTTCTTGTCGATTTTCGCCGCCGCATCTTCTTCATCACCGTCTTCTTCTTTATCTTTGCCTACGTCCTTGTTTCCACGTAGTACAAGCGCTTCGTCTGATGTGGATCTAGAAACAGTAGGCTTTGTTCCTCCTTTATCACAAGCTAGCGGCAAGCTAACGGGTTCATTTTGAGGCTCCTGATGATCTTCAGTCGTAGTTGCATCTTTGTTGAAGTTCTTCTTGTCGTCCTCTTGTTTGTTCGTGCTTGTTTTGATTGCTTTGATATGATCTTCAACATCTTTTGTTTGTAGTTTCGTGCTTCTTGTTTTGCTCCTTGCTTGTTTTGGGGATATCGCTTTGATACCTTCGACCTCATCTTCCAGAACAAAATCTGTGACCGACATCCGCAGAGTTGGGGACTTAGTGTCAATCGAGGATCCAGTTCCCCCTGAAGCTCCAACGGTCTTGTTTGCTCCTTCTCTTTTCATGTTGGCCCACTGCTCGCCTGATGAAGAAGATGTTGCCATAGTAGTAGTACTAAAGGGCGGTTGTTGTATTGAATGCTTTTTGCTGGAGGAATCCCGAAGAGCCCGCCTAGACCTTGAAAGCACTACCCATTCTAGCATCGCTTGCGCCGCGCCGTAGTCCATCCAGTCAGTCTCACCGTAGATCAGGGAGATCCGTGGCACACTCAGCTTCACAATGCGGTCAGCGACAGGCTTCTTCACATAGGGGCCAGGCGACATCAGCGATCCAATGGCGTATTCGGCTGATCCGTCATGGTGTGCCACGAAACAGTGGTACATATACTCGCCAAGATTGCCGCGTGTCATCTATAATCGTGGTAATATGTGTGAGTACAACTTCTCAGTGAATATTAATAGACGAGGCTTGTTTTGTCAAAAGCTCCATGTGCAACATGAATTAGAACAAGTCCCCCTTGTTGAGTTGTACTTCTTGGCAAAGTAAGAGAAGTAGGACAAGAACCACGACCTATAGCAGCTAGAGATCAGACCATTCAACGAAAACGAATTACAATTAGTAGCCTTAGGTAGTGGAGGATAAAAAAGAGGAAAGAAACAAAGATAGAAGCACAAACATCAATCTTCGGTAGAAATACCGATCCTTGAAACTGGCCGTTATCTGCGAAGCGATTGTTTGCGTAGTTCATCGCCAGCGCTTTCCCCCCTAACGGCCAGCCTAGAAATCGAACGACCTCGAACGGCGTGTAGTTTTTCTCCCAAAAGTATCCGACACTTTTAAGGTAGTATCTGCTATACCACGGTTGTTGGTCCCAGTGTTTCGCCATGTCTTCCTCTGGGGGTCTACGAGCAAGTCCCATCGGAGACGCCAGGATCAAGTCGGTCACATGTCCCGGGTACTTCTCTGCGTAAGCAATACCCAGGTAGCCGCCTAAGGAATGGCTGATGAGTATGAATTCTCGAATGGCTTTTTTCCTTCGCCACCCTTCGATCGCGTCGACGAAGAAAGATTCGTTCTCATCCACGGTCGCTTCGTGGTCCCAACTCGGACGGGAGGACAAACCAAATCCGAGCCAGTCCATCACGTGTATGTAGTGATTTGGAAAGACCTCACGCATTAGAGCTCTCAGTCCCCTATAATTCTAATTCATCCCTGTGGAAATAATCCCTCAAGCATATGCGTCAGGAGTATCTCCCACCAACATATTGAGGGATCGTCCCTCCCTATAGAAGATAGAAGGGATAGATGATTAGGGGAAGCCTTAAACGTAGTCCCTGTAGGCACAAGGCGTAGGTAGCACAGCCCATTCCGTACCCGGGAAGGAGGACCAGATGCGGACCCGCAGAAAAGGGTTTAGATGTTCTGGTTGAAGGCGATTTTCTGGATTTCGATTTTTGTTGAGATGTTGTAGAGGCTGTAGTTGTAGTAGAAGTTGTAGCAGCACTGGTTGTAGAACTCGCGCCACTTCGACTAGACGTTCCCCCACTTCTAGATCTGCTTGATTCTTGCGTTGGTTCTTGCGTTTTAGAAGGCGTTTTAGCAGAAACTGTTTCTGTTCTTGTAGGTGTAGGTCCTGATGCAGCAGTTGTTTCACTTTCATCATCTCTGCTTAATAACATTCTGCTACTAGTAGAGGTCGAGGTCGTAGTCGTTGCGCTAGAACCATCCTCGTGGGAACGCGCACGTCGAGCTTCGTCCTCCTGGTTTAATAAGATTCCCCTGGTGATGACGTCGTCGTCTCGCGCATCCTTGTCGTCTTCCGCGGAGGACGAGGAAGACGAGGAAGCCGAGGATGAGGAAGATGTAGAAGAAGTAGATGAGGATGATGAAGAAGTGGAATCGTCCTCCTTTTCCTTTCCTTGTTCTTGCAGTTTCTTATCAAGTACTGGAGGACTATCTTCACTGTCTTGTTTTACAACTTTTTCTGCAGTGGAGGTCCTCGTGTTGCTCGTGGAGGCCGTCGATTTTTCACTTGATGTTGTAGTACTAGACGACGCGTATGCGGGTAGCACATCAGTGTTGATGCCTTTACGATGATCTTTCTCGGAAGACTTCTTGTCATCTTGAGCAGCTGAATCGCGTCTATCCCTCATCCACAGAGTGCTCGCGCGTCGCGGCTCAACATCGCCCACTTGTTGTTGTCCAACCCGACGTTCTCCATTTTTGCACTGCTCATCTCTAATATTAGGCTGCTTGTTGTCTCCAACTACCTCATCATTATCTACTACTCTATTCGGCGTACTACCATTCTTCTGAGGTTGTACTCCAGCTGCGGCACTCCCTCCATTCGACGCCACAGATCTAGCCAAATGAGCATCTCCATCAAGATCGGGTCGAGGAGGTAACGATGAGAGTGGCTTCAGTTCGATGCTGTGCACAAACAGTTTCTTGGAGACCTCGGTGTCACTCAGAGACCAGCCCTGCAAGTCGGCCAAAAGCGCCTCCTCGGCTGCGACTAAATGCTCACGACTTGACGACTTCCACCACTCGTCGAAAACACTGGTGTCCACCAGGTAGTTCATTTTGCTCACGAGGACATCAATATGATCCTCAAAATCGATTGGATCCGATCATTGGTAGAGGATAGGTATAGGATTATAGGATAAGATAGGATAAAATAGGATAGGTGTAGGTATCAATATGGGTATAGGTATAGGACAGAATAAGGATAGGATCTGACTCGCCGTTCACAGGTTAAGTCTTGTGACGAGGAGTAGTCATTCAGATTAGATCAGGAACCCACGTCAAAGTCTTCGCGCAGCTTCATTTTGTCCATGACGAGGATGATGTGAAGTACTGCGAAATTTTAAGAGTATGACCGGAAAACACCAACACGATATTACAACTACTCGTTCTATTTACTTACTATCTTAACGTTAATCTTCTTGTGTACTAGATTATCCATTCATCTGTATGTACTTATTCGTTCAGGTTCATGATCGAGAACATCTTCTCTCGTGCCTTGATATTCATTGACGCGGCATAATTCTAGTACCTACTTGTACTTCGAGATCTAGTATGCTTCGAGGGCTATGGGGAAAGTAATCAGTGAGCGCTTCTATCCATTTGTTGTAACCTGCGGTAATATGGGTGGGGGAGTAAAACTAAAAGTTACTTGGTAAAAAATTTTTTCCTGCGTGAAGGTCGTCGTGGAGGAATGAGAGGGATTTAACGTAAATCATCATGACGTAATCGTGATAGATGAGTGTGGTCTGTCTCTGTCGTGTCTGACTGCTCTGAGGATATGGATATGAACCTAATATATCGAGGATCTAGCATGATGCTCAGACAGTTCATTCATGTATCTATCACTCAGAAGAATCTCAGCATCGTTCTCAAGGGACGAACAACAGATCCTTACTAGCCTGCTCCTCACACAGATCTGCAGCCACTCCTTCTCTCCACCTTCTCGTTAATATTCTTGTTCTACACATAATAAAAATAACGAAGAAGTCAGATTATAATCAGATGAATCAGATAATAAGCACACGCATCCACCTCCTCGTTATTCTGTAACAAGATCAATTTTGATCAAAAGCAAGTGACTCAATAAGTCCGATCCTAGTCGAGACAGAGCGCCAAAATCTCGTGACAGAAGAACATCATCAACATGGAGAGGAGGGCAAGTAGAAGATGCGCCTACTCCTGCGCAGTAGAAGATGCGGCTACTCCTGAGCAGCCATTTTTCATTGATCACTCTTTTTCTCTCCAGTACCGAATTCGATGACACAGTGAAGAAGATGTTGTATCTGTGGATGCCATGTTGATGAAGCAAGAACACTCGTCCGTCCTTAGAGTGTGTCATGATCTGGTGAACAAAGTACAACAATCACAATGGATTGGGAAAAATACGCCGATCATGCCATGAACATGAAGGATATGCTGAGTTAGTAATAGACGAATGTAGGAGATGTGGATGTGAATGGTTTCTTTCTCGAAGATCAGTTTGCTAATGCGCCATCTTGAAACGATGTAGAATAATTTTTGGGAAACTTCTAAAGTAGATCTCATGTATGACAACGACTATCATTCGTGGCAACGACTATGAGTATGAGTATGATGTGGATGATGTAGTAAGTTGTAGTGTTGAGATAAAACCGTCAAGCTATTCATGATTCAAAACGTGCGATGGAGATCGTAGGCAGTCGTCTATGACTTTATGTTTGTTGAGCATGAAAGTACACTACGAACAAATAGAAGATATTTTTGAAATGTGCAACATGTGTATCTGAAAGTGAATGCGAAGCTTGAGATTTTTCTAAAATATTATATTGAATGCTGTACGTAAAGGTAGTTCTAGATGCGTCCGTTCAGATATTCTTCGAATCTGTTCATGTCATTATGATCTGTAGATGATCCTGGATCGTGGGTTTTTATATTGCTTGTCGGATCTCTACCCAAGAAACGGTCCTCGCGACCCGAACTTCCGCCGCGGTGGAGGTGCGAGTGCGTCAGTCTTCTGAGGAGAGTCCCTGGTGTGCAGATAGAAGTTCTTGTACCGTGTTGGCGAATACACTTGACTGCCTACATTAGAGCTACCGCGTCGCATCCCTGAGCCCATCCCGGTGGTGCCCTTTTCTCCCTTGAAAAAGGGGCCAGGAGGGGTGCTGGGGATGCTCCAGCTGTTGCCTTAACTACACTTGGGGCTTTCATCCGCTCGGTGCGCGTCTTCTTGTTCAACTGAGACGATAGTGACATGATATCTGCAATATGGTCCTCCACTCCTACTCGTGTCGTGGTCATCATGTTCCTCCTCTTAGTAGTAGAAGATGAAATGCGTTCTTCCACTTGCTGCTGAATCGTATGAGCAGAAGTGGTCGCCGGAACAAGAACCGGGATATCCTGGCCCAAAACCGCAGACCTCCTGGTCTGGAAGGAAAAAGGTGCTCCTTCCAGTACAGAAGTGGTCTTTCGCTTTGAGTTCGTCATATCTTCTGCCGCACCTGAGCTCGACGACGAAGTTGTTGTAGTACTTCCAGGACCAAAAACGAAGACTTCTGTACTAGTTCTTGTAATTGTAGTACTTCTCATTTGTCTCGGTTGGGGCCTGAAATTTTTCTTTCTATGTCGTAGCTCTGCGCCTGTTGCTGCATATGGGTTCAGGCGCATTCGTCCTTCACGTCGTGGATCCTCCACAAACAGCGGAACGCGATTAAGCATGACCGCTCCGCTGCCGTCTTCACGGCCATCTGCTCCTATGTTATCCCCATACAAGAAGGTCGCTGTTGCATCCGCTGTTCCGCTTTCATGATGCTCTTGTTCATCATCTCTAGCAGTTCTAGATGAATTTTTACCTCCAGACGACGAATCCATGCTAGAACTTGTCGTTTCCACTGATGATTTCGAGGACTGAGGAGCGCCAGGGCCGCTGCTTTGTTGAAAAAGAAAGTCTACATCGCTGTTTTCTTTTTTATGCAGCGTTGATGTGGGGTTCCTGCTGTTCCGCCTCAATGGCCACCTCCGTTCATCATTATTCAGTCGGTCCAGATCTAATGGCGGCACCACTGTAGTAGCCTTTTTCTCTTCTTTCACCTTCTTAGAGGATGACCGCGTGGTCGTGTGTTTATTTCTACGTCCTTTAGATGAAGTTTTTTTCGTCTGCTCCTTCATGATCTCTATGCCGGTCGCTACTTCTGCTTCATCGCTGGGCTCCGGAAACATGAGAACGACTGGCGGGGAAGATGTCGGAGCTACGTCAGGTTCATCCGATACCTCTGCAAAAGAGGGTGGAAACGGCGGTGGTGGAGGAGGTGGGCCGCGGGATACTTTGATCTTTGATGTCGTTGTAGATGTAGTTGATGTTCGTCCACTTTCAGTTTCATGTTGCTCATATTAGAGGTAGGTATTTGGTGTTCGTTTATCCCGCTTGTTATAGCTGTCCCCCTTAGGAAAGCCATAACAAGCGGTGACAATGACAAAAGTAGCACCTTGAACCTACCCTTATAATCATAGTGTGCTTGGTCCTTTCCGCTTGATCGAGCGTTCCCAGCACTCGGTCGAGAGGATCCTCGTTGGCTCTTCTCGCGTGGGCCACTTGGTCTTGGACGATCAAGCACATCGTTAACTACACCCAACAGATCTGCGACAACCTCTGTTGATTTGCGTGCAGCTGCAGCTTTGGAAAGAAACGACGCTGATAACCTGGAAGCAGGACCTTCAGCTCCTGCCGACACCCGGGGGAAGGCTGAAGATGCTCTAGAAGTACTCGCTGCTTTCGCAATAGGTGTTGAGTTCACCCCGCTGGATGAAGAAGACGTCGACGGATGAAGCGACGCCCTAGTAGTTGTATGGTCAACAACTGTCGTGGTTATTCGACCAACATCACTAGAAGCAGTACCAGCTGTGTTCCGAGCCATGGACGTATTGCGTACGGTAGACGACCGCAAAATCGCCGTTGTAATTTGATTCAGTTCTGCGAGTGCACGCACTACGAGCTGGAGCTCCTCCGTCGTCAACAGGAACGTTATCTTCTCCTCGGCTATTGCAAAGTCGGATGGGGATTGGGATGTATTAGATGATGATGTTCTTTTTGGTGGAGCTCACCCTCCTGTGCGAATTTTTTATTCACGATGCAGGAGTCTAGTCTTCTGCATAATGTTATCATGATAACGACAACCTAAAAAATAGTAGGTGGATATCGTTCTTGTAGGAGTTATACTTCTTCGCTGAACTTCTAAGTCTAAGACTAAGCAAGCACACTCTGTTCACCTTAACATCTTCCGGCACTTCTGCCAGATAGCTTGACAATCGCTCAGCGAGATCCGTGTAGCTGAGATTTTCCTCGCTGAACGAAGGCCGACTCTCGCGCCACCACGGTAGTTCAGGGTGCTGCCGCAACTCCAACAATTCCTGCAGAGCCCCGCGAAGAGATTTCAGCTGTTGCACTGTAAATTCCCGATCGGGCGCATCAGGTGTCGTCAGTTCCCTAGAAGAAAATGTTGGGTTTGATTAGTCTGCTGAATGAATGATGTTAAGGCAAGTTAGTATTAAGTTTTAGATTCTTTTACCTTCATCCCTGACAATCCAACAACTGATTGTGATTCAACTTGACTGAGGTGTTCTTGTGATGAAGCAAAGAAACCTATAATAAATGGACTAAAGTACGTTGTCCTCCTCTCCTTCTCGTCTGCTGATGATAAGTCTGCTACAGCACTCTCCAGCAGCACCAATTTAGTTTCCACATTGTCAGACACTGTGACTCGATGGGTACTTCGACGTTTTCGAAGAATATCCTTGCCCTCTGCGACTCTTGTACTACCTCCAGAACCTCTCTGAACAAAATTGTCGTTGTTATTGTTCATGGTGTTGATGTTGGATGGGTTACTGGTTCTACTTACAGGCGGGTCAGCATTCATGTTAGGCGTCGCGGAGAGGCGCATCTCCGTGTTTTTCCGCTCAGCTGCCTTTCTCCGCTCAGCCCAACCGTATGCAGAAGTGCGCAGAGTCGATTGTCGTTTACTGTGCCGTGATGTACTTGCCATAGCTGTCTCTTGTCGCTGGTCAAGGTCATTCATTTTCATCCCCTGTGATGGAATATCTTCGGTCGTCGCTGAGGGTGACGCAGTTCTTGAGGTACTATCTACGACAAACTCCTCAGCATGTAATGCAGAGGTCTTCGTCTGCTTGTTGTTGTCCTCTGAAAGCTCATCGGTCGGCGCGCACATAAACGCCGCCATATCAGCACCTTGTTGCTTGCTTTGCGAATGCAGTTCCTGCGACATAGTAGGCGATTCGCTCCTTCTCCCCTGTGACAGGCTTGGACGTGTCTGTGACAGGCTTGGTCGTGCCTGTGGCACTGCCGACCTTTCGCTTGGTCTTGCTTTCGACACCGTTGGTGCGTTGCTAGTCCTTGGTACTCCAAGTGGCACGCCGTCCGTAGCAATTGCGAAAGCAGCTGCATTCCCTTTTTCTGTAGTGGTCTGAGCAGCTACTCTCTCACAACTTTCCACCTCTTCAGCACTGGACGAGGAAGAAGTCTCAGGCACTAGAAAATTGTCTTCTTCAACATCGACGCCGGATGTGTTGCCAATTCCCGAGGCGGCTACAACTGGAGGTTCTGGTTCTGAAACACGCGCTTGTCCATCCACTATTACTATATCTCCTTCTTTCCGGTCAAGATTGACCACATGATCCAGTTCGTCTTCACGAGGTGCATTTATTTTACGTCCTCTTTCATCTGGAAAAGCGACTTCATCTTCAGTTTGCAAAGGCAACATCATCTCGTCCGACGTTTTCACATTCAGAACTCCTCGTACGACCTCGTTCTTGGACGGAGATGATCGTATCGGTTCATCTGCTTTCGCGGCCGCCTCCCTTTCAGCATTATAATTTTCCTGAAGTAGATCATTGTTCTGGTGGACGTTGGCGTCACTGCTAGTACCTTGATCAAAGTTCTGCAAAATCGATGCCAAGTTTGAGCTGCTGGAAGAGGCAGTGGCAGTTGTCTGCTGGACGTCGTTCTCGACTCCCATCACGACTCCTGGCACGACCCCAGAACTAATAGAAGAGCGGACATTAAGTGAAGACCTCTTCGCGACGCCCCCCGATTCTTGTTTAAAGGGTGACTCACTACTGAGCCTTGATTTGCGCGCGCTACTCCGCATAGTCGTCCGAAACGTGGGACTCGTGCCAATTGTCAGTTGTTTAAACGGAGACTGTGATGCTCCTGATGCTGTTGTTGATCCTCTTTCTCGGCCGCCTTTTTGGAATAGGCTTCGGTTTGTTTCTTCTGGCGCTTCCTGTCGAGAAGAACTTCTTCTGGTACTGGTACCTGACTGAGATGAAGTGGCACTTCTTCTGTTCTGCGCTAGAGGTGTACTAGTGGTGTTGGCCAACTCTTGTCCTTCGTTTGCTTGTCTGTTCTCAGGATCCTCGAAATCTTTCTCCTCGAATTCTCTTGTCGCATTCTTGCCAGGAGTTTCCTGTTTCCCCAACTCGAAGGTGGTTGACAGCTTCTTGGACGGACTAGTTCCACGCTCTGGAAGAGGGTCTTTGCGTGTGATGCGTTTCCGGTTGGACGAAGGAACTGAAGAATCGATGGTCACACGTCGTCGAGAAAGAGTAGAGTCAACATGATCTTTATCTTTTCCCGAGAGAAGATGAAGAGATGCCGAGGACGCTCGACTCTTTGCAGGCGATACGAGAACCTCAGAGGACTTACCTCTGCGCTCTCCTCGTCCTGCTTGCGGTAGAGGTGGCCGCGGGCTAGAAGTAGATGTAGAGACAGGATCTTCGGGAAGCGGTATTCCCTCAGATCCAGAGTGTCCTGTAGCGCGATCTCGCTCTCGACTGAGCGGCTTCGAGCCTTGCGGCATCCCCGGTGTGACCACGTGGGACGAGGGCTCCTTTCCTTCATCTTGTTCTTCTTGTAGTTCTTGATCTTGTGGTTCTGGTTCTTTACTATTACTTTGCAGCGTCTCTATTATTTCTGTGCTTGACACCGCTACATGATCAGTTGCATTGTCGCTCTCATTTATTTCGACTTCTCGTCCTTGTACCGCTCCAGCTCCTCTTTCTCCGTCCGATACCGAGTCGCTTTTGGATTTTATTCCCTGCTGCGGACTAAGCAATTCCTCAATTACGCACTGTGCGGCTTCCTTCGGGGTCGCAGGCTCCTGGCGTTTTGCCGTCGAATTCACATTTAACCTATGGTGCGCAGAAGTCGGAGAGGCAGCTTGCTGCAGAGGCAGGAGCATTCTACTTGAAGACGTTGCATCCTCTTGTTGTGAGCTAACTTCTTCATCCACTACGTCTGCACCGACGATATCGATTGACGCTGCGTCCTGTACAACAACATTTGCTGATTTTCCTTTCATCATTTGCACGAGGAGTTGACGTGCTTCGGAAACGGAAACTCCACAGGCTGCGACGATACTCTGCACAGCATCGTCGATACTTGTCGGCACAGGAGGCGCCCCGGTTGTTCCTGCTTTTTCATTGATCAACAACATGCTCGTCTCTTGCTTTTCGTTCGTACCGGAAAGTGAAGCAATTTGAGGATTTTGTTTTATCTGACTTTGCACTTGTCTCTCCTGCTGCTCTGGCAATACGGAGGACGCGCCTCCACCACTCGCTTTCAACAGCACAGGAGCCGCGTTCTTTTTTCCTCCAGACAAAGACAATGTTGCACTTATTTCCTCAACATTATCATTTGCAACAGCGACTGATGTCGTTGCTGAATCGACTTGCTCCTGCACCTCCTCACTGGAAACAGCAAGCTTCTTGTGACCGTGTCGACTACTAGTGCCTGTATTAACATCTTTCTGCTGCTCCACAAAACTGGTGCCAGCCATTCGATTCCAGTATGCTTCGGAGTCACCGGCTTCCCGATCTGGAACAACGTCCTCATAATTCTGTGTCTGTTGATAATTATTGGCGTTTGAGGCCGCGATGTTCGACACGCGGTTTGCAGGAGCAAATGAAGATGGCGAAGACGGAGGACGCAATTTCGCTTTTTGCTGTTGTTCCCCATCGTCCCTAGCTGAGGTTATCTCATTTGCTGTGCGTCTACTGCGTCGTGCTCGGGATAAGTTATTATAGTTTGCAGGAGCTGCTATTGACTTCGTCTTCGACGAACGTCGTCGTGATAAGGCTGTTTCGTCGTTTTCAGAGATGCCGAGAACTCCATCATAGCGTTCCCAATAGCTTCCTGCTGTGCTACGAGCCCGTGGAACTTCTGCAATCATGGAAGGTTCTTTCCCAGCTTCAACATCTGAAGAAGGAAATGTTGCAGTTGCGCTCATCTTCTTAGTGTTAAGCTTTTTCGTCGAAGCCGATGCGGACGTTCTTGAAGGCTGAGATTAGAGGTAGGTTTTTGGTGCTCGAGGTAGGTTTTTGGTGCTCGCTTACCCCGCTTTTTATGCCTTTCTCCCTTATAGGACAGGCATAAAAAGCGGTAAGAAAAGCACCTTTAACCTACCCTTAATGAGAAGTCGAAGTGGACTCTTCTTGAGTCGACGCATCTTCAAGCTTGTCCTTGTTCGACTTTCTTGTGCTTATCATGCGTTGCATCTCTCCTGGACGAGCCCCATTTTTCGCTGGCGCAGCAGGCATTTGATTTTGATTACCTGAGCTTGAGCTTCTCTGTGGTCGTTGAGACGAGGACGAGTTTCGTTTCATAGAAGAAGCTCGAAGCCCTTGTGCCAAGTCCTCGTCTAATGAAGTTGCTGTATCCGCAAACTCAGCCATGCCCTGTTTTGATCGTCGTGCCTCCATACGCGACAAGGTTGCACTGCTGATGAACTTCTTGCTAGGGCGTGCAGCAGTGCCTCCATTGGAAGACGATATTATGCGATTGTCGGCCGAGGCCGAACCTGATGTCGAAGTCCCACGACCGGTCCTACTAGCGCTCCTGTCGTTCATTCTAGAGGCCCTTCTGTCGTTCATTCTAGAGGCCGCTGGACGCTTTTCGCCTAAGCTTGAAGAAGACCTATGCACGGCTAAACCCTTGCTAGTTCTAGAAGCAGGATCAGACGTGGTTGACACTTTTGTTGCTGGAGTTAGGACCTCCTTGCTACTGGAACCAGATGAAAGCTGCTTAGACTTGTTGGTCTCATTCTCGTCTACATGATCTGGGGCTTCCTCATCTGCGTTCTTCATCATCTTGTTCATCGCATTCTGAACATCGGCTACTTCCACGTCCATCTTGTTCCTTGATGTGTTTTTCTCCTTAGTCTGGTTTGCTCGAAAAGAAAAAGTCTCCTCGTCCTCCTCCTGCGTTTCGCCCATTGACGCGATGGAGAAGCCGTCTACAGCTACGTCTTGTGCGCGCGGCGCCGCTTCAGTCACCTCAGGTTCAACTGAAGCTACCTCAGCGGAAGGCTCTTTTAGTTTGTGTTCGACAGCCATGGCCGTGGCACTGGCCATTTTATCTGCCGCGGCCTGAGCCTCATCGTCTCCGTCATTTCGTGTCAACAAAGGTGCTTCTCCTACCTCTGGCCCTGCTGTGTCATGCTTGAGACTCAGAGTCCTTGTCCTAATCCTCGTTGTGTCGTGTTGTTGTTCGTCAACTGGAGAAGAAGATTCTACTTCTGGAAAATCTGTAACTTCATGATCGTTCCTTACTTGTTTATTAAGTTGAACTACATCGTCTTGGTCTTCTTTTTGTGTAGTTTCCCGAGTCCTATCTACTTCATCAGCTTGAGCTTCATCAGGAGCTTGAGTTTCATCGTCAGGAGGAATGATTCTGACCGTAGCTTCGTTTTTTTCGACTTGCGCAAGGATTTTACGAAGGATCTTGTCGCTGCTACCTCGTTTAGCTCGCAAACTCACTGCAGCAGTCCACCGCACTTGGTTTCTCGGATCGCTTGGGGAAACGTCGGGACTCATAGGACGTGCTATCGCAGCAGCGAAGCCTTTCGGGATTCTCCGCGCTCTACACGAGTCAACATTTATATTTGAAGAAGAACATGAAGACCGTGAAACAAAAATCTTAGCCTCAGGACTCTCATAGGGTGGTAAGGATACCAGATCACCAACCACATCACCAACATCGTCCCCAGCCATCATGTCAGAGTCACGGAGGGTCCTCATCGCTGCGGACGCGCGGACGTCGTGGGATATTCTGCTTGTTGAAGAAGACACGGACATGCTCCGCACTGGGACGACGTCGATCACGGCCTCTCCGCTTGCCTGCTTACGCTTGTGGCCTCCCCTGGTCGTGGTGCCTTGTCTCGTCTCTTCTACTGCTGCATGATTAATAGCGTTGAGATTTTTGCACTTATATTCATCACCAGACGGGGACGCACCAGACGGGAGAAGATGGTGCGACTTGTTGCTGTTGCTTATGTATTCTTGAAGATGATGTTGATGTTCTTCTTGGAAGTGCAAGGGCAAACCTGATGACGATGTGTGGTTTATTTGTTTTACGTGTTCGCTCATCGTGTGCTGATCTTCCAGTACTGCGGATTTACGTATGGTTCGCAAGGCCAACTGCTCATCATGCTGTATCTGCGACGCACCAGAAAAAAAGAAAAACCTATTGGTCGTGGTACTGGTAGGATGATGAGGTTCTTGTCCAGGAGGTATAATTGGTTCTACCTCAGATGAAGACGATGGAGCTGATGATGAGCAGGTGGAAGACGATGACGCCGTTTGTCGTCCACCCTCAACTACAAGCTTTATTGCCTCGTTTCGGTAGTAGATACCATCTTCCTCGTCCTCGCTAGTACTAGAGGTTACAGGAGGACACACACTTCTACTGGCGGACAAATTGATCATCTGCTCCTTGTCCTTCGGCCTCTCGTCAGAAGTTGCTTTACTTGTGTTAAGGTATGCATCAAAAGGCTTGGCTTCGAGACTTCTGGCACCAGCGCTGCTGCGGCGGATATTCAGTTTGCCACGAGTGCTCTGTTTTGATGTAGTCGTGCTTATTTGTTCTTGAGAAGTCCTCGTCTGAGTCGTAGTAGTTGCTGACTGTGACTTCGACAGTGCGAAATTATTTTTGATCTCGTCTGGCGAGAGATCCTTTTTGATGCTGAAGATCCTCTCCCGTGGTGGAGGTCGATCATTTTCTGCGTCTGCAACTTCTACCACAGCATCTTTTATTTTCACGCGTTTTTTCTTAGACCACTCGTCTAGGTCTACTGATGCAGGATCAGGCAGAGGAAGGTGCGTATTTCCGTCATCACCAGGATAACTACTTTCCTCGTCCTTCCATCTAGTACGCTTATAGGAAGCTGCACGTCTGCTCAACACGGGACTGAGATGTCGCATGGGAGCCGCGACGGAGGCATTTTTGTCCTCTTTCATCTCGTGAGGACCCTCTTCCTGCTCGGAACCGATTGGTGAGAGCTCCGTTCCAGTCGTGAGGTTGGTTGCTGAGAGGCGGTCGTCAACACGACCCTCTTCAGCGGTCTCATCTTGCTGAACTACAACATCAATGTCAACGTCCTGCTCACCAGTCGTGACAGTGTTCTGTTTAGATGATGATCCAGTTCTTGTTGGAGAAAGTAGAACACGATGAAGAGGCTCGTCTTGATTATAGCTGCTCTTCTCGCACTTGGTGTTGATTGGACTCCGACTAAGAAGCAAGTGCGCTACGGGCGGAAGCGGATGCTCGGCATGCTCAGGAGCTCCACACGGAACATCTAAAACCTTGACTGCCCTTGCATTCGCCTCAAAGAAATGCTGCTTTACAGCCTCTAAGTTCCCCGTCGCGACGTGTGTCTCATCCGGAACAACAGCAACCCTCCAAACATTCGAGGTGGAGACGGTCTTCATCTGAAGACCTGCTTCATGTTCAAGTCCATCTTCAACGACGTGCTCCTCTTGTTTGAGTTTGTTCAGCTTCTCACTATTTATTGCTGTTCCAAGAACAGTTCGTTGATTTACTCCATCAGTTTGATCTTGTTGAACCTCCGTCCTCCTCGACAAGAGTTGTGGCCCCAAAGTCGGCCACGGCACGTACAGACTCGACAGTCCAGTCGTGCTCCGGCTCTCCTTGACGCGAGAAGTAGACGACGCTTCCCGAGGATCCTGCTCACATTCGGAAACAAACATGAGATGGAGCAATCGGTCCTCTGTACAACAAGCGTAGCTCTCTCCAAGTTGCACGCTTTGAACGCTTCCATCTTCCAGAAGTCGGAGAATCTTGCCTCTAAAGTTTTCTGTCGACGCCAACATAAAATGGTACTGCTCAACAGTCTCTTCCTCCACCAAAACACCATCAGCCAAAGCATCATCAGCCAATTGATGCAATGAAAACTGCTCGTTGATGGAGGAGGTCATCTTCAACATCTTGTTGCAGTTACTCGTAGATTCCTAGTGGAGTCTGGTGTGTCAGCCCACTCCGTGTGCTATAAGGTGGAAGACCGTAATATAATCCAAGAGAGGTGGTTACCGTAATATAATCCAAAAGAGGTCGAGGTGGTGGATATCAGGCTAAGAGGAGGACCGACTACAAGCGATGACTGTACTGGGATGGCAGGGAGGGTGAGGCAGCCACGACACCGGAACAGGAAGAGGAGGGCTCACTCAATAGAACTGTTCGTTGCAGTTGCTGTTGATGCTGTTGCTCACACAACCGATTGAGACAAAAGAAGATGCTGTCAGACCAACAAGAAAGGTGGATATAATTATTCATTCTACAACAATCGTTATGTTGACACTCACTCTACGTCAACTAGCACCACTGGTGAGTGCTCACCTTGTAATAATAGATGAAGTTCTTCCACAGTACAACGTAGTTGAAAGGCTTTAAGCAGAACCGATCATATAAACACACGCAGGAGCAGTGGGACTTGGTGGCCAAGCATACCACTGTCGTCATCACTCCACTAGGCAAGATATCTAATGATACCGATCTTCTACTCTAATTAATTACCTCGAACCCGAAACGTCTACAATGCTCCCCAGTTTGTTTTTACGCCGGAACGTATAATCGGAGCAGCAAAGTAGTTAAGGGCCCATACGCTCATACGAGATAACTAAACAAGCGCTTAAGAAATAGGCTACGCATCCACCACATGAAGGCCACAAGTCACTTAATTCAAGATCAATCATGAATGTAATGATGTAGATAGCGCGCTCTTAATTTGAAATAAGCAAGAGCCGAATTATGAGAATAGTACAAAGGGCTTCAGATCATCGGGTGGAAAATACAAATAGAGGCTAATGAATCAATATGGGAGTGAGTGGGAGGAGTAAGCAGGAGTTGGGGTGCCCGGTTTCAACATCGCTCGTTTTTGCACCTCCATCTCTCTATCTTTCTACTTCCCGATACATGATATCACGATGCCAGATTGATTCACATGATATCACGTTGCAACCCGAACAACAACTCAACAAGTGAAATCAACCTACACTTTAAATATTCAGCATCATCACACCGAGATAGGATCGGATAGGAGTTAGCCCGCCTCCGGGTGGTGAGCGTTCGCGACTATGAAAACGCCGAAAAAGGATCTACTTTGCTAGACCGAGCTGTGCTTGAGCCGCACGCGAGGACCGACTACACGTCTATTGTATACGACGAGGCTTTTTGTTTCTAGAGTGGTTCTTCTCGTGTAGAGCACATTCTCCAACGTCTCTCATTGTTTGTCCTTGCACCGCATCGGGAAGACTCAGCTGTTCTTGTTGCATCGCATGAGCATGCAGCTCTTGGGCTGCTGTGCGAAGTAGATCATGATGAATGTAGTTATAACAAAATCGACGTTCGTGGCACATCCAACAGATAAGGATTAAGGATCTGATCCGCCATCCACAGTTTTACCTGCATACTTCTCAAGCGGATTAACGCAGCCGTAGAAGGACTACAAAATTTTAATCAATAAGACTTATTCCGGGATGAAGTAAAATTTCTTTTGAAATTTCAAACATCAAGACAAACAACTTCTACGTACTAGAACTTGCTTAATTAGTTCTTGTCGCAAGCGCATCAACACAGCAACATTGTTCAACAATAACTTCTTGGTATAAGAACGCATGATCAATTGATGTTTCTGTTCCAACGTGGAGGAGGTGCTGGAAGTGAAATAAAATTGAGTGAAGTAGTAGCAAAATTCGACATAATACGGCGGGGAAGAGCTGGAACGGCCTATCTAAAAACAAAAAGAAAGCAAGATGAGGAGGTAAAGAAATCTTTCCTGAAAACCAACAAAAAATTCTTTAAATGTGTATCTTGGCTCAGATCGATCAGGGGAAAATGGAATGGGTCCAGCAGCTGCTGCTAAGAATCGAGACGACAATGACCACAAGCACTAGACTTCTCCAGCAGGGTATTAAGAATCGACACGACATAATAGAGGGAGGTAAGACATGTACTACAAGACCGATGAATATCTAAGATCATGAGTAAAACGACCGTTATCTAAAAACTGTAAAAATTTTTATGGTGCTGCTGTCTTAACTAGATTTTCTCGAGGTCGAGTGTAGTGAACACAGCAGGATACAGCTACTTCAAGAATAATGTATCTATTAGTAGAGGCGGAGTGGAAGAAGATTGAAGTTTTCAAAAAACTACGATCAGCAGAAATAAAATCAACAGCTTGAGACTGTTTTTAGCCAAGGTAGTCTTGGATGAAATGTAGAACTACCTATGTACTTATTCCAGGGCCATGATGGGTGAAGTGTCGCGAAACAGTGAATAAAAAAACATTGATCATTTCTAGGACAAAAAAAAATCTACAAGCACGATTAGTTTGAAGATTTCCACGACCAGCCGCTGTTTTGGTCGCGTTGGTTATGACTGTCCCAGTTGCTGCCTCGCTCGTTATGACTGTCCCAGTTGCTGCCTCGCTCGTTAGGCCTGTCCCAGTTGCTGCCTCGCTCGTTGCGATCACCCCAAGAATTGTTGTCTCGACGCTCGTTACGATGATCGCCCCGACTGTAGTGTTGTTGGTTACGATCGTCCCAACTGTAGTTGTCTTGTTGGTTACGATCTTCCCAATTCCACCATCCCCCGGAGCTTGATCCTCCAGTACTCCTGTAGTTGTAACTGGAGTCCTTCTGCCACGACGACCACGACGTCTTGTTCCGACCGCCACTGGGTGTAGATACCTCCTGCACGCCTCCATCTTTTCCACCCCTACTAGCTCCTGGCGTGACAGTCGTGTTAGAAGGGCTTGTTCTCTTTGACGAATTATAGCTGTAAGTGAACGCGGTGGACGAGTTATTTTGACCAGCATGGCCGCGTCGACCATGGCCGCTGGTCTCGGCACTGTCGTTCTTCTTGGCTTCATGGTATCGTCTACTGGTACGGTCTCGACTAGTTCGATCGCGTTCGCGACCACCTCCAGCATTCTTGGCGTTAGGAGTGTTTCCTTGCTGCAGCTTGGAAGAGCGACCTCTCGCAGATGCTGCGGATCGAGCACCAGAACCAGAAGCTGAAGATGTATGTAGTTGTCGGTTGTCAACATTTTCTCCGCAATTATATCGACTGGAGGACGATGCAGAGGATGAAGCAGCACTCGTAGGCTGATGTGATTTGGAAGTCGTTTCCGCTTGACGCCTGTTCGTTGACGAACGCCTGTTCGCTGACGACGATGCTGTCCCAGAAGTAGAAGAAGATGATGCTCGCTGCTGGTCCACGTTGTAGCTTGTGCCCTCGCCGTTCCAAGGATAGAGGCTTGGCGATGGCGGAGGAGCGAAAAGATTGCGATCGATTTCTGCGCTGACATCCACTAGATCAAGAGTCCCAGACTGGTGCTGCAGCAACCACTGCAAGACAATGCTGTTCTGCGTGGCATAGCCTGGCGCCGAGTGCTGAGTAAAATGGCTCCGCTGTCGGTAGCGAGCTGACGTCGTCAGTCGCAGCTCTTTGACAAAAGTCTTCGCAGTTAACATCGAAAGAAGGCCAATGTCTTCGACCTGCTCACCATCCTCTGCTGGTATCTTGTCGGAGGATGCTGCGCCTGCACGCATATGCGCCACGTTCTTCTTAGAGTCTTCATTTTAACAACCACCAGACCATAACAATTCAGGTAATAAGAGGAAGATTAACAAGGAAGTAAGAAAACCAAGGCAGCTGAGTATTTGATAGACATAGATTAACTTTAACTAGAATAACTGCAACTGGAAGTAGCTACTAAACTGAAACTTTAGATCTACTATGAAAGCCTTTTAATCATTTCTCTTACAGGAACAGGAGGAGCTAGAGCTACAAGAGTTGGCTGGCCATAGTCTTCCTCTGCGCAGAAGCAGGTCCGGCAATGCGCCATATGAGTGACAGAACCTCGTCGAATTTGCACCATGGATCGCCCACAGTGTGAAAAAACCAAATCGGGATCGGTCGAAGACGCTCGGCCAGCCATTCCTCGGCTTCTGGAATGGTGCGGGCTTCATGCGAAGTGGCACAGCCGACGACACCTGCCACCCGGTCTGCTCCCCAAACTCCTGCAAGCTCTAAAACACCATAGCCGCCCATCGACAGACCCGTAAGATAGAGGCGCTGCGCATTTCCGCCTAGTTTCTCCAAAACCAAATCGCGGAGAAATGTCAATGCGTCGAGCGTTCCTGTCAAGAGTTGTAGTTGTTGGCAATGTTGAAGCCCTCGCCAAGTGGTTGAGCCTAAGAGCACAAGCAGACTCCTCCATCTCAAAAAGAAAATGAAGACGAAAACGAAATGGATAAACTTCAAGCTCAACAGTTGTATGGCACGCGAATGCTACTAGTTAAATAACAAGCCAAGACAATGATACACCAGGAACAAACTGAACGAGCAACGGGGTACCCTTATGGAATGCAGGCGCGTCGCAGCGTGCTGGAGGGCCGCGAAACCAATACGAACCATCCGAGCAGGTAGGCTCCACGATGATAGCCTGCGACAAGAGAGAATAGTCCCGCCACGTGAGGCGGTCACTCTCATGGCTGCTGGATCTCTTCACCTCGCGAACCCAGGCCCAGGAGTCCCCAAGTTGGCGCATCGGCCCCGTGTGCGCTTCGGGGTACGCACAGCAGCCAGCCCCCTGCACCGGAGAGCTGAGGGCCCCTCTTGACTGGTCACCATGTAGGAAAAAAACCACAGGGCTGCGCCGCCATCCCATGCCGGCTGCCGAATTCTCAGGCGATGGAGACTGTGGGATTTCTGTCTGAGTCGGAGCACCCTCCGCAGCTCTTTGGCCTTGGTCATCCTGGCCAGCTGTTGCCGGGTCTTCATGGTCGGTCTGTAGCGCTGGTGACTTCTGGCCGCGCTTCCTGCTGTGTTCTTTCGTCAAGGCGTGCGCCTCTTGCTTTGCGATGTCTGGGACATAGATCATCGCCGTGGTCAGCATCCTGTCAGTACAGATCTGAACCGGGCAGCGTGTGCCGGTCCTGAGGAATCCATACTCGCCACACTGCCGACGCGCTGGAACCAGAAGCGAAGCAGCGGCCTTCGCGCTGAGTCTCGACCTCGAGCCCGAGGCAGTTTGATCTCCTTGTTCGCTGTTGTCCTTCGTCTTTGTGTCGCTCGGAAGCATGCCGTCGAACGCCTGTAAGCAGTAGTCCTGAACGGTGAATCTGCTGCGTGGTGGACGTAGCTCCTGCTCTCCATCAAGGTCGAAAAAGATCTCCGTGACGTACCCAGCGCGAAAATATGAAGCCGCAGCGCGTCGGCGCGCATGCCCAGTCTGCACCTCAGCGCAGCCAGTCACCAAGCTGACACTTCCCTCATGGTCAGGATTTGGCACAGGAGGCAGGTTCTCTCCTGGAATCCAGGCTACGCCTCGCTGTTGCTCCTGCCTCGTCTCGTCGTGGTCCTGCTCCTGCTGACCGGATATATGACCATTTAAAATAAACCACCACGGAATCATATCAGGATTAGCGGCGTTCAAGGGTATCACGAGCGATCGGTATTCGTACGCGTCTCGCATGTGCTGGGCTGTATGAAAGAGAACTAGAAAAAAGGTCGAGAATGATGAAGATGGCAACTTATTGCTAGATAAAAAGTATGACGCACAAAAACACGGGGCATGGGGCTAAACGTCATGATCACGTGGTGGCAAGTCCTCGACAAAGACGACAACTCTGCACGTCTACTTTGAATCAAGATTGATTATTGTTGTTTCAACAGTGCTTAATTCCTTTATTTAAGTAAGTGGCTTTATCGTTCCTCAACATAATGGGACGCTTCGTTGAAGCTGGATGGACAGGCAACGCGGAGAAGGTCCTGGGCGGAGAAGGCCGGCGCTGCAGAGCTCCGCTTTAGGTGTCGGGACGCATTCATTGAGTGCCTCGCTGCTTTCGGTATGGGCGTGCAGCGTCGAAAAAAGATACTTGGGAGCGAATTTTCAGCCTCACTCTCGTCCTCATCATCTTCAGCCCAAATGCCAGCCGTAGCGTCGCCACCGGTGACTGCATTTGCCGCTTCAGCGATTTTCGCCTTATGATTGTCAAAGCTCTTCCAGTTGTGGAAGTCTTCGCGCGTCCCCAGCTCGGTATTACTAGTAGCACGAGCGGAACGAGTTGCGTTATGGGTACTCCTCCTATTGAAGCCGTTCCAATCTTTGCCCCAGTCATTCTTTCGCGACGAGGATGATGAACTCCCTCCACGACCTCGCTGCTGGGAGCTTCTTCTTCTCTTTCTTGGAGACCGCGGCTCATCGCGGTCATGCCGCAAATAAGCAGGCCCAATGATCGCGTCCTCTATTAGAGTGGCAACAGACACACTTCGCACATCGTGCGCTTTTGTAAACACCCGCAACACGATAAACGGGGTATTTGCGTCGATGTTGCCGTCTGTGAATAGTCGACTCTCCTCGTGCGGTGGATACGGCACTTCTTCAGTCGCTGACGTGCCTGCCTGAGATGGTGTATTTGCCGCATTACCGAGTCGTGGCTGGTGCGTCGCAGTCGCGTCTTCCGCGTTGCCCGCCGTGCCCGCAGGTGCCGGAGCAACAATTGATGTCGCGCCGAGCAATGACTTTGACGCGCCACTTTGTTCGCATCCAACCTTGCTCCGACGAGGAGTAGCATCAGGCGACACACCAGCAGCAGCAGCAGTGGGCGCGTTCGTCGAAGCAAGATGCTCAGTCAGCTTGCGATCCGCATTCTCGGTTGTTGAACCAGTCGTGGGGGCTCTCATAGGGGGCCCCTTCGCGTTTGAGGCTACTGCTGCAACTCCTGGCCGCTCCATCTGTAATTGAAGATTGAGGTGATGGTAGAAAACATGAAAAAAATCGATCTGCTCTCATCTGCCTCCGCTTGAGAAAGCAATCCATTTTCAAGTAACGACAGAGGAAGTCTCTTGATGTTGATCTTATTCATGCAAGATAGTACGACTTCTATGCGAAGTAGACGATCACTTTCCGATATATACTTATAGTACTTCCCATCCGCAGTCGAACAGCTTGACAGACTTTGGCCGATACACAGTCGAGAAGTGAAAATCGAGGATGTAATTGTCAGCAAAGAACTGCTTGTGCCGATTCTCCTCCCCCGATATTCTCCTGGATGGCACGGGCCGCTGTGCCTCGCTTAGGCGCCAATTTCCGTAAAGTGCCAGATAGCTCAGCTTCGCCTGGAGGAAGTCGGCAGAAATCTTAGAGCTAATATTCAAAGCAAGATCAAGATCATGATCGACCACTATAATCGACTCGGCAGACAGAGACAACGCGGGCTCCCTCTTCTCATACATAGTGATTTCCGAAGTTGTGGAAGGCGTGGACAAGGAAAATCGTGGAAGGCGATGCAGTGAATCGTAAAAAGAGAAGGGAGACGGCTCTGATGATAGTTATCGATCAACATCAATTTCAATATCATGTAAAAAAATAATGATGATGGAAACCAGAGCAGAAGGGAAATTTTTCAGGTGAAAGAATGCTTAGGGCCGTAAAGATGCTCCATTGATCGTAGTCGCAGTTGCCCAAAGACTGCGTGAGCGGACAATAGAACGGCGACCGCAATCTGTTTCCGTCGTCCTCGTACCAATTCCAAGATTAGCGCCTCTAGTTCTACTATGTTTGTATCGCCTTAAAAAACAGGAGCTCCTGTTAAAACAAACTAACTAGATGAAAAGTGTATAGCTATATTTCTAGTAGTTGCGAAAAGTGTATAGCTCTAGTTGTCTTTATCGAGCGCCTTACCAATTGTCCTGGCCCTGCCCGCTACCCCCTGCAGCATCCACCCACAGCTCTTGCTTCTCAAACCAGAGGGGAGCTAGGAGGCGCTCTCGCAGCCTTCGAGGACTGTCGGCGTAACCAAACTCGTTAATCCATGCATGCGATGGCTCGCGCCAAAGCCATGCGGACTCGTCTTTTATTTGGTGGAATTAGACACGACTATTAACTATGAAAGCTAAAAAAATTTAGCTACGGGTCTTAGTGTTATACAAAGTACAAAGCCACTCTGTTGGTTCGCGCCTTGTTCTACAACCCCTTCAAATTTCGAAGAAAGTCACGAGGACTGAAGTTCTCGAGATGAAGCGCCATACATCATATTGTCTCGGATGTCCTTGAGCCTGTCACGGAGGGTGGCTAGCTCATCTTCGCCTTCTGCAGTTGATGCTGCTGCGTCTCTACTGGTGGAAGACGTCGAGGCACCAAACCCGTTGCCCTCCTTTGCATGTTTGTGCTTCTCGGATGCACTACGCTGAAGATCCAACAGCTGCTGCTCTTCGTCGACACTGATCTCGAAACAACCAACGTAGAGCGAGGTGGAGAGCGTGTCACGGTTCGCGCCTGGTTGGCTCAGTGCCCGAATCTTTGGAACAATTAGAGCCCACCCGTGTCCATCCTGAGGCGCGCCTTGAGCCCCCTTCTCCCTTGAAAACGCGCCCAAGATGCTTCCGAGGATGGATTAGGGTGAGCCTTAAAACAAGAATGCTGCGCACGTACACACCAGCGACACTCCAGGGAGGGGCCTCCGCCAACACTTCACGATGCTCGCAGAGTTTCGTCTTATGCTGCACCGTTGGCGATTTTGCAACAATTTCGTCCACACAAAATGAAGCTGAAGATCATGATCACAGAAGGAATTCGAGTTGCAGACTCAAGGTGAAGATCCTGTTGACCACAAGAAGAATTATTACTGACGCAGACTCAGCGGGAAGCTGCAATTATATCGAATGAGGGCAATAATTGAGCCTGGTTCCTGTCTAACACTTTCTAGATAGCGGCTCTACTTTCCTACTTTCGACAATTTTTTAGCCTTGTCCATCATAAGTATTGGCCTGGTGATAGCACGTCCGGAAATTCTCCGAAAAGTTTTCGTTTGTCTTGAACTAAGTCCCCTCTATAAGCACCATAGTGATAGATCTGCAGCTTTTCGTCAAGAACGGGCGCTGGTTGTTGTACCTGATGAGTTTGGATATTGGGCAAGGTGCTGTCGTGTATTCGAGATGACGACGAGATCAAAGGAAGAAAAAGAAACATACATAGCTGAACTTTCGGTATCAACTTCACGACGCTCTTTTCATGTGCTTTGTTTCTAAGAAGGACTTACAACTTTATCAACCAAATCAAAAAAGTGCTAATCGTAGTCGGTAGTCGTAAGCAGGCAAATAAAAGTACTAGATCTGTCGACCTCGACGTGAGGACGCCCGATCCTGTGCCTGAGGTTGGTAGTGCTGGCCCTTCGCTGCTCTTTTCCTCATCTTCTTGGCTTTTCTGCTTATACCCGAATATTTCAGCCGCCTGGTCTTCCGTCTCGGCACAACGATCGCACCAAAATTGGGGAACTGTTTCCTTCGGAGGGAGTCGATCCACAGATTTTGCCATCTGCTTGACCTCATCGATGCTGGGGCTTCACATGAAAAAAAACTACAAGACGACTGATCTTTGTAGCCATGTTCATACTATGGACACAAGCACATCAAAGCACAGCATCTTATTCACAGTGAGACGCATAAATCTAAAACAAGAGGCGACAAAAAGGCTGCTCTATTAGGTAGACACGTCGATCTCGATCTAGATCTACTAGACATAGACATGACGTCGATCCAGATCTACTAATCGATCCACCATAAAAGGCTCACCGGTCATCCACGATATGTGCTGCAGGGCAAGTGTGTGCATTGCAGTGCCAAGATGATGCTTCCAGACTCGGTCTCGCCAAAGCGGATGAACAACGCCCAAATTTAGGTTACAAACGTGGCAGAAGGTTTCGCAATTGTGCCGAACCATGTGCAAATCACTTAGAGGTATCGCCGTATCTGTCTGCAGTGACGAAAAAAACTCCGCTACCCAAACTTTAGGCTCGAAGTTTCCGTCAGTCTGGAAGAGCTTCCGCAAGCATTGCAGCTCACGGCATGAGAATGGGACCGCATTCAAATACGCAAAGTGAATGAGGTCTAGGAAACTTTCGAGATATGTGTGAAAGTTGACACCGTCGAGGACGTTCCTGCGTGAACCTGCACGGGACGACGAAGCTCCCTCAGCTACTTCTGCTCCTGAAGCAACAACTCTCATGATGTTGTGGGCGCTGTTGTGGTTGTCTTCAGCTACAGCGGCCTCTGGATCTTGATGTTGATTTCGCACCCACCTTGACGCGATTGACTTCTTTCGTGCAGTTAGGTACTTTTTGGCCGCGATGATATCCGCTTCTGGTGGCTCTCGCTCGAGGCGGCTCATCACAGGGTCGCGAGAAAAAGTCACTAGTTCGTCCGCCCGAATAAAAACGACAACCGGCGTGTACAGAATCTCGCCATAAGCGCTTTCTCTGGTCGCCTTTCCTTCAGTTGTCCTAGTTTCGCCATGATGAACTGCTGAAGCATTCTCGCCGAAGCTGCCAGGCAAAAACTCTCTTTCACCCTCAGGAGCAGGCTGTTGCTCTTCCACATTTGTCGCGGCCGGTGAGGAGCAGGCTGTTGCTCTTCCACATTCTCGTGTTCCTACCACGTAGAATTCGCTCAGGAGTCGAACTCGTTCGTTATCGTTGTCGTTTGAAGAGTCCGTAATTGCGTGAGCAGCTAGAGGGGCGTCATTCTCGTCTTTTCCTTTGCGTACTTCTGCCCCCGCCTCTGGCGACAACAAACCACGAGCCCACGCCTCACTGATCGTTAGCCCAGTGCTTTTGCAAGTTTCTGCACTCCTGGAAGTTGGATCCTCTGCGGGTAGTTTTTCCACCACCTTCGCGACTTGCACGTCAAAGGCTGTATGAATTTTGTCCCGCCATGCAGAGAAGCGAGCGCGAAGCTTGGCGGTGTTGTAGAGAAGGCGCACTTTGACGATGGGATTGCGATCGAGCTCAAATGTTTTCATCCAGCGCTGGGAGTTGAACCCTGCGTGCCGCAGTTCTCGAGAGCGCTCCGTCGCTAGGGAAAGCATCACTTTCGGATGCGTCGCGCCGTACTTGTAACAAAACTCCTCACGGTTGGTGATCACCTCCAGCACGCGCCCAAAGTCTGGGACTTCGTTAGAGTCGTGCGAAGAGGTATTTTGATCCACATTCGTCGCTGCCATGACGAGGCTCGTGCTTTCTTCGTCTGCTGTAACAGTGTGCATCTTCTGGTCGCTATCCAGCGACGCTAATGATCCCTGTAGTTTATCAAGATTTTTGTGAACTGTTGCGCCAGCTGTAGAAGATGAGGACGACTGCGTGTCTGCTGGAGCTGTACCTGCCGCCAATAGATCTTCTTCGCGAACGTCCGCCAAGCGTACTATGTCGCCTACAATTGGCGCGCAATAAATGAACGGCCCACGAGGGCGCGGCAGAGTGCGTTCATTCGCTGGGACTGATCGTGGATTCAAGGGCGTGACGTATTCTACAGGCTGAGCGCTTAAAGAGTTCGCTTCTGTTACGCCAGCACTCTTGTTCGGCGTAGTCGAAGAACTGCTTGTACCTGGCTGAGAGCCATCGAGCAACAGGCCCGCTCCACCGCCTACTTCGGTAGGATTTGAGTTTTGCTGCTCATCTGACATCGTTGCAATAGCATTGCTGACTCTATCATCCTGAGGCGACGCATCAGGAGGCGTTGCGCTAGATGGCGAGCCCGATGCATCAAACGCGTCAACATCTTGCTGTTTTACAGCTTCAGGCTGAGAAGTTTCTTCCAGGGGCCTACTTTCGGCTATGGCTTGCGCATCATGTTCATCTGCACATTCCACCTCCATATCCACATCATTCCCTTGTTCTTGTCCCCCGTCTTCACCCTGTCCAGACGGCTCGCGTGCTTGGTCTTGCGCATCCCCATGAGCCTTTTCAACAGCACCTGTTGCAGTAGAAAAATCCAATGAGCCACGACTTGTTGTATCTTCCATTTTGAAAATCAAGCTTATTTCAACACCTTCCTCCTCTTCACATGCTTCCAAAGCTGCAACACCCATTTTCTCGGTTCTTTCACCAACATGATCACAACAAGAACCAGAAGCATCACCCACATCCAAAGAACTGCCAGCACTAGCTGCACGGTATTCGTTAGGAGTTGTAGTTACCTTAGAAGCTGCAGCTCCTGCAACTTCTTCTAAGTTTTTCATCTCCTCCACGTCTTGCCGTTGAGAAGTTCCATCGTTCTTTCTTTCACCAACATGTTGAGCTGTGTCGAGCGAAGCGGTCGCGACCGGGAGCATGACTGCGTCACCCTTGACTTCCGTAGTTGTTGTACAAAATAGCGGTGTACAACCCTGAGGATCATCCCCTTCCTCAACATTGGTCCTCGTTGCTTCCGGCACCTTACTAGATTCATCAGACGTGGTCTCCATAATAATGTCATCTTTCTGGTCTTCATCACCATCTTCATAATGATTATAGTTATGCGCCTGCTCGTCCATGTCTACGGTATCCACCTCATTTTTAGCATTACGGATGGCCCCCATCTCGTCCCGACCGCCTTTCGTCACCTGTGGTCCATGATCTGCGAGAATGAGATCGCCCGTCTGTTCGTCGTCCGTTCTTGTGGTTGTTCTACTTCTATCCCCGACGATCTTCATGCAAGTAGTGTCAGACCACGGGGCAGCAAATTGTGCCGCACCTTTATTGACTTGTTCTCGATCTTGCTGTTCCAAAAGGGTCGAAGCTGCTGCCGGCTCCGACGTTTCAGAAGAAGACAGGGGAGAGCGCGTCGGAGAAGCAGAAGTGGCACTGACAGAGTTTGAACTTTCCCGAAGTTGCTTTTTGTTCTCAGTTTCCTCCGTAGGGCCTGGCTGACCTGCAGTTGGTGACACAGACGGGAGCGGCCGCCCAGCGGGAATCGATGTAGTGGCCTCCATTATCAATCATGTAAGTAAGTAGTTGTAGTTAGTCAGTGGAGAATGTTATCACATCATCTTACTCGTGGTCTTCGAATCGAGGATGAGACTCCTGCTGTTGATGCTTGCTCTTGCTGCATGTTTACATATTAAAATGTACTCATTTGATGTTAAGGAAACTAGTGTCGTCTGGTCTTCAGTTTTAAGGAGTATAGAAATGAGAATTTATTATGGAGTATGGGAAAGGGACTGAGTTGTCTTGAGACTCTCTCTACTTTCACTAATAGGATTACATGATGAAAATATTGTTTTTTGCAGAATTCAAATACAACTCGAGCTACTTAGCATGATTATAAGTCTCAAAAAAAGAACCACAAACAACCAAAAGTCACTGTAATATGTGGTGCGAAACCTCAAATACATTTAGGGACCAAGGTCAAGTTCCTGGCACTTTTACTATGCTGCAACTACTAAGTTAGACCAAGGTAGAGATCTCGGCTAAAATTCTTGACGCCCACACTGTTTGGGTATTACAAGGATCAGAAACCGAGTGCAGCTGAAGCAAAGCAAGAACAAGTACTGCAGTAGAAGCAGATCGAATCAATTCAAATCGAAGAAGGCGACAAGCACGAGGGGGAGGCGATCACCAGGCTGATGTGAATGTTGCTCTTCTGAGTGCAGTGCTGTATATATATTTATATTTATTATAACAGTCTGATGATGATGAAAATGTAAAGACTACAACATTCAAACCAACGACACAGCAATTGGATGGGTATTCCAAGCGCGTCAGCCTTCAACATCGAGGAGCACCAGAAAAGGTCTCCGTCATAGGCTATGACACGAAACTACGTACAAGTGGAATTACTTACTAGCCTCCTTGTGTACGTAAGTATAATGCTGTTCTTAGAACACGACAACGAAAATAGGCGACTATTTTGCGTTCTAGAAGCAGGAGACTTCCAGATGAATTGTGTTGAATTGTGCAGCTTGCAGGAAGATGGAATTCATCGTGTTGAGGAGAAATTTCTAGAAAAAGCAGCTCGAACAATCCGAATGCTTCACATTTTGGCAAGCAGTGCCAGTTGCTAGACGTCCGTGCAAGTTTTTGCATCAAATAACTTTAAAGCCAAAGAGTGTAAGGAATCAATTGATTTAACACTTGCATCAAATAAAGAACGCTCTTCTAGAAGTTGTACAAGAACTTACTACATCAACTTTCCCGTCATGCGGACGTAGTGCGTCCAGTTTTGCTCACGCGATGTTGCGATGGCCTCGGGTCCCAAAACTGCCGTTCGACACGCGCTTTTTCCAGTGCTAGAAGCATATTATCCGCAATTATGTCACTACAACGACAAGACGTGGAGCTGTTTGTGACGTGATTTTTGCTCTCTTGCTCCTCATCTTCATCTTGTTTTCGTGCTGCGCTAAAACCGCTGCTTTTCGTCTCCATCCTTCTATCGACAAGTTTCGTTTGCTTTCGCAATCGCTGGCGCACTTGAGGTGAAATTCGTCGCTGGAGCACGAGGTCGTCGAGAAGATTCAGCTGTTCTTCTTCGCTCCTTTCCGGCACGCGGAGTGGAGGGTGCTCGTCGTCCGAGACTCCGCTCAAGCGCAAGTAAGATACACTAAAACTGCGAGAAAGGGTCGCGGCAATCGGCACAATCAGTAGGGGCACCCCACGCGCGTACACGCGAAACGTGAAGATATTCTCGTTATCGTAGAAACCAAAGATATTAGAACTGAGAATAGAATTACAAGAACCTCTAGTAACACCAGCCTGAGTACGTAGACTACCACAAGTAGACTGAGTTGTACGATGAAAAAACCTTGCAGAAGAATACTCCTCAACACCCACGACATAAGTTGTACTTCAACTTCTTACCCGCTCACTCAGAGTAAGATGCTGAAGTCCTCATCTACTTTGATTCTCACTCTCCTCGTAGTCGTACGACCTCTAACTTGATGAAAGAAACTGCAAGTGCAAGTCGCCTGCCAACATAAAAGGATGCAGCTGGTCGTATATTTTCTCGGGAAAGGACAGTCCACGAGTCGAAACGTAAGGCAGAGGCAGACGCGGATCCGATGCAGGAAGCGATGAAGTCGAGTGTTGAGCGCGTAGGATTACGTTCCGTTTCCGCATGTAGTACCCTGTGTGGGATAGGACAGGTTCGCACTTCTCTAGAGCAAAGTGTGGTCCGCGTGGCCCAAACATGGCAGTGCTAGCTTTGCTTCTCGTCGAACTTGTTAAGAACGTCTTCGCATCTTCTTCTGGAGGACCTAGTCGTATTTCTGTCCGATTCCAATCTCGCATCAGATGGTCCGGTGCCATCCTCTCTAGAGTTGTGCCTAATGCTAATCGCTTACGACGTCCGTCGAAGAGACCAAACAACGGCAAGGAGGATGTCTTGTCCGCCTCGTCATCAGAGGAACAATGTTGATCTTCGACGTAGTTCTCGGTCTTTGACGAGGTGCCAGTCAAACAAGCAGATTCTTTCGCGTCGAATACGATTCGTAGAACCTCAACCTCCGTGGCCGATTTTCCGTTCACCTTGTTGTTGCTCTCGTCTTCATTCATCGCCGTACTTGCAGCCACATTCATCACAATCTCAAGATTCCGGGAAGAGCGCGACGGCTTGTTGACTGAAATCGCCTTAGGGAGAAGCGAGCGCGGCATTGCTGAGTATGAGTGTGACTGTGACTCATCACCATCTGTGTCTGTTTCGTCAACAAGCAGGTTTCTTTCAGAAATAACGGCAGAGACAGCACGCAACCGCAAGGATTGCGCATCGATAATGTGGCCATCAATTTGCAGTTTTCGAGACTCCTCAAGCGATCGGAATGCTGAGTGCTCCGCTTCCCACAGAGGACGTAGACCTAGTTCGAACGGCGCCGTGTCTTCTGTCGTGCTAGAAGATGAAGCCGGCGCGGTATTCGATACTGATGTGCTGGACGCAGGTGTTTTCGTCAACATCATGCTGGCTGAAGTATCTGCTGAATCTGTATCTGTTGCTGAGTCAGAAGTACCTAATATGTCGTCATGATCAGCTCTACCAACATTTGGACTACTTGACCATTTTCTTCTTTTCTTTTGGCGCCAATATTCACGTTCGGTTTTTCTAGTGTCACGTCTGTTCCATGGCGTATTCCAGCGTCCGTCTAAGAAGATGGCATCTGCTAGGCCGTCTGGTGCCAGAAAAATTTGATCGTCCGCTATTGCACACATTGGCACCTGCCACTCCCGCAAATAGGCACGAAAACGATCATGCATCCTTGTGATCACTTCTCGTCCTGGTTGCTCAATTTCTGCTTGTTCCGGCGGAGCAAGACGTCGAGCAGCTCGTAGTTGATTATCTCTTACGACTTGAGCTTCATCTTGAGCAGCAGCTCTAGTAGTTCTTTCCGTCTGGTGTTGCCTTTCCTGCAGTAGTCGCAAGCGTCGCTCGTCCCAAGCCATTTCTTCTTTGGCATAGGCCGCAGAAAAAAAACCGGGAACGCGACATGCGAATTCGGACCCTAGCTCTCGCGCCCTCTTGTCAGCATCGCATCGGTTCGCGGCGAGCAGTGGCGTAACGTCTTCGTACCATTCTGGCGTCGTCGAAATCATTCCCGATGCTCGGACGGTTACACGATCAAGCGGCAGCAAGCTCACCTCCGGGAAGTCTCCTCGCAAGACAAGGTCAGGACGGAGACGGAGAAAGTGAGAAAACCCTGTCGTGGTGTTCTTCGTAGAACCAGATCCAGATCGTCCTCCTCCTGACTCGTTAGACTGCTCGTTAGATGAATTAGAAGTCGCGTGGAACTCACCAGAAGCCGAAATGAGATGCTCCGCTTCAAACTGACGCACAGCGCGAAAACACATATCGAGCTTTTCGAATTGGCCATCGAAAATCGGGAGTTGGATATGTTCCTGAAGTTCTTCAAATGAAGTCATTACGGCTTCATCTTCGTCTTCACCTCTACTAGAGGAAGAGGGACTGGACCGCATGTGCGAAGAAACGTCAGGTTGTTGAGCACTCGACAAGAGCGCAGCGTTATTTTTCCATCCCCCTTGAGCGAACCGAACGATTATGACCTCCGTGGAGCTAGTGGAAGACGGTAAGTCGAAGTCCTCTTCTACCAAGTGCTTGTACCAGTATAGCATTTCTGCTTCAGACGCAGATAACACTCGCAAAGTAGAAGTTCTTGATGCTCCTGACCCGCTAGTATCTTTATCCTCATCTACAAGTTCCTCCAGTTCTGGCGTTTCGCAAAGGAAAACGAATATCCTGCTAAAATTCTCGGCAAGCGTCGGCAAAAGCAGGCGGCGCATGCGCGCGCCGACCGACCATATTTTTTCGTAATCGAAGACTTGCCCGCGAGTTCTCTGTCCTTCAGTCCTCTCATCGATGTTGTCATGAACGAACCGCTTCTCCTCATAGCCGCAGATGAGAAGGGCAATACTCCTCCTCTCAGTCCTCCTCGTAACAGTCGTGGGTGATGCAGTTCGGTTCTCACTTCCCAAATACGGCCCCCAGAGACCATGTGCACGCTGCAAATGCGACCGGGTGCGACTCCCTGCACGGGAAGATGAGACAAGAACAGAAGTTCCATTTCCAACATGATCGTCCTGATGTTGCTCTGCTGTAGTTACACGGGATGTTGAGACAAGAACTGAAGTTCCAACATCGTGCTCTCCTGCTCGTAACAGCTGCTGCGAAAAAGACACTCGCGAAGACGAATTAGTGTCTGCAGAGGTTATTATTTGTGTGGCAGGAGACCGAGACGTCGATTCTACTCCGCCACCAGCGTAATTATCCGACGTGGTGCATACAGATTCGTGTTCCGATCTGGCGGCTCCTGACGCTTGCGACAAGCCGTTTGCTCGTCTCTTTGTGCCAGAATCATCTGCCCGTCTCCACAGCAACGAAGATCGCAAGCTACTGTGATAGTAGTACCACAGAGGCAGCTCATCGCGGGACGCAATGGTATGACCTTCCCCATAGATTTTGGCAACATTCTCTGGGTCAACTACAGTATTCGTCGGGGATAAAGAAGTACTAGAAGACCCATTGTCGTAGGAACAGACGCCTTCTAAGAATACTAGCACCGCAAGGACAACAAGTAGGGACCACGACGATAAGATGAACATTAAGAACAAACTGCGAAGAACTCCAAATATTCTACTTCTTCAAGGTTCTACTTCTAGGCATGAGCCATGACGATACGGAAAAACTGATGTGATGATGTCAACATATTGTTCTATTGCTTTTCACCACTCTCAAAGGACCGACAACACATGATAACGTCGATGTTGAGCGTGTAATGATATACTTTTTTAGGATAGGATAGGAGTAGGCTCACTTATGACGGAGTGAGCGTATAGGCTGGATGTGCAGAGGGTTGAGATTCAGTGGTCTGCGGTTGTGCCTATTTTTCGTCGTCAATTTCGTCACGGTCACTTGCCGGGGGCTTCAATTCAAAGTAGAGTAATTGGCGACCGACAGTGAGTCCTTCTTTTCATGATCTTGATTTGTTGTATCTATTGAAACGAGTTCGCTCTTATTTCAACAGCATCAATTTCATCATCATCATCATCAAGGTCCTTCTCTACCTTCAGCAAGACAAAACAGCTCCTGAAGTGACCATTAAGGTTGACCGAGAAAGCGTGAGCCTATTAAGGGGATGAAAAATCAGTCACTTGCCGATCTCACACGTGAGGGGGTGACCGCAGATACAACGCGTCCGAGTTGCATCAAATTAATAATCTAAGCTAAGTGCTCGAGATCGAGGAACGACTTTGGACGAGTGTCCATAAACTTCGCGTCGCCCAAACCAGAAGAGCCAGCGATACCGTAACATCCGTGAGGATCAACGGGCCATCAGGAGACGTAATTTTCTGTTTTCAATGACCTAACAAAAACCCCGTGTCACCCAACAGGGTCAACGGAACGTCAGCTGCAACGCTTGCAGTGACGTGGCCAGATTGGCATTTTGGGGAGTGTCCTGCTGTGAGGGCCTGTCATTTTCTTCCAAACATCATCAACAGGTCTACTGACTCAACTATTCGCATCTTGTTGCTCTTGATTTTGAAATTGTTTTTGTTATTGATCTTTCAGAAAAATTCTTCATCATTATCTATCATTTTTTAATATAATGTCCACACTTTCTTCACCCAAAGCAGCTTCAACAATTTCAACAATCTCGTGACTCACCACCACTTCACAGTTTTCACCACCAATTTCAACTATGTCGTGATTCTATCTACAGATACTCGACAGGCGAAAATTACAAATTTCTCTAGTGCAATTCACAAGCCTAGTTTCTTCAACGCGAGGCGATGAGAGTTGGATAATTGAGCAGGAATTCACACATCAAAGGAATAAACTGTTGGCGTGGAGCAGACCTAACGAGAAAAAAGAAAAACCAGAGGAAGATAGAAAAGCGAAAAGGGTAGTTATTGTTATCATCAAGTAAGCGCCTATCTGCTAAAACTCAGCAAGCCCCGGCGCTATCGTCGTCCTGTCAGCCCCTTAGGTCTCGCCTTCGAAGGCAGGCCGAAGCCCTGCGCAACGCCTCCGGCGAGTGCTCAGCTCTCTGGTTGTGTGCACAGGTATATTCGGTATGGGATACCGGTTCACCAAATAAGGAACAAATATATACCACGTCCAGTTACTACTTGTTGTTGATGTACTTGATGAAAAAAAAACACTTACTTCCTTTGCATTGTGCATGAGACTCTGATTACAGTGCCCTCGACGACGTACTTGTCGTCATCAGCCTACGGTGTCGTGCTTGTTGGAAATATTGCATAACCATATAATTGCGATTCGTTGATGTTAATAAACTGTGTTCTACTTCTATCATCATCTTCAAACTGAATCTAATGAAGAACATCTTCTACAATATCATCAAGGTGTTGATATTTGCTCAAATATCATAGGACAACCGGATCTAGCACGCTCACTTAGGTGTTTCTCGCAACCTAGGTAAGGGCGAATAGAGTTGCTCCTCACCATTCCACAATGCGAGGTCGCTAGCCACGCGTGGCAACAGCCCTTCTGGTGTCCTCAGTGACGGCATAATCTCTCGTCTCGCGTCTAAGTATTTCTTCGGAGTTTTCTTCTTCGGCGACTGGAACGAGGAAGACTTTACCGTGATTTAGATGACCTTACAACTTATATTCATCTTGAACTTGAAGCGCATCTTTAACTTACAACTTTTCCCCTTGCAAGGACGTGAGAGATGCCTCTTACTTAAGCTTAATAAGATGAATTAAGGTAAGCCTTAAGTAATGTTGTTCTTGTTGCTCAAGGAAGGGAGGAAGTCATGATTATCATGCTGATTGTTGTACCCACTTCTACTTCTGAAGATGTTAATATCATGATCTTTCGTTGTCTGTTGAGTGTGCAGCTCGTCGTGGTTTTCAATTTCTCCATCGCGGCCTGGCTGCATATGCATGATCGATGATGGACTATGCAACTGCAAAGAGCCGTCTAAAAACCTACCACGAGGTGTGACTGCTATCTTGTGGTTTGCTGCTATCTGATATTTTGTCGAGGTCTGTCTTCGGACAGCACTTGCTCTACTTGCATTTGCTGCAGCTCCACCTCCAGGTCCAGCAGGTGAGCCTGATCCACGGCTGCTGCTCAAAGCTGCGACTAGGAGGATGGTTTCCCGGGAGAAGAAAAGACAAAGGCAGTTTTCCGCAGCGACTGCTTTGAGCGCAATATCCTTTTCCGCGGCTGCAGCATAGAGCCCCCCTCGGCTACTGCCCTTCGCGGTCGTCACCTTCGGCTGCAGCTGGTGATATTCACTAGAGGAAGAGCCCGAACCTTCGCAACTGGACAGGCTGTTGTAATAGTTTGATTTGTCATCACCGGTGGACAGGCTGTTGTAATAGTTTGATTTTTAGCGTGGCAGTGGCTAGCCGTGCCTAGTTTTTACTTTTAGAATAACTGGTGTACAAATGTACTCAGGAGTTGCAATCGGCAATGAAAAGATGCGGTACCTTGGGTGCGGAGCAGGTACGAGGGAGGCATCGTTTGTTGAAGGGTTCCACTCACTTTCATCAGCTTCAGTCGATCCCGTGGTCGAAGCAGCATCCATTGCACCAGTAAAAGCCTTGTTTTCTGTGCAGAAAAGATTATAACACAAAGTCGGTTGGTCCAATAATGATCAAGACAAATGCTGGAGAAGGATCAAGACACATGCTACCTGATCTAATGATCATGTTGAAGAAGAAAAGAAAGTGAAGAAAGTCGATAAAAAGGTACTAGTCCATCTCCTTACATCATTGTGCGCAGTTGCACTACTTGCAGTTGTTGCAAGTAAGTAGAGCTAAAAAAATTCATTTTTATGACAATATCCATAAAAATCAAAAGTACCAGGAAAAATTGTCCTCAGTAGCTTGCAAAATCCCATAGTTAGGAGTCGGGTATCGATAGTCTTCAACGGGATTACGTCATCCACGAATAACCGCACACTACCTTGTAGTACGAGGCAAAAATGCGTGTCCGTTGGACTCCATAGTGGTTCCCCTGCGAGTGCGGTGCGCTGCTCTGCCCCGTTCAACAAAATTCGGCTTACAGAAGTTTTAGAGTTTAATAGTATAGTATGAGCTGCGTCTTCATCAAGAATCTTCAAGATAACCACGACCACGACTACGCAGTCTACGTACCAGGGCTTTATTAAAGATTTCTGTACTTACTTAAGAAGTTTTCTTCATCTGAGTAATCCACACTCTACAAACTGGAGGACCTGCCATAATTTCTGAGGCGATGAGTTCTTCGCAGAGTAGTCGTAATGCGGGTACATCTCGCAGTACCCACGCCAACGGGTGCGACGTCGGGATCATATTTTTACCAGAACAAGGTGGTGGGTCGCGATCAGTTGTTTGCGCAGCTCCTCGCTCAGCTCCTGCTTGTTGTGATCTTCCTTCTACCTGTTGGGGTCGTACAGATGCAAAGGAGCCAGTACTCGCGGCCTCTACCTGGGGTCGTACAGATGCAAAGCCAGTACTCGCGGCCTCTTCGAGTCCTGCACCGCTAAAAATGTCCGTTAGATCGAAAGGGCAGTAGAGTTCCAAAGCTGGCAAGACGCAATGGTACAGAAGGCGATGTAGCGAAGCAACGTGAAGCACGTAGCAGATGCAAAGTGCTGTAATCGTATAAGGCGCCGCATGAAGCGAAAAAGTGCACTCACACTCAAGAAGAAATTGGCTAGGATTTAAGTGGGAAAATAGCCACTTTTTTTGAGTGTGAGTGCACTTTTTTCTTTCATACGCCGCTGCAGCCTCTTTGGAGGTGCTTACAACTTGCCTTTCTGCTCCTGGTGTTGAAACAACTTGTACTTGTTGTGGTCCTTCAGATCCGTTTTTAGAAGGACTACTACTTGTTCTACTAGGTCGTGAAGTAGTTGGTGAACCAAAAAGATCTTCTTTAGCTGCATAGCCGTCCTTGTCCTTAGATCCTGCAGAAAAACAGTTGTCGACTACTACCCAGGTGTACGAAAGCGTTGTACCTGTGCAGCTGACGTCGTGGTTGCGTGTATTGTTGTTTTTGGAAAGAATAAAAACGAATATTTGATAAACCGAAGAAATAAGCGACGAGTAACTACTTAAACTTAAAATAAGCGAGATACTGAACAAGAGAGAGTGGCCATGGCCTTGATGCTAAGCTACCTCCCTCATTTCAGTCAGTGACTCGGTTATTTTCAGCTTTCGAATACAACGAGATGATGGATTTTTGATACTGAGCAATTTATCCGGATCATGAAGCCGCGGTCGGAACAACATGTTGACAAAGAGACAACTTGAACTGCAAGAGGTCTACTCTAGGTAATGGAAAAAAATTTCAATTGTATACGAGGCGAAGATAACGGCGAAGAGCCATGTGGCGGTTCTTCTGCTCTATTGAAGGCCGCTCCATCTCTAGAATCGATGCAGTTAGCTGGTGCGTACAGAAACGCAATATTCGCGCCAATCTTCTCGTTTGCTGCGAAGACAAGCTCCGTCAGGCCTGAGCCATGCGTTGCCTGCTCGTTTTGCAGTCGCGAGAAAATATCCCTGTAGAGAAGCGCTTTCAAGTCAAGGGATTAGAAAGTGGTGCTACATCAGCTTCAATCGCTCTGAAAAGGTAATTAAACAAGGTCGTGTTGATGGTGCATAATTATTAGATATGCAATAAAGATTAACATTAACATAGTACTAGGTCGTCCCACGTGCCAGTATGCTCATAACAAATACAAGTTGTTGCTCTGACTTGCATCTGAACCTCCAGCAACCCGAGAGCGAGACTTTATATCTCATCTACTAAGTACTTCATGATCATCTTCATCTTGTTCTGGATCTATTCTTCATAACGTAGACTGAGCTGTGGACTTGTATCGGGTTCGTCTAGGCCTCGCATATCTCGAATCGCGTCAAGTACATCATCGTCCGATCCCCGATCCGACCCCCGACGCAGCTTGACGACGCGACGTGCCATTGTCACTGCTTGTCGGTAGCTCTGCTCCGTTATCACAGGCCCCAACTCATCTTGCAGAGATCCAACATGAAGAACAAGGGACAACGTCGATGAAAAGTAGAACTAAAAAATCTAAATCTTCTAAAGAACTTGTTCTACTTTTTCTTGAAAAAACTAGTAGAAAGGTTATGATAGACCACTCCAAGATGCAAGTAAGTACTAGATGACCTAGAACATACAATTACAAGGTGCTGTAAAAGATAAAAATAAGCAACATAGCTGTAGTATCCGGCAAGCCTCCCAGACAGCCGCGCGACTGCGGTTCTTGCAATGGCTTCCCGTATTCTGTGCGCCCCATCTGCCTCTCTGTGCGCCACATCTGTCAGACCACCTCCACCTCCTCCTCCCGCGGGACCCCCGTTTTTGATCGATTCCACATCCATCAGACCACCTCCACCCCCTGATGCAAATAACGAGCTGATTCGCGGCGCTCGACTGCTCAGCCTTGGCGGTGGACTAGCAGTCGTAATCGTGCCTCGGGACGGAGAGTAAATCGTTGTCCGTGCTGCTTTGTTTGCGGAATCTGGGGAAAAACCTCCGAGGTAAGTTCGTTTTCTGGGCGAGCTCGACAAGGACACTGGTCGTCCTCTTCCTGGAGTAGACCCGTTCGGACGACCGGATGCCTGAAGGACCACCAGATGAAATTGAATTGGAAGCATTTTAGACTACTAACCCCGTGTTGGGATTTGTCTTTGTGGGTGAAAAAGTTTGCTAATACTACTTAGGTTATATAAGTGTTACTTTAGTAAGTCGTAGATAGTTTAAGCTAGGCGCCAGATAAGTTCCTGTCAACCCTAGAGGTCTTCTCATCATTGACACTGGTCGTCCTCTTCCTGGAGTAGACCCGTTTGGACGACCGGATGCCTGAAGGACCACCAGATGAAATTGAATTGGAAGCATTTTAGACTACTAACCCCGTGTTGGAATTTGTGGGTGAAAAAGTTTGCTAATACTACTTAGGTTTTATAAGTGTTACTTTAGTAAGTCGTAGATAGTTTAAGCTAGGCGCCAGATAAGTTCCTGTCAACCCTAGAGGTCTTCTCATCATTGACACTGGTCGTCCTCTTCCTGGAGTAGACCCGTTTGGACGACCGGATGCCTGAAGAACATTGATGTTATTGCTTAGTACCCCGCCTACTTTCTGCACTCCAGAATGCTGCAAGCAAGCATTCTGCACCCACGAAAGCGCTTGCTGTCGAAGAAAGGCCTTGATTTTCGGACAATCTTCAAGGGCACGGCTCAGCACCGATCGATGGACCACGGCAAGGTCGAAGAATGAGAATGGGGAATATGTCGAGAGGGCTCAGTATCATCTTCATCGGTTGAATACAACTACAGTACTAGTAGACCACTCTCTAGTAAGTACTAGTAGTAGCCAGACAGTGCCATACACAAAGAGAGTCGCAGACTGCGCCAGTCGTTCGCCCTGACGAAAGACCCAGGACCCTCAGCTCACCCAGCAGCTCACCTTCTCCCAGCGTAGCCACTGCTTCATTGTTCACGGTCACGCGGACTCGGCCTCGCAGAATGACGTAGAGCGCGTTTTTGTCAACAGTAGATGAAGATGTAGATGTTGGGTTGCTGTAGGAACTTGTTCTAGAATTAGACCGCTCCCCTATTCATCCCTGTCGTGGAAATCCCTCAAGAATATGCGTCAGTTGTATCTCCGTTGTTGTATTGGGGTGCATATGCTTGAGGGATGTCTATAGTAGAGATGGATTAGGGACAGCCTTAATAGAAGAGTTGTGTTGAATCAAGCGCACCGTAGACCTTTTCTGGCCACGACTCGCACTAGAGCTACTGCCCCCCTTCCTCTTGTTGTGGCTAGATGAACCGGCACTGGTAGTTGTGGACGGGATATGTTCAACATCCGGAGGAGCACCAGCAAACGAGACGACACTAGTACCAGTGAATTTGTTATTGGTCCTGGTCACACGAGATTTTACAACTGCATGCCGTTCTTCCACAAAGAGCACCATACCTGAATATCCAAACTTTCGTTCTTTGTAGAGATCCAAAATATAGCAGAATCGGGCCAATTCGTCCTCAACCACCGCCTGTTCCTCAGGATCGTGGGCGCAGCTCTGCCGCAGCTGTCCGACGAACTTCAGCTGGCTCAACAGTGCAGTCATGTCCGGCAAAGCTTGTAATGTCTTCACTAGCACGCGTTCGAAGCGCTCTCGCTCCGCCGGAAAGCGGGCTAGCAGCGACGTGAGGGCGCTTCGCGTCAGCGTTTGCACCCAGGTTACCGTCTGTGCGGTCAAACCACAGAAACCTGGCCTCATCGTGCTATTCGTGCTGCGTGGCAGCAAAAGCTCAACCTCACCGTGAGCATCACCGTCTTGAAGGACGCGGACGCTTTGCCCGCAAATCGCAACTTGCAGAATACCCGTGAGAACTACGATGAGCTTTGGTTCGTGACTGCCGTGCCTGTTTTTAGACGAAGTCGTGGCGCAGCAGGAGCTGCATCGAAAATATGATAATCTCTAATCATTATAACATGATTTAAAGGTCAGCAGTCAGTGGTCACTGATTCTGAAAGAAAAGGGGCCCCATGCCCCTCAGTGACTAACCTCAATGACCAATGAAAGTTGAGCCTTAAATGATCGTCTAAAAAATACGTGATGCATTGAGATTGACTCGTTCTTGTGGTCCTCCTGTAATTAGAAGTGTTATGTTCAGCAAAAGCAAGCTCTTACTATATTAGACCCAGATTTTCCATTCTCGCGCCTTAGCATTAGGTGCTGTAAGTGGTACAGGGTGGTCACTCAGGTATACTTCAGGTCGCAGCCTACGGAGGAGGGCTTCCCTGAATTCAAAACTGGTACCCTGAAACGCAGGCATCGAAAAAAGGGGATTGTCAGCATGCTGGGGCAGCCACCCTGAATGCTTGGCTGTTGTGCGTCGCGCAGGTTTATTTGTCCTAGTTTGTCTCGAAGAACTACTAGGAGAGCTAGAAGAGGACGCGCACGCGCTAGACTTAGTCTTACTTCTGTCTCTGTCTCTGTGGTCCTCTACTTTTTTGGAGATCCTAGATGTTCGCTTGCGTTGGATAAGAGTGTCGACCTCTTCAAGTAAAGTGGTAGTGCGCCCAGGAGGCAGAGGCTTGTGGTCGTTTTCGTTCTGATGCTCGAGGACGCTATTCGTATTCCTCGTCTGGAGATCATTTTTATGATTTTTAATATGGTCCCCGCCCTGTTTCCTTCCGTCTGCTTCTTTTTCTGCGTGGTCGTCTTTGTCATCCTCGAAGTCACCATCCTCGTCATCGTCTTCGCCATCTTCGTCATCTGTTGTTTCCTCAACGATGGAAATGCCTTGCAGCTCGGTTAGCTTGCGTCCTGAAGGCACGCCATCTTTGATCTCCTCATCTTCTTCTTCGTCACTCCAATTGTCTCTATTATCGAAGACTACTGTTGAACCGCGTCTCGTCGTTATCCGTGTCATTTTCAGTTGCGATGTCTTCTTCTTGAAGATTGACTCGTTTCCACCATTGTTCGTCGCAGTCGCTCTGCCAGAAGTGGGCGAAATAATCGCAGAGGAAGAAGATGCTGCTCCTTGTTCCACCTGAGTTCCACTTGCGGCACCACTAGTGTTCGCGTTGATATTTTTCTGCGCATTGACATCAACGTTGATGTCCTGCCCAACTTCTGAAGCTTGGCGGCCGACATCATCTACACCTCCGAAATGAGGAGTTTTCGACGAGGAGGCGGAGGAGATATTTCCTCCAGCGTTTATACCTAGAAGTGCTACTTCTCCTGCTTCTTCAGGCCTCCTCTCGTCCTGTACTAGGGCATGTCCTTGTCCTTGACCCCCACGACCATTAGCTAAGATTTTCGCCTGGATAATTCGACGACCTATTTGTTCGAGGCGGAGCCAACCGGAACGATGGAGTGGGAGCCGGTGCAAGGCGTCCTTCTCGATGTACTTCTCGAGCACAGTACGACGCAACAGGTAGCACGCACAGAAGTCCTCCGCGATAACGGTTGTCACGAATTTACCTACCGTGAAATCAGGATTTTTGAGGATCAAATTCTCCCGTTCTTGTAAATTGCATTTTCATCTTCAATTAGCAGTGCGTGTTCTTGGGCCCCCATTTTGAGTTTGAGAACCACTATGATGTATTGAGCAAATAACAGTATGCACTAGTTGAGGTAACACATCAGTAGACCTTTACTTATCAAAAATGGAAAAGTATTGAGCAAATATTAAAGTCTAAGAAGTACTGCTAACGGCTAGCGCACAGAGTTCGCCGAAGTAGGATCCGTCTTGGAGCTCCTGGACCACCACGCCTCTCGAATAAGCGATGGCTTTCCCTAGTCGCAGGAAGACCATGTGGTCGCCGGTGGTGTCCTCTTGACAGAGTATGTCTCCAGGACTGTAGATGCGTTTTTGTAAGCTATTTTCTAATCGATAGACTATATCTTGCGCCATGGTCGCAAGGCTACTGGCGTTCGTGCTCCCCGTAGGACGTCCTGATAGTGTCGGTTCCACCGCAAGAAGTGCGCCTGTAGTACTGCTGCCGAAACCTGCTCCCCCGCTTCTACTTCTCGGTGAAGAAGATACTGGTCCTCGTACCTTGTTCGTACTACTAGCTCTAGTACTCCGAGAAGTGTCTTCGCCAGGTGGCTGTAAAGCATCAGAAATATGCCTCTGGAATCCTGGGATCGCCTGATTCAAGTGAAATGGCGTCGACCGGATTAAATTCTCGAAATTTATCTCCCCCATCAACTGAAAAGAGTCGTACTCATCTGGAAACTTTGCAGTCAGCAAGTCCCATAAGTCATCACGCAATACGACAAATATTAGAATGATCAGAATCTTCTACTAGGATAAGATTAAGAAGTAGTTGTTGCAACTACTTGTATCTATCTAGTTGTACCTCGTGATGTACTTCCTATTTAATACAGTCCATGAATAAACTTTGATCTTGTACTTGATGACCTGGAGGCGGATTTTGTTTTTGATACATTTTCAAACCACAAGTCATAAAAGTAGTTCGCATCCACTCTTGTTCTCTAAGTCAGAGGCGTCGTTCAGCTGTGACGTCGCACAGGCACGGACTGTCGCTGTTCGTTTTCGAGATATGCCTAGAACTGCCAGTTCTCCCACTATTTCACCTTCGAGGAGCTTTTTCACGACTTCAACGTTGTTAGACGATGTTGAATTGCTGCTAGAGCTAGCACCTGGATTACTAGCGTCGTTGTCAGCTGCATTTGTTGACGAACTTGTAGTTGTAGCTCCTCCCGAGGTAGCAGCTCCGGTTGAGACGTCGGAAAACAAACCGACTACATCGGAGCCACGACCTGTTATCGAGGAAGATAGTGTTCTGATATCTCTATCTGATCCCGCTGTTGTTCCATGATCGTTTGATATTGAAGATGTTGTCCTTATGATCGAAGTTGCTGCTGCTCTAGCCTGTGTCGAAACCTCGATTTGCACGCTTCCCCGGTAAACGATGCACATGGAATTGCCATTCGTATCGCCCTCTCGGAATATGATTTCGCCTGCGGGAAACCGCTTGCGGACTATGCGTGCACTGAGCCGGTAAACGAATTCTAAGCGGCATGCTTCAGTTAAAGGTAGTCACTTAAATGAGTGTCAGTATCAATCTGAGTCTCTGAGTGGATCACTCCCGTCTTCCGCACTCCCGTCTTCCGACTCAGGTAGATACAACTCCACTCACACCCGAGCCAGGTAGTGAGAGTGGTGCCTCATCTGATTCTCTGTCATGTGTATGCCCCTGTTAGTGGCATTCCTAACACGACCCGTAGAGTTTTTTTTTGCGTTAGGACTATATCTATGCTACCACCCTTTCAATCAATTAATTAACCTATATAAGATCATCCAAATTACATACTGGGGGCGCATAAGACCGTACAATCGGCCGTAGAGACCTGACAATAAACTGTGATTGTGCCTGACAATAAACCTTAATTCAAAGAACGGCAGACGTCTCAGCTCGTGCACCATCCGGGCCATCTCTTCCACCCGCTTTTGCACAGTAGCATCCACCGTGCTGACCAAGTGATTGTACGGAATGAAGGCGACCACGACCGGTTCTTCGCTTATCGCGATCGCAGTCACTGAGCGCCGTTCGTCGTAAAAGCCGAGGCAATTCATATCTGCTAGCATTGAAGGAGCTCGCGCAAATCCATCTCAAGATCCATTCTGAACAACTCTGAGGTACTTTTCCCCTTGGAAAAAAGCCCTTCATCTTCCAGGATGCTTCATCTGAACTCTGAGTCCTCTACTGAACTCTACTACAACTGAACAAGATGCTGAAGTCTAGGATGGATCACTTGGACTAAATATTAACAAAGTTGTAACAGCATCACTTGGACTAAAACTAAATATTATAGCAAAGTAACAGCCGTAACAGAATGTCGAAATCGGTACAGACCTCCATCTGAGCCCACGTCTCGAAGCCGAGGACTTCTGTGATCTGTGCAGCATTAAGCGTAGGCTCCTCAGACATGGCGGAGGAGCCAGCCGACGAAGCTCCCGAGAGCATGTCATTAGCGCTCTCCGTAATTCATCTTCCAGCTGCATCCTTGAAAAGTATGCCAGAGTTAGCATCGCACTCCTGGGAAGCTTGTTGTCCCCCATATCAAGCTGTAGTTGTGGTCTCAGGGATGCGGATGCCCTCAATAAGATGCATTAGCTCAGGGATGCCCTCAAACTCAATAAGAAGATGCATTAGCTAGTACAGCCTTAATGTCATCTGAAGAGCTTTCATTCTCCTCTTCATCTTCGGAGAAGAAGCCTGATCCTCGTGTTCGGCGTCCGCGTGTTGTCCTCCTACTTGGTGGAGAGGAGGAAACCCCATGATGAAAGCCACCTTTGCTTTTCGATTTCGTCGTAGAAGCCAGATTATCTAAGGGCTGAACTTGCGCGCCCGCATCACCGCTCCCATCTTTCGGTCGCCTTTGACATTGTTGATACAGGCCGACTTTGCCTTGTACCAGAACCGGACAACGATGTTTTTCTAAAATTAGAGCTCAAAACATTTCGTTTCGTAATTCGTCTTCTTGCCCGCATTTCTTCATAACAATCCCAAGCAGAAAACAAACTGCAAGAAATCACTTGTAGAAATGAATTCCTTTGAGCCCTAATAGAAAGGCTGTTTTTTCGCGGAAGATGCAGCTTCCCTGTTCAAACTCCTTCTTCTGGATGGAGGAATGATACCCGAATTGAATGTACTCCGAAAGATATCTCTTGCCCAAAGCAGTAGCAAGCGGGGAGGCCGTCAACGTCTCTAGCGAAGATGAAGGGCCAGCGGCGCCCCCGATCGCATTGTTTCCTCCAGGTCCCGTGATAGGCAAAGTGGCCATTTTTCACCTCGTTATTTTGTTTCCTCCAAGTCCCGTGATAGACATCAAAGTGGCCATTTTTCACCTTGTCGTTATTTTGTCCATATCATTTTTTTTTATGCACGACGAGTAGGTCGTAAATATTGTCGTCAAAAACGATATTAGGGGGTGACAAGATCAAGACATCAAGTAGGAAGTGATTTCGGAAACCGATGCTCGCGCCATGACGTGAAGATAATTAGCAACTTCATCGTAACGATAGAAGAAGATGACATCGATAATCGAGAAGAGTAAGCAGCTTCTTAATCCTGGAGAATGAATCTTGATGTGCACCATGTCTTTGCCTCCATTGTTGATGTTAGTTTCACTTTTTGTTCGATGAAACCATCCTCGCAAATCCAAATGCTGTTCGTTTCACTTTTACAAGAATTAGCTAAGGAAGACTAAAACATGCAACTTCACCAAGACTGTTCATCACTGCAGAACTTCTGTATCTGTTGGTAGTCAAACTTTATTGGCTTTACACGGCGACTGGCGTAATTTTCTTGACGAGTATGAGTAAAATAAATCTTCATTTTCCTCATATTTTTACTTACTTGCAATGGAACTTGATACCAAGGTCATCCTATTAATACTTAGGTGATGTTGTTCTCGGTCATTTCTTAAGCTTCTGGGCTTTTTTCCGGAATACTGTTGCAAACGAATCAGTTTTTTCCATGCTCCCTATACTTATACAGCAGTCTAGGAAATTTCAAATATTTATAAGGTGAAGATAAGTATTCAGATCATGCAAATATTGTAAGTAAGTAGTTGTGTTTATTGCATCAATCAAATCGTCAAAAATTGATAGCACTAGGAATCAGGTGTTTGACTTCTTCTTGCAGGAGTTACAAAATATGAGACAAAGAAACATCACGACAGAAAAATCCAAGACGTCGGTTCTAGAGAGATTCAGTAGAAATCAATTTTGATTTTCCATCAACAAGTACAAGTAGATGTGCAACATCAACCAAGTATAGGTATACATCATGAAGCCTTGTTCAGCTTCACTTTTCTATCATGCGAAGAAAAAGAGCTTCGCGTTCTTGCGGATGCACTAGCAGATTTTTGGAAGCGAGCTGATCTACCTGCGATATGGCACGATCTCTTGCCTCCTCTAGCTGCTGGAGTCTCGCAAGCATTTTCTGCACTGTCTCCTTCGTGTTCTCCGCGTGCTTGTGCAGCACAGTGGCCTCCGATTGTTTTCTCACAACTCTGTTACAACTGTCTGAAGATGTGGTAGTAGGTCGTGTACTAGTAGAACTACAAGCTGATGTGGTGTTGTTCTCTTGTTTCTGTAGTACTTTGTCATTTTAGAGGTTGGTTTTTCAAGATGTTCGCTTAGACCGCGTTTGTTGTGCCTCTCTCCCTTAAGAGCGGCAAAACAAACGGTAACGTGAACGCCTTGAACCTACCCTTAATCATTATCGATGCTGTTCCTGTAGGTCTCGTCCTTGTCGTCCAAGGTGCGGTTGTATTGTGTTATCTTCTTGTCCCCATGAAGATACTCTACAGCTCCTTGCTCTCTTTTCTTGTCCGAGTTCCCATCACCTTGTTCACGTAGAAGTTTCGCTTCTATTTCAGAAGAAGAAGCTCCTGCAAGTGCAACTACACTAGAAGGAACAGGAACTACAGTCTGCAATAAAAGTTTCAAAGCGAGGTTTTTTCGCAGAGTATAGCCGTGTTGGTGGAGAAAAAATCCGTATTCGTTGCAGTCCGACAACAAGATGTCGTAGTCCTCGTCTCGCCGTCGTCGGAGTGCCACGATTTCTTTGCACGTGTTCAAAAAGTTGTGCTTTTCCTGCAACTTCTCCTTGTACTCGCGTCTCAAGTCTGCAACCTCGTCTGCTAACGAGCGGTTGGGATTATGCAGAATGAATTGCTGTGTTTTCCTTCGTTCTTCGTCGAGGCGCTTTCTCGCTTGCAGATATTCCTGTCGTCTAGTTTGGAGGACCTTGCGGATGACTTGTAATCGCGTCACCTGTTGGTCTAGGGCGTCTTCTTTTGCACGATGCAGCAGCTGAAGTCGAGGACGGCAGGCATCGACGTCCTGCTTCAGCGCGCTGATCCGTTCTTGTTCGCGCAGCAAGAGATCGGCCATGCCACAAAGCGACTCGCAGACTCTGTTTACTACGACTCGTTCTTCGTGTTGTTGGTTGCCCTGTAGAGTTAGATCAGTTGTAATGATGTTGAAGACGAGGAGAGGACTAAATTTTATTTGCGATCAACTTCCAGAAGGACATGGAATAGCCTCGCCAGTAGAAAAGAATTTGATTCATCTACATCTCCTTGGTCCCTCAATCTTGCGTCTTCTTGGTACCCTATTAAACGACCTTGTATTGTTCCATCCCTAGTAGAGCTGAAGTAGCAAGAAGAGAAGACGCTGAGGCAGAAAGAGAGTGAGAGACGGATAAAAGTAGCTGACCATAATAGAGCGTTGACCATAGCGCGAAACCGACTCGGACCGGACTTCCAGACCGACATCCCGCCAAGCATGCGACGAGGCAGAGACGGCCGAGTCAAGACTGCCGCGTCCGTCAAGAGCTCATCATCTTCTGCTGAGGTTCCTCCGAGAAGAGCAGAATCTCTACCACCCAGCAACATATTAGCTGTAGTGCCACGTCCTCCCCGCAAGCCGGCGAAAGTCGAAACTCCACGTGTTCTCCTACTAGTAGGCGGATGCGCAATCTCGTTTCGCATGGCAGTTACACGATATTCCGTGCCATCTTTACGCCAAACCTCTTCCTGCGCCCACTGAAGTCGTTCTACGGGACGAAGACGCCGACCACCAGAATTGTGGTCCGTCTCCGGTGGACATTGAAACAGAATATCCTCTGGATATTCCAGAGCGATGTCTCCATTTCGAATCGAGGCAAGAATTTCGACGAATCGTTCGATTAGAGCTGTAATGAGGATCCCTAGTTTAACATAATCCCCGTGGCTATCCCACCTCAGAAGGAGGAGTTGTATCCGCATTTTAATTCGGAGGTTGAGTTCTCGTCGTGGTCTAATCTTCTCAAGAACAACGACCCCTCATTTTATTTACAGAGTCAGAGATCATCATGATTGACGATAGAGATAGAGGTAGAGATAGAGGTAGCCTTAACTCGAAAGTAGTTCCCGAAAATGGTATTCCACCCCGTGGAGGATCACGCACCAACAAATGCTGAATCTGCCACTGGATCATCACGGGTTGTGCAACAAAAGCCCGAATCAATGTGCCGATCTCTGCATCGGGTAGCAAATCGACATAGGTCAAGGCAGGAGGTTGAGGTGTTGCGACTGGAACTGCTACGCTATTACGTTTAGATCCACTTGTTCCCAGATTTGGAGTGGTCAAAGTAGAGCCTGGTGCAGGATTAAAGCTGCTAACTTGTGATGGAGGAAGCAGCGTTCCAGACGATGGTCTTTTAGACAACCGTGGAGTTGCATGTTGAATTTCTATGTTCATGATAGGCGCACCTCCTCCTCCACTGGCACCTCCAGCTGCTCCCATCACACCAAGAACAGGAACGACACCATCTTCTGGAGTTCCTCCACCCTCAACACCTTGTTCCTCTTCCTGGAGATCGGCGAGTTCGTCATCTAAATGCGTCACGCTAGCTGTTGATTTGAACTTCACCACTGCGCTCGCAACGTCGTCAGCTAACACGAGTGTGCTACGTGTCCGACGGCTGGAAAAAGGTGATGAAGGCCCTCCACCTCCACCGATTGAAGAAGTGCGAGGCGCCCCTCTTGTCCTCATCGTAGATAAGGAGTCCTCTCCTCCACCGATACCCGGAAGAGCAGATGGCCGTCCACCGCCTACGACTGCGACTGGAGAGGTGCTGTTGTCGTTAGAACCTTGGTCGTCTGCTGTATTTGCTTCCGAAGGAACAGGTACGCCCAGCATGTCACTCGACGCCGCCACCGCGACCGCTGCAAAAGACATTCGTCCTTGCTGGAAGATCTTAGACGCTCGATGCTTCAAACTTTTCCTGCCTCCACCCATGCCCCCATGAGGCGTGGCTGAGAGGCTTCTTAGACTGACTGCAAGCGCACTTTCAAAGTAGCCATCCATCTCGCCACGTCGTACACGCTGCGAAAACGTTGACCCGGAAACTCCGAGTATTTTCTCGATATGCATGCGATCAGCATCCGGTAGAGCCAGCGGTAGTTCCTTAGGACGATTAGGCACACCTAAGCTAGGTTGATCAACGTTGCCCCCCAGATGTTGATTCACGTTGTTCGTCACGGCATTCGGCACCTGCAGCTGATGCTGTTCGAGACCTACTAGATGCTGTAGATGACCACCAGATATTTCGGTGCTGGTTGCTGCATGTGGTTGGACGTAGGTCAAAAAGATCTCGCGATAAACTGCTTCTCGCTCCCGGACGCTCAGCACAACGCGTCTGGCAGCATCTGCGAGCATGCAACGGAGTAAATGACGTCTGGGATGAAGTTCTCTCTTTGGAGATGAAGAAGACAACTGGTGTCGCTCACCTGTAGTTGCAGCGGTAAAACTTGCGGCATTCCTCGTTGTTTCCTCTTCCCGAACTCCTGCGCGTTGTCCATTATCTGTGCTGGAGGTGCCTCGCGCGTCACTAGCACCACTACTTGTACCTGCTGCTACTTGAAAGTTTTCTTCACTACTTTGTTCCAGAAGCCGTGACAGAGTCCCCTGCTCGTGCCTTGAGAATTCTCTGCCTCCGAAGATTGCACTTCTCTGCCGATGCACCAATACCTCTGCTGTTGCTTCCGCCATGCTACTAGGACTGCTGCCGCCCAATGATATGACAGATCCTGAGCGGTTCATGGCACTTTGCCGCCTTCCTGTTCCTCCTCGATGCCTTGAGCTTGAAGAAGTCGCCTGCTGAGGAGCTAGCAAGTGTTGAACGAGAAAGAGTCCTTGAATGATGACTGCTTTAGGATCTAGTATGACCCCCTCAGACAAGTCCTCGTCCTCCTGTTTATTTCGAAGAACTACGTCGCCACTCGATAGAGAACATTCCGAGTGCAACGAGTCAGTACTTTCGGCAGCACTGCTCGACCGCGCTCCGTCGGAGGACGGCGCTGTCGAGGTGTCCGATTCTTCGTCGGCATTTCGTGGTGTTGCGCCGTCTTCCTCTCTCGTTACTTCTTGTTCTTCCCCTGGTGCGTCGGCTCTGCTGCTTTCGCCTTCCTCTCCACCCTTGAGGCCACGCTTTGCCTCGTCTGCTGGCACGCCCCCTCGTCCATCAGGAGTACTGCGTCTACGATCCTGTAAGGGATCCTGTGACAGTACGAATGTTCCCTTTCGTCCTAGTAGTGTCGCAGAATTCAGCTCATCTTGCTTTGCAAGTGATCGGTAATTGTCGAGTTCGAACGTGCGGCGTGCCGGACCCAACTCGATCTCTACAACGACCTTGCGTGGCCCTCGTCGTACTGTTCGGATATGCGGATGCGTGGGTGCCGTAATACTGCTCGGATCAAAGACAGTAGAGCCCTTTCGTCCAGCTGCACCTCGTCCTGATGTGAGAATAGACTTGCGGGTTTTCATTTTGTCGCCAGCACCAGAAGTTGAGATGTTGTTGAGATCGTCCTCCGTATCGACGTCGCAGAGCTCAGATCGACTCCCAGGATTCGCAATAGAATGGCGAAAAGTACTAGCAGAGGTGGAATTTTTAGATTTTCCACCTTCGTCAGCTACAGCTGTAATGCATCCTATAGAAAAGCGCGTCGTTTTTCTGGTGTTTTTTCCCTTGATGTTATTTGAAGATGAAGATGTTCCACTCGTCGAGCGTCCTGGACTTTTGTTACTCGATGTCGACCGTCGCTTCTCCACAGATCGACGACGAGTAGATCCAGCATGATGAAGATCACCACCTTCATGATCCACCTCTGCACCTTCCTCATCGTAAGCAGTGGTCGTAGTTCGACGCTTTCGTCGACTTGTCGTTTTCTTGACGATGCTATTTCCTTTGTTACGCAATGCTGCTCCAGACGTGAGAAAAGTCTTTCGCGACGGGCCTGGTTGAAGAGAACCATCTACTCCCTGCTGGTGCTCTGTCTCTTGCTTGCTCATTTTTAGATTGGTTAGAGTACTTGGTAGACGAGTACTTGGAGGACGTTCACCATCATGAGCATTCGTCGGACTCGCGGCTGATGACCAAGATCGCAGAGGGGCCGCTTCTTGAGCCCACTCTTCATCAAGGCTATTTATCTTGATCCCGGCGTTACCTTTATGGTCTTCGCTGACGCTCCTGTCCTCCTTTGACATCTTGTTCCCTTCGAAATAAAGAGGACGAGAATGAGAATCTACTACATCTTCATCTTGTTGTTCTTGCTCCCGGTCTCGGGATCCCTGCGACAAAGAAGAAGATGTATCCCGTCGATCGTCAGCACGTCCGAAATTGACATGCTTTTCCTTACTCTCACCACCAGCTGTCGTGGTCGCGCCGCCAGTTGTGGTCAACGGCTCGTCTGCAGCATCACCCTTTTCATCAACAGTTGGCTGCATCTTAGCATGACCGCGACCGCCAGAGGATGAACTTCCTTTCGACATTTTCATCATTCGACCAGTTCCATCTTCGCCGTTAACGTTGTCGACGTTCTTGTCCTCATTAGACGAGTCCTGCAAGACATCAGCATTCGAAAGAAGGGCTGGAGAATCTGCTTCTTGATCACCGTTTCTAGCCGCGTCGGGTCTTGTACTTACTTGGCCCGAATTGGAATTCGTACCAGCACTAGCTAGTATTTGGGTCGTGTGATCTTGATGTTTACCTCCTACGGTGTCTGTGGCTTTGCTTGATATCGCTGCGACATTCAGGCTGCGTCGTAGGTCGTTGTCGGAGAGGCGTCGCTTAGCGTCAGCAAAAGATTCACTTTTGGACGAGTGGGTTGCGTCTAGATCGATCGATCCTGCTCCACTACCTCCTTCGTTACCTGCCTGACCCACTACTTTCCCTGGTAGTTGCAGATGCTTGTTAATCGGGGAGGACTTGTTCTGAGCTGCTACTTTCTTAGCACTTTTGTTCCCGCCTCCGAACAGAAAACTGGAGAAAAAACTACCTGTAGAGGCTGGCTGACGTGGTGTACCTTCAACATTGCGATCCGCAGGACCACTAGACAGGTCCGCCGCTGCACCAGGTGCCGCAGTCGCTCGTCTCTGGGGGAGTTCGCTTTCTGTTGATTCATCTGTGGTTCTGGTTTGGTTCATCCACGGTATTATACTAAGAGCACTTCTCTCTTCTTCGCCACCTCCATCCTCCACAGCAGAGGAGACGGCGATCTTTACCGGGGGCACCTGCGCGGTCTTCGCTCCACCTCCTTCGGAGGTTAGATTGTTCCCACTGTTTGTAGCAGATCGTGGAGTTCCTTCTCGCTGCTCGTGTTCAGCTTCCTGTTCTGCACTTCTTCGTTTGTTTGAGGAAAAAAGCCGCCCTATATTTCCCAGAACAGGAACGACCGCGACTTTCTGCACCGCAGACACCAAAAGCATGCTGGCGCGTCGCGGAGAAGGATGGTGTAACTCGTATTCCGGTTCGTCATCCACCAGGAGGTCTTTGTTCTTGTTGTCGAGAGCAGAAGTGCTGCTCTCGACGCCTTTAGTACGGCTCATTTCGACAGATGAAACCGCTCGCATTCGAAGAGACCCAGAGATTGTCGTGGAAGAAGCATCTCGCGGCTTGTCATCTTCGTGGTTTTGTTGTAAAAATGACCGCGCAGCTACAACTTCATGGGTATTGACCACTTGCTCTCGTCCTGTTGAACTCTGAAGGTGTCCTCCGCGCATCGTATCTTCATGTGCTCCACGACCTGCTCCGTCAGAAGCAAAATTGTTGTTGTGGTAGCCTAGTTCATCAGCCGCAGTGGCACCTAGTGTCACAGAGTTAGTTCTGCTTTCGGATTCCCGCTGCTCGACCAGACTGCGCCGCAGCTTTGCAGTGTTACTGCTGCTCATGGATAAAAAAGGGTTTGCTTCGTACGTTCGGCGAACAGCTTCCGCGATGCTAATGTTGTCTCCTAGAGCCGGAGACGACGCACTTGATACGATCACGCTAGACGTCCTACCATGGTTCGCGGTAGACGAGGAGGTAGGTTGTGATTGCTGCGGAATGACGGCTCCGCCGCCTGAAGAGGAGCAGATATTATTTGCGGGGGTAGTGAATGGCTCCCGTATTTGGTAACCTGAATTCGATCGTAAGGGAAAACAAGTAGAGATCCCTTAGGATCAAACTCAGGTTACCAAATACCAGAACCATACAGGTAGTTGGTGAAGAACGTTGTTGCAATCAACACTACAACTTTTTCTTTTCTCGTATTTCTATGAAGAATCATCTTCATCTTCAGGATATGCCAACAGCATTCAAATATATTTCTGAAGATCATATTCGTATGCTTTTATACCAGATGCCACTGAAGAGCTCCCTATCTCCTTTGCAGCGCCAATCATCGAAGACCGCGGCGCGAGACCCCCACCCTCAGAAGGCCTGCCTGACGGCACAGAATGAGAGTGCTGCATACTTCGCCGACCTGTAGGAATGATGAAAGGATCTGCATAACAAGGGACAGAACCGCGAAGCAAGTACATGCAGCTTCGACATCGTTGTATGGGATAAGCCTAAGAATGGGGAGGTGAAAACCAACCGGTTGCTTCAACTTATTCTAAGAAATAGTTGATCTTACCCGACGCCAAGTGGGCTATTTGCGAACTACGACGCAGCGACTCCATTGATGGCGCTTCGGGCTCGGTCGGAGCTATCGAGTTACGGACAGACTGCCAGAGATTAGAGCAGACGTTGAACTTCTTTGAAGAGTCTTATCTTCTGATCAAGAAGTCGAACAGGAGAGTGTAAAGCAAGCCATCTACTCGTGTCTCGTATCTTCGATTCTTGTGTTGGAGCTGGTGTTCTTGGTCTTGGTCTTCTTCAAGTCATAAATTTCCGCGGCGGTCGGGTATGAATGGGGACGAAGGTCATGGGGATGTCAACAACATCATGACCAGGTCATTGAGGACGTAGACGTTCTTCTTGAGGTGGGAAAAATATTATGAAGCAAAGAAGTATAAAACATCAAGATGCGCAACTACATGATCATCAAAACTTTAACTTTTTCCAATTTTGGCAAAGTATATAAGTAACAAACAGTTGTTGTAACAGTCTCCCTGCCAAGAACATAAACAATAGCATCTGGATTTCGGTACTCGGTGCTTTCTCTGCGTCGCACTGTCGTAATCGAATCTTTCCAGATGTTGTTGCGATCGGCCAGCTCTTTTCGCTTCTCCTTCCGCCTCTGTTCTCGTCGTAGCTCCTCTGGAGACATTCCTTTACTGCGGCCCCCTACTTCACCTATTTTGAGTGCTTCGGCTTGAAGCAGTTCTGCCTGCATTTCCTTCTTTCGCCTTTCGTCTTGGTAAACGGAGCGCTCTTCTCGCAACATCTTCGACAAGGTGATGCTAGCAACGGCACCTCGAGATGTTGACCCGGCCATCGTTGTGCTTCCAGTAAACATCATCATGCAACTGTCTCTACCATTAGAGGTGTCGGGAATTCATCTCAGGGATCATTTGGGTCCCTTTTTCCTCTTGTCTTTCTCTTCCAGATGACTTAGGAGATGAATACCCTACACCCATAATACCAGTAAGATTGTCCGTCCCTCGCGATGGTGGAAGATCTGCCGGATTCTCGTTCTCCTGTTGCTCTTCAAGATTATCCAAATGGCATTCGTCTGTCGTGGAAGCTCCTTTCTGCTCTTCAACTTCATCAAGACCTAGTGCATGAAGATTTTGATTTATTTGTAAGGGCAGGGGCCCTGCTTCAGTGTTAGACGACGGAGTGATGGTGTTTCGACCCGCACCATGTTGACCTGTTGTAATTGGCAGCAAGGGGGCTGCTCCACCTCCTGTATTGGCAGCACCACGCTGATTTGGTACTATCGCAGAACTTTTTCTCGTCGCAGGAATAGAAGGTACACCTGCTCCAGCAGTAGAGGACTCTTGATTATCGTTCGAAGCTCCTGCAGTCGTACTAGAACCAGCCTGTAGAAGTTGGTCATTCATATTCCCCGCAATAGTGGATGTCGGAGGCGGCACCGCCACACATGTTGCAAAGAGTTTGAAGAAGCTTCGCCACTCTTCGTATTCCAAGATCGAAACGCCCATAGGGATTCCCGGAACTGCAGTAGTCGTGCGTTGGAGAGCAGCTCTGCTTCGACATGAAGACGGGGAGGGCTCCGCGGAGGAACAAGTCCTCGTAGGATTTATATTTCATAAGTGGCGCTGCTATGAAGTAACACTATGCCAAAAGCGAACAGAGAAAAGTGGTTTTTGAGCCAAAAAACGCACATAAAGCCCAGGAATTATCAGTTGGGCAACATTCTGAGACGAATAATGTACTTACAAAAAAGCGCCTTCGGACGCGACTGATAGACAAAGACCACTAGGTCAGTCTATGCATGTGCATAGGATATTGCGATAAGGATGTGGACCTGATGAACCTCATTTATTACATGAACGTAACTTTCTCCCCTGTGGGCTATTAATCACGCCCAGTCCAAGACCAAGACCGGATTGAAAAACCGAAGATCTTCGAACGACGCGTCCACCGTTCTGCTCATGCAGGCCAGGTGGCGGCGCGAGAATGCTGTTACCACGTCGCAGACGCCCTCCCGGAAAGCCGGAAAGGTCGCCTTTGGGGGCAACTGTGATATTTACACAACATGTAAGTATGTGTGGCAACTACTGACACGACTTTGATAGCTGTTGCAGCTAGCTGTTGCTCGCGAAGAGGTGTAGTTTTTGTGGTCGTGTTCGTGAACAACTCACGCCACGACCACTTACCATGTAAATGCTTATCGACAAAATGAAAATACCTCTCACGCTCGATGAGTCTCGCCTTGAAGCCGTTTCGGATGGCATCGTCACTTTAACCCATGGGGGACCGGGATTTGAGTTTTGTTGACCTCCTAAAGGTTTTGATCCACCTCCGCCAGACTCGTTTTGCTCATCCATCAGCGATCGTCTTAGCGACTTCCGTCCGAAAAGAGGCTGTGACGAGCCTTCTCGCTCGGATGACCGCTTGCTGATACCGAGCAGCGCTCGGCTTTCGTCTAGCTGCTCCATGATTATGTCGCTCCTCGTGTTTGTTTGCCGCGAGAAGGTGAACGTAAGACCTATCTTCAGCGGCGGCTATTCGTTGACGCTATGGTCGCTATGATCCATATCGCATCGTTTCGCACACACCAGAGAGCAGGTGCCTGCGAGATGTCCGTTTCGCATGCGGCCCCGAGGAGTTCGCAGAACATGATCATGGAGTACTGGTAGAACTGGAACCTATGTATCACTATCATGGTCGTCTGAAAAATCCGCACTCAAATCCAGTGGCCTTTTTTTGTTCCCGTTTTTTTTTCTGCATCATGAGTCTCTGCTCAAGTTCAAGTTCATGGCTCTCCAGTTGCTATAATTTCCCCGCAGCTTTTTTTTTTGACGCGCTGCTTTCATGGAAGAAAGCATCAACAAGATGCTTCTTGTTTCAACGAGTTACTTCTTGTTTTCTCTTTAATGGAAGAAAGCTTCAACAAGATGCTTCTTGTAGTCTCGTCTTCGAGGACGTGCTGCTTTCAGGGGAGAAAGCTTCAACGAGATGCTTGTCATGTGTTGAACGCTCCGTGCTATTGCGATCCTTAGTACTCGATCACCTAAGGAACTGTATTACGTGGAAGTTCTAGAAAACTAGCTCCTAAGTTGTAACTTATCGTCAAGTTATTATATTAGGATTCGTGTAGCGCACTCCTGAAGGAGAAAAATCAACTACACAGGAAAATTTAGAAGGAAAATGCTTGTGACCATTAGTACCTCTTGATCTTGAAAGAACAACCTATTAATAACCCAAAAGTAAGAACAGCAACAGATAAACATCAACCGCCTCGGTCATACAATGTCTACGCTTGCGTGGTACACATCAAACACGCCAAGATATTCAAAAAAAATCATGAACAAATAACAACATGTACTTTATATGTTAAGAACATTCTGATGATATTGATACATTGAAAAGAACTAATTTATTACCTGCACATCAACATGAAGTTCAAGGTCAGTGAAGATATTGATGTTCTTGTTGATGGAGAAAAGGAGATGAAGGACTACACGAAGACAGCCGAAGCTGCCCGCACCTGAGCCACACGAGCAACTTATCTTCTACTACTTATTGTTATTAGTACTATTTCTTTGTTGGTAAGAATACCTGTTTTTGATGAATGATCCAAATCCATAATCAATGAAAGCAAAATGTAAACGGAGACAGAGTAGACTGAGTAACCACCTAAAAAATTATGACCTAAATCCTCGTCATCAAACAGGAGTCGAGAGACAACTAGCATTATAAAAATATCGATATCTTCTACTTTATGCTCCTCCGATGTTGCGCTTACCAGCCGGAGAAGTTCCAGCATTAAATGATTTTGGTACATAGAAAAGAATGGCACAAGGTGTTGCAGCGGAACCCCCGAATGAAGAACTCTCTGCTCCTGCAGGACTTCCTGATGAAGTACGATTAGTCAATTTTGACATTCTTATCGCCTCAGTCACTTCCCCTTCCACCACTACCTGCATGTCTTCCGTTACGACGTCCTTCTCTGAAGTCTGCTGAAAACGGTGCCACTTTCCTCCCAGCAGTGCGAACGAAGCCAGAGGAGCGCTCTCGTCATCTTCTTGCGTTCTCTCGCTGTAGTAAACAATAGCACCTACAAGACGCGAAGCTGCCTTGTCAACATAGATCAGCTGATCGGCCTCTTTCTTGTTGTCCGTGTCGTGGTCTATCATATTATCTGATGTTGACGAAATTGCCAGAACGCCGATTTGTTCTTTGTTCATCTCGTCATGCGTAGCTGGTACGTCGCCTGTGCGCAGAAACTCGTCCGCTTCTTTACCGTCGAGCAGAACCGTTCCTGACTGCAGAAGAGCTGAGTTGCGCATTAGAACTGCGAAAAATTCGACCACACGTTTTAGCGGACAACATGGAGTCGTTTTCTTGCTACCGTCTTCTATAGCAGATGAAGTGGTCGTCGTTCTTGGCGGAGCAGACTTCGATTTTGGGAGCAGGACGACACCAGACTCGCCCCCGTCGAGCAGTCTTACAGCAGTAGTACTTCTTTCGTCCTCGACGTCGACAGATTCATCATCCCCGACAACTATGACTTCTCTCTGCTCGCACACGCTCCATGAGGATGAAAGAGTAGATGTTGTGGTGGATGTGGATGTGGATGTCGTAGTCGCATTAGTAGTTGTTGTGCCTTTTATCACCTCCTTTGCTAGTTCTTGGAGGATGTCTATCTTGCTAACATTGAGAGACTCCACTCCTGGATGCAGGAAGTAGTCCAGTATCAGCACAACCGGATCGTCAACAGCATCTGAGCCAAGATGCGTAGAAGGTGCGCTAGATGAAGAGGCAGACGTGCTTCCCGTTCTTGCCAGACTCGAAGATGTGTTGACCATGTTGTTTCGATTGTCTCCTGTGCTTGAAGATGTAGTAAATATGTTCTGAGTGCTTGTGCTTGATGCGTCGCCCTCTAAAAATTGGCTACGCAGCAAAGCTGTACGACGCAGCAATGGTGTGAGACACGATAGACTCCGGATCGCGGCCAGGAGGTAAGCATCACTAGGGCTGTTGCATGTGAGTGCACGAAGGTGCAATAACTGCGATCTATTTATATTTTGCTGATCATGCTGTCCTCCTCTACTAGGTGCGGTTGCACCACGACCTCGTTGATGAAGTTCCTGATTCTGGTAGATACAGAGATCTGCTCCACCTCCTCCTCCATCATGGGCTGTCAACATACCACTCGGAGTCCATCTTCTCTCACTTCCAACTGCAGAAAAAGAAGCACCACCTTCCACTTGAATGAGAGATGATGATGAAGTGCCGCAGGGATTGTTGTAATAGGTCGTAGAAGTTGATAGTCCAGTCGTTCCAGCAAAACCCTGCTGATGCTGACCACCTAATGCTGCACCAGAGGAGGAAGAACTGGCGGTCGGCATAGTCCAGTGGTTCATCCATGCAGAGGTAGCAGATGTTGTCCCATGCTGATAGTCATTGTACCAAACACCGGCACCAGCACCCTGAGCTGCTCGCATCGCTGCTGGATAAAAAGGCTCTGACGCGGGATTCAATGTCGCTGAACTTGCCGAATGCGTCAGTGCTGTGTTAGCTCCTGAAGTTGCATTCAAATTCCTGTCGCCCTTGTTGCTTTTTAGTAGTACAGTAGAACTAGAACTTTCACTGCTCGAGCCCCTATCCGATGCAACAACATTGCATGGTGCTTTCCTTGACATCGCTTTTCGTTTTGCTTCAGCAGCCTCTTTCTCTTGTCTGGCCCTTTTCTCCTCGAGCCACGCCGTGTGTTCCCGCTCAACTGCGTCAGGGTCATCCAAAGGAATTAACAACTGACTTTTGTCTGCAGCTTCTGAATCCCCTTCCGGTGCTGACTGTGCTCCGATGTTAACATTACCGGCGGGAGACTGACCGGCACCGGGGCGAAGCCGAAGATATGGCCTGATCCTCTCTCGTACAGAGGCACATGCCGCGCCACCGCCTCTCAAGTTCAAAGAAAGCGCTTCCGGGTCTAATTGGCAGTCGTGAATTCCAGGTATTGCCAGAATCTTCTGCAGGGGTCCGTCCTTGCGTGCGCGCGTACGATAAACGAAAGCAAAAGCATCCTCCCGTAAAACTATTTTTTCGAGATTTAGAACCTCCTTCAACGCCTCTGCAAATCTGTGCAGATCCTCTACCTGACCGCGCAAACGAAGGGTGGTCGCACCGTTTTCGACGCCACTGGACGAGGTAGGACTTCGTGGTTGTCTATTTGTAGATGTACTACAGGGGCTGCCTTGGTGCCTACTGAAGTCTATGCTCAACGTCCCACCAGAAGATTTTTCATGATCCCCTTCATCAGCTGCACCACATGCACTGCACAACATCACGTCATACACATGGTACTTGATAGCAGTAGAGGCAGATGCGAGGGAGAGAATATCTCGACGCGGACTTTTCCCAGCCTGTGTTGCGTTGTTGTTGATTTTTGCAGTACTGGAGGACGCTTCGTCGACTTTGCTAAGACTCCACTTTTGAAGCAGCTTCTTCAAGCGACTACTCTTGTTTCGCACCAAGAAGGCATACTCCTGTGCAGGGAGAGGAAAAGCCCAAAAGTCTTCAGCAGGTGAACTTTGAAGATTTCCTTCTTCATCCTCCCCAGCACCTTCTGTGTCGATGACTAGAGAGCTGCTGCTGGCAATTGTATCAATACCTCCAGGTGTCTTCGATGTCCTCTTCCCGGAAACCTCCATCAAAGTCCGGTCGGGACCTACGACGATCTGTTCTTTTGCGTCTTGTTTGGTGCTATCTGCTAAACCACCACTGCCAGCCTTCTCAGCAGTCGTCTCTGCTTGAGTTGTTGGTGAAGAATCAGCGTCTTCATGATCTGTCGCAACCTCGTCATCCGTCGATCTCGAAGTACGTTGTACATCTGGTGTAACGACCTCTTCCGATGGCGTCATTGACTTCTTAGAAATCATCATGATATCGTCCTGCTCCTCCCGCTCGTCAACATTAGGAGGTTCTTTGTCTACAACTGCTTCTACAACGAGGACCCGCCTGCTGCTGGTGTCTTGTTTTTCGCCGCATTTCTGTTCATCACCTTGTAGTTGTAGATCAACGACCTCTACCTTTGCTCCTTGATGAAGGGTAGATGTAGTTGTTGAAACCAATGCTGGATCTTCAGCCGACGCAGAAATGCGCTCGAAACGAGCTTCATCTCCTTCTGCGTGTTCATCTGCGTTCAAAGAAACTCCAGATGATGAAGCTGCAACTTTGAGGACCACTTCATCTGCTTCACCATGATTCTTTATCATTTGTTCGGTTCCAGCAACAAGAACCGCATTTGTTGTACTAGCTCTTCTTGCCGCTTCCTTTCGACGCTTCTGCTTATTCGCCCCCCCACGGTTATTTGCCACCGACTTTGCTTCTACCGTTGTACAACTAGTGGGCGAGGACGACGAGGCTGCTGCTGTTGTTGAAGACTGTACTAGATTTTCCTTGCAGCTCTTATTCTTGTTTCGAGCTCCTGCAGTAGAAGTTGCACTACCATCAACACACGATGCTAAAGCCGGCCCAAAGTTGGTGAAACAAAAAACCAATACTGGAAGGGGAGATAGAGCACCATCATCATCTTCGTTCGTGGAAGAAGTTGAAGTGGCTAAGTTTACTAAGTTAGTGGCGGATCCTGATCCTGATGTATTAGCTGGTTGTTCCACCGGGTGCAGACCAGGGACAATGGCTTGTGTACTGTACAGCAGTCGGAATCTGGTAGCCCGCGAGTTGCCTAGTCCCCGGCCGTATAAGGCACCCGCCACGGATGCTGCACTGGCAGGCGTTTCCTCCTCGCGGAATACCTGCACACCCAAGAACGAAGTCGACAACATCAACATCATATTCATCGCATCGGAGGAGGTACTTGAAGATGTTGATGTTCTTGATGTCGATAGAAGTGTGTCTAAATCTCCTTCAGCACCACAGGATACCAGATCGCCTGCAATTTGGTCGCGATGCATCAGGTTACTTCGCCCGAGGATGCGACAAAGATTGTGAGCCCACGACTCTCGAACGTTCACAAACACCGTTCCCAAAAAGGCATAATTTGTTCTTGACTTGTTTCCCAACATCAAAGGCTTGTACTTCAGCACCACAGGTCGCCAGCCCGACAGCGCCAGCGCTGCTTCTTCAAGTAGCAGGCATGGCGGAAGAGAGGACGTTGAGCCAGAAGAAGAAGATGACGAGATATACTGACCATGATGATTTGTCGAAATCGCGGTTAACGAACTGGTCTTGTTTGCGTCGTTGCCGTTCCGCTTGCTAGTTGCAAGAGTAGTTGCATGGGAACTAGATGCAGAAGCGAGAGTGCCAGTTGTTCCAGGAGAAGTGGAGGATGTACTTTTACTTGCACTTGATGCTCCTTGACCTTGTGCTTTAGACGAGGAATGATCACGTAGCCACTCCGGATATTCGTCACAGGATAGCACAACGTAATTGCGCAGAGGACGACCACGGAATCTTCGAGGGTTCGGGTATGCAAAAAACAGATGGTCCTCTGCTCGTTCAGCATTCTCAACTTGAGCCGGATCGACCATGCCGTATCCCGGTGCCGGCACGGCACTACCTGAAGATCATGCAGCCTTATTGATTCACAAAACTAATGGTGTTGAGTGGGCAGCGGCCATGTTGCATATTATTTCTATTTGTCATCGAATACAAGAGCAGGAGGACACGCACATACAGACGAGAAGAAAAGAAACCTTTGTATGTACCCAATAGCAATAGACCACTAGTACCTGCACAAGCTCCACCTCCACCACCCATCCAAGCCTGTTCGTTCCACAAGGCTGCTCTGTCAGCGGCGTATTGTTCATCAAAACTAGGTGGTGGCGGACCACAGGCCGTAAAAAAGCTCGCAGCGTACTCGACTGGATTCGGTCCGGGCCATCCATCTCGTGCGAGAATCTCCCGCTTTGTTTAGAGATGATCCTACTTGGGCTACAGTATTTATTAGTAAATCCATCTTAGACAGCGTCTTGCTCTTGCTGCCGGTTTTCTACTTTCAGATGAGAAACGGCACAAGCAAGAGGAAGAACTACGAAGTATAAGATTTATAAGATGTTGGGCTTTGAAGAGAAAATGGATTTTCATTTTCCCAGACTCAGTGGCCTTAATTTGTCATCTCAGGTTGGTGAAAGTACTGGTGCAACGACTGCTCCGGATCCATAAATTGCAGTTGCGGGTAGGTGTACATGAATGTGGCCACAGCAGAACTATTGTGTGATGAAGATTGTGTTGAGCCAGTGTGTTTATTTTGGGCATCATGTTGATGTACAACCTCTGGTCGTGATCCGCCCGCAGTACAACTCGTCACTACTTGCTGTATTTTTTTCTTCTTGTGTAAAAAGCGAAGGAGATCCGACACCCGCTTTTCCATTGGAAACAGCACTATTGCAACAGGCCACACCGACAAGTCTGTCGGCATATTAGAAGAGCAGCTTCTTGTAGAAGTATGACCACTCTCGGCCAGCGCCAATGTCTGATTGACCTGTGAAGGATGCGATTGTGACTGTGAGATGGAGCAAGATATATGGGAAAGGCAAAAACTCATATCATTCACTTTCAAAGCAACACATTTGTCACTACAAGAACGTACAAGTCGAAGTCGCTGCATGTTAATAATACAACTGCTGCATTACATGAAGATTCACAACATTTCGACGTTTTTTATTCTATTTGGTACTGGTACAAGAAACCACTCTAGGAAATGTTCCTATGCTCCTAGTTTACCTGCGCCTCGCTGTAAACGAAGATTTCGACCAGCTGTTTCGCCCGTCTGTAACAAGGATGCACCAGACGCAGCTCAGACGTATGCTGATGCTCTTCTTCCGGAGGCTCACCACGGGTGAAATTAGATTTAGAAGATGCAGCACGAATGTCTACTACAAGAATGACGACCTGCTATTACATCTAACTGATTCCGCTTAGCTCCACTGCTTACACATATTCAAAGATTATCTGCCGGAGGATACGAGTCTGTTCTGTGTAGAGTAGCAGCACTATGTGGTGTATGTTGACTAATATGTTTATGTATAGAAGTCATAATGTCGTTGTCTTTCGGAAGGTTATTTTCTCGCTCGGTCGCTAAGTCTTCTTCGGTGCGAAACGACGGCGGAAATGGGTCGGTCGTCGACGGATCCCGTATGGCGAAGTAAAAGTCTCTATCTAGCGACGTGGACGTCTTGGTGTGTGTTGACGCCATCTTCATGACTGGTGAAGCAGGAGACTTAGACGTAGATGCACTTGCACAATCTGGATTTTTCATGCCTTGCGGTTCTACTTCGCAAGTAGAGTTCTGTTTCTCGGAGGTGGACACGATCCGAAATCTTGGTACCGGAAATGGCTCACAGGTCAATTGCTGTTGCTTCTCATCATCTTCCGTGCTCTTGCTCCCGAAGATTGATGACGTGCTGAGTCCTGTCTTGGCTAGCATAGACTGAAAGAATGAGCGCGACGCGTCTACAAGTCGGGACGCGCCGTTCAGGACGGATCCACCTTGCTGGTCTTGGCCGCATTCGGTCGAACGACTTTTACTAGTTGGAGCAATCGCACTAGGTGTTTCTCGTCGGAGGTCTCCTTCAGGTGGAATATAATTTTCATCTGCGACAGCACGAGTGTCTTTGTCATCTTCACAAACATTTGGTGTACAACCCTTTTGACGTTCCGTCGCGCCAGCAATATTGCGTGCAGCAGACGTGGTGACACGACTACTGCACGAGGATACTCCTGCTCGTCTCAGCGCTGTGCCAGGCTTAACGTAACACAACACCGAGTTCGCTGGAACTGAAAAAGGAAGAGCAGCGGTTGTCGAGACAGCGAGGCGGATTGCGCGAGACTGATGCTGCGTGAAGGCGAACCATGCATGTTCTTCCTGATGTTCATGGTGCGCGTGCGCATTACCTGCCGAAGCAGCAGGCGACATCGATGCTGGCGATCCTTCAACATGCGGCTTGCACATTGATGACGATGATAACTCCTGCTCATGATGCTCATCATGCTGTACAGGAGGATTTTTAACGTGAACCGGAAGGTAGAGATAGCAAGCAGCGTCAGTGACTACACCACAGAGGCCGTTTCTGAACTTTGGTTCCCCAGAGCATACTTCGACGGTAACACCTGCTAGTTGCAGCTCTTTCTTCGGCTCGTTCAGAGCGCCACGATGATTCTGATCCGCGAGTTTCTGGCAAGATGAAGAATCTGGCTCGTTGAAGACCTGCTGAGTTGTATGATTGCATTTAAGTAGATCAAGATCGAGACGAGAGGTCGTACTGTTATAATTCTACTGAAAGCTTCGTGTTCGTTCTAAGATGCTAATCAAGACGTACGTTTGGAAGCAGCTGAAGGAGTCCACCGCTAAGTGTCGATGTCGTCTCCTCATGACTCCCTGCGGGGCTAGCCGCACAGCCGTCAGTACTATGTTGCTTAATATCCTGTTGTGTTGTTCTACTTCGATTCGAGAACAGCAGCAGGGCCATCCATGAATAGAGCGGGTGCCTTCTGCTGAGCACGGAGGAAGTCGGATGCGATATCCCAAAGAGCGCATTTACATCACCACTTCTCAGCAATCCACCACGCGAGCAATTTCGTTCGTTGAGGTACGTTGCCCAGAGCCAGGCATTCAAATACCCCGTTTCGAATCTCGCTGAAAGAGTGCGGAGATGGACAGTTAACACGTCGGAGTAAATGGAAAAATACTATGGCGGCCCTAGTCGTACTAGTGCTTGATGCAGCCGTACTAGAGCATGATGAGTCCAAGGGCCCCCCTACCCGTAGCCGTACTAATGCTTGATGCCGCTTGTTACTTAGTGTAGTCGGACATCTTCTTCCTGGAAGAAAGCGTCGAGCCAGTCGAAGCCTAAAAAAAATTGAATCAGTCGCAAGTTGATGACTCAAATAAAGCATCAATTCAAAGCCTGAGAAAGTAGAAAGCAAAAAGGTATAAGATACGCAGAGCACATGGACGCTGCATGACGGCAAATGCGAGGGGATCGAATTCCATTGTGTCCGCGACTGCAACGCCTGAGAAAGGCAAGAGCTTGCTTTTCGCCACCTCTAGTTGTAGCGTTCTGGAATTCCCGGAGCCACGATCAGCAAGCGCACCAAGAACCGGGGACGAATCAGAATCTTCAACACAAGAAAGGTCGTGCACAAGCTGAATAAACTGGGCCATCTCACCCACCATTCCAGCTGGTAACTCGGACTCCTTCAGATTGCTGCTACTATGGTGAGCATTCTCATGTTGTAGAGGAGTTGGCGAAGCGCAGTTCTTAGACAAAGATGCAGTGGAACTGGAAGTCTCTCCATATCCTCTTCTACTCTCGGAGAGCGTAGTGATAGCCGTGCCCAGTGGCGAGTCGAGGAATATCTTGCTAGCCTCCCGAGGATGAAGGCTTAGATGCGTTGTGAGCAGGTACACGCCCAGGCCAAAAAGACTACTCAAGCTTTCCTTAGTCGTAGCGATGGCGCTATCCGAAGCTGTCGGTCTCGGTGGAGGGACTTTGAGTACTACCTGAAGGTCAACAACAAGGTCGTGATGAATGAATCATACATATGCCTTGAAGCAAAGAGAACAGTGCTGGAAGATGTCAAGATCTTCTAACTGTAAAGTGCCTGATCTGCAGGCATCCATCATGTACTATCAGAAAAAAACAGGGGTGAAGGGATAGAGAAGAGCGGAACAAACCAGAAAAAACACAGAGGCACAAGGAGGCCAGGGATAGCTGAATAAGCGCCTCTTGCACAGCTATCTCCCACTACCAAAAGTAGCTTGTGCCAACCGAATGAATCATAAATATTTATACGAAAAGAGCATGAAATGGTTTCTTTGTGAGTAGAAGAATACTCACAAGGACGATAAGGAGCCTGTGGTCTACCTAGAAGGTCAACATCTTTTTAGAAAATTCTTACCTCCAAGAAATATTACTAGATCATCTTGTTCTCAATCTCATTCTTCCGTTCATCTCCTTTACCTCTTTTCCCCTGCTGAAGCAATCCAGTATCTGCGCGGATATTCGGCGAAGCCACTCTTTGAATGAGAATGTATCACCAGGATTAAGAAATAGCTCAGTTTCTTCGATAAGAATTTCTTCTCGTGGGACTGCATGGTGGTCAAAAATGGGAGCCGCGACGTTGTCTCCCATTTTTCGGGAGTTCTTCGTGCCCATATTCTTGTTCGCGGCAGTCGACGATGATCCTTTGGCTCCTGCTTTTTTGTGATGTTTTTGTTTATTCCGCATACCTCCCGGAGGTATCGCTGAAGATGTAGAGGTACTACTGGACCGCACATTGGAAGAATTGTTGTTCTTATCGATTAGTTCCCTGGATTTGGAGGTGCTGCCACCAACCGCGTCTCCGGCTGTCATTGCTGACGTTGTGGTCGTGGCCGAACCGTTTCCGAGCCCATCGATGTAGACTCCAGGAACAATGGCCTGTAGTGCTGACCCGCCTAGGGGAACAATCGTTTGGAAGATTAGAAGAATTTGCTTGCTCATGAAGAGGGGTAGTACGATCATTTGATGAAGATGAATATGAGACTGACATCAACTGCTACTTATTTATAAACTACATTGCTACATCTACATCTAGTACGAAGTTGTGGAAATAAAGGAAACCTCCGAAAAAAAGAAACCTCCGCAGAAAGTAACAAGTACTCTACACCAATAAAACCATAGGGTAAAAGATGGTAGCAAGTCCCTTCCCAATTCGGCGCAGTGTTTTGCGAGGACATGCTGATCCAGCAGTTGGCGGATCTCAGTCTGCGTCGCAGTCGAAGTGGAAGTTGAACTGCGCAGTAACGACCGCGCTTCCGATCGAAATCGGGTTGCAGCACTAGACGTCTGCGCAGCAAAGGTCGACAAGGCGTCAATGTGATGGGTAAAAGGCTGTCGATGGAAGGCGTTATTGGAAAAATCAGTTCTTTTCTCTCCTTGTTGCGCAGCGATGGAAGACACAGTTCTGTTCTCTCCTTGTTGCGCAGCGATGGAAGAACAACTTGAAGACGAGCTCGACGACGTTGATGATGATAGAGCTGCTCCTCTGCTCCTTCGATCGTCAATTTTCTCTGCCTCGTGGTCATCATCTTGATCTTCTTCCACTTGTATCCCAGGTTCGAGGAGAGGCAACAGGTAAGCAAGCAAAGTAAGGACGCCGTGTGTATTCCATGACTCCTCACCACAGTCTTCCACGCGCAAGGATGGATAGACCAAACAGTTGGCAGACGCACAAGGCTGGGCAGCCTCACCAACAATAGAAGTTATGGATAGAAGGTCCTCCATGGCTGAGTTGGCAAACGCAGGCTTGGTTCCGCCAACACTTCCAGAAGATGAGCCCTCCATGGTTGCGACGGCGCAGGTGCAGGCGTACTTGGTATGGTAGGATGCCCAGCACGCGTCCTTGTTCAGTATTAAAAACAAGTTAGTAGAGGGATCAAATCACTTACACAAAAGAACCTGGACGTCCTCTTGTTTGTTTCACGGACGACTGAAGATATGTCACTGTTAAAATCGTTGCCAACCTATCATCCTTTTCTTGTGATGATTGTACCCTCTCCTCCACTCCAGCAGGTCAAGCAGATGTACTCACTGAGACCAACACAGCATCGTTTTCCTACTACAATTTTCACATTGATTCACGAGGACAGATAAAAAGTTCTTGCACCACGGCGATCTTCATGTTCAACACAGCAGCACAACGACCGGCATCATGCCCATGAACACTTTGGAAGTAAACACAGAGGACCTTAAGCCTCAGAGAGAAAGTCATGTGGCTTGTCGTATATTTCTATCTTCAAGAGAACAAGTACTACCGCTTAGAGTGTATAAGTGAAAGACTTGAGCAGCATCAAGAGGATGTATGAGAGAGAGGAATGCAATTTGTATCAACAAACTTCTACCTGTGTTGAAGAAATCGAGTGCGTGTACGCATTACAGCATCAGCATGATGGACTTTAAAAAATTCGGGAGCCACGACAACGGTACTAGAGCAGGCATCTACAACACTATCTCAAAGCTAGAGCGAGATGTGCATGTCCATGCTCCTTCTTCCGATCGGCCACTTTTCCTCGTCCGGTTCACGAAAGGCATCACATCCTGTCAGGTTACCCCGAATCTCCGTCAAGATATCAGACCACGTTCGACTGCGGTCGTGATCCTCGCTACGGCCTGCCGCAACACTCACACTGCGAGACGAAGGTTGCTTGTTCTTGTTCCCGAAAGTGACGTCATACCCGCTCCACGCTGTGTCGAATGGCCACAGACGGAGCATTTCTGTGGCGTGCATACAATGCCAGGGATGGACTGGGAGTCGGACGTTCCAAGCGGCTTCGACAATCGGCCTCAAAAGCGTGTTGTGAACGAAATAGGCGTCTTCGCCACGATGCAGGAAAACGAGAGCAGGTTAGAAGAAGCAGGAGGACAAGCACGATGAAAAGGTAGACGAGGTCAATAAACTCTAGTCGAATATTTTCTCATCCTTCATTTCGTTGGGCGTTGACTACCTGAAACAGGAATAGATGAACTCAAAACTAAGTTGCACTACTAGTTGTATGGAAATTGAAACGTATCCACATCGAGTGTCAAGATCAAGATCAACAAGTCGTTTCTACTCCTTCGCGGCCGTAAGAGTGCGTCTCTCGCAACAAATCGACAGCGGCCTGCAACGACATGCCCTGAAAGGGCATGTGCCGATTACGCATCAAGAAAACTTGTCTCGAACTCCATGTATCGTTTGATGTCTTGGATAGTTCATCTGGGACTGTAGCTGTGTCAATACTAGGTGAAGAAGAAGCTTCTCCTGGTTGCGGCTGTAGTGTACTAGGTGTTTGACTTCTACTTCGAGATTGAGGCTCTGGTGGCTCTTGCGCTAGGGGGGCAGGAGATTTCGTATTTCGTCTCGTTTCTGCCGGTGGAGACTTCCCCCAATACCGCAGTGGCGGATGAAACAAGCCGTTTACCTCTACGCAGTAGATCAGCACGTCGATCTTGCGATCCTCAGTGTACTCTACCACACTTTTCAGTATGTCGTAGTCGTGGCTGTCAATGTCCACCTTGACGAACTCGATGACCTTAGTCCTTTTAGACCTAGTCTGAACGACCTGAGGACTCGATGTCGTAGGCGTTTCCGTTTTCGTTTTTTCGCTTCCCTCCTGGTCGTGAACGAACCATCCTGCGTCATCAACAAAAGCAGGTATGTCTTCGGGAAAAGCAGGCTTATTCACGTATTTCATGTTTTTCTCCCACCGGGTGCAATCACCTGTCCACTCAGGGTCGAAACCTACGCCCTTTAATGGCGGCGAATTAACCAATGACGCAAATTCCCTGAAAACATGTTGATGCTTTGTCTGTTCATGTAGTAGTTTTGTGAGGGTGAACGGCTGTTCTGCTGCGGTGACATCGGATGAAATCTTCGCGTTTGCGTTGTCGTTGTCGCTGGCAGGTGTAGGTGATGGTTCTAGTATTAAATCTTGATCACGATAATCTTCTGCAGTTGCTGTGCCTGCACGTATGGCTCTTTTCCGGCGGTGCCTAGCCAAGGCATTGTACTCGCTGTATTCCTTGGCTGCATATGAAGACAAGGTGTAGATGAGTGTTGTTTTTCCATCAAATCAAAATATTAATATTTTTAAAATCTATTTGTGTACAACTCAGCCATAGCCATTCTACTGTGAGCCGTACTAGGTGTAAGGAACGAGAAGGGGAAGCGGAAGGCACTAGGTTGTAAAATGAGTCACCCTCCTCGTCGAGCTGCTCCTGCTAGACAGGAGTTGTTCTCCTATCACATCCACGCATAAACTGTAGATTCCGCGATGCGAAAGCAACAAGAAAAGCGGATCGAATTCGTCGCAGTTTTGCAAGCCAAAGTTGAGGAAGTGGCCAGAGCGCAACCCATAGGGAATCAACGCTCGTAGTGCCAAAAAGTCCCTCCCCTGTGCGATATTCAACTTGTGACCCACTGCGTTCATCGTTGTCATCACGATATCTCGGTACCAACCTGGACGTGGGTCTTCTACGAAAGTAGCGTCGTTATCTTGCAGCTCATCGGCAGTACCATCTAACTGCGGAAAGTCCAAGCTGCTCCAATCCTCTCGAACTCGAGTCTTTTCCTCCAGTGTCCCCGATGCGCGATCGACGCCTGACTTTCGGGCTTGATATTCCAAATCTTCTGCGCAGACAGCTAGAGCACGCAGACTATTATCCCTAGGTCGAGGAGGAGCGTAGACGTTCTTCTTCGCATCGTCTTTGTTTAATACTTCCGCTGAAGCAGGTAGTTTCTTCATACTTGGCGGAATCGAAGCTCCGGCTAGGCCATAAGCCTTGAAGTCATGGCCACGCCCCATGACCGCACGTCGCAGAAGCTTCCGCCGGAAGCGATCAGTCGCGGTCAGATTTGGCTTTATGAAAGAAAAAAGTGCACTCACACTCAAAAAAATTAGCTATTTTCCTACTTAAATCCTACCCAATTTCTTGAGTGTGAGTGCACTTTTTCGTTTCATAGGCTTGTACCAGGAATTGCGATCATGGATCGCCGATAGACGCAAATCGTCGAACGATAGCAGTGCCTCGACGTTCTGGAGGAGTGTCAGGAGGCAAGATTTCGTGGAGGACGACTCACTCTGGATGGCTTTTTTCGCTCCACCACGAAGGACTAACTCACGTATCAGCAGGGCCATTTCTTCCGCTGATCCTACGACAGGAAATTCTTTGTTCTCGATGTTCATCTTCTCCGTAGAAGTGCTTGCGCTTGTTGCATCCGTGTTCTCGCAAGAGCTCGCCACAATGCTTTTTAGGTGTGCTGCAATAGTGTCAGGACCTGTCTCGTCATCTGATGCAGAAGTCCATCTCTTCAACACTCCCAAAAGAGTATGTCGTATTTCACCGACCAGGTCCTTCAGATTTTCCAGCCATTCCATATCCCGCAGATGCTCTTGTAGGCCGTAGGTAACTAGCAACCCGCCGAAACGGCGTTCAAGACTCATGATGACGTCTTCCCGTCTCTCCTTGTCGCTTTTGTTAGGCTCCCCCTTTTCGTTTGTAGTCGTGGCCAATGACGTAGCAACGGTTTCTGACGCTACTTGTGCAACGTCCTCCACCGTGTAGCGCATTTCGGGATCCCATTTATCCAGTATCCAAGTGGAGGAGATCGATGCTCTTGTAGTTTCTCTGTTTGTAGATACAGGAGACGTCGCAGAGTTGGCGGTGGCTGTCTTGACCTTCTTGGCATGCGCCAGCTGTTCTTGCTCAGCTTGCCATTGCATATTATTCCGCATCATGCTGCGAAACAATACTCCACCAGTGTCGGTGTAGTTCCAATGAAGGTTAGGAGTGGAACCAGACTCCGTGGAACCAGACTCCTGCCTCTGCGTGACGTACCAATTATCGAAGGAGCGCGATGCTGTATAACCCTCAAAAGAGCCGCAGAGCTTCGAAAGAGGCTGTCGTTCGGGAAGTTCGCTCTCGTAGTCGTTCGTCATGAAAAGTACGCGCACTCGTGCCCCGATGATCGCACGGTCTCGAGGGTGGTACTGCGGTCGCAAGGAAGTTCGATCTTCGACATCTTCACCCCCTTCTACAACCTGGGACGATGACGTTGAGGTTGACCCTGAGCCTGCATCAGCGTCCCTTCTCTTCATCTCAGTTCGATTCCTCGCAATTCCGACTCCACGAGGAAGGCCATGTTTTGTAGATCTTCCGATGCCAGCTTGTAGGTCGTGCCAATAGGGTGTAGAGATGCAGTCAACCGAAGGGTCTACGTCTATCGCTTTCCTGTCATCGCTATTTGGATCCTGCAATAAGGGGTTTCCGCCACGATCCTCAGGTGCTGTTGTTCCACTTCCTCCACTTGCACCAGTACTATGATCACCATCACTACTACTAGTACTAGTACTAGCACCATCACTACTACTACTTGCACCAGTAGGATCACCATCACTTGCACTAGCACTGGCGGCAGCTGCAGCACCTCCAGGTGGAGGTGCATTTTTCCGAGAGCGATCCCATTGTTTGGAAAGTTTGTATCGCCTTTGGATTTCCTCTTCATCGCTCAATCGTGGATTGCCCATGAAACAGGCCTTCGCCAGACGATCCCATTGCCAGACGTGGCACACTCTAGAGTACTTCCCCAAAACACACTGTCGTTCGCATTCTCTGCCTTCATCGATCTCCAGCACACGTTTTAGACCGGGACAACGCCACCCGTCGAGATGTGACCAAACTACAGGAGAATAAAGGGCAGAAACGACTCGCAGACGCTTGCTTTCTGCTTCACTGAGAGGTGGACCGAGCAGTGTTTGTGTTCCACTTCTTGAAGACGAAGCTTCTGCTTCATCTTCCGCGTGTATGACTTTGCGCTTCCCTTCGCCTTTTCCTGCCTCTACTGCACTAACGACAGCTACAGCTTCTCGCGATGAAGAAGCAATACTACTCCGAGAAGAAGAGGCCGGCACTCCTTCACTTCTTTCTACGAGAGCTTGAATATCGTTGAAATGGTAGCTGTGTAGATCAAGGCCGTCATGCTCGCGGTCCCAGTACCCTGTTGTCCTCTGGTGCTCAGGTAAGTGCAGAAAGTCAGCACGCGTTAGATACGAAAAGGCCTCGGCTACACCAACCTTTCGCGGTACTACACTCACAACGATGTCCTCGACGTCGCGTTCAGCCTCGAAAACTACGCCGTATTTTGTTCGTAATCGTTTTTCCCACGAAAAGGTATTGAATACCCGCAACTGGAGCTCGTCAACGTCAAACACGATCGAAAAGAGAATGACAATGGAGCGCCAATAGCTTCCTACGCGTCGGCGCGTGCGACACGCAATACCCAAACGACCAAGCGCCGGGGCCAGCATCGTTCTGCACTGTGCTGGCCCTTCCTTTCAGATCAATGACAGGTGGAGTTGATTTCACATGATAGTAGATACATTTTGACAGGTGGAGTTGATTTCACATGATAGTAGATACATTTAGTTGATCGCAATTCCCAAAGCTGGCTCTTCACTGCAGAGCTGTAGCTTCCTCATGATCTTCAACATCATCAAGATCAACGGACAGATCGCGTGTGATCAACAGCCACCCTCGGTGCATGACATTCTGATCATTCATCGTAGCGCTATCTCTGAGAGATAATCTCTCCAGTACGCCTGTTGTTCGGGTTACGAAGAACAACCTCGAGTTTATGCCACGTCGTGTCCTTCTCAACAAATTTAATTGAATCAATCTATCTTGAAAAAATCGTGCGAATCAATCACCTTTTTGATACACGACGATGGCCTCAATCCAGCACTGCACCTTGACAACAGCAGACCACTCCTGAACAAAGTCTAAGTCATTTGAGCAGGTGGAATATCTATATCAATATCATCAAGCGTCACGACGAGTAAGTCCTCCTCCTGCACCGCCGCCTGCATTATCAAGCGGGAGCCAACCGTGGATGCAAGTCGTCTTTATGAAATTGCATCACAGCGCGTTCGTGGGTAAAGGATCGGTACCCCCAGTCGCCACGATAACTGCCGAAGCCACTGGTTCCAACTCCACCAAATGGCAACGTTTCGCCAAGCATATGCACAATACAATCGTTCACTGCTACGCCTCCTGAGCGGATGCTGCTTGTACTATGAAAGGAACAAGTGCTGATCAAGGAAAAGCAAGTAAGTAGACTATCTAGTAAATATAACGTTGATCCACAATGTCATGCGTATGTCCCTGATATGACCATTCTTGGCCACCGTAGAGACAGAATGGCAGCCGACACGAGGTCAACTCCCACAACGAATGCCCGCCAGCCAGGCCTATGTTGACATTCCCTCTCACCGAGAGGTAGAAGGGACGGAAAGACGAGTCGTTAATGATCTACAAGAACAACTCTTTTTCTTCTACACCTAGAACCTACTAGTCTTCAAACTCATCTACAACTTCATCCACCCAGTCCCAGTCATAAAGTACAGCTTCGATGTTCTCCTTGTCGGTTTCCGTGTCGCCGAAGACGTATAGAGCGAGTGGCTCGCCACAATCCCGTATTTCAGTCGAAGATGACGCATCTAGAACGTCCTCTTCCAGATTGTCATAGACGTTGACCGCTGCCAGTGGCCCAAAGACCTCCTCGCGTCTCAGCTTGGAACTAGCCGATGCACCTAGCAGGAAAGAGGGCGCAATGTAGCGATCGGTCGCGTCGGCTGAGCTGACCGAGTCGTAAGGAGCAAGGTTCTCTACCTCACTAGATGACTTAGATGAAGAGTTGTTGCCCCTAGAAGTACTTAGTCCGTCCCTGTACGATATGCAGCTTGTGGAGGTTTTCCCCTGTAGTTTCTTGAGGAATTCACATCATAGAGGAATCCACACACAGTGCTACAAACTACTTACTCTGTTATGATTGAGGAACGAATCCGCAGCCACGTAGAGATGGAGAAGAACGATTAGTGCGTGGGACGAGCCTTAACAGACGACATCGCGTCTTTGAGCATTTCGTGAACCCTTTCGAAATGTCGTCGGGAGACTAAACGCGCATACCTGGGACTAGCCTGCGGATTCTCGCCTAAAAACTCGAGACAGGTATCACGTATCAACTGTCGGAACTCCGGAAGAAGGCTCCTCGGCAAATAGACGTGGTCCGGACTGACGCAGAACTGTCCCACATTCTGGATCTTAGCGTCCACGAGCTTGCGCACACAAGTGCGCAAGTTTGCTGAAGGCAAAATGATGACAGGATTCTTCCCACCAAGTTCCAACGTCACGGGCGTCAGGTGTTCTGCAGCAGCCTTGTAAATGATCCGACCAACAAAGGTGTTACCAGTGTAGAAAATGTGTCCAAAGCGGTGTCGTAGGAGTTCAGTTGTGTGCTCTACTGCGCCAAAGACGGTGCGAACGAAGTTTTCGTCCACCTGAGATTAGTGGAACTTCCGAAGTACTTGGTGGTTGTCATTGTAGTTAAGATCAAAGTTATAGCAAAATGCTGCAGCACATGCACGACTGCCGCACACTCGTACAACATGATATTCATGCTGGTGCTAGTTGAATCTATCATGTGGGCGAACCTAAACTTAAACAAAACTCCTACAACATTAACGAGATCGAGAATCACCTCCTGCTCCAGGATACATGATCTATAAAATAAAATGGTACATATTCTTTCAAGCCCTTCTGCATCGCACAAGAGGTTTCGTGACAGATCTCGTTCAATTTTAGGACGACAGGACAACCTGCTGCAATGGCCGTAACCAGAGGCTTGATGTGCAGAGGCAACGGGAAATTCCAAGTGCCGATTACGAGAGCCACTCCTTTCGCTTCCTCTCGCACGAAAGCAGCTTCCGCACGGCTACCAGGTGCAGGAGCGGATGGAATCATGGAGCCACAACTCGATGAAGACGATGAAGTGGATGATGCCGTAGAAGCAGCTGAAAAAATTGGTGCTTTTTTCATCGTTGTTTCGGACCGAACGAAAGTCGAACTATCAAATATTAAGTCCTTGTCCTGACCGCCCTTGGAATAGGTATTAGCTTCAGCCTCGCCAACATTTTCATCATCCGACGCACCAGAGGACAGGTAGTTCAAGTACCAGTCGCACGTAGCCACACAATTTCCACGAACGATATCGTGGTAGGGTTTGGGACGTCGCAAGTCGGCCCATTCAGCTTCCTGCAACTCTGGCGCGCGCTCCACTAGAAACTTCTTGATCTGAGAAATCAATGCTCTTCGTGCGGCTAAAGGTATACGGCGCGGCCGATTTCTGGAGTCGTGCAGGCTTCGGATCGCTGCCTCGATATCGCCGACCGGAGTCCATAGAGGCGACGCAACTTCGCCGGCAGCAGGTGCAGACGAGGATGATGCATTCATGGTGTCGCCGGCCATGTTAGTGATGATCTTTGACGGTTAAGAAATAAATGAAGAATCTGTAGTTTTCGAAATAGAAAAATTCTGGAACTCTCTCTCTCTCTCTCGTCGTTCTCGTTGCGCACTCTCAGTCTCACTCTCAGTCCCAGAAATTATAATAAATATGTATCATGAAAATGATATGTTCTACTGCTTCTACTGCTTTATTATTTAGAAATCATGCTTACTTATCGAGAAAAAGGATGTTGTAAGTCTCCATCTTCTGTATCAGTTGTGGCACAGAAATCATTTTCTCGCTTTTTTCGTTCACCTCGACACGCACTGCAAGATAGACCGATCCTTAGCATTGTTGATCTCTTCCAAGAAGATCGCATTATTTACCGCAGGAAGAACATCCTTGCTGCGGTCGTTGTGTCAGTTACAACAACGTTTCATCAATGTTTGTTGTAAGTAGTCGGGTTATTCTCGCTGAAAAAAAGAGCGGGTGCGTGGACGTCGAAAGCGAAATCATGAGGAAAGTAATCTAGTCGTAAGTCAGTGTAACGTGGTTCCCATTTTGGCTACTGTGACAAACTCAATGCACGATCGCCGTCTGGGCGAAGTCACTCTTTGCAACTCCAAGCAGCTTTCAACCTGAAGAATACTCACGAGAGGAAAAAATCAATTCATTATACCACTCACACAACTAAGACGAAGGATGATCCTCGTACCTCGTTAGTCGTGACGATGACAGCATCATCATGATCAAAGAGAAAGAGAGCTGCAGGAATAGTGCTCGCATTTCGCATTTGTTAAGACCACTAAATCGTGGTCTCGTTGTTCCCAACCACTTACTTACATGTCAGAAAGGATTGCTGCTTTCTGGCGTTACAACCAGACCATTATAACGCCGCCCGACGTGGTAGTGGTGGTGGTAATCATGTCAATGCTCAACTTGAAGTAACGAAGTTTAGTAAGTACTCTAGACAACCGAAAGAAGCTACAACGCCACAGATAGGCTCAACAATGATTGATGGCTGAATCGAAATGATCACCACGTTTTTTAAGTGATCATGTCCTCTTCAATAGCAAGTCTTACGACCTTCCTCTTCCAACACCTTCCTCTTCCACCACCTTCCTCTTCGTCGTCGACCCTCGTCTAGAACAAATCCTCCAAATCTTCCATCACCATTCCTCCCGACGGTGGCGCCAGAATTGGACTGCCCGCCTCTAGATAGTGTTCCTCGTGGTCACGATGTTGGTGGTCAATGCCAGGTGATGTTGTTGTGGAGTTTGTTCCTCCACCAACGAGTGAGAACCCGCCTAGAAAATCGTCATCATCGTCATCCCACGCAGCAAAATATCTCCTTTTTTCCTCCGCTTCTGACACATACCGCACCTCAACAACGTCATCAGCTTTGGCTCCTGTCTCTTCGTCAACAACGGGATAATGCTCAACTCCGATTCCCACTTGCCTATTTGCTCCTCGACTTCCACGTCCACCTTCTATGGTCCTTGATGTTGAGAAAGACGGCTTACTCCTCCTACTTTGATTGCTTCGTCTGGAGGGTGTCGCGTCTCCTGCGGGAGGGCTGAGGTTCGATATTGCCGGTGAAAGCTTTACTGCATTGGAGGCCTGTCGGGAGAGGTCGTCGTCGATAGCAAAAAGGAGCTCTTGCTCATGCATGACGATGTCTTCCTCCATCAGGACATCCTCATGCAAATGGATAGCTCCTCCTTCCACCTCAACTCCTGTCGCCAACGCAGCTCTTCCTCGACTGCTGGTGGGGTCACTAAAAGATCCACCTCCACAACCGCTGGAAGATCCTCCTGTGCCACAGCCTGAACCTGGCGAGGGCACGCTTCCACCGCACCCAGCAGAAGACGCAGCACTGCCACAACCTCCGCCAGATGAAGCTGCTCCTCGTCCGCCAGATGAAGCTGCTCCTCCGCCACAAGATTCATCCCCAATTGCCGACGACGTCGCGTTTTCCGTTCCGCAAGAACCGCTAGAGGATGACGATGACGTAGAGGCCCCTCCAGCACAGGCAGCTCCTCCTCCTCCTATGTTAATACCCGCCATATGAGCGCACGTGGGACACAGAGTATTAACATCCCCAGCACCTCCAACCAAGACTCCTGGTGTGGGAGCAGGACGAGCCAGGGGTTTCTCCGTACTTGGTCCTGCAGCCACAGTAGGAGTACTTGGTGGAGAAGATGTTGCTGTAAAACTCCTGTCGTGGCCGTGCTGACTGGTGGAGTGAGTTGTTATCGTCCTGGAATCGAGTCCGGGAGCGGATGATTTTTGCTTCGACGAACCTGCTCTGACAGTTCCCAGTCCAACCATCCGCAGAGCCGTGTCTAAATCTACAGGGGGATTGTGATCTATCCTATCACCATCAGGCCTAGTATCTTTGTTTATGCGTATCGTGTCGCGGTCGTCTAATTCTTGTTCCCCCGACTCATCTCGTCTTCTTCGTCGACCGTAAATGTCGTCTAATCCTTGTTCCCCGCCCGACTCCTCTCGTCTTCTTCGTCGACCGTAAATGTAATAAGCCGCTGAGCCAAGCAACGTCGGCACCGCGAATGCAGCTAAGGCGGCCAAAACAACGGAGGAAATCCTACCAGCTTTCTGTTGAGCTTGAGAGGACTCCATTTTTTTATTAGGTTTAGGATGATGACTGGTGCGTTCTGAGATGACAACGTAGAGTAACTACTTAACCGTCAGTGAAGTAACAGGTGCGCGTGCGTCGACAATTATAATCTATAGATGATAGAAATAATCAGTTGAACATACATGATGAATTTCGAATGTTCTCGTTCTATCATGATGAAAAATGGAAGTGGTGTACTACACGCAACGAGGCAATGTCTATAACGCCCACATCATCAGGGGGAGTCGATGAATTAATTCATAGGGTGAAACGGACGGCCTGACGATGTTGTCGAAGAAGATGAAAAGAGGATGCAGATTGTCATCGTAAGTAGAATAAGTAGATACTAGAATTGGATGAGGTTGAACGACCGCAGGGATCGTAAAAAGCGTGGTAAGGAACTGATATCATTTACTTACGAATAAGCGTAAAATCTACTTAAGTTGGCAAACAAGAAATGCTGATCTAAATCTTTCTTGGTGATAATTGCGATCGACATTTTTCGTTTTGCTTTTTCATCACCTCTTTTCCTCTAGTTGTACTATGAAAATTCATCCGAGCAGAACTGTTATCTCAAATTTTGATTTCTGCGAGCGAACTGGTCGGGGATGGGGCGAAACTTCATCATGATCTTCATGGTGAACACGCCTCTTTCTCGAAGCTTTATCCTTGCGACTTAGATCTTTTCATTTTGTTTCCTTCCTAGTATTTTGATGTTCACACTTACTGGAAGATATTCTTATTGGTCCTGCCTAGTATCTATAATGTATTCGTAATTTTTTCATTGATTCTCACAGGCACCTCCTAGGGATCCCTACAACTCATCTACTTACTTCTCTTGCAGAGCATTTGTACATTCAAGATTTCTTCAATCAACAACGATCATCAAGAGTCATGAAACAAGAACGTTAACGTCGAAAGGTGGAGACTAAAAAATAATCAACAAGAATCATTCACAACAATAGTGGCAAAGTTCGTGTTTTATTTTGTGTTAAAAGAGATGAAAGTGAAACAATGGATGGTGCGGACGGGTGGTTAACGAGCATAGCTATCTTCTCCATCCTTTTTCTTCCCGACTGGTTAAGGACATGAGGATAATGAGTCAAAAAAAGATCATGATATTTCACTTCCTTTTTCTTTAACACGAGGAGGAGCTGCTGCTCGACAACAACATTTTTACAATTCATTCGTTGATGTTTGATGTACGATAACGATTATTCACTCTAACGACTACAACTTATTCGATGCTCCGATTGACATGGAATCGTCTAAGTAACAGCTGTTGTTTTATCAACTAAGTCGGACTTTTCAAATTGATTTTGATTTTGATGCAGTCTAGTACTATAATTAATTGACTGATCTAAGACGGTGATTACAGTTAATCCAAGCCTTCATCTATACTGTCCCTCCTGCAACATCAAGAAACCGAATAATCTAAACGCACACGCAAGAGGAAGGAGACTGGTGGAGAAGGAACCTCCTGGGATGAGCGTCTTGTAGTAAAAGTTAATATTTTAGTTGAATGAATCATGGGTCAGGGTCATTTTGATTTTCTAGTTATTGTATTTCTTGTGATGTAGTAGTAGTTGAAGATAGACCCGTGGGTTCTGTTTTCTATCGAGAGCTGTCACGATCATATTGCAACTTTCTTATTCTTTCTGGGGAGAGCTAGAAGAATCTCGTCTTTCAGATTCAGACTTGCGGTACCGAATCAAGTACCACGCTCATGCTATTGCTTGCACATGGGGACTTCCACCCATGCAAGCATTCTGTAGAGAGGAACCTGCGTAAGGCCTCATAGAGGTAGACAAAATCATCTTGTTCAAAATACGAATTAATTTTTTTTTACCTTACTTTTCTCAACATCTACTTGTTGCTGTAAGTATTTTTCTAATATGACGACCTAGCTTGCAGTATCAATTCATTGACCTCACTACTTTTACTACAAGAACATAATGGCAGCTCCATCTACTTCCTCGGTGTACTAGAGGCGACGAACTGCTCTCCTTCACCTATTGCTGCTCCGCGCAAGAGTAGACACCGAAGAATTCGTAGATGTGAGGCCTGCGTGGCCGATTTTGGCTAGGTTGTGGCTAACAGGGGCGAGAGGCTTGTATGGTTTCAGAAAGCCTCCGCCTCCAGTTGTTGTAGTTGTTGTGGTGCCCGTAGCGCGTGTAGTCGCTGTCGCGGAAGTAGTCCCTGCTCCTGCGCTGTTGCGACTTCGTTGGATTACCTTGAAGAGAGAGAAAATTGATCATCATGAGAAGAAGGCCTAACGCGCAGAAAGCAGGTTCTTGCATTGTAAGCTAGCAGGGGAGGTTAACATCAGCATCTTCAACATGTAGTAGTTGTTGTAATAAAAATATACTAGAATCCATATCCAATAGTACCGTAGTCGTCGTTGGTGGACCCAGCAAGGACACTGCGCGTAATCCCACCTCTCCGTCAGATGGGACGCGTCTTCTTCCACGTTTCGGAGAGATCTCCTCAACAGGTAGAGCTTCGCCGTAGGTCGTGTGTTTTTAGAAGATCATGCAAAAAGTTGTAAGTAGATTAAGTAGAAGTGACAAATTTTCGATTATTTCTTGTGGAGGAAGAAGTTCACGTTTTGTTGATTCTAGGTTTATTTCACATTGATTCCAGGATTCTCTCTTTGAAAAAGTGATGAAGATCTCAATAAAGTCAACGCTCCTGCTCCAACCCTATTAACACTAACTGCCGTAATTATAGCTCGACGTTGGATATGGCCTCGTGCTGTTTGCGTGAGGTTTCGCTGAAGACGATGGCAGAACGGAGCGATGCTGGCCCTCATGCAGAGGCTCTCTCGTCCCATAGGTGGTCGTCGCGGTAGAAGGCCTGTCCCTGGTGCCCTTGTTCCGTTGCTGACGTTTTGTTATCGCTGTTTCCTTCATCAGATTGCTCTTACCTGAGTGACAGTGAGGGACCGTTCATGAAGATGAAAGTAGAAAGAAGAAGTCAAAAAAACAAGGTTATTAACATACAATACGCATACGCAGTGAGAAAATTATCGATCAAAAAGATGAAAACAAGGAGCCAATACTTCTGGCTCTAGCATAGAGTCAGTACGGTCGACATCCTCCATATTGGCGCCTGGTTGTTGATGCCAGCTCATCACTCGAGACTGCGCGTTCCACTTTACAGGACCCACCTCCTGCACCGCTTTCGTTCCTCGCTTGAGAAATGGCTTCTTTTCACGCGGTGGGTCTTGCTCCCGGGGTGGTGAGTAGTCGCTTCCTGTAATATTTTTTCTTAATCAACATAGCGAGTGATTCTAATGGTAATGATCATGTTCTTCATGGATATAAATGATGCTAGAAAGCTGTCCGCTATATTTCTACTTCTACTTCGAGGTCTAGCTACTTACTTAATTCTAACATAGTTTAACTGTTAGACGACATAGATACTGATGAAACGAGAAGGACTACACATCGACTAGTTCAAGCCATCTAGTTCCAGTCTACCCGCCCGGCTGTTTGAGTAAGTTACTGACGAGGACACTAATGCGAGTAGTTCTTTCTAGCCCCGGCCCGCCATAAATCAAGCGCGTCACTTCGTTCCTTAGCGACTGCATTAATACAGAGACGGGCACCAGCACCGTGGCCACGAAGTTGATCGCAATAATCGAGCAGAACGAAGCTAGCAAACACACTCATAACCGAGCAGGGGCACCACGTCCATGGAGTTCCATCCAAGATTTTGATCCATCAGGCGGGGGCTTCCAGATAGTTGAATACATAGTAGATGCATCGCACCAAACGGCCCCAGGATCATGAAAGAAACCGACAAGCAAAGGCTGGCCTGCAGTCGTGGCGTCATAGATAAGACGCTGACCATGAGAACAGTAGCCCCATGCGCACCATCCACAAGTCAACAGAAATACCAACGCACGAGGTCGAGGCAATGAGGTAGCGCTAGCGCATGCATTTAGCCAAAACACCCGGGCGCCATAGATAGAAACCGACGCGGTCGCAGTGTCATGGGTCAGGCGTCTGCCAATGCAGCTACAGCACAGATAGAGAAAGCGCGCCCGTTTATCAATGGCTTTCTTCTCAGTTGTCGTTAGATACACCTCCCGCATCGTCGCCGTAGCGGTTTCGAAGTATTTCCGGAATCCGACCCCAGGCCTCGAGCTCGATATATCCCGCCGGGTGCGATTTGTCTAGAACATCCATAGCCACGCGGCCACTGCATCCGTCTGCTGCAGCACATCCGTGCGCGAGACGTTAAAGTTTCGCACTGTCCTTTAATTGCCGCCCTGTCCCAATTGCACCCAAACCCCACGACACGGGCGCAATCCTCAGCTTCCCGGTGATAATATCGGCCCCGTTCGCATACTTGTTCCGCACTTCCGAAAAGATACTAGTAAGAAAGACACGCTTCCGCTCCTGAGATCGCAGCCCGACTCCTCGCTCCAAATATGGCATATTATGCGCGCAATGTCAAAGCCCGGCAGGCCTGAAGCTGAGACAACTGCACTGAGCCGCAATTGGTAACGCCAACTCTCGCGAATCAAAAAGAGTAAGAAAGTTGTAAGCTGGCCCCTGGATGTTGTATATTGCTAGGACATACATAGTGGGCACGGGTGACGCGAGGCGTGGCTTGAGTGAAATTGGCCCGCTACTTGGCGAGACCACTGGGAACCAAAGTGCTGCGCTAGAGTGCGGCGCCCGATTGTAGAACAGGCGCGCGAGCTCTGGGGTCTACGTGCTCGGAATTGGTAATATATGACCAGACTCCGCATCTCTGTCAGCTTGCCGGCCCTACTCTTATCGGCGTCAGTGATCAGACACCCAGGCCACGGCCTCACGCCTAAGGGATGCACAGGCGCCGCGCGCAGGTCGTTACAGTTAAGAGAATACCGCCACACTTGTCAGCCTTCCACTCAGAATTATCATCGCCACGGCCGCCAATGCTCACGCGAGCATTGATCTATTTTGGCCCTTCAAATAGTACGTCCTCACTACTTAGATAAAATCCCAGAGAGTGCTAGCCCTCATCGATGCGGTTCCAGCCTGCGGCGAATGAGTTGCATGATCAGCGTGCACGCTAAGGCATCACATCGATCCACCAGGTTAAAAACTGACGCCACTCACCCCAGCGAGCAAAAACCCCACAGACAGAGACGAACGCCCAACGAACGCCATGCACGGGGGCCCGGGGGCTCTGCGCTCTTTCTGGCTCCCGTAAAACTTTCGACCGACAACCTCGCCCGCAGGCGATACGCAGCAAACTTCGCGCCCACCGTTTAGGTGCCCGCGTCCGCCTCAGCCATTGGCGGGCTGCTGGTTTCCAAAGCAGAGAGACACAGACCAGAGAACGAGAAAAAGCCACGAGGCCTTCCGGCCCCAAATCCCAAACGCATGGCAAGCGTGCGGCAAACAGTGAAAAGCGTGGCCAGTGCTTAGCTGAACGCCCGGGGCCGCTGCTGCTTCCGAGGCGCCGCCGCGCGCTCTAGATGAAGCGGCGGCATTGATTCCCGAAGGCTTGCGCATTGCATCCCGCATGTCGCTGAAGTTCCCTCTTGCCCCCATGATATAACCCATGCCAACAGCGAAGGCGGCGGGAGCCGGGCTGCCTGCTCGCGGTAGTTGAATCCTTCCCAATCAGAAAGCGCAAGCCCCGCTGCACTTTCGCCGGATTTCACGCCCAAGACGCACCCGCGGCATTCTCCGGAGTCAGCCCCAGAACTTCCGAGCTCTCCCTCGTCCTTCGCTGCCTCCTGCGCCTGCTAATCAGCGCCAGCACCCCACCTCAGTCATCAAAGGCAAAGCCAGCAAGCGCAAGCACCGACAAGCAACCTACGGCGGGCCAGCTGTCCGCGGGCTCAGAACGAGAACAACCACCCAGCTACCGCTGCAAAGCAAGAAGCACACACCGCCCAGCTTGATCCATGCGGCCAGCTGTCCGCGGGCTCAGAACGAAAACCGCCACCCAGCTACCGCCGCAAAAGATAAGAAGAAGCGCGCACCAGCTTCACCCATTTCCCCCTCCGTCACCTGCAGCATGAGATGAAGAACCGACACACAAGCGGCGCCGCCCCTGGCCCAGTGCAGACCGTGCCACCTGCGGAAGCCGCTACAAAGTCACCCCAAAGCCGACCAAGCAAAAGCGCCCGCGATGGCCTTCGCAGCACCTGCGTGGTCCTGTTCTCTAGCGTTTGCAGCCACTGCCCGCAGGCAGAGGGGGGCCCCCTCTGAGTGAGCTGACTGTCTGCGAAAGTCGAGCGCGGAGCTTTCCTATCCAGCAAGGCCTCGCTGGCCAGCGTGGCCTTTTTTGCTGCCTTCAGTCCACGCAAGCCCTGCCAGGTGTTCCGCCATGAACGACATGCGCACGCTCTGCGCGTCGGCGGCTAAGCCTGCCAACGCAAGCCGCTCCCGCTTTCGCCTATTCCTATGGGGCAGCGAACGCCCCCCATTTTTCTCACATGCCTGCACCAGGTGGATCGGTGTCGTCGTCTTCTATCTACTATTACCGGCTGGCAACAAGCCGCGCGCCGTGGACGCAGATTGAGCAGCGGGGCCAGGGCGTAGACGGCGGGCGAAACTGACTCGCGCGGGGAGTAGCCCACCCGCCGTTGTCGTCGCTATCAATCGGAGCCCAGCACGCGGCAACGCTTCCAACGGACTCAAGGTTCTGACTAAGTAAGGCACGGCTTCACTTGCTCCACCTGCACCAACCACGCCAGAGCCTGCAGCGGCACGCTTTCCAGCCGCAAAAGCTTCCGCCGCCGAACCGATCACACCAGAGGCATGGCCACGCGGTCGGCTGGCTTCCGGATTCTGTTTCGCAGAACTGCCCGCGCTCCTCTTGTTCGCGCAGAATTGTGCTTCTTTTCATTCTTCTCCTCTTCAATTATTTCCGCGCCGTGGTCTGCTCGTATTTCGTTTCTTCTTTCTTGCCCTTCATCATCTCGGGCCAAGAAGTGGGGAACAGGCGCAGCTTTGGCTTCGTCGCTGATGTCTTTTGGAAGGCTCAGAAGGCTGCCTAAGACACTAAGATAGAAGCGCCCAGCGCTGGCCGGCGCCAAGTGGGTCCCCATTTTCCGCCCGCAGCCTCCTTCCGTCTTCTGTAATCCTTCAAGAAATGCGAGCACTTCTCGACAGATTGCCGGGGCAACATCATGGCCAAACCGTCTGACCCCCTCACGGACGAACAGCAACGACGAGACCGCACCGCGCAAGCCTTCTGAGTTTCCGATACCCGACAGACGTTCTGCCGCCTCACAGCACTGACGCGAGCGAAGACAGCGGATCGCTGCCAGCGTGACACTGCGCAGTGCCCGCCACTTATTCACGCAGCTGGTAGCTCGTCCTTTCGTGCACGAAGCTCTTCAAAACCTGTGGGGCGAATGCCGCGAGTGCGCGGCATCTCAAGCAAAGCCGCCAGCGCTGCAGTCGCAACCACTCAAGGAAACCCAGCCGAGCGGGCCCGACCGCGCCCCCGCCCTGGCCTGGCCCCCTTTCATACTCCGAGGAGAAGGCGGCAGCCGCCAGGAAAAAAAACACCCGGCAGCACTAGCCGTCTTGTGCTTCGCGCTTGCGCTTCAGCTGCTGCCGCCCGCAGCGCGCCCACAAGGTCAGCACCGTCGCCGCAAGCTTACTGACAAATAACCCCACCAAAAACCCAACCTCATCCCCAGGCACCTTTTTTACGGAGGAGGGCAGCAACCGCCCCGATCACGCCGATTCCGTCGAGGCAGCCTTACCTCGGTTCTTCGTCCGCTGCTGGCCCGCAGATCGGTAAGAGCCCCCCTCCAGGCTCCTTCGATTCGCTCTCGCCGCGAACCCGCCTCGAGCTCGAGCAAGCGCGGCCGCATAGAGGACGAAAAACAGACGCGGTCAGCGCCTCCTGTGATGCTGATGTTCGTGTTGTCACTTATCATAATTGTAGAAGGGATCTTAGTAGAGTAAGTACTTGCTTGTGGCAATCGGTCCCGACTGAGAACAACGCGTCCGCGAGGTGAGTAAGCTCCTGCCGCTTTGGACGGGTCTATCCATTTCTTTGGAAGCTTGTACCAACCAGGAAAGCGCGACAACCGTGACTGCAGGGCTGGCTTCTTGAAGGTCCGAAACTTTGCGTTCAGCAAGACGCCAGATATCTCCATGCATTGACCGCGAAGGGCTGTATCATTTCAAAAATGAATCATGAGAGAAAAAACATGAAGATTTCCAAGTTTTAGAATGTATCTCAAAAACTAAAAAGTACTTCAGTAGAGGTTGTCGACGAAGGTGTTCGGATGTATCTCAAAAACTAAAAAGTACTTCCGTAGAGGTTGTCGACGAAGGTGTTCGGATGTATCTCAAAAACTAAAAAGTACTTCCGTAGAGGTTGTCGACGAAGTTGTTATCCTGGCCTTGCGCTTCGAGATCGAGAATCATGTCGTAAACGTCATGCATCTGGTGTACTTGTGGCCACAAGCGTGCTAACGCATGTCTCGTGATAAAACCACGCACTTTGGCAGCTAGCAATTCGCAACCTCGACGAGGGATATTAGAAGCAAGAGTTGTAAAGAATAAAGGAAAGCAACGCAAGTGAGCAGTGTAGAAGTTCTACTTTCAACAAGTTCTTCAACAATAATCACAAGAAGTAAAGGAAGAGTACGGAACGGAATGTAGATGTAATCAATCTAGTTTATAATATTTGGTCATTTTCAATTATTTCACTCATTCATTCATTTGCGAACCACGTGACAACTCTCGCTGCCTGATTCCGTTGCGACCCGAGTAGAGACGCGGCAGAGAACCCATAGCGCTATGGCATGAGTAACGAAGGCACGCTCTCTTGTCTAAGGACCGACTATCACAACAGCTTCACTAGCCTCGCCAACTTACTACTACTTTCGCGGTTATATAGCAACATAAAAAGCAATCCCGCGGCTCCGCGGTCATCGCTTTGGACAGGATACGGAGCTTGGCTCTGTTTCGTCGTCAAACTGTTAAATGCGCGAGGTTCGTAGTCTTGGGGTATATCTGGCGGCTCTTCTTCGATATACGGAGGATAGACATCGAAGCCACCGGTAGGACGAAACATACCGTGGTATGAAAGAGAACGAGAACAAGGGGAGGAGCATAATATAGTACACAAACAAGGATGTAGTGGTTGAATTTTTCATGCTGACGGCGAGAATAGAGCCTAGTAAGTAATCCAGTGGTCATTTTGATGGGGTCGTGTTTCTTGACTTCTATTCCAATTGACCAACATGCAAGAACAAGGTGGAGAAGGCGCTCGCACTGAGGACTTTTTTATTAATTTATCAAGTTCCTGTTGAAAGAGAATTTCTTCTCATTGCCGTACAGGACCCTGTCCCTGGCTCGTTCTAGGCGTGTAGGATGGCGTTTGCAAGCCAGATGTCGTAGGTGCGGGAACAAAGTGCTCGCGGTACGTCTGTTGCGGGGTCTGTCCAGGTGTTTGCTGTGCACTACCTCCGGGACCGAATCGACGTCCAGGCCCTCCCATGCCATTAAATGAGCCAAATTGCTGCTGCTGAGACGAAGGCTGTTGTTGAAAAAACTGTCGTCCACCTCCTGCTCCGGAACCAGCGCCGCCAGTAGATGTAGAATGTTCATTTTCATACCAGTGTTGATCGCCTTCAGGCACTAGAATCAAGCTGGTTCTCTGTTGTTCCATCGAACCTGCGCCGCCTATGGACATCATAGTACTGGTCTCCATATTGTTCCCAGAAGACCGCGCAGAAAGCGGTGGCTGCGTCGCAGTGCCGGTGACTTAGAAGGGAAACCACATTGCTCAATAACGTCGAGGACGACGAACAAAGGCGGGAAACTTCTATGTATCACTTTGAAATTCACGATAGATGTTGATAACGGCGGTCACAGTACCTAAGACTGGGAATCAGATGAACAAAAACTTGTAACCATTTCTGTCTCTCGCTCTCACGAGTAGTACTCCGCTTCTTCATAATAGAAGGCTTGTTCGTGAAAGCTTCCACTCCTGGGATGCTGCTGACCGCTGATAGCCGTTTGTCCAGTGGAGAATCCTCCACGTGGCGTCATCATCGCAGAACCTGGTTCGCCGGGTACAACTTGACCTGAGTTCTTGTATGGCATCACGTTTCCAACCGTTCCCCCGTTTGTTCGCGAAGATGCAGCATCTCTACTGCCGCCGCTGATGCTCGCTAGATTCAATGTACTCACAATTGTTCCACCTGCTGCGAAGGACGATGTTGTGCCAGGTGGTCCAGCTTGTTCGCGCTCACTGTTGCCAAGCTTCGAGGGACGCCGTGACTCACTGGGTGTACCTCCGTGGGACCCGAGTTTACTCTTGGCTTCCCTCATGTAGAGCTCGTGTCGGGAAATGGGTGGTGCGTCGTTCATGCCGAAATTTCCACGCAAATCGTAGGACCCAGATGATTTGATAGGAGCATCTTCTAGAGTATGCGATCGCGCCGTATGAATTCGAGAACTGTTCATGGGCGGGACGAAGGCTTGTTGTTCAGCAGCTGGATTCATAGGGAGCCCTTGTTCTGGAGCAGCAGTCTGAGCGGCGCTGCTAGCCGCGCTCATCTGTTGTACTTGTGATTGCGGTTGAAACCCTATGACAGAAAAAAGTGTTTTCATACTCAAGAAAAGAGGTCTTTTCCTACTTAGAAAGTGCCTACTTTCTTGAGGATGAGTACACTTTTTCGCTTCATAAACCCAGCACTGCTCATGATTCCTCGCTCTTCTTGTTGTGAAGTAGAATTGTTGCTTGCGGCAACATCCCTGGGTCCAAGTACCGACATAGATGAATTTGGTCCATCTCGATCTGCTTGTGATCCTAGTTGTTGTTGCGCCTGCTGCTGTGCTGCTGAAGGCCTTAGTTCCAGTTGCTGACCACCAGTGGATCCAGAATAGCGAATGCCTAGCCTCAGCTCGGGAATCGGAGGGATGCCATTGACATTGCTAAAACCACGCGGTGAGTTCGTTGTACTTGTTCCTACGCCAGAGGGGCCTCCAGGTCCTCCAGCGCAGTTGTAATTCACACCAAGAGAGGCGCCAGCCATACCTGATTCAGGTTCTGATTCATTTTTATTTGACAAGATTTAATGTAGTGCTGTCGTCCAGAATGTGAAGACGGTTGGCCCGCGGCCGCGGCAGGGGGTTACTAAAAAGTAAAAGCAGCCTATGCAAATGATCCACAGGAAACAAGAACAATAGGGACGAGAAACTAGACGAACGAGAAATCAGTCGGGTACTCGCTGCTGGTGCAACGCCGCGAGGCGTACCCACGACGGACGTGGGGCCTCGCATTCCCGGAGCGAACGACGTCCTAGCACTTCCCGGTGGCGCTCGGGGGTTCGACGTCATATAGTTCGTACCACGCCCTCCAAACTGGTTGTCGAAAGTAGAGCCAGACGGATAGCCATATGAATTGCCACCCCCACCGCCCATACTAGTACTGTCCATGTATGCACCTCCGGCACTTCCTCCTCCTCGTATGAAAGTACCACTTGCCGCAGCACCTGGACCAAAGCCGCCACCCCCGCCTAAACCGCCACCATACTGTTGATTGTTGTAAAAGCCGCTCGCTCCACCTCCAGCTCCACCCGGAAAGGGTCCTCCTCCTACTCCTTGATGTGGTTGAAACAAATGCATATCGTCTACTTCTACGGAAATAAGCGGCTGCTTATTCTCACGAACCATGTTCGTGATGGCGTTCTCGAGGTCCTGCAGTTGTCCATCTAAATCGGTGCGCCGCGTTCCCGAGAACGAAGATACGCCACGCGACCGAAGACCAGTTGTTGGCTTCTTAGAAGAAGGGGAAGGACGAAGTTGCACCAGCCAGGCTCAACAAAAAAATGAAGTTATATCACTGGTTACTAGGCTAGATTCATCGACTTAGAGGACCCTGCTTTTAATTACCATGATTTTATTGTTGTACGAGAAAATTTCAGTGCTTACTTTTTACTACATGCCTTACTCTCATGATCCGAGGTCACGTTCATGCTACCACCTCTTGCTCCTGCGGACCGCATGGCTTCTGTCCCGGAACCTGCTGATGAATCTCTAGGCGACGGTTTAAACAGGACTACTGGCTTTTCGTATGCTTGCTTGCTCTTCGTCGACGAGGCTGAGGAAGCCTTGACATGTTGAGCATGAGCAGCCTCTCCCTCTCCACGCGGTGCCCTCGACTCTAGTGATTCGTTAGGCCCACGACGGTCTCCTCGACGCCGTCCTCTACCACTACCAGTTGTGCCAGACGAAATCCTACTACCAATTCTATATCTAGAATCGTTGTCGTTGTAAATCCTACTACCAAAAATTCTAGAATGATCTTCGTTGTAGTCTACTGCTGCATCATCGTAGTCTACTGCATCAACATCGTAGTCTTCTTGTTCACCTCTTTCTTGATCAGCATAGCCTCCTCCAGCATATCGTCCGCCTAGACTGCGTAGCCTCCGCAAGATATCGAGGCTTTCCTTGGACACTAGCGCGAACCACTGCTTCAGCAAAGGACGCTTTGCTAGGTGACGCTGTGTTCGCCACCAACGTTGTAAGCGCGTCGCCCGACTTTGTAGATTGCGAAGCCGTCGTCTCCGTTTGGGGGAAATTAGAAGAGTTTCATCAATAAACTGATGGAGGACCGCCCCAAACGGAGACGACCCTTTCGCAAATTTCAAACGACGTTTGCAATTCAAATTTCAATTGATGCACGAAGAACAAAATTTTCATGTTGACTAGGGGAAACTAAACTACCAAGTTTCAGCGGAAATTCTTCAGTACAACATTTCCGAGCTTAAATAAGGTAGTTTAGTTTCGACAAGAAATATTGCTAGAGTGGTAACAACCATGATTCGAAAAGAAGATTTCCTACCGAGTTTCAATTTTTCACCCTTTTCTCCATAACAACAACCCCACTCTTCGCCACCAACGCTGAAGTTTTGATGCCATTTGATCGCGCATGGCGGCTACCTGTTGCTGTAGCTGTGCGAGACGCTCACGCTGGGCTTTTTTCTTAGCGGCCAACTCTCGACGTGTAATCTGTCGAGCCGCTTTCGGCAATGCGACCACCTGCTTTCCTCCGCGTCCGCCAGTGGAGAAATTGGAGCTACTCTAGTGTTTCAATCAGCACAAAATGACTTACATTTCTTTGCAATCACATACTGAAAATAATTACTGATTAAACAAGAACTATGGTCATCCGTATAGGAATAGGTATCTCTGACAACATAAAGGAACTCGACCCGCCCGTTGCAAATGTGCCAGGAGGTGGCTGCATTTCCCGATAGTGTTCGCGTGGAGTAGTGCTGATCCCGCTATCCTCTTCCCTGGGTGTTGCTTTTAAGGTAATCTCCTCTTCAGATGACGTCGCTGGTTGCCCAGGAGCCTTTTTCCCTTTACGGCCCGCGACCTGCTTTGGAATCGCTTCGCTTTTTCGACTGTCATATGGCAGTGAATGCGAGAAATACGAGACGCCGCTTGCTTTCGCATCTTCGTCTAGATTACTGCCGTCGTTGATGTTGCCGCGGTCTCCTGTTCTACCTCCAGTAGTAGCAGACGCCGTACTTGATCTGGCCTTTCCACCTGCGCTCAAAAGCTGCTCTTCATCGGATGGCTGCGCTGCCATTGTTGTAGTCCCCGCGGTGCATTTTTCGTTGTTCTCAAATGTTTTGGTGGTCGTTGCCGAGGACGATGTTTGTTCTACGAGTACGATTTTTTCTTGTCGTCGAGTCGTTGTAGTTTCCTGTGCCGCGAGCTCGTTCCCACCTCCTGAAACCGTTTTCCTGTCTTTTTGATGCAGATTCGCAACATCGCCTTCTGCGCCTACTGATCCTCTCACCGCAGCGGATGTCGAGTTTCTCTTAGCCGGCGCCGAACCTATTACCTCCGAATCATAGTTGACTACGCTGCTCGTGTCCTCCGTTCCCGAGGACAAACGCCGTCTGGGTGAACTCGTGAGCGGTCCCTGCTCTTGCAATGGCGACGAGGAGGTAGCACTAGCAGTAGTTGCAGCACCAACAGCTCCTCCTGCCTCTGTTACGACCGCTGCGTCTGTAAAAGAGGACTTTCGAATCACGACTCTGACTTGCGAATCACGCAGAGAATTATGGAGTTGATCCGAGGATGATCCGTGCTTCGCGGAACTGGACTCCTCAGCGTCCAGAAGACTCCTGCTTTGTAGATCCACTCCATTCAGGCTAGTGCGAGAACCCCGCAAGGAAGCGTAACTCACAGCTTTTGGCGAAGCTGGTTTATCTTTCATACTGCTTCTTGATGTTCCTGCTCCAGAGTCGTCCTCCCGTCTTTTACTCAAGTCAACATCTGTAGGCGGAGCTGAACTTGTAAGTCCAACATCAACATCGAGGACATGATCATGGTCTTCTTGTTTTTCATCCGTTTCTTCATCCTCCTCATCTGAGATGATATTCCCGTCTTCGTCGACGTACTTGCCGGTTTCTGGGTCTATGAAGTAACCTTCTTTATCAACGAAGCGGCCGTCTGCGTCGATATAGTGCCCTGTGGCCTTGTCAATCAGTCGGCCTGTCGCGTCACACGCGTTCCCTGCCATGTCCACAAAGCTACCATCCTCCATCTCGAAGATCTCCATAAGCTCCACTGGGCCTTCTTCTTCTGTGACTGGAGAAGTGATAATTGTGATATTGTACATCTGATGAATTTGAATGTATGATGTACTACATCATACATTCAAATACAAATTCATTTTGTAGGATGAGTAGACGTAGAGAAATGAAAGATGAGGTACTTAGAAGCCTCTGCCTCTGTCTACTCTGGCTCTCCTGCTAAATATTGTCATCTTCTTCAGCATGATCTATTTGATTTCACGACAGAGCAGATACAGTACAACAGGAAACCAATTGACTGATTTCACGACAGAGCAGATACAGTACAACAGGAAACCAATTGACTGATTTCACGACAGAGCAGATACAGTACAACAGGAAACCAACTGACAGCAAGTGTAGATGAAGTACCTCCCGCAACCGCCACATTCACACTTTCTTTACTTGTTCCTTGTGGCTTCTGCTCCTTATTCGACCCAACAGCAGCAGCACCGCTATCCGCAACGACTGCACTTTGGTTCCTTTCCACAGATTCTTTTTCTTTCGCACCAGCGGCATGATCCACAGAAGTTGTACTAGGCGAAGTATCAACAACATCGATATCTTGTTCCGTCTTTTTCTGCACAAATTCGCCAGTCGACTCGTCTAGTTCTAAAGGTATGACGGTCTGACCGTCCGCACTGAGGGTGTAATAGCCCTCCTCGTCCTGGTAGACTTGGCCATCTGTGTCTGCAACGCGATCTGAAACGACTGATTGCTCGCTTACAGAATTCGTGCTCGAACGTCTCCGCGGAGGAGAATCAGGAGCATCTTTGGCGTTCTCCTTCTCTTTAACATCTGCAGAAGATGAGATTCGCTTGTCGACTCCAGGAACAGGAGGACCTTGACTTTGCTCTCTCATCTTCACGACTGGCGCCGTTGAGGTTGTACTAGTTGTTGGCACTACTTCTGAGAAGGTCTTTTGATTCTTCTCCAAATCGGAGGACGTAGTTGTTTTCTTACTTGTTGACTCCTCGATCTCTTGCACAACAAGGTCGTTTTCGTTTATTGAAGATGCTGCCTTCTGATTCGTCCAAGACTTGGTCGTGGCAGCACTGGTGACATCCACCACTGCAGTAGTACTACTACTTGTTATTTCTTCTTTTTGTTCTGTAGTCTTTTTCTCGACGAAGTTCCCAGTCAGCTCATCCAGCTCCAGTAGAATGACGTCACCGTTCGCACTCACCGTGTAGTAACCGTCTTCGTCCTGGTACACCTGTCCCTCCTCATGCTCGTCGTCCTGTTGCTCCTCATCCGTCTGAGCTTTCGTCTCTGGCGCCGGAGGCGAACTTTCTTTGCTATTGTTTCTCGTGAAGGTTGTGGGAACGCCAAGTCCCGAAGATCTCGAGTTTCTCCCACAACTAGGACGTGGGGACCGCATCACGCTACTTGATGACGATGCACGGCGAAAATCTTCCTTCGCGGTCTCCGCTGATGAGGACGCCGCACTTTCGTTCCGTGTGCCTGGTGATGTAATATTTTTTCAAGTGCGAGGAGAGAGAAAATGAGATTCTAAGAATATGCGGAGTAAATCATGAGATGCGTTGATTCTTGATGATCATGATCTTCAAGAACAGTTCTCGTATGGATCTGGAAAAGGTAAAGACTACCTGGCTCTTTCCCACTAGTTGCAGGCGTGGGCTTCTTCTCCAGCCAAGCAGACACCGACGCCGCCTTTTGCTGCTCACTTGTTGAATTTTTGTTAGCACTAGCATCTTTTTTAGGCGGTACAGGAGAACGAGGTTCTGGAAGGACAACGTTTTCGATCTCGTTTTCGTCCTCTTCTCGGATTTGAGACATAGTTGCGCTTGGCCTAGACGTTCCTCCAGAGGACTGCTCCTCGCGACCGGGCATCCGCGTGGTCGTCTTCGGCAAGTGATGGACGTCAGTGGAGGATATGGGTGTACCGCTTTCGTCGACAAGACGTCCATCCTCATCTACTAGGTGTCCGTCCTCGTCTACAAATCTGCCGAGAATATCGACAAAATTTCCGTCGTGGTCTATGTAACGGCCATCCTCATCGACATAGCGGCCTTCGGCGTCAACGAAGCGACCAGTTTCATCGATGAACCTGAATTTGATCATTTTTGGATAAACTACATTGGGCGATGAAGGGTAAAAGAACTTACCCGGTAAAGTTGAAGAGTTTTTCGACAATATGCTTACATCCTCGTCTACGTCCACTGGAGATGGAAATTCAATGATTGAAATCGAAAGATTCAATAAAAAACCTGCCATCAGCGTCGATGAATCGCCCTTGCGCGTCTATCAAGCGGCCCTCGCTGTCTACTAAGTGTCCCTCTGAGTCGCGCAAAAGTCCATTTTCATCCTCAAAAATCTCCACTACATCCTCTTCCTGCGGTGAGGCATTTCCATTTGCGTCTATTGAACTCGAAGCGTTCTCGAAGCGTTCTTGGAGACTAGAAGAGGCGCGTTTTTGAGGTGGTGGAGAAATCGCTCTTCCTGTTGAGGCTCTCTTGCTCGTCCCACTCTGGCCCTGTGGTGGAGGCTGTGCCTGTCCACCTCCTGCATTTATAGGTGTTGAGCTGGAAGACGCAGTTGGTTGTTCGTCTTTTTCTTTACCTCCGTTCTTGGTGCGATCTTGTTCACCGCCTGGTCCAGAAGCTTCCGTACGATGACTTCCTTCTCGCATGAATGTAGTAGTCGTGGTTGAACCGCCCGAAGTGTTCAATCGTTCCTCAATTTTCTTCGACAGTTTTTCTCTCCTCATCTGCAACTCGCGGAAGCGGTCGCGCAGAGACGGCCGCTCAGGCGATACTATGTCAACCATCATCTTCTTGGCATAATCTGCTTTATTTTCCCCGTCACAAGGAAAGTGAGCGCCAACATCGTCGTGAACCCGCCTACAAAGGATCTCCACGCGTCGAGGAGCGCAGTTTCGATGTTTTCACTGGCGCTTTGGCCTCACGCCCCACGACGCCCACAGTATGCTGGTGGCATTCTGCAATTCAGATCATCAGCATTCGACATCCTGCTTTCGCTTCCGTCTCCGCAGCTTTGCTGGTGCAGAGAATGCGCGCGAAAGCCAAATCCACGCCGTAGCTTAAAGAGCATCAGGCAGCCATGTGCATGTGCATCGGATTAATATCCGATGGTAATCGTACTTAATAATTTCTCCTAACTACACTAGATAAATCTTACTCTCATTGTTCTTGTTTTTTTACGTCCCCTGAGCAGGATACAATGTCGCGATGACGTTCTAAATTGGGATTGGATTTATGAAGTCCAATCTACTTCCTCATCACGATTACCCTACAGGAGACAACATCTAGTAAAAGCCACCCTTTTTTCGACCGCTACTAGAAGACATCTAATTTTTTAGATTCTTTTTTGTTTGCTTTATTTCAAAGAGGTCGTACGAAATCCAGAAAAGAAGATTGTAGTTTTTTACTAAAGACTTTTAACAACATCCGCTTCCGCGTGTTTACCTCGTAGCACAGAATTTCGGAACACGACTTCGTCCAGGACTGAACCCGAAAAAGTAGAAGAGGATCTCCGTTTCTACTAGATAGGGAGAAGTACGGAATTACGGGTCAGAGCAAAGGGAGCAGAGGATGAGTGTGGCAACCGCGTGGCACATAAATCCTCCAGCTTATTCACCTATCTACAGTACAAAAGCACACGCACAACAAGTCTTCTCGTTCTACCACCATCTTCATGGCATGCCTATAGCTATACACATCATCTATGCATTCTTGCTCCAATGAGGTTACATTATGCTGGTGAAGGCTGTTCCTGCTGTACAACTGACTTCCAAACCTCCGCGTGCATCATTTTTTCCCTTCACCGACTCCTTCCGGCACCACGCTGGGCTTGCCTGCCGCAGGAGCACCCGTTATACCGGTTCCGTACCTGCTGGTAAATTGTGTAGAAGTACTAGTACGTACTAAGTAGAAATAAACAAAGATTAAGAAGATAATCCAAATGAAAATGCATTCAATGACGTGAGTGCAGCGATTCACTTAGACTTGTTCAAGAAAACCTGAGGTCTTTCGTCAATGAATTAGAAGGATTCTAGTACAACTAGCACACAAGATAGTAGTACGCTTTCGGTGGGGCGAAGTGCTTCATGTATGCTGTCGCTTTTCGTTGTGGCTCGCCAGCTTGCTTTTCTTTTTCTCCCCATGACTCGACTTTGACCTCGTTGAACTGGTGTGTCACCCATTCCTTGTAGGCACACTCCTTGAAAACGCTGTCTTGTATCACAGGCTGTTGCGCTGCGCGCGCAAAATTGCTGGTCCCGCGACGTGACATGGTTCTTGCGAAAGGCCAAGAATCTTCAGACGACGCTGAAGTAGCTTGACGCTGAAGTAACTTGCGAAAGGCCAAGATACTTCAGACGACGCGGAAGTAGCTTGCAGCTGCCTCCGCCGCTGCTGGTGCTACTAGACGCGCTTTGTTTTGTCGCTCTTCCGATTCCGATGAAAACGAAATCGCGGAGGCCGCAAGATCTTCGCTAGAATCTTCTGGTTCTGCCACAAATCTAGCTGACTCAGTTTCTAGGATCCTCCCTAGAATCTTTTGGTTCTGCCACAAATATAGGTCTAGCTGACACTGACTCAGTTTCTTCACTAAGAATTTGACTTTCAATTTGCACGAATTTCTTATCCTTATGCTGAATCGTGAAGATCGTGAAGAGAGAGAGAGAAGATGATTTGCATCGTCAAACGATACTAACATTGTGCCTGCGTATCATGATGGAGGTCCGTTATTCATAATTTTGACCAAATAAACATTAACATCTTAGTTGCATTAGTGTAGGAAATGTGTGCCTCTGCGATAATCTTCAGGATGACGAAACGAAGAATAAGAAACAACTAAGTAGTAGTTTACAAGAACGAGGCATACGATATTAGTACGATGTAATCGAACAAGTAGCGTTGACTTCATTCTTAGTCGCGAAGAAATCTTTAAAATGCGAGTTCGATAACGATCATGAACAAGAACGCAGAAGAACTACTTGAGAGGCATGTGATGTCTACGCTTACACCTCACAGTAATTCTCCAATAGCGTGATGTTGATCACAAACATCTGTATGAACAAATGCACGATACATTCACCCGCCAATGAGTTCATCACATCTTTGTACTTAGTCTTTCGTCCTCGACCACTTCTATAATTACTTTCCAGCGAGCGCGATGATTACTCGCGATCTAGCGCGTACACGCACTGCGCCACCTGCGTCGCGATTCTGCTGCTGCCATCTGCGTCGCTATTCTGTTGCTGCCATCTGCGTCGGAACCGCCTTTTCGTATATGATCGGTGTCTCTTGCTCGAAATCGAGAGGTGTAACCTCGGTGGCGCAACTCGCTCCTCCATGGCGTTCCTTGTCGAAATTATTCGATAGATCGAGTGAGAACCGCAGCGCTCGTCCGCATTCATGGAGCTCGTGAGAGCAGGCACGCTCTTGGCGTAAGTAGTCGTCCCCGTCAGGGAGTGGCGTTTCGACGCGGTTCGTCCGCAAGAAGCCCCCTGCAAGATGAATACCCCGCCTAAGAACGAAAATGGAATGGAGGCGCATCTACTCGTCGTCGCAAAAAAGGTCGATTCGTCCTCACATGAACCCTCCTCTCAGGGAAGGGTTGCTTCCCGGGCCAAGGTCTGGGACTAGACCCATTCTCTTTTCTCCGAAAGGATGCGGATAGCGATACGGGTTGTCGGACAAGACGTGTACTGGCGGACCTTGCATTACGAAGCGATTCGCGCCACGACGTGGCTGCATGATGGCTTCGGCATTTTGACCCCACGCGCGAGAGGGTATACGGGCATACTCGCGCTGACGATCCAGCTCCTTCATAAAATCCTCACTGGTGTTCCAAGCATTCTGCATTGCTCCAGGACGATAGTGACCGAACCTGTGTAGTGAAAATGAATGCGCTTGATGTTCCTGCTAACGTTAATAACCTTATAAGCATCAATCATAAAAATGAAGCTTCTCAGCTTCATGATCTTCATGATTCAAGAACATGAGCAACTACCCCAAAATGTCATCAAGAACAACTATTAAATGAACTAGACCTGCACCATCACGACCAAGCAAAAAATATTTATATGAAGTACTTCAATGGCGCCGTGTCCCACACTCGTTCGTTCAGATTGTGAATATTGTGAGTCGCCAGAACTTCACCTCGATTTCCTTCTCCTGTGACCAATTCACCCCCTCTAAGGTTATCCGAATCCATTTTCGGCAGATACGACAATGCTTTCGAATACGTGTCTTGCGCAATGCGCAGTCCTAGTTTGCTTTGGTCTAAGTCCTGCATGCTCTTCGAGAGCTTTTGTTTCAAAAATTGCAATAGCCACAATTGCTTGGCACAGTTGTCGGAATTCGGCGGACACGGTGGCCAACTGAAGGCCTCAGTCATCATGCAATTTTGACCCGCGTTCGACCGGGTCATCCGCTGCGCCCATTGTTGCGGGAGTTGGCGGATATGCTCCGTTGGCAGCCAATCCGGCCGCGGAGGCATCATGCTCTCAGCGTCCAACACCATCTTCAGGGCGATGTATTTACTACAAAATAAAGTGTAAGTAGGAGTAGTAGTTGTCCAACTGCTGGCTTCTGCCTTCGCCAGTGGTTCTTAACCTCATGCTTCTACTATTTGGTGATCGTGATTGCTGTAATGGCGATAGACAATTAAGTCAAACGTTCTTCTCTAAACAACCAATGATATTGCGAACGTACCTCGGTCGTCCTCGAAGCGAGATCTTGTTCGACAATTCAATGGAGGACGATCGCAAGATTTCCTATCAACAATGCGAATCCGAATACCCACAACATTTCTTAGCTTCATCATGGCCATATCAATTTTCGCGTTCGTCGAGGAAAAGCGCATGTAGTCCGACGGCGCAGAGGAGTTGTCTGTCCTCGTGCGTGTGCGTCTGCTCCAGCAGTCTTTTTTCTTGTTCTTCCTCTTCAAATGCAAAGATTGCAAGAGATGCAAATTATCACATATTCTTATCTTGTCTTTTATCCTGTAGTAACGTCTCGTCTGTTCATCCGCGGATAATAATGATCTTACACCGCTTCCCAGTAACTTTGATTGTTCAGAGAGCAGTATCAGTTTGTAGATTTTGAGATTGTGATCAAGCAATAGGCTAGCCAGCACGTTGTGCAGGAGCTGTTTTTGAGAGTATCTTCATCGAGCAAGAGTATGAGTATTCATGAAAGAATTGGTTTGTTAAGAATTGATGGCTTCTTGGTTTCAACGAAGGCTAAAAAAACAAGTTCAAGTTCTTTGAGTTCTGTGTCTGAACTCGTCTCGTACTACTCGTTCACAGCAATTGCAATAATATGACCACGACTACAACTAAGTTGGATTTCTTGCATAGTACTTAGCATATTAATATCTTCTGATTCTTCTTGTGCACCCTTACTTTACAACAAGTTCAACGAAGAGCTCTAGCGGAACAACGTCATTGCTGAGTGCATCCTTCTTGCCGACCTCCAAAGCTGAGTCGTCGACGCCCAGTTGGGCCAGACGGTCCGCTTGTTCCGCTAAGTAGAGGTGCATTTGACGAAGTTGAAGCCAGGTTATCGACTCCACCTTGAGTGCCAGTGCGTCCTCTTGCGCCACCTCCTCCTGAGGGAGAGCCACTGCTCCCTCGACTAGTATTTGTTTTCGCGGCACTGCGCTGCTCCTCCTGTAGAACGAGACTCCGCAAATTCGCGTGGCCCTGCAAAACACTCTGATGCTGTGCGCGCTGTCCTGCTTCTCGGATTTCAAGTCGATGCAGCTGCTGTCGCAGGTCAGTAACGACTTTCTCGCGTTTCACGGCTTCATCACGCAGACGTTGAAGCTGCTCACTCAGTGATCCATAGTCGTTTACTTCACGCGATGCTTCTCGCATTAGAGTCCTCCTGCAAAGGAAAACTACGACAAGTAGAACTCAGTTCTTATACAACTTATTCTTCAGAAGTTCCTTTCTTCAGAAGCAGAATCCTACTGAACAAGAAGGAAACAGAACAAGACAATGACGAAGATGAGCATGTTCTTTAAAAAATAAACAATCTTCATCTTTACTTAGAAATGCGTTATTGTTCTTATTGTACTTCTATCTACTACTTCCGAAATGGATTATTGTTGTATCTTCACCATCAAGCCTTAGTCGAAAGTTGGCACGCATTTGAGCCGTCTCGCGTCTCAACCGCTCCACTTCCAATTGTTGTCGTTCCCGTAGCCGTCGTTCGGCTAAAACGGCCTCTGAGTCCGTACCTCCTCCGGGACCAGCGGCGGCTATTTTTTCCTCCGCCACCGCTAGTTGCTCGCGTAGCGCGTTGAGCTCGATGTCCTTCCTTTTCTTCTCCATCTCGGACTCCCGCAACTTCTCCTCAACGCTTTCTTGCTGCTCTTCACTGGCAAGCATCACCTGACGCAGTCTTTCCACCTGCTCGCGTTCTTCCCGCAGCAGCTCCGTCAAATCTTTTTTGCATTTCTTAGAAGTAGAAGCTTGAGAAGTTGTGAGTGTTTGTTGAATAGACGAAGAACATCAACTACAACAAGAACAGTAGGTAGTACTGATTATACTGCAAGAAAATAAGGTACTAAACTGTGTAACAGCAAGAATAAGTCTCCTCCACCTCATCCACTCCTGTCAAGGTCAACGTCACTTCTTCATAACATTGGATGTGATAGTCGTTGAACTCCCGAGCCAGTCCTGCACGTGAGATTCTTTAAGGCGTGCTATTTCGCGCTCTAGGTCTGCTGCTTTCTTCTCAGCTTTCACCTTTTCGCGTTCTCCTTTTGCCAAGCGGTCCTCCCAGTCGAGTTCCTGTCATGTAATAGCATGATGTGTATATTGGAAAAACTTGCTGTTGTAAGCTCCAGGAGAAGACGAGCTACAACAACATCAAGTAGACTAGAATTCGCTAGTACTAGATCATACTGATGAGGTGCCTTCTATCAGCACTGCTTTTTCTTGAAATCGAAATTGAACGCAAGTGTATTAAAAAAGCAAAAACAAATACACTTGCATGTTGGATTGGGATGCGGTGGAGCAAATAGTTACATACTTTAAAACACAGACAATCATGCGCGACATGAAGAGAGCAAGAGGTGCGCACAGGATAGAAACTAACGAACAACCCACGCCCGCTAGAACAGCAACGCCAAAGAAGCATGAGAACAGAACGCAACGAACTCAGTACTAGTACCGCACAGCGTCCTGGTCTAGAAATTATAAGAAGAAGAACCACTATAATAATACTCACGACCCCATTGCCATGCCAAAAATTTTACCCGTGCGGCGGGCCTGCGCCACCACCACACAACGACAAAGAGCCACCCATATTAAGAACCACCGACGCCCCCCGCCAAAGCACGCAGTAGGAAGCCACCGAGTGACAGACCCACGAAGCGAAGGCCTCTGAAGTTGTCAAGCCGAGAGGAGCCGAGCCGTTCCTAGCTCTTTCCCACGGCGTTCCGCCTGAACTCCGTCGCCCTGTCAGTTTCTTGAAGAACCTGCTGAGCCCCACGCCCACAGTGACAAGATCAAGGTCATCGACGACGAAGCAACGCTTCCCACGGCATCGCGAGAGACCTCGAGCGGTCGCCGCTCGCTCCAGTCGACGACGGCGATCGCGCACGATTGGGCCGCGATGTTGATGGCGGCAGCTGTGCTCTCAATCTCAAGGTGCTGAATTGCGACCCCACCACGGTCAGGCCCCATGGTCTGGCCTGGGTAGTCTATCAATCACCAACAAGTCCCAAGAGTTCTCCGCAGCAGGCTGAGCCTGGGGCAACAAATTTGCGCGCATGCACGGGACTCACCTGAGAGAAAGAAGGCAACCCGACACGCAGGCGAGGTCTACACCTGAAGACGTGGCGCCGTATCTATTGGGTTTGGATTGAGTAGCCGGGCCATCCATCAATCCGCTGACCAGCCCCAGCACCGCCTGGAGGCGTCACTGTGTAAGCCGGCGGTGGGTGCCCCGGTCTCGATCAGATCGCAGAGGGAACCACGCACCCCGCGCGCCTAAACAGAGCAGACGCAGCCCTGCCGATGGATGCGGCGCGAGGATATGAATCTGGCCACGCTATCCAAGTCAACCAAAGCCAGCCCCCACAGTCCGTCGCTGAACAGCGACGCCGCAGCTGCACCAGCGGCGTCACCCGTCGCCACTGGCTGCACAACAGTAAGGCGCACACGCTGCAGCCCCCGGGGGTCTGGAAGGATCTAGCGCACAACGCGCGACACCCCCCGCAAGAGTCAAGACTGACGAGAAAGGTTAGCCATCGACTGCCAGCCGCACCCCTTCCGCTCTTTCCTATCCTTATGCTTAGGATTAGAAAGTGGAAGCCCGCACCCAAAGGGGCCTGCTTTATGGCCTGGCGGCAACTTCCTTGGCCTTGCGCTTGAAGACATGCACGCAGAGCTTCTTCCTACGGGAGAAGACCCAAGAGAAGACGCGCGGCCTCCAGTTGTGAACTTCGACGAAAGTGTCTCCATCTCCGTGCGCAATGAGAGTAGTTCGCCCTTCTTCAAAAGGGACGCGCGGCGCTGCCGGTGGCCCAGCGTCACAACAAACCGAGCACGTTGAAATACACCCCACGAGAGTCCTTCTCCTTTGGTTCGTCAAGAGTAGGCCGGGGCAGGGAAGGATCTGGCCGCAGCTGCGAAAGCTCGCCCAGCTCCTCCTCCAAGGAACGAAGTGAGCTGCCTGGGCAGACGTAGCGAAGGCGCTCCGCTGCTGCTTCAAAGCTGCGCGGCCGTGTGCCAAGCTTGACCCTGCCGGTTCCGACTAGAAAGACCATAAGACCGCGCCAGCGGCGTGCCTAATGAGTTGACAGGTCAAAGCATCTCCAGAGAAGCCTGCTACTTCAGAAAGAGGCGCCCCTTGACAGGTTTGCTTCCACTGGCGCGCCCAGCCCCCCCAGCGAGCACTTTCGACATGTGCGCGAAGCCGCCGGCCGACCGCTTGCGACCTTTTTCACCTGCTCGCGGTGCTGCTGAATCCTCTAAGTTGGCAGGCAGCGCCTGCTGCTGCAAAAACGGGGCGCCCCAGCCCAAGCGCGACAAAGGCCGCTAGCAACTACCTGTCCCGGCAGGCCTCCACTACCTGACCGGTGACAGACACACCGCACAGACTTCAAATAGTGGTAGTGGAATTGGCGGCCACACAATGCGGATTTGAAGCCACCGATTACTCCACTAAGAGGGCACGACTAGCCGCATCCGGGTGGCTGGTCCCATGCTGCGACTTAGCCTCTCGCACGGAGGGCACCCAAGAAGATGACAAGAACGGCAATGATCAGGATCAATTGGTGCTGTGTCCGTCTGTATTAAGGGCTAGGCGTACTGGGATGGTAGCACTGTAAGCAATTGGGGCGGGGTCAGAAAAAGACTCGCTGTCAGGTGTTGCATTTTTCGGAAAAGCTGGGCGTAACGTATTGCTCCAGATGTCTGGAGGGTAAGCCAGCGCTTCCAAAAGCCTCCCGAGCCAAGCATGCTTTTGAGCATTCGGGCCGAGAGCTCGTCTAGTAAAAGTGAGCGGGTATGCGGGAAATAGTAACCCAGGCGCGCGAGTGGCTGTATGGTGGATGTAATAATATCGAAAGTGTAAGGCGGCAATGATCAGAAGCTCCTGAATGAAAAGAAGAACGCCCCAAACGTCGGAAGGCGTCGCGCTAAGTGCTGCTCCTGAAGCTTCGGCCACTCCCAAACCTCCGCGGCGTTCCGCTTCGTGAAGGTCACCCACGCCACGCAGAAGCGTGACTTCGCCGACGATGCTGATCTGATCAATCGAGTCTGATGCTGCTGAGAGTAGAGCTCAAGGAACCGCACTCGATCGCAAGCCGCCGAAGCTCCTGCTTGAAAACGTGACGCGCGGCGTCGACTCCATCGGGCGGAAACCGTGGCGCCACGATTCCCATCCGCTGCCCCAGGCGCTGAGGCCGGTCGCCGTCTAGGCTAAACTGCTCAGCGACAGACGCCGCCGGCGCCATGCATCAGGAGTGCGCTCGGCCTATTCTACCGCGCGAAGGCACAGGCTCGACCAGCGGAGACGCTGCCCGAAAGCCACCGCCGCCGTCAGCGTCTACACCTGTCGAAGCGCCGCGGCCTGGATTTCGCGAAGCTACCCCTGCGGTGGCTATAGCAGTCACCCCTCCCTTTTCTGAAGGGATGCGCGCCCAAAGTCGCCACGCCGCTCAGCGTGCCTGGCCGCGGCCACGCTAGGCCGAGGGCCCCTACTTCCGGCACTGTTAGTTTGCATTTTGCCGGGAGGGGCTGCGGCTGCTGCAGCGGAAATGCCGGGCCCGAATAATAAAACTCGCCCACCCGTCCCCGCAACCGGCGGACGCCGTGGGACCCGTCCCGGAGTGGGTCGCCAGGTCCTCCGGGGCAGTTGCTGCAAGGGCTCTTCGCTACCCGCAGCAAACAAGACAACTCTGAAAAGCCAGAGAAGTAGTACCTTGCTCCGCAAGGCTTCCACTTCGTCGGAAATCGGTTCGAGCGACGCAAGTTTGTCCTCGAGCTCTCTTGCGCGTACCCTATCAGTGCGGGCCTCCTCCTCCAGAGCTGCGCAAGTTTTCTGGAAGGCTTCTTTTTCTTTCACCAACGCTTGAAGCTCATATCGTGCATCCTGTTGACCCGCTCGTGCCTGCGAGAGCGCGCCTTCTACGGCGACAAAACCGCTCTTCAGGGCCTGAGCCTCAGCTACTCGCTTCTGTAAAGCATCGACTTCAGAACGTGCTGACTCGCATGCTTGACGCCAGCGCTCTGCTTCGCTGCTGTGCTCCAGCACCTTCTGCCTCAGCTCTCCTATCTCGCTCGCTTTCGCGCCGCCGGAGTCTAACTCGGTCTGCAAGAGTATGAAAGTTGTTGAGATGACCTACTTATGTACTTATGTTGCTGAAACTCGGGCGAGTATTACAACCATGCCGCCCTAGTTCTGCTTGTAGCTCTCATCTAGCAGAATCAATGCATCTTCAGCTTCAAATACGCCTACTTCTAGTCTACAGCTAACCCAAAGTGAAGTGTAGGATCTGAGAAAGAGAAGGCATGCCCTATCATATCATTAGTGAACGTGAGGACATAGTAGCATGAGGCATGTCTTTTTGTTTTTTCACAACATGATTACTCAACAACATAAATTTCTGTGCCCTGTCTTGCAGCTGCTGCTTTTCCCGTTCTAGTGCGGCAAGCCGACTTGCATCTTGCTCTTCTTTTTCGTTGAACGTCTCGCGTTCACGTGCAACGCTCTCCTTCAATTCCGTTAAGAGCCGCTCTGTCTGTCGCAGTTCGATTTTGAAGTTCGCCGTCTCCCTCTGCAGTTCGTCGCTCTTCCCGGACTCAGTCGCTAATGTGCCTTGCAAGCTGCAAATTTCTTGATTGCGCCGTCCGACCTCCACCAGTGCCTCGTCGCGCGATTTCTTGCAAGCAGTTACCTTTCATTAGAAGAGCTAAAAACCCAAGTCTCGATCTCCCGTCTTGTTGAGACTCATCTTCTTGAGGCTGCTGTCCCCTGAAGATCACGAGCAGATGATCATGATTCAGAAGATGCTGGATTCATTAGGGTATAAGCCATAATCTTGCTCTGCAGCGTGTAGTTCCCCTTCTATCCTCTCGCGCTCTTCGACCATCGATTCCTTCTCGGTCTGCCACTCTATATGCTTTCTCTTCGCTGTGCGAAGCTCCTCGAGCTCAGCTTCCAACTTGCTGTTTTCGTCCAGCAGCTTTTCCGCCTCATCCGCAACCTCGAGGCGCTCTTTTTGCTCCACCTCCAAGTCGTTCTCTAGCTGGGCTTTAGCGTTCTTGAGCTCGTCTCGCTCTTTCAGAACTTTTTGACGCTCTTCTTCTGCTACGCGCACGTCCGCCTCACTTTTAGCCACTTGCTGCTGGAGCGTGAGCACCGTGTCGTCCTGTGCGCTGTCCTGCTGTTCGACCTGCTGTTGGGCGCGCATAAGCGCTCCCTGAAGCGTTTCGAGCTCCCTCCTCCGCTCCGCATCTATCCTCGCACTTTCCGCTTTCAAAGATGTATGCTGCTCCGCGAGTGCCGTCGCTTCGGCCTTTGCACGCTGTAACTCGCTACGAAGACCGGCTTCCCTAGCCTCGGTTTCCTGGAGTGCGTTGCCACGGTCGTGCTCACGCTGCTCTGCCGTCTCGCGCTCCTTCTCCAAAGACCGCAACCTCTCTTGCGCCACACGCCCATCCTCGAGCTCGCTCTGAAAACAACGCAGTTGCGCTTGCAGGCTGCGGCCTGCCTGCTTCTCTTGCGCCAAGGTCTCTTCCAGTTGCTGTCGCCGTGTCCGCTCCTTATCGGCCTCTTCTTGCAGTTCGCGGACGACGCCCGCGGCTGTTTCTTCGACTTTACTGGAGTAGCCGGCTTCTTCTGCAGCTGCACGAGCGAAATCCCTTGCGGTCACAGCATCTCGCAAGTCTGCTTCTAGGCGCTCGATCGTCCCCGCACGCTCGCGGAGTTCAGCCTCTAGTTCGGTCGACGCTTGCTCGCAATTCTTCACAATCTCCTCCATTTCTGCGTCTTTGCGTTGTCGTACGGCGTCTTGCTCTGCCGTGAGGTGCTCTCGCAACTGTTCGAGACTCCGTCTCTGCTCTTCACGTGCGCGTTCCTCCAATGCATTGGCCTGCTCACGCAACGCCGTCTCGTGCTCACGGGCTTGCTCGTCGCGGAAAGCGCGTAACTGCGACTCTAGCTCCTGAGTGGCTGCAGTCCTGGCTTCCTCGCTCAGTCGCTGTTCTTCGCGTAGCGTTGCTAGCGTCGCAGCGTGCGACTCGGCCTCTCGGAGAAGGCGGTCTCGTTCTGCAATCGCTGTGTCGCGACGCTCCTCTGCAGCACGCAGCAATGCGGTTTTCGTTTCCACGTCCCTTTGCAGATCTGCAGCGGACCGCTCGAGTGCCGCCATGCGCTCTGCGTGCTCGCCTTCTAGCGCCTCGCGTGCACAGGCACATGCATCCTCTTCGACAGTAGCAAGTTTAGATGCGAATTCGGAGTCCTTCGCCGCAAGCGCGCGCGCCAATGCAGCCTCTTGTTGAGCAACCACTGACTGTTCAAACTTCTCACGATCGCGTTCCTCCAGCAGCTGTTGTCCCCACGTGCGAGATGGTGACACTGCTTGCACTGCGGACGGGATCCCATTCTGCACTAGACTCCGCCGCGCGGGTGCGGAGGTGCCAGCTCCTGATGTCGCAGCACCAGCAGTACCACTTCCAGTTCCACTAGTTGTTGTATTTTCAGTCTTGCCCTTGCTTGCGGCAGTTGCAGCAGCTGCAAGATGACGCCATGGAGACGTGCTGCTTGAGGAGGTGCCTGTAAACAGAGACGCTGCTGGATCGTGAAACGACTGATCTAGGCCACTAAGATTGCCATCCTGATCTCCTGGTTTCTCTATCCTCGCCATCTTGGTTTTTCTGCGCGCTCGCGAAGGACCGCTTCCCTCTTCTTCATCTGACGAATGCGAACGACTCCAGTCTGCTTGATGTTGCTGCTGGCCACCAGTTGCAGTTCTAGGAAGAACAGAGTCTGCTGGTGACGATGCTATATTGTTCGCATTCGTCTTCGTGTCTGCAGCTGCTGACATAAACCCGCCACCACCACCACGAGCACCTCCCATTTGTTTACGGGTCCGCTTCGTTCCCGCTTTTGTTTTCTCGAGCTCTTCCTCAAAAGACCGTAATCTTAGACGCTCGCTTTCTCCCGCTTGCTTTGCAAAGGTGAGATCACGACCCATTCGCGTCAGCTGATCGCGCATAGCGGATTCCGTACGCTCAAGCGCTTCATAGTCCGCTTCGCGTCGTGCAGCCTTGTCCGCCTGGGCTGCCAACGAGCATTCAAGATCGTGAACACGCAGTCGTTGCTCCTCAACCTTGGCTTCTAGCTCTGCACTAGCTTGTTCCAAGTTTTTGTTGACGGTCTCGAGCCACTGCACTCGGGTTCGCAGTTCGCGGCCAGTTTTCTCACTACTCCTCTGGTTCTCCTGAAGATGCTGCAACTGCGACAGCAAGGAGTCTCGCTCCTCTGTCAAGCGCTGATGCAAAGTGCTGGAAACGCCAGTGGTGGAGGGAGCTGATGCAGCTCCTGCAGAGCCAGAGGCACTAGAAGATGCACTACCATTCTTGTGGTTAGCTGTGGAAACCATTTTCTCTAGTTCCACCTCAAGTTCCGTCACTCTCGCATGCAGAGTCGCGTTCTCTTGCTTCAGCTGACTTATCTCCTCGTCGCGCTCGTCGATGAGCGTGCTATCCCCGAGTCCACCCATGAAACTGCCACCCAGCTGCTGCTCTACAGTTTTCTTTTCTGCGATGCCATCTATCGGCGCTGCCCCACGGTTCCCGTTGCCAACTTTTGCCTTTGGCAATCCCAAGCTCCCGAGAGGTTCCAATCCTTTCAACGCTTTTGCTCGAGTACCATCCGCGCCGAGACGTGAAATCTGAAAGTGAATCATAAAATCAGAAATTATATGAAAATAAGGTAGCCAGATGCCAGATCAATTTTTATCGCTGAAATGGTCCTTCTACTTGTTATACCACATCCACATGTCAACCTCAACACCACCAACAACTAAGTACTCCTAATACGTAGTCGCGAGTCCTTCGACTCACTGCGATCGATGTAGCCAAGCACCCCGACGAGCCCGCGGCCAGCGCAAGCCAGCAAAGACAGAAAAAGGGACTGAACCTCAGCCCACACTGATCCGTTAATAATTGACAACACAATCACAACGAAGGCAAGCCTGTTAACTACTTCTACAGCGGCAATAGCTAGTGCTGGCGGCGCAGACGCAGACACGAGATAAAATGTAGAGTAGCTCGACTGCGCTCCGCTCCTCCGAGCTATGATCCACCGGCGCAGCCCGCTGCCTCGCGTTACTTAGTACCAACCCCAACCAGATCAGAGCCAGACGAGGCGCGCGGCACATCAGCAAAAGCGATGGGCGACGCCCTGAACCTGTCCCCTTCTCTAGAAATGTACTAAGCAAGCCGAAGAAAGCAAGGGCTGCACACTGAAAGAGAGGCTGATCTCCAAAGAGAGCCCGGCCTCCCACGACCCACCGACCAGCGAAGCAGAAGAACAGAAGCCCCACCCAGACCCAACAAGAAAAAGAAGACAACAAACACACAAGCAGGGGGCCCGCTTAAAATGAGACTCTTTAAGAGGTAAGAACGAAAAGCCCCACCCGCCCACCTACCAGAGTGAAGACTTCAAAAAGAGACTACCCGCCAACAGCTACCTCCAGCACCAGCGAGCGCACAGCCTACCAACCCACACGACTTCAGGGGCAAGGCGAAGGCCATCCATCGAACTCAAAGACAAAAAGCAAACAGGAAACCACACTGCCCCCAGCTGCGTGCCCCGATGGCCTTCAGCTGGCTGCACAGGAGAGACACCCCCGCGCAGACCCATCGACATCACAAACCAGCGGCGGCCCCTTGCTCCTGCCCGCTCGTTCCTCTTTCGTGTTCGTCCTTCTATCAATCTGTTTGCTTGCTCCCTTGGTTGCAGCGGTGGCATCAGATGAATAGGCAGGCAGCTGGAGACAACGCGCCTCGCCTTTCTCTGTGTGTCACGCAAAGAAAAGCTTAACGCTGACCCGAACACCATGTCGGTAAGCCTGGCGATCGCCTCCCTTGGCTAGCCGTCTAGCTACCACGGTGAAGAGGGTTGCGATCATAGTGCCCCCAGCCGACGCATACCCGAAGCGCACCCTCGTCCCCAACGAAGCCCCCGAGCCCGCCACTCACGCCCCCTCGTTGGCTGGTCCTACCTGCACGCTTCACAGCTGCCGCGCTCGCTGCAAGGGTAGCGATCGTCTTCCCACCACCACACTGGTGCCCGATCTCCGCAGGTTCCCCGTCATGTCATCGCGGCACGGGCGGCGCTGCGTGCGTCGCTGTTCAATGCCCGCAAGGCTGAAGGGCTGGGAACTGAGTGGCCCAAGGTCGACGCGGACGGCTAAAGCGAGGCCTGAGATTGCTAAAGAGATGCCAAAGCAAAGCCGGCCCTGCCTAAGACTGCCAAAAGGAGCTGCGCGCTTCTATCGTTGGCGGCACTATCTTGCTAGGATGGAACACGCGGCCCGGCGAGCGCCCAGACGGTCGCCCGCGAAGCTTGGCCCGCGTCTCAGCTCTTTGCCGTCCTGGGCGCTTGTTCGACTTTTTCCGGGTGTTGTATGCTTCCCCGCCTCCTCTGTCCCTTCCGAGGGAGGGCACCCGGTACCGGGAAAGGTCTGGCCAACTTTCACAGGATGGAACTAGCCACTTCCTGACAACAGGGGGGGCCCCTCTTCCTTCAGACCTACGAAACACTTCCCGCAGCAGCTCGGTAGCCACAGGCCGCACCTGCCAAGATTCGAAGCGCACGGCGTTCAATGTCTCTCGCGTGATATCGTCGCGCAGGTTGTTGCCCACTCATCCAGCCCGCTGGCTGATCGCGCTGCCCTGTGGCAGAGGTAGCCCCTTGGTCTTGTCCTTCGAACTTCTTCACCGCCCAGACAGCACCCGGCGGGCTCTGCCTCGCCTCCGTCCTCTGGCCTGATGGCCGCCGGCTGCGCGCGGCCGTCTTTTCCTTTCCCCTTCTCGTCTTTGTGCAGGTCTGTCATCACGCTGCTGGAGTCATTAGTTGGAATTCTTCAAGCATAAGGCGGACCCCCTTCGTCTTTGGTCGCACGGCGCAGAGTGCAGGGGAGCGACGGGCGCACATGGTGCCGACAAGCGGTAACGAAACCCCGCCATTCGACAAACGCTGCCCAATCCGCTGCGGCGCTGTCGCTATCAGTGACATGACGTCAGTGGAAAAAAGTAATAAAGCATTGACTAGGTACCGGTGAGAAAACGCCTGCTCCCCTAGCCGCAGCTCCAGCTCCGAAGAGCGCACCAAATGCGCCACCGTCGAAGGTCGTATGGCGCCGGTTTGGCTCCTTGTTCAACATCTTCCGTGGGGTCGTCATCTGCTCTGGTCGTGTCTGCAGGATTTTCGGTATGTTCGATTGCATTTCTGATATTTTCTCTTCGAGCGATAACTTTTCACGGAGTATCTGTTCCTTCTCGCTTTTCATCTTCTCATTCTCCGTAGAGAGCACGGCCAAACCGGTCCCAGTCTTCATGTCACGCAACTGCCGCTTTAGCTCCTCGATCTGCTGCATTGCGGTCTTCAACACCTCTTCGGGACTCTGATAGACGTTAACCTTCACCTTGTTCTTGATGCACTTGGCACGCGCAGCGAGGAAATGAAAGAAAAAAAAAAGATGAGATGCCAGGGTGCAAAGATGTAGAAGATGCAGGGACAGAAGTAACTAAGTAGGACGCCCTGATGGTCATTCAGGTGTAGTTGTATCAGTCTATTTACAGACCAAGATGCTGTAGTTATCTTATTTTTTTGATTATCTTCCATACATGATAGTGTTAACAGAGAATGATTTGAGTGTGGCTCAGGATAAAATATTTTGCGCCAACATAAAATTCCAATGTGGACTTGGTCTCTGGATAGTTCGAGGGCGCACCTGAGGCTGCGGCAATGATGATGGTTTGCGCGTTGCCTCCCAGTGATGTCTGGAGGATTCTGGTCAGCTGCGACTCCCGAAATCCAACGAATTGATTCGGTCCCCTTTGGTCGCTCAACTGGTTAATCACTTTCGTCAAGGACAAGAGCGATCGATTGATGTTTGCGCCCTCCACTCTGCGCTCACCTGTGGCGCCCGTGCGTTTCAGACCCTCGCTTCCTGCCAAGTCCACTAGGTGCAAAACGGACGAAAACACCTTGTTTGCGGCGTCGCCGGATTCGTCTCCGCCGCGACACTCGAGTTGGATCCGGAAAATCGTGTGAGAACGCGAACTCCGCTCATTCATGCGGGTTTCGCCTGTGTGCCGCTTCCTCTCTCCGCGAATCAAGCAGTCGAAAACCTCCCGTGCTCCGCCTTGAATGCGCACCTCCGTGAGGCCGCGGATGTCGAGACTGCCATCTGGACGATCAAAGAGACGGATCATAGCACCACTCGAGGAAGACGTGCCTTCGTAAGCACCTGGAGGAGGACCAGAGAGAAGATCGATGATGTTCTCATTGTAGATCTCCAAGTACGAGACGGTGAGGAGGTAATCTTGGTCCGGATGGCTCTCCATAGACGCGAACAGCTCTAGAACTGCATACGGAATGATCCCTTGGTCCCGCTGGTTGCCATGCATCGTGAAGGTTTTGCCCGATGCAGTCTGACCATAGGCAAACACCGTTCCGTTCACGCCCTCCAAACAGTGATGGACGATCTCAGATTTAGACGACAAGCCCAGACTCCGTTGTATACATAGTTCTAAAAATCAGAAGAAGATGTATAGGAGGTGGGAGTCGTGGTAAGTAGAGGTACCTACAACTTTTAGAATGCATGAAAGAAGCAGTACTTCTGACGTGAAGATCGACGTAGTAGTAATTCCATTCATGAAGAGAGTGACTTGTACTAGATTCAAGAACATGCTCCACTTCTGGCCTTAACCTTTACTTGTTCATCGAATATTCTCTGCGTGTCTTCGTGTGGATGGTAGACGCGATCGAAGCTCCAGAGGCCATTTCCGCCTGTCGCATCCCTAACAGTGTCCTGGCCCTGTAGATCCCACGTGCAGGGATCATGCTCGCGCCCGCGGTAGTCGCGATACCGCACCACCACAGAAATGCGCCGCTCGCTAGACGCCATTTTGGTCTGTTGTCAACTTGGGTGCGGTGCTGGAGATGCAGATCACGAGGATGCTTTTTCGACCAGACGAGAGGGCTGAAAATGAGGAGGAGCTTGATGTAGGCCCAGTGGAGACCAAGGCATGGCACGACCAGGCACTTCGTCCTCGTCCACACGACTGCCCATTATTTTTTGATGTTGCAAAAAAATTTATCAATTCCTCAATGGGGATAATTAAGTGGTGCCCACGACTAGATCATAATTTACGATATGGATATTCGTCGTGCAGTTACTACATCTACATGTACTTATATTGAAAAGTCACTACGATAATTGAGGCTAAAGTCAGATCCGATCAACAGCGTACATCAAACGAGGATGAAGCGCCAACCTTCCGACTCCGAGAACGAATGACTACAACAAAGTAAGTTAAGGTTAACTACATGATACATGTTGTAATGAATCTGCACCGCCACATGACCTTCTTTGATCATCCAAGCGCAGTCACACGGCAACTACATAGACATACATCAACAAGATTTAGAACGATCATAGCGACGATGAAAGGAAAACAGGCAATCAAGTCTTAGTCTAGTTGGATGCATGCGCAGCTCTCGTAGCAGTCTCTTGGGTCATGCTCCTGACGAGCGGATCATCAAATATTTTCGATTTTCGAGCAGCGACGTCTTCAGAATAGCAGGAAGCAACATTTGACTTTTGAGCCCCCGCCTACGCTTTAGGTAAAAACTACATCAACCGACCCAACAACAGAAGATGTGCCAACACGCTAAACCCCCAATCATCCGATGAACATTTTCGTATACTTGTTACATCGATAAATTCAAACAAAGGTTAACCAAGGTGAAGCAGGTGACAGATGCGCGAGTAGGGCTAGGGGTTGCCAATTCACGACGAATTAGAAATGATGCGTCGACGACACGACCGGAAGAATACTCGAGAGGTGTACCGAAAATCAGAATTTCAAGGTCAAGCATCAAATTCGTACGGAATAGTACTGCTCTACTACTTGGGCATGTCGATGTAGTGAAGAACAAGTCTGTGCTACGAGTTGTATGGGGACGCACAAGAACTAGAAGGATGTCGCATCCTCCTATTAGAGGGGGCACACGCTTGGGTAGGTGGAATGGGGTAATTTTCATTGTTCTTCTTCTATCTTATAAATATTTCTGATGTGATGTTCTTGTTTTTCTTCGAAATTTATAAGGACAGTCACCCTCACGACGAGCAACGTGTTCTTCTGAGTTCCTTCTTCTTCAGCCAACGTTTACATCCACTAGCTTTCCATTCACTTCCACCCAGGACGCGGTTGTATCTGGCGTTCCTTTATTCGTCGATGACGCGAGCAAGACTTGAATACCACGAACGGTCAGGCAAACAGGCGCGCTACCTCGAGAACAACCAGCACTAGCTTCTGCTGGTGGTCGATAGAAAAACAGATCGGGGTGTTGATGCAGCACGGAGTTCAAAGTAAGTCCTTGTGGCGCGTCAATTTTCGAACCAAAGTAGCGCAACCAATCCCCAAAACAGTGCTCCAGTTTCGACAGGTTGCCGCGAAACGCAGGCATTGGGTCTCGAGTATTAGAGCATGATTGAAGAATCAATTGTTCACAAGAAAGTAGTAGAAGTGCTGAACATTTAATTTAAGTACTAGAAAAGAAAGTAGTAGAAGTGCTGAACATTTAATTCAAGTGACAAGCATTATAATTTGTACAGCTGCTAAGTATGTAAATGTTGTATGTTGAAGAACTGTCCTCCGTAAGATTAGCAGCAATGACCTGCGCAAGTTTCGTCAGTAGCAACAGCCTTGGACGTCCATATTCCTCCTGTAGGCTCCGGCGCAAAGCGCTGCACCGAGCGGGCGAGTAAACCTCAGCAGTGCGGTCGGCTTCTTTGTTCGCCATCAATTGCTGTGAAAGCGCTGAAAACTCCAGGTTACAAGGATGTGAGGCGTCAACCTTGCAGCTTCGCAAGCGCCGCTGTAGGTGCCCGCACCAATCGACGTCGAGCAACTTGCGATGCAATGCAGCCATCAAGAAGGACGCGGCTAGAGGACGAGCGTCTCTTGTGTCTTCGTTGTCGTCTACTAGTACATGATCCAATGTTCTTGTAGAAGTACAAGAACTAGTTCTTTCCACGACTTGATGTAAACATTTAGCAACACCAACATTTCCTCCTCGCCCTTGCCCTGTTGATAAGGCATTCGCCTTTGCCCACTTCAGCACCCGACTCTGCGTGCGCACTTCTTGCTTCTCATAAGTAGATGAAGCCGCATCTTCAGACGATAGACTTGCACTATCTTCTAGTGCCACAGAACGGCGCAAACTTCCGGCTAATCGCTCTGAAAGACGATCATCGGCCTCACGGAGCAGCCGAGCCGCTGCACTATCGACTAGAGACGCTAGTAGCTGGACTCCATCAGATGTGACATGTTTGGCGCGAATGGGACCTTCAAACCGGTAAAAAAGCTCCAAATCAGTCAATTTGCTCTCTGGAGGTGCACCAGACAAGGCAGGAGAGCTCTGGTCAACAATAGAAACATTAGTGGATTCTTGTGGGCCAAAGCCAGAGGACGTCGTCGACTCGTTCTTCGTCTTAGGCTTTTCATCATTCATGATGTCGCCATAGACCAGTAGCTGCACATCATCTTCGCTGCAAGTAGCTGCAGTACAAGAACTATTGGTTTGTAGTTGATCCCTTTTCTTGATCCTCTCGCTTTCCTTGTCATCCTTGTCTGATGTACTCTTATTCATATCGCATCCGCTTCTGTTACGATGCTCGTCCTCGTTCTCCCAGGCCGCTCTAAAAGCCGCGCGGCATTTTTCCGACAGGCCAATAAGCCGGATCTTTGAACCAACAATCTCGTTTTCAACTTTTACAGTAGTACAAGAAGCTGAGTCCTCCTTTCGCAACAGTGGAACAGACACTGAGACAAAAAGCTCTGGGTAGTAACTGCAGATGTCAGCGAGGTGTTTGTTCCGCCAGCAGGACATCTCGGCACGTGCGTGCACAAGTACAGGATGTGCTTCTTGGAGCTCCTCTGCGGAGGACAGTGCAACCGGGTGGTCTACTAGGAGAACACGCAACAAGTGGGTGAGATAGGCCATCTTCTCCAACTGCGCAATTTGCAGCAAAGGTGGGAGATTCCCACTGTTCGCGAATTTCTCCACGACTTGGTCTTTATTCTGGTTGGTGTAGAAGTTGTTTAGAGCCGGGGGCCGCGTTGGGTCTATATTTCCCTTCACTGATGTGCCGCTAGAGGCCGAAAAAGAAGAGCCCCCTGCAGCTGGTACAAGGGCAAGTCCTGCACTACTTGCTGTGGCGAATTGCCCATTGTTTTTAGCTGAAGAAGGTGTGATCGCACTCGACGCAGCTCTTTTGGCAGCAGCTGCCTGTTTCTGACGAGGAGCTGCAAAATGCTGGAACAATTTCTCTGGAGGTCGTGGTGCCATCTCTTCGTCACTCGGGGAAGACTGTTCTGTTGTTGCACCACCATCATCTTCACCTTCAACAACTACATTTTTCACTCCCTCAACAGCACCCAACACCGCGGCCCGTCGTTTCTTTGCGGGCATGATCCTAATTTCTCCGCCAGGACGTAGCTGCTGACCATTTTTGTCTTTCACCCTTGCTGCGTCGTCACGGCCGCGCTTTCGCAGATCAGTTCGACGTCGTTTCATAGCGTTTATATCGTTACTTTCTTCGGAAGGGCTGACAATCAAAATCCGCTGGCCTCGGTGCACCTCGACGCGATTGGTGCTGCTAATCGCTCCAGGAGTGGAAGACGACGTTGAAGATGTTGAATCTAGTAGTAATCTCTCTTGGGCATCGTGCGCACGAGGACCACTTTTGTTGCCCCTGTTACTGTTAGTACCGCAGCTATGCTCCTCTTCTTGAGCGTCTTGTTGACAAACATGTTGATGCTCTTGTATTGTATTTTCAGCCTCATGATCATGCTGTATCTTATTTTCATCATAATTCCAAGAACTCGCCCAATGATTGTTCCTCGTCTTCTGATGAACATTCTTTCCGCTTCCTTTTCCTTTCGCGTGCGCCTTCTGTTCCTCCGTCAATTTTGACACCAAACTCATTGTAGGTGCTGTAATCGAGGATGCAGCTGTCGCATAGTTTACAGTGACGCCTCCAGTGGGCACGACCATATGTTGTTCATCGGAACAAGTGTGACCTACAACTCCTGCTGGTCCTAGTAGTGCTGATGTTCCTATGTTCGATTTAGAGGTTGCAGCTGGACCTCCAGCAGCTGTTCCATCGTGCGCAGCATGATGATGTTGGTCACTCGTCGCGGAGGATGAAGATGAAGTGGTATTGTTTCGATCTACGACAGATGAGCCACCAGCGAAGTTCTTTTGTGGTCCGGTAGAGGTAGATGAAGGATCAGCACCAGTCGTGCCTGTGGTGGCGATACCCGCGATCTGCAATATATCGAGCACATTCGCCGCATCTTCTTGTCGTTTTTTCTCCATGAGTGACCCCACTAATTCTGACTCTGACATCAACTTCTTCTTTTTCGTCGCGGGCGAGGAGGTAGAAAGTCGCTTCGGCAATTGGGGCTCACCAGCTGCACCCCCTACTTGAGCAGAAACTGATAAAGGCTTCGGCAATTGGGGCTCACCAGCTGCACCCCCTACTTGAGAAGAAACTGATAAAGGCTTCGGCAATTGGGGCTCACCAGCTGCACCCCCTACTTGAGAAGAAACTGATAAAGGCTTCGGCAATTGGGGCTCACCAGCTGCACCCCCTACTTGAGAAGAAACTGATAAAGGCTTCGGCAATTGGGGCTCACCAGCTGCACCCCCTACTTGAGAAGAAACTGATAAAGGCTTCGGCAATTTGGGCTCACCAGCTGCACCCCCTACTTCTTCCTCCTTGTTCACGAGGACCTTTGTCTTCAAGGTACCACTACCGATCCCAAGTGCCTTTCGCTTCCTTTGCAAAAGCATGCGGTACTTTTCAATGCTAGCACTACTCAGGCCGCGCGCAGCAGACACTGAATCTGAAGGATCCTTGTTTGCATTTCCTGAAGAGGTGCTTGGTCCGCTGAAGTTTTCCGGAGCATCAGTTGTAACGGAAGGATCTTGAAAGAGTTCGACTTCCTCTCGACTTACACGTAGACGAGAATAAACATCGTCGCTATCGTTTTTCATCTCGATCTCCTTCGCGGATGCGCGCAGACCGGTAAGCGCGTGCACGTCACCCTCAGATTGATTGGCATCGGCCTGTTGGAGTTGATGGCGTTGACTCTGATTCTGACCGTAGTGCATACCATTACCATTAGCATTAGTTACCATCAACGCCAATCAGATTGATGAAAGATAACGCTGCGCGATGAATGTTTCTCAAGTTGAGTGCTTGGCTGGTGTTGGTAGCTATTATCTCGAAAACAAGAAGGGCAACGGGCTGAGGGGAGCCACAGCTCCAAGCGTTGCTTGGGTTGCGCCCCATGCATCTCCATGATGCCCCCGAGCCCAATGCATGGACGCCCCCGACCCAAAGAACAAACTGGCCGACCCACCCCCCCGAAGTAGAAGAAACACAACAGACAGACAAGCCCGCCGGCCGCCAGGGCCAGCTTGGTGCATAGGCTGACCAGATAGAAGAAAGCAAGACAGTCCGACCGCACAGCAAAAAACGTTTGACCCGCCGCACATCTTTTATCGAGCCGAGGGACATGCTGACACCGCCTTGCTCCCTCCTATATAATCAATTCCACGGGGAGCACCCTAAGAAGCCACTCCAGCAAACCACTCCCGGAGTCGAATGCCTCGCAAGCGAGCGCGAGGGAGCCTGTGAAAGATGTGCAGGCGGGGGCGCGCGAAGGTTCGTCGCAACTCGCAAAGTAAGCGCGGCGCCAGCGCGCAAGCACTGGCGCCCGAAGCCTCCGCCTTTCCCTCCAAGAATAAAGACGAGCAAAGGCCTTTTGTTGCAATAAGCCACGGCGTCGATTAGTGAAACCAATCAGAAATACACACGCAGAGAAAAGGCAACCCGTCTACATTCTGCCGCCCGGACTACACTAGCACTACCCGACAGCCCTCCACCCACTTCCGCCCCTTTCCTGGGGCTTCCTCCTTCCTGTCGCTTCTGGCGACTTTTGCGCGCTCACTCGGTGTCGCTGCTTCCCACGACATCTCTCAGAGACTCGCATGGACTGCACAGCGGGCCGCCCCGTGCTCCGGGTGCGCGCAGTGGCTCCCGCAGCGAGGCGAAACCCTGCCGGCAGGCGAGGTACGTAGGTATCTCCGTCACAAGACAATCTCCCTCAACTTGAGCTCAGCCTCGGCGAAGTTGCGCGCCACCTCTCTCGCCTGGAGAAAGCTCAGCGGGGTGCGAAGCGGCACAGAAAATGGAGGCCATCCCATTCCGCTCAGGGTCCACCTGAGACCGAAACAGACGAAAGCTGTCCGAGCTCCAAGCGAAGACCGTCGCCGTCCGGGCTGAGCGCTTTGACAGCTTGAGCTGAGGTGGGCAACCGTTTCCGAGCTGACCTCGTGCGACTCCTTGAGGCGGGTAGCCGTTTTCTGGTTGAACTGCTCAAAGTGTGCGCGTCAGCAAGAAGGCCGCGGGTCTCCTGGTGCTTCGAAAGTGGCTACGTATGTCTCCGCCCTTAACTTAAGCCCGAGCCGCAGGCGCAGCCCCTTCTTGCGCCTACTCTATTCTAACAAGACAAGACACGAGGCACAAAGTGCGCAAGCCCCTGGCCCTCCCGCTGTCCCTTGCGAGTGTTCTGAAGACAAAGCAACACACTCACCCCACCCGCATCATTTAAATGCGAAGCCAGACCCATCCCGCCGACGGCGCCAGCGGGCCGCCCTTCTCTGCGTGAACACTTTCGAAGACTTGAGCAGCCCAGCTACTCATCAGATGAGCTGACGCCGTCCAGTTATGGCCAGGGTTGTGAGCCACACGATGGACCGCGTGGGCGCGGTGCCGTCCGCTGCTCAGAGGGCTCCCCTTGGGTCTCATCTCCCCGCACTGTCTGGCCCAGCGCGGTCCCCGTTTGTCTCTCCCCTGGGTGTGGGGCGGCAACCAGCCTGGAGGCCGCCTCCCTGCCAGTCGAGTCCCCTCCAGGATTCGAACCAGAGACCCTCCGGAGCGGAGTGCAATCACTTGCCCATGAGCCACTCCACCACACACGAACGAAGCAAGGCGCGGACTGCCTAGCCGAAGCCGGCCACCTCGCGGCGCGCTTGGTTAAGTGGGTCCGGGTGATGTCCATTCCGATGGTTTAGAAGTACTAGATGGCGTCGCTTGTCATTTTCTTACTGCGTTCCCTCCCGCACAGTATGGAAATGGCTTCGGGTGGAAGTTTCTAGCGCCTTAGTTAACTGCTGCGCTGTTTCCTCATTGTCGATCAGCTTGGTTTGAATCCCACTTGTTAGGCTTAGAGGCTCAGCCGGGGAAAAATCACCAAACTGCAAGACCCCGCCGGCGTCACCAGCTCCCAAGCCAGCCCAACAAAGTAGCCAGCTCCCGGATCGCGGCCGCGCTGTTTCCTCGGTTCGTGTAGCGGCCGCCTGCTCGCACCGGGACGAAGGCGGCGCGCAGGTTCACTCCGCGGCCCTGTCCGATTTGGAGCGACGTGACCTATGTCGCGAAAGCGCTGAGACCGAGGACCAGCTGGCGCTGTTGACCTAACGGAAAGCGCTCACGCCGCGGTTGGTCACAATGTTCCCAACGGACTCAAGGCCTCAGACCCGCGTCGCGGTTGGAAGTGGAACGGAGCGCCGTGGACTCATGCCAACAATCTAGCGAAGCCGAAAGACTAGAAGAACTAGAACACCAGCAGGCGCCTGGCGCACTCTCCTCCGTATTCTGTAGGCGAGTCGCCGCCGATGCTTATGCTTATCGAATGCCCTGGCTTGCTCTGGCGCAAGTAGCGCCACCGCTGGAGGCAGCTCTTCAATTATTTTGAGCATACTGCGGAGCCCTTTGCGGCCGCCATGTCCAGAGAGTGTAGACGCCGCCATACTCACGCCCGCCAGAAAGGCCCCCACAAGGGTGCCCGAGAAAGTAGCCAGGCTCCAAACACCCGCGCAAAGTTTCACGCAAACGATGCCGCCACGCCGCAACTTGGTCGGCGTCAAGCAGGTGACCCCCTAAGGGGTTAAACAATAGAAGACGAAAGACGCAACAGCCCGACGAGACCACTCAGGCACTTGGTGCGCGGCCTCGTCTCATGTGTCTTGCTATTGCTAAGTCGTTGAGCTTGCGTCTGCAGCTGTCTGCTAACTGGGAAACTCTGGCGGCGACTCCCTCAGAGAGGGAAAGCATACACGCAGACCAGCACGAGTCGGCCAGCGCCTTTTTCCGTCGACACGATGGCCGCTGAGCTTTTAAAGGTGGCAGACTTTCGGAACCCTTATTGGTATCGACTAAGAACCAGCATTAAACGTCTCTAAGGTATTCGAGGCCGCGGGCAAGTCGCTTTGCTCCTCGGGTTCGCTTCCAGACTTGTTCGCCAAGGAAGAGCCAAAGGCATACACTGCCGCCAGCGGTTGCGTGTGTATCAAGCTAGCCACCCGCGCCGATGGTCGTGATGCTCCCGGAGGCACTTAGGTCTCCATTACCGCGGCGGGCCCTGACAAGGATGAAGGGATGGCTGCTGCCTCCCTTCTCCAGCCTTTCACTTGAGAGATCGGCGGACCGCCAGGCGTTAACGGGGCCCGCTCTCTGCTAGTGTCCGCCTGCCTCGCTCTGCGCCGTGGCGGGCATCCGATCAGCCACGCACGCTGGCGACAAACGGGTCGCGAACTCAGCGCAGGAGTGGCCGGGCACCACTGTGGTCGGCGCTCCGCGCGCCGATCCATCGCCGCCCGAGCAAATGCGGGGGGGAGGAAAGTCGCGCCTTCTGAGGCCGAAGCTCCTACATCATAGATGCCAGAGCGTGCGCAGGTTGAAAAGGGGCGGCCTACCTAGGACAGGCCCGCATGCAGTTCCGGCGCGACGGAGTACTAGAGCAATCCGAGTTTTAACAGAGTTCTTAAGTACCTGTCCTCTCAGAATCGTCCCCGGCATGTCTTCGCGACCATCACCGCCAGCGTCGAAGTCCTCATCTGCCATGCGAGTTCGTTCCTCCGCTTCTTGATACAGCCGCTCCTCAGCATGTGCGCGGATCCGCTGAACGTCTGCTTCATTTTTTTGCGTTATCAGTTGTAAGAGCCCCAAACTCGCGTTGTGAGGCTGCAAAGCCGCACCCTTCGCAAACATGCGCGTCAATTCTTGCTTCGAGGCAACAGAAGTCGCAGCGGAAGGCGTGGCTCTCGACGAGCTTGAAGTACAGGGAGCCTGAGTATTTTGGGGTTTTGTTGTCGCACTAGACCATGTTGTCGTTTGCTCCCCAAGTGAAGAAGTGTGATCGGCACACTCACCAGCAACATTTCGCGCAGTTCCGTCGTCAACATGATCTTCGCGCGACATCAACTCTTGCTCTTGCTGCTCGCGCTCTTCTAATGCTGGAGCAGCGGCGAGCTTCTCTCGCAGGCGACGTCGCTCGGCAACAGTTAATCGCGCTGGACCAGCCTCGTGGTCTACCTGCTTGTCTTTGCCTAGCTGTACCCTATCTTCGATATTGGCATGACCTCCTGCAGAGGATGCAGATGCATTACGGCCCTCCTGTTGAGAAGTCGTCGACAATGATAGATCTTTCTCCTGTTGATCATTTTGGGCTTTATTTCGAGACGCGCGCACCACGTCATTTTGTTCGCCCTCCTCGTCGCTTTCTATGAGAATCGCCATCCCGTCCTCAAAAACGTACCTGGGTGGCCGTTCCGCCTTGATATTTGGAGCGGTGTGCCCGGCGTTCTCTTTATGGTGCCCACCTACATCTAATAAATCGCCGTGTAGTGCGCAAGATGTAGCTGTTTCAGCTGAAATCGGTAATCCTTCATGTTCTTCATTCACCTCTCCCCCAGGTCTTTCAGCTGAAATCGGTAATCCTTCATGTTCTTCTTCATTCACCTCCTCGCCAAAAAGTAAATCCATTGCGCTATTTTTCTGAATGTCTGTCCTCCGTAGTTCGCGGACGGCTCCTTCGGAAGCTTGTGCCGCATCCAGAATATCCGAGTCCGGGACCAAGCCACTTGTGCTTCCCATCTCCTGCATACTATTTCGACTCTCAGTCTCGTGGTCCAGACCGTTCTGCACCAGTTCTTCGATGTCGGGGATGTGCTGCTCGGAAATAAATCCTCTCCCCGTCCGATGGCCTCCATGTTGTTCCACCTGCTCTCTAAAAACCTCGTGCTCGTCCATGTCCATATCTTCCTCAATATCTTCTTCAATTCGTGTAGTTGCCTCGAGGACGTGGTCTACTTGTTCTATTTCGCAGCTATGTTGATCTTGTTCAGCGAGGCCTTGATGTCCTCGACCTTGTTGTACCATACTCCGCAAATGCTCTAGTTCTCGTTGATGTTTCTCCTCCATCTCCCTAATTCGAGCTTGGAGTGCCTCAACAGATGACGCATCTGCTTGTTCCTGTCGTGGTTGTGCTGGAAGATGAACTTTGCGGGAAGATGACGAAGCAGAGGCAGCATTGTGTTGACCGAAACCGTGCTCGTGATCAGGATAAAAATCTTGTTCCTCCTCACGTGACATCAAGGCACGACCATCATTATACGCGGACATCATGCGTCGTCCTCCACGACGAGGACCTGCTTCAACAAGAAAAGAGCCGACTTCTTGTTCATCTGACGAATAGTTCGCTCCACCACGAGCAGCGTAAGCGTAATGATGGCTGTTTCCACCACGAGCACGTGAAGCACTTCCTCTACTGATTGCTCCTCGAAATCCCCATGTACTAGGTGCACTCTGGTTGTTGTAGTGAAGACCACCGTGATTTTCACTAGAATTCTGGTCATGTTGATCTTGAATAGCAAGTAAATCCGCTGTTGCTCCGTGGCTAGGGTGAACAAAGTCAGAATATCCTTGCTCTTCTTGCTGTCCTCGATCGTAATCGGGCTCGGGCTCTTCTGCTTTGATATAATGGTGACCACGAGGACCTCGTTGCTGGGTTCGCAGAGCCGACTGACGTGCTTGACGTAAGAAGCCACGGCCTTCAGAAACATGAGATGCAAAAGATGTTTCGTCTTGATCTTCTTGTTGCCCACCTTCTTCGACGTTGTCTTGATCTTGATGTTCCTCAGATGAATAGTCATCGCGTAGAAGTTGATCTTGATGTTGCTGTTGGAAATTGTAACACATCTGAGGCAGGACGTCAGCAAGAGGCACCATGGGGCCCGCGGCTGTCATAACGACGCCAGGAGACTGCAATGTCGCATTGCTCCTGAGGTTAGAAGAGTTTTTTAAGAGGTTCACCAATATATATTGATTACGTAGTGGATGTGGACGGGCTGGGGGCCATGACGGATGAAGAGTTTTTTATCAGGTTTACTACTAACTGTAACTATAAAAATTGATCACGACGTAGTAAGTTAGACTACAGAAGATGTCTACTAGTGAATTCACTTTGTTGATGAGATGAATGTCGGTGTAGCACTTTTTTTTGTAAAGTTACACTACAAGAGTGGACTTTTTTTTTGAAATTCTTAAGTGGACGGGCTGGGGGCCATGACGGATGAGGCGGAGCTGAAGGCGCCGGGAATGAGTTCGCATTCATCCACGGGTAGTTTTGCCCCCATGCTGTTTGCTGTTGCGATGATTCTATTGGCATCCGCGACCGCGGTGGAGGCATCTTCGCCGATGAGAAGGCAGCACTCACAGGCCTGTTCGCATTCATTACGGGCATGTGCTGTCTTTTTGTCTGCGGTGGATGTCGTTGCGTCGAAGTTGATGGTGGTTGTCCAGTTGAGCGTGATTGGGCAGGTGGTATTCCACTTGAGGAGCTTTCGCAGATACTGTTCCGCGTAGACGATGATTCGACTGAGGGGGTGCGCGAACCTGAGAAAACAGGAAGAAGATGTCATTGCGAAGAATGGGCTGTGGAAGAGAAGCTGAAGGTGATGTAAGTAGGTGAGGAGTGTGACCGATCATCGTCCAGTGAGAAAAATAGTCTACTTAGATGACATGAACAACAGCTATGCGATCGAAGAGAAGAAGAACTAGAACAATATATAAGTTTCAAAGGTACCTGCCGCTTTGTTGCGGTTCGGATTTCCAGGTGCGGCTTCAGGAAGTTGTGGCCTCCCAAAATGTTGCCCAATACCACCACGTCCACCATATTCGTAATCTTGTACTACTTCTTCAACATAATCTCCGTGGTTCGCGTAGTTACCATAGTTATAGTTTCGCCTAGAGCCAGAACCGGCTCTAGCACCGCCACTACTAGTCGTTCGCCAAGCAGAGCCGACGACTGGCGGTCCTTGCCGTGATCGTGCCATCATGTTGGAGGTGGAGGAACCGGCAGCCGAAGATTGACCAGGCAGCTTTGGTGGACCCCGATGCTTCCCTGGTGGAGGCTGTCTGTACTCGTAGTCGTGAGGCTGCGCAACCTCTTGTTCCCCAGCAGTAGAACGAGGACCCGGCGGAACATCCTCTTGTTCCCAAAAATAAGTGTAGTCTTCTTCACATTCACTCGTCATTTTTGATCATCATTACACACAATGATCTAGCTCTGTAGAAGAAGCAGGATCGACCAACACTACATACATCAAAAAATTCTTGTTCGTCATCATAGAATCAGCAGCAGCACTAGTTTCGACTCGTCTACCCGACAACTACATACAGATTTCTGACAGTATAATAACGGATAGCAGTACCAGTAGCGGAGAAAAACATAATCAAACAAGAATATAATAAGCCATAATTAAAATTTTGATCCTGATGTTGATTTCAAAGTTGTCTCGGATGAAAACAGTTTAAAAGCATTTTTATTCAGCATGCGCCATGCGGCACAGAATCATACTGGTTGCGACGGGAACAAGTTGAACAGCATCAAGATCGTTGATGTTGTGGTCCCGTACTGGTGCAAGAACGTCCTTCTCACGTGAGAGGACTGCCAGGCCTTGTCTTAGTTTTTTGATAAGAACATGTTAAAACTTGTCAGTTGTCAGAGTCAGTTGATGTGGTCGTGAAGCATTCGATGTTCGTCGGTCCGAAAGGCATGCTTTTACAGGACGATGGAGGTTCCGCCTGTAAGCATGTCCTTTCTCTTTGTGAAATTTGGTTTTTCGTCAGCTATACGTAGACGCAAAAGACCACGGGCTAAAAAGACAAAGAAATTGAAGCGATACATAGGTAACAACATCATCAGGACAACGATGATAATTCGTTTTACGGTTTTATAGCAAGAATAAAAAATAGGGTCGAAGAACCAGCAGGTAAGAGCAATGAAGATGTTGAAGAAATTGACCGAGGAAGAATGAGAAGTTGAGATATTGAAGACATCATTCGCCGAAGACTGTCGAAAAACAACTACATCGTCTAGCCGCTGTAAGGCGTGCAGAGACCTGTGGCGTTGCCGGCACCGGATGCAACCACTAACCCGATGATGAGCCCGTACAAACCGAGCGCCTCAGCGAAAATCAAAATCAGGATCATTCCGACGAAGAGTCGGGTCTGTGGTTTCATGAAGACGGTAGTTTGGAAGAAGACGAAGACGAAGATGATGTTATATTTTTTCACCACGACGTCACTTACTCTTCTAATACAACATCAGACTCTTCCTATATGATCATCAAGTAGAAGGAGTTCAAGTTCTTGGTGCACAGAGGGAGTTGGTGTTGCGACAGCATGTGTTACTAAGAGTTACCTGTTGTGCGTTAGCTCGGACGCCCGCATCACCGACAATACCAATGGCTAGACCAGCCGCCAATGAGCTCATTCCTACGGTAAGACCTGCACCCAAGTGTGCGAATCCCTGGTAGGCAGAATATTTCGCTGGCTCGTTCAATTTCTCGTTGATAATGACGCTTGTGATCAGTCCGTAGATACCTACGAGATTCATTCAGTGATCAGGAAAACTTTAACGAACAGTAACTTTGCTCTGCTACTGCTGTTTATGTTTTACATCGTAGTTACATCGTCAGAAGTTGTTCTTATTCTCATACGCTCGTCTGCTGTTTTACATCGTTACATCGTATCAGAAGTTGTTCTTATACATACTAGTATACCCAAGACACCCGCCATGACAACTGGGATGATCGACTTCATCATGAGTTCTGGTCTGAGCACACCCATGCTCATGATTCCGACACCGCTCTTTGCTGTTCCATAGGCAGCTCCGAGATTTGCGAAGACAATCGCTGAGGTGACCCCCATGAAGCCGAAAAAGCTGCTGGTAGGATCGCACGCGACAACGGTCATCTTGTCTTTTGTTTTGGTCGAGAAAAGCTCAACAGAGTGTTTTTTGTGTTGCTCGTAAATAGCGTGAACGCAAGGGAGCTTTACTACGTCGAAAATGAAAGTTTAAGTTTTCAAGACGTGTTTATCGAGGACAATCAGATTGATGTCGTGAGTTCCACTCGGTCAGCGCTTCTTGAAGAGACGCTGTGGCGATGAACAACTCGTCAAAAAACAAGACGTTGGAGATAAATGCTGCAGCTAGAAGAGCTAGACTTACACTTACTGCATGTCACCTTCTGCTTCGCCAGAAGCAGTAGCAACACTGCTGTTGATGCCAATCCGTATCTGCTTGGATTGCAGCAAGAACACCAAAGCAATTGTCCTCCAAGTCCAAAAAAGAAACTGACCCACGTGTAAACAGTTGTGAGAATTCAACTCCTGCTGTAATGTATGAAATTGAGATTGTGTCCTATACATAGGACTTGTCGCGCGTTGTCATCGGTCACCGTCGCCTTTCCTCATCGGTTCTTGATATCTTCCTCATAGGTCCCGCTCCTGCCAGAAAAAAAAGCTTCTCAAGAAATCCGCTCGAAATTGCAGCAGGTGTAGTACGTGTTCTTAGTTGTGTCCTAGTAACTGTAACACGACTAATACGAGTAAGAACCTGCAAAAAAATCTGGAGAAGCTCACATTCGATCAGCAGACGACAGATAGAACTGGCGGTCGCAGAGTCAGCAACTTTATCTCGTATCTCTGCAACGAACACAAGAACATCTGAGTTCTTAAGACTTAGGAGCCTTGACGTCGCATCTGCAACATCTTTCCAACAAATTTCAAGATCATGATGAGAAAGACAAAAAAAATATCAATCTTGCTTCCGGCTGTCGTGTTTACCTTTAATACAACTCATGTGTAGGAAAATATACTTTGCGCTACATGCGTCCGAATCAGACTAGTTACTGAGACTGACTCCAAAATGATCACAGGAAAACAATCTGCACTGTGACGTTGTCTGTGCTTCCTCGGCCAAGGGCTGCTTCTACCAGTATACGACTGCAGAGTTCGGCTCGTCTTGGGTGGTCGTAGGGTATGCCCATAAAGTGGAACTCCGTCAAGGCCTCAAGAACCCACGTTACGGCCTCTTGATCACTGCAAACGTCCCATAAACCATCGCATGCACAGTATGAACGTGAGAAGTTGACGAGCTAGAGCACATTCATGGAGGGGCGGTTTCTAGTAGTACATTACGTGATGAACCATGCAGTCTTGCCCTAAAAGTCTCTACTTAGTATTAGCTGATCAAGATGAAGACACCTAAAAATGATGAAGATGAATGGACTACAGCACTGTGATTTTTAAAAACAAAGAGACTTCTACATCTACTAAGTTTAAGTAGTTGTAAACATAGAGACTGCATCTAGTTGTTCATGTTCAAGTTCATGTCGATGTCGTGCTTGAAAGAATCTTCACAGAAGATCATGAAGTAGATCTTCACAAGTCATAAAAGAATCACAAATAGATCATCCTCCGGATATATCTCTGTTCCGGTCACGTCTGGCAAATTGGAAACAATATCGCGTCGTTGAAACGGCACCAGCATTAGAAACAACATCAAGATCGACAAGGGGAGGATTCATCAACAAGGGGAGGATTCTTATTAAGAATAAGAGTCGTTGAAACGGCACCAGCCATAGAAACAACATCAACAAGAAGGGGAAGTCGTTGAAACGGAACCAGGCTTAGAAACAACATAAACAAGGGGAGGATTCTTAATAAGAATAACAAGTGAGTTCCTTTTCTTATTAAAAGTAAGAAGATCTTATTTGTCAGTCATGTCAAAATCAATTAGTACTTATAAATAAATATGTAAAAAAACCAAAATCATCTACTAAGCTGCATGCTTCTGCTATTTGGTAACCTGAGTTCGATCATAAGGAAAACAGAAAGAGAATCCTTGTGATCAAATTCAGGCTAACAAATACCGGAACCATTCACAGAATCCCTTGTATGTGAAACTTCCTCTGATTAAAACTACAAAACCGTTCCGTAACTTCAATTGATAATCCCCAAACGCTCGCGCGATCGCTAGCATGCCGTTTACTCGGTCGTGTATAATCGTTCCGCCTTCCTGATGGACCCTGGCTCGCTCCTTCGGACAATTTGCCTTGTGATCTGTCATACTCGTCAGTCGCGCAGCGTGGCCTCTTCTGCATAGCACTGCTCGTGCGTCTCCGAGATGCGCAGCGTAGAGGTACTTCGCAGTTCGCGGATGTTCGTCTGCTGGTGTGTCCTTGACTATTCGAGCTACCGCGTCGCATCCCTGAGCCCATCCTTGTTGAGACCCTTTAACCCTTGAAGAGGAGGCCAAGGATCAACATGGTCTCAGAGCAGGAAGGATGCTTCGCAAGCCCCCGCGTGTAGCCTTAAGAATAGATGCTTTGCGACGAGGCAACAACAGGCGGTTGCACCAGCTTGAACGCCGATCTCGATGAGGCTGACATCCGTGGTCTTAAACGCATAGATCAGTGCGTTGGCCACTTCTTCTGGGGAAGCTGAGAGAGCCAGTGTTGAGTCATCTTCACCTGTATCCCCTTCTCCGCCACGTCCCTTCTTGGCCGCGGCCTTGTCTCGTTCCAATAACTTGCTCAATTTTAGACCTCACGACCCGAATGATCAATTCATCGTCTCGAGCAGCACGTTCATCTCCCTGAGAGAAATTCAAAAATTTGAAAACGTCTCTGTTGAGATGCTTGCTTCCAGAGCCGTAACAATTCCAAGTAGCAGTTTTGGTGAACGAAATCTTGACAGTACTGCATGGCGTCCATGCCGCCATGACCGTCGTATACCGCGAAAAAGGCGAAATTTGAGGAGTTTAGGAAACCATCGACGAAAACAAACCCATCTTCCATCTCCTGCCGCATACCACGATCCTCACTCCAACCGGCTGCGGCCACCGACAGCGGCCTTTTGGCATAGCCCATGTTGATGTTGCTTATTTTTTGGGTGGTAGGTCGATGAAGTAGTACAATTATGACGAGTGGTAGTCGGTGTCCTCGTAGTACAATTGTACAGTAGAGTACACATACACTCGTGGTCGTGGGAACATCAATTATAGTCTAAAAAACTAAAGAACTTTCGTGGTACTAACTGCCGCTTCTAGCGAATCCGAATGAGAATGTCTAATTTTGGTTTTTCGCGTCCTCACAACGAATAAGCTGGATTTTCACAACGAAGTAGCAAGACGACGCGCAACTCCGCTTGAATAATGACGAAGAGAGGACTAGATAGTAAGTCGTTAAGTTGACGGACCCCTGCACTAGAACTTTTAATCTTAAACGAAGACGAATTTGTGGAGGTGGAAGAGAGGAAGAACAGATCCTCTTGACAACATCGACATCCTTGGCATCTTCATCATCAGCACAATCAGATTCATTACTCTCTTCACTCTCGGACATGTATTATGTATCAGCGTAAAAATGCTAGAAGTGCGTCGGTTGCGCCCGTTCGGCAAAAGGAGAGACAGATCAACACGAGTAGTTACTGATCACAATCTTCTCATGCGGCACGAGCACAATCTCAAGTGCTATCATCTGCCCGTTTTTAGGCTCAGGCCAAACTCCTATTAAATCTGCTTAACAGCTAATGTAGTATCATGAAAGTCAATGTCAAAGTATGGTTGCGTTGATAATAGTGTCACGAATCGCGTATCGGTTCTACTTTGTAAATATTTGATGATGTCTTTTCATTCTTTTCATTCTTGTTGTACTTCTTTCTAGTTACTTGTGGCTGGCAACAAAAACAACTTGACCTTGCGAGTGTTACTTCTAGTATCTATAGTCATGATTCATGTACTTCTGGATAGCATCCATTAGAAGATGTATATGGCAACCATAGCATTAAAATGATGCATGCGGCGTCTCCTCGGGTCGCTACCATGCACTAGTTTTGTTAGACCGTGCTTGGTGCGTCTGCAGGTATTTGACAACTTCACTCCGGAGGAATTGCTGGTCGCGTTGCGTTGAACTGGCGAAACGAAGCGTGATCTTGTAATCGCTGGCGACATGTCGTCGTAGAATCTCTCGTAGCCATCTTGCTGACGGCGCATCCTCTAGATTCTCAGTAACCGCGCCAAAGAAGTCTCCGGAATCTCCAGTTGTTGAACCTCCTGCGATGTTGTCCAGCGATGTTGACGACCCACCTGGTCCTGCTCCCGCTCCTGCTGCCGATCCATGTCCTTGAACTCCTGAGCTACCGTGATCTCCTGTGCCGGATCCATGATCCGTTGTTGAAACCTGGTCTGGCCCTTCCTGGTCTGTGTCAGGCACCAGAACTTGGTTTTCGCGCATGATCAATATCGCTTGTACGCCACGCGTCTGTGCCCATTCGAGAATGTCCTCCGTTTTCGACGCATGCCCAGGGTAAACATCGGCCGAAATGCCCTCGGCCCAGAGGCAAGACGCCAGCTTCAGCTGCTCTGCTCGGAGGGCCTGGCCAGGCACGGAGTCGGGAGCACCCCAAGTAGGGGACACGCACCCGATCAAAGCGAAAGGGGAGGCCAGCACGTCCATAGCGCTAAGCCGTGCGCTCTCGACGAACTTGGATAACGACCAGGAAATGCCGCAGAACGACGGATACGAGAGGCTTGTGCTGACGCTGTTGAGGAGACAGCCCGTTGGGTCACTCTCCACCTCGAAGACATCCACTCCTTGCTCCACCTGGAGAGCGCGGCGCAACATAGAATCGAATCGGCCACCGATTGCTACCGTATCCCACAACGTTTGCGTCCCTCCTGGCGGCGCACTTGAGTGCTCCCGCGAATCAGCGCCGGCCGCTGCAGCTCCACGCTGGTAGTGGTAATCAGCGCCATCATGCTCCTTCCAGGCAAAATCGACTTTAAAGGCAACACCATCGTACGTTTCAGCGCCAGACAGCGGGAGGGAGAAAACATCCAGACGCACCAGGTCACGAGTACTAGCAGTAGTAGCACTGTACATAGCCTGGTGTTGCCCTCCACCCCGACGGGCACCACTGCGTTGTTGCTGCTCTTGATGCTTCATCTGCGAATACAACTCTTCTAATTGATCCAAGGCTTGAAAAACGCGCAGGGCTGGCAAGGTCAGATTCGGATCCTGGTTTTGGCCGCTTCCGTGTGCTGGATCTGAGCTGCCTGCAGCCGCTGGACCACCGCCTCCAGCGACACCTCCGTGGCGCAAGTGCTCCTGCGAACTACTTCCCTCTGCTCCTGCTTGCCCATGCGCTGTCGTCCCGTGCCCGTCCGCTCCACCATGATGGCCGATATTAACAGTGCTGCCATGATCGGGGTGAAGCTCATCCACAACCATCCGTCCCGGAACGTCTCTGACACCGAAATAGGCAACGAAATGACGTCTCAAATCTCGAACGGTCGCGAGGAATCCAGCAGCCTTGCGAAAATTCGTCGCCCAGTCTAAAAGCGCTTGTCGAGCACGCTCGTCCACTACATGGCTCCACTTCGACAAGTGTCGCGTGACGCAACCTTTGGACAGTTGCTTTGCCGATTCAAATTCCTTGAAAACGTTGCTCAAATCTCGAAGCAAGCAAGGTTTCAGAGTTGTCTGCGCTGAAGTCGTACTAGTTGTTGTAGTTGTTGTGCTGCCTACAGCTACACGCGATGAGGCAGCCGCTGCGACAGCAACCGAAGTTGAGGAGGTGGATCCTCCTGTTGTAAAATTTGGTTGACCCGCTCCAGAGCCACCTTCCGTTCCTCCTTGTTCGTTCCCGATAGAAGCCGCGTTCGTTGCAGCAGAGCTACCACTATGTTGGCCTCCTGACGCCCCTTGAAGATTCGAACTAGTACTCTGAGCCGAGCCACCTCCCACGACCGCAACGGCTGCAGTACAACTCGCCGTGCTGGCTGCTCCTGTTGGATTTGACGACGCGACAGAGCGTGCTGCGGCGGCCGCGGCTTGATTCAGCAAACCCTCGTGGTCGTCAATGCTTTGCCGCACAGTCAGGGACTCGTATCGTACAGGAATTCCTATGCTATGCAGCAGAGCCTCGAACAAAACCACGTGAGAAAGGCGGACGCGGTAAGTCACGATCGAGTCCTTCCAGGCTGACGCAACCTGTTCGATCTGCAGCAAGCATTCCAGCTCACTCGGACTCACTGTCGGAGGTTCCAACGACACTGGCGCGGCCACAGCACCCGACGACGACCCTAGTAAAGGTCCGCCTCCAGGCTGTTGCAGGTAATTGTTGACACCAAGAACACGACCGGTGCCAGGTCCGGTAATATTAGGAGGAATAGTACTGGCAGCTCCAGAACCTCCTGTAATAGTATTGCCAGAAGGAACCAACAGTGGAGGTCGCGAACGCGAACCGCAGTAGTTTTGACGGTGCTCGCCGGCAATTATGTCGAAGTCTGCGCGCAGAATCTCGATTGGCAACAAGCCTTTTCCTGGTGGCGGTTCCCGATACACACTCCCGATCTCGAAGCGTTTGAGCATCTGACCACTCGCCGGATCCGCAAAAAGGTCTGCGGTGGCTCCAGCAAGATTCAGGTTCACGTCGGTTCCGCCAACGTACGCAGACGCCCATAACTTGCAGAAATGACGCCGCAGGTCGTAGCGCAACCCTAGCAGAGCGCCGTCTGTGGTCAGAAGTAGAACTTCTTCGCGCGAAAACTGGTGTTTCTGGAGAAAGAAGTCCAAGAATGGGTGCTTTGAGAAGAGCGCGGGTGCGCTGGGTGAGCACACTGCTCCGTGCCGACGAAACAGCGACGCAAAACGACGTTTTACGAGTTCGGTGCGTTGCTCCCACAGCACGCGCAGGGGCACGGATCCGTACAAGCGCGAGAAGGCGTCCCGCGATGCCACAGCCGGTGGAGGCGCGGTGAGACCCTGCACGAGTCTGACGGACAAAGGGAACCAACTCCCGCCAGTCGCAGCTCCGCGTCCGGTGCCTGGACCTTTGATGTGGTCCTTGAGCAATGGCGGGAGCATGCGCTTCTTGACAATCGGCGCTCGCTCTCCCATCGCAAAGAGCTTGTTCAGCACGACCTGCAGTCCTTGTGGCGTGACAATGGTTTTCAAGATGTCCGACACAAACTCCTGGTCCTCGCGAGCTGGCAGGTACTCGCCGAGCAGGATCTCCTTGGCCGTCGGCCGTCGTTCGGGGTCCACCGACAGCATGGCGCGGATCAAGAAGGCTTGCCTCCTGTGCGCATTCGCAAACTGCTGCGGCAGGCCGTTGCGTCGCAGATTCAAAAGTCCGACGACGCGCTCACGGAGACTGCGGAACGGATGCCACAACTCGTACAGGATCATCGCACAACTGTAGATGTCCGTTTTTTCGTCGTACTCCTTCTGCTGTGCCTGCTGTTTAGAAGCTGTTGCACCCCCGCCGCCGCCATCCTGCACCAGGCTTTGCTCTTGCTCCGGCGAAACGTACAACTTGGTGCCCAGACCGGTCGTAAGGTCGTCCATGTACTGGTCTGCCTCATGATCGACTTCTTGCTCGCTATCCGCACCTCCACCTCCGCTTTTTCGATTTTTCAAAGCCGCTTTGTTCTGACGTTTTCCAACAACTGTAGCGGCTCCTTGTTCTTTGTTCTTCTGCTTCTCGCGTTCATCCATCGCACTGGCACTTCCTTGATGCTCTAGAATGCCACCAAACTGCTCGAACGTCGCCAGACCGAAGTCCCCAATCTTGATGTCTCCCGCAGCGTCGAAGTAGATGTTCGACGGCTTCAAATCGCGGTGAAGGACGCCCATAGCGTGCACCGCAGCGAGCCCTTCGAGAATTTGTCGGGAATACCTCCAGAGTGTCTCACTTTTTGCCTTCCGCACTTTTGTCGCGTCTTCGAGAACGTCGACCAGCGTCGTTGGGCAGTACTCCAGCTGAATGTAGAGGAAACAGCACCGCCTTTGAATCTGCCGTGATACTGGATCGAGCACGAAAAGCTGGGAACGCGATTGCATGTTCAGGTCCGGCACAGACGAAGATGTTGACGCTGTAGTCGCCAATAACTGCTGCTGCTGCTGTGTCATCTGTTGTGCTTGCGTGTTTGTGCGAGTGGTCACGCCAAGAGAAGTTCTCGTCTCCAACGGAATGTTGAGCAACGACTGCCCTAAACGCTCGAAATCTTCTCTGCTGGATCCAAACTGCGACAACAGATTAGGATCACTATCCGCAGGACTTGCTGCAACAGCAGCACCTTTTGCGCCGCTGCTACTCAGCAAATCGCGCAACCCGTACTGCTCCAGCACGCGGCGGTCCGGCGTGTGCAAGCCCTCTTCCAGCCAGGACTGGTGATAGCGCAACACGTGACGCGCGTTCAGTGAGGCCAGTGTTTGCGCTTCTCGGAGCATCTTGGTTAGGCCTTTCGAAGGTTGAGGCCGGATTCTTTGGGCGTCCACGTCGAAGTAGATCTCCTCTATGCGGATGCGCTTCACAGCGTACATCTTGCCGTCTAGTCGATTCTTCACCTTGAAAACGTCCCCTTGAGCACCCGAACCTAGGTGCTCTAACTCCTCGAAGTCTGCTTCGTACCTGCTTTCCTGTTGTGCGGTCGACGTTGCTCCAGCTGCCCCAGCAGCAGCAACTACTGCACCTCCTCCACTAGCACTGCTGCTGCTGTTATTCCCCGTCGTGGAAGAAGAGGAATCATCTTGTTCCTGCACTTGTTCCAACAAGTGAGCGGTGTCGTCCTCGTCAAGCGCATTAGCACTTCTGCCCACTACATCCACCACTTGTTGTGGGGAAGGGACTGCAGAAACGAGGCCCACGTTCGACATTGACGGAGCCGCACTTGCATCGGACACAGATCGACTTCGAACTCGGACTCTGCTAGGTTTCGACGAAGGAGAGTTGTAGAGCTTGTTCTCCATCCTCGTGGATGAAGAGCTGCAGTCATCTTCTTCTTCCTCTGCCAAAGAAATAAACTCTACATCTTCACGCCCCTCAGGTACTATCATGTCCCCGTATTCTACATCTTCGAGTAAAAAATCTGGACTATCTCCAGCTCCTCCATTCTTAGCGAGTTCTGACAACAGGTACCTTGATAAGTGCGCATCACCATCATGATCCCCTACACCCGCACTAGAAGAGCCCACCATCCTTTCTGGTGGCGGGCCAAATTTTGCAATCGCTTTCTCACCTGCAGCAGTCTTCAAATCGGTTAGACCACTCCAAGTCCCACTAGGTTTCTGTCTCTCGTCAACAACGTCGAGTCGACTCAACAAAGCTGCCGCCGGTGTGTCGGTTCGTCGAAGGAGAGAGGCATGCTGTGCGTCACTGATGAGATCTGCAGTGCGCAGGGCTTCTGACGTCTGCTCAAGAGCATTCCAATAATCTTCCGACTTCTTTCCGTCAACATGTTCCTCCTTTTTCGTTGTACTAGGGGATGTTCCTCCAAGTGTTTGTCCTTCTACTTGTAGAAGACAAAACCACTGGAGCAAATGCACAACGAGTGCTTGTTGTTGAGCAAGGGTTTTCCGCATAGAAGTCGTTGTGCTATTGTTCCCTCCACACGGTCGTACTTGCTCAACATTTGGACTTGACCCACTGGTCGTGCCTTGCTGAGTGCTGCTACTAACACTTCTGGTTCGTTCTGAAACTGCGTCAAGGCGACTTGTTGCTTTTGGTACAACTACGTGGTCAACACCGAGCTTATCACCCAAGAACATCGATGATGAACTTGAAGCTGCTGCTTTGGCACCATTCTTTGCTGAAGCGGTTGCAGTACTTCTGCTAGAAGCCTGTTTCTTCTCCGGTTGCTGCAATGGTCCGTGATCGAGTTTGTGGCGACTACTAAGCAAGTGACTCAGATTCATCGCTCCTCCCTTGGCGGTGCCGAAAGACCGTAAGAGACGACCTCCAGTGGAAGACGAAAGTGGGTCTTGGCCAGACTTAAGTGTCTGCTTTTCTTCGTCCTCTAATTTCTCTTGCTCCCTCAGCAAAGCGTCACGTTTTCGATCTTCGTCGTCCTCATCGTTCTCCGCTGGCTTCTTGTCTACTTGCTGCAATGTTGGCCCGCCCTCGCCATTACGTCCAGGAGCAGGAGTTTCCACGACTTGAAGCTCGTGTAGCCATTGGGCACGCTCAGCCTCCATTTCCGCGTTGCTCATCTGTAGAATGATCGACCTCTGCCGCTTATTCTGCTGTATCTGTTCTCGCTCTTTTTCCGCTCGTTCCCGCTCAGCACGCTGTTTTTGCTGTTGCTGCTCCCTGAATTCGGAGTGCAAGCTTGGTTGTCGCATCTGCGTCACCAGTTGATCCAAGAAGTCGCCGGCACACACAACGAGGTCGTAGATCATCACTTGCCCCAGTCTTGGGGGCAAACAGTCCTCCTTCAAGTGCTGTTCCAGCTTTTCCACACTCTCTGCGGTGAGCCCCGTGAGCGCCACCACACTGACAGAAGGCGGCGCATCGTAGGACAACGGATAAAGGGGTGGAAATGCGAAGGTCAACTTCACGCGCACTCGCTCCAATATCGTTTTGGAGCGGGAGGAACTTACCTGAGTGATTGTTCCCCTCACGAAGATGTTGATGAGCCAACAACAAGTCAAGTAACGTGGAGGTAGAGCAGCTGTGGTAGTGGTCGCGGTACTAGAGTAGAACATCAATAAAAGTTAGTTCTTGCAACATTATTTATATCAGTACATCTATTTTTTTCGAAGATCTTTTACATCTTGCAAGAACAGTCTCCCTCTGCTCCTGTTTCTTGAGAAAAATAAATCCCAAAAATAAAAGTGAGTTAATACCTGCAGTTCGAAGCTTTTGTCCGGCAGTGCGACATAGCTGTCAGGGAAGATGGCTTCCAGCAAGCTCAGTTCCGCCTCCTGCTCCTCCTCGCATTGCCGAGCTAGCTCGACAGGATCAACGACCGGCAGCTCGTCACCTCCTGCGTCAGCGTCTTCAACCACGACCATAATTATTCTTGTTCACATTTATTTGAGGCACGTGGAGCCACGTAGAAGGCGTACTAGGAGATGATCACGTGCAAATTGACACGACTGCTGTTATTGCGTAGTACGGATCATCGAACGCGAATACGCATCATCTGCCGCATGTACGTGGTAGCTGCAACAGTAAGAGGATCTGCGGCCTCACGTACAACGGCCCTTAACAACCTTCATCTTCAAAATCATGCTGGGTGGAGGTTTAATCGTTTTGATGATAGATAAAAATACGCAAGTAGGACAAGGAGAAAAACTTAAGTACTTAATGTACAACACGTCCTCGAACAACTACCAGCACCATGTATTTACACAAGCTCAAAAACAAAAGAGACCACACGGTTACAGGGTGAAGAAATGTCTATGACGGGCAGTCAGGTTCTTGTTCATCTTCATGTTCGGGTAGACAATAGAGACAACAACGTCAGGGGGGACGTGAGAGGAAGAATAGCGAGGTCGGAGAGGGAGAATAATACGAAAGGCAGGGAATAAAAACAGAGAAGATCGTCCTGTCTGAAGTCGTGCAGTGATAGATCATCGTAGTACTAGTGATGAGAGGAGGAGCAAACATCAAAGGTGTAATTTCTCTTCTTTTTTAGCAGACAACAAAGGTCACGTAGTGCAAACGGTATTGGTATGTGTCTCATTCATGGAAGGCAACAGAACTTTCTGGCTTTGCGGATGGCGATGGTGATCCTTCAGCAAATGGCTTAAACGGTGTAGCACAAGAACCGAAAGCATGACTGAAGCTTACCACCCAGACTGATAATTCAGTGATGGTTAGAATTCAGGAAAGGAAATGAGAACTCTGCATGGAGTTTGAGCATCAGCACCTTAGTTGCGGCTGTGGAAGAGGCGGAGGCGGAGTTGTACTACGAGATGAACACAATTTCATTTACTGAGATGACAAGAGTGCTGAAGAAATGATCCAACAGTTCCTGATGCATCGTGTTAAGGTGATTCGCATTGAGTTGTATTTGTACACATCGACGTAGCTGCTAAAAATATGAAAAACACATGTGGCGAGTGTTACATATAATTTTTGTCAGCAACTGTGTCGGATCCAAGCATTAAAGAGAGGTACAGAATGCACAAGGTTTTTTCTCTGGGTTGAGGAAAAGGCCGTCCAACATCTATACATGCGCACCACGTGTGCAGAAATCTTTGAAGCAGATGACTCATCGTGTCCTGCTGAAACTGAATTGATGTTCGCTCCACCCTGCACTTGCTGCTCCCTCTTATTAACTCCTAGTGGGTCTAGTACAAAGTGATCGCCTTGTACTCTTCCACTCATGTTGATTCTTCTTCTCGGTCCTCCGAAAACGGGTCCGCAAAATTCTACCGGACACGCAAGCTTCTTTGTGCGCAGGATGTGGTGGACTGTGCGTAGAGAGAAGTGAGCCTTCAGAAGCTTCTTGCCACCACGCTGCAGCCCTCGACCGCTTTGTAGAGCACGATGTGGATGGAACATCAAAGCGTATTTACTCACAAACGAAAACTTCGTCTGATCCACGTTGTTGCCCAAGGATGGTCTCTCCATCGCTATCGCGACCTGCGCCTCCCATGGAAAGAATGACGACTGCTTGTTCCTCCCAACATCATTCGAAGTCAGCGTCACATCAGTACTTGAAGAAAACCCGGCACACCTTTCCCACAGATGCATCGCGCCCTCGAAGTAGATCCAGTACGGGTCCGCCATCTTGTTCTTTTCCGCGAAATGCTTCGGCGTATTGCGGACTAGAGAGCCGAGTCGAGTTCGAAATAGCCTGTCGAGAGTTCGTCGGATTCGTTGTCGTTGCAAAGTGGCACGCCTATAGCCGCCTTGGCCTTCGTTGTCGTGAAGGCTAATGAATTCGGTCACGTTGCGGATTGGATTTAGAGCTTTGGAGCGGTTGTCATGACCTGCTTTGACTTTCTCCCCAGAAGAAAAGCTGACTTTCTCCTCGCTCACTTCTACGAAAGAAAGTGAAATTTTGACTTTCACCCCAGAAGAAAAGCTGACTTTCTCCTCGCTGACTTCTACGAAAGAAAATGAAATTTTGACTTTCCCCCCAGAAGAAAAGCTGACTTTCTCCTCGCTGACTTCTACGAGGAAAGAAAATGAAATTGCAATCGCTCTACGGACGATCAAATATATTACTGACAAAAATTGACCAGCACGACATCAAAGGTGTGAAACGGAAGCCATAATAGGCCTCGAGGCTCTGCATTTTTTGCGCTATCCATGTTAGTTTCGGAGGACTTCTCTTGAGACTTCCCGTCAGCTCCTTCGGACATCTCTGTCATCGTAGGCGGTCGTAGTGCCCGGACAGTATCCAACGCATTACTCCAAAAGAGACGAGCCATGCTGTCCCGAGTGTCCGCTACCCCAAGCCCGCGCAGACCTGCATTGCGGAAACAACTATTCGCAATCAAAAGGACTTCGGTGTGTTGCTCTCTCGCAAACGGCGCACAGTCGAGGCCGGTCGGCGGCCAACTCGAATCCAGAACTGCACTCTTCGAACTAAGGACGCCATCGGGACTCTCGTGCATTTCACGCAGGATATTAGATGACAAGGAAGTTCTTTCAATCTATCTTTTAAAGCAGAGTAAGAAATGAGTCGTGAAAAGAGACACCAGACGAAATTCATGATCATTCATTGGCAAGACGTGTATCTATATGTCGACACATAAAAAACTTCCCGACTGCCCGTATCCCGCTCTCGTTCAGGCACGTTCCTTGGGACGGCTCTGTAAGATAGCCATCTTGGAAAATGCTATGGGCCCAGACTGGCCCGACATGCAGCGGCTTCTTTGGAAGATCATCTAACATCAGTCCTTTTAAGATCAGAAAACGTCTAAGGTGTTCGGGAATGAAGTAGACATCGCTTTCCAACACGCAGAACCAGTCGTGACCTTGAAGATTCTTCTTGTCTCTGATGTTCTGATCTTGAAAGAAGAACTCGGCGGCATCGATCAAGGCCAAATGGTATTTCTCCACAGTGTTCGGCATCTTATCGGAGTGTCTCCATTCGTCGACCGGTGTTCCGGGAAAGATATCGACCAAATTTCGTACTGGAAATCCTTGAAAGAAGGGAGAGATCTTCTCAACATCGCGATCAGCATGATGAGCAAGTTCTTGTTGGCCTTCTTTCTTGTCTACTTCGATGGTACTACTTGCGTCGAATTTGTCGACGGCTACAACGAAGGCGAACTCGTCACAGTAAGGCGCCGTCACTTCCGCGTGCGCTTTCATTTCCGCAACCTCGTGAGGCCAAACTACGAGCAAACTGCAAGCAATCCGGATCTTGGGATCTGGATCGGCGTTGTCATTGACACTCGACGGTGCCTGCTCCATCCCTTTTTGTTCACCTTGTTGGTTCTGCTGTTTGAGTTTGTCTACGTCTGTGCTGTGGTGGAGAGACGTCTTCTCTTCCACCTGCTCCTTGTTGTGAAGTAGAAGAGGTGACATCTCTATTTTCATATTCTTCATGGCAATTCGTAATTCTTCTTCTTCATTGAAGATGCAACGGCTATCTGGGCCTGACTTATCTCCTACTCCTTGTTCTATTAACTCCGCATCAATGTAGTTTCTTCCTGTCCCAGCAACGAAGTCGGAGACAAATCGCCAACGACCTTCTAAGCCGAAACTTGACACTGCGTCATTCACACCACAAAACGTGCTCAGTACTCGAAAAATTTTCTCGGTGAACCCTCCAGTTACGTGTGGTTGTTCGACATGCATGGTTCCCCACAGCTCTGTCGCACCCCTACAGCTCCACGCCCAACACTCGAGACTTTCCGGAGACCATATTGCCGAATTCGCTCCAGCCTTTAACATCCATTTTTGACAGACAAATGCGTCTTCGGCGAAACGAATACCCCCAATAAAATCCTGGCATCCAAGAGCGTAAACGTAGTACGGCCCGTCCTCTTCACCCTGTTCTCGTCGGTCCCTACTATCCTTGAGAGCACCACCGGAGGACGCCTTAGAAGTCATCGCTTCTATATCACCTGAAGACAGGCCAGCAAGATGCAACAGCAAATCCTCTTTGTGCTGCGGCTTACACTCCTTGACAAACGGAGTCGAAAGCTGATAGCGCTTGTTGGCACTGTCCTCCTCTTGGACTTGCTCCGCTTGCGGATGACCATCTTGATGTACGTGGCTGTCAGCATGCTCTTCCTGAAGAACGTCCTGTTTTTCTACGGCCACTTCCACTCCACGAAAAGAGGCCCTCAAAAAAACCTGGCGCATATTCGCTTCATAGGTCGCAATCACATCGCGGTAAAACAAATTGGGCCACAACTGCAACGTCTGGAGATTCTTCGTGTGATCGAGGTCGTCCCTGTAGTTGTCATTCTCGTTTCTGCGTTTGTTCTTGTCGTCCTTGTTGCGTTCCTGACCGGGCGCGGCTAAGTTCATCAAGTTTGCATAGAACGACTCGCGTAAACGCCATTTTCGAACCTCTTCCAGCATCAGTTCGTTGTACCCAGCCCAGCACCACATCAGCGGACCTATGTCCACGAAATATTAAAGCGGAAAATTATGATGAAAGGAGTAGACTAGATTCATTGGTCATATAGTTCTTGGTCTACAATGTTTATCTTGAAGATCATAACCTCCATGTCAACCAGCAGATGAAGCAAATGAAGAAAAAGGATTAATATTAATAAGGTGTCAACATGAACATCTTCTTCAATTCTAATAACTATGAATTGCATTTTCTTGCCCTACTTGTGCGCTGGTCGCTAGATTTTTGACTGCGTGACGTGGTAGGTCGTGGTAATACTCAGCATGCTCCAAGCAGTAGTGTTGGCACAGGAAAGCTAGCATTATCTTCCCAGGCGCACAGTCTGGCGTGTAAGCGAACCCATCAGCCGGTATTTCCTGAGCTCGCGCTTCGCTCACCGTATCGCCATCATTAAGAGCATCGCCTTTGTACACCACAAAGAAAGGGTCTCCGTTTCCCTTCTCTTGCTGCATAGAAGAAGATGGAGTATCCTGCTCGTCTCCTCTTTCTGCTTCATCCATCTGCTTTGCTTGATCTCCAGGTTCTTGTTCATGATCCCTTCCGACATCTTCCGCTTCTTTACCTCCAGCTTCCACAAATCCCTCTCGAGAGGCTATTTCACTGACATACATCCTCGTATTTGCCCAGTTCTGGAGCTCATTTCCCGTAGCCCGTCCTGTCCACTGCATATAGAGCTGTGTGCACAAAGGATAGCCAAAAGCGTCGGATGTTAGAGGGAAGAAAGTGGATAGACAGAAGCGTCGGGCATTGACAATTGCTTTCAACAGCAGGAGAGAAGATGTCGGTGACCCACCTCGTCGGACGACATGAAGTCGGAGCTACAAGCATGATACAACGGATGAGCTTTAGCACCTAATAAAAGTTCGGTGCAAGAACTTCCAGTTCTTCTAGTATTGACTAAAAGAACTATCTTCCAGTTCCAGTATCAAGTCTTCATAACAAAAACGCAAACCCATTTCTCCATTCTCGCAGACTTTCGTCATTCTCCTCTAGCTGAATCTGCGTCAACGTTTTCGTACGCAGCTTTTGCCATATGCGTTCCAGGTCCCGACGCAGCGGGGTCCCCTGCCAACACGTGGCATCATCGTTCTCCAGCAGTGCTGCTGCTGCCGATGCTACTAGCAAAGAGCACGTAGTAGAGGCGCAAAGCAAGACAGACAATCTCACAGTCACATGCAGCATGTTAATGATTTTTGCTTTTGTCTGCTGCATCTTGCTGATATTCTTGACTGAATCTCAAGGAAGTGGGGTAATTGTTTGGATACCTCTCGGTAAGTTTTGTTCAACACGACCAGAAGATTCTCTCACAGGCACCCCAATTCCTCTTGCACAAAAAGACGAACAGGTATTTCTGAGTCGCAAAGAGGCGGACTTTTGCATTTCCTTTTGTCTAGTGAAGACTTGTTGTTGAATATCAAGTTCTTCCTCACACGATAGTGATGAATTCAATGCTTGTTGTTACACCTAATTCATGACCACTACATCCGGCCAGCGTCCAGTCACCGCATGAAGAGCTAAACATGGCGCCCTCACGTTGATCCAAATGCGCGATTCCACTCTTCGTATTTGTCGAGATCGCAAGAGAGTGGCGCTGCTCTCACTCGCGCGAGCGCTTGCGCGATATCCTGCGGCACGACTAGCTCGTCCATTTGTGCGGCATTCATAGCATTCTGAACATCCATCTTACTATTCATCTCTTTATTAGAAGATCCTCCTCGCTTGACCGCCGCAGCGCCGGATCCTGCAGCTACAGTGCTGGATGAAGCGGAAGAGCTGCTCTCCAGTCGGGCTAGAGTCCTCCGCAAAGGATGCATAGCGATTTCCTTGCACAACAGTCGAATGTCTGCGCCAGACCACCCTTCGAGAATCCGGGAAAGACCTACGGGATCCAGCAAATCTTCTCCAACTCCAGCGCTTGTTGTAGAAGTGGCTGCATTAGAGCTACCAGTACCACGTGTTCCTATCCTAAGAAGTGTAGTAGTAGAAGTTGTAGAAGAAGTGGCTGCATTAGAGCTACCACGTGTTCCTATCCTAAGAAGTGTAGTAGTAGAAGTTGTAGAAGAAGTGGGCGCATTAGAGCTACCACGTGTTTGCATCCCTGGAAGGACGAAACGACCTAGGGACGGTGCTGAGGCTTAGGTCGTTTAGGTTTAATAGCGGTAGCCTTAACTGTATTGGTTTTCGGATTCCCTTCATCATATGATTGACTTTCGTGCCTACTTTCATGTCCTTCTCCGACTCCATCCTTCTCTCCTGCCCTCTTACCTCCTTGTTCAATCCATTTGACCCGTCCAGCGAGGTTTTTACGGATCAAGCTCTCGCGAGCAGCTGCGTTGGGCAAGGGGATCAAAATACGCTTCTCCAAACGACGCAACATTGCGGCATCCAAATCCCAAGGAAGGTTGGACGCCGCTAGGAGAAAGACCTGTTATGTTTGAGGAGCTAGGAGAAAGTAGACCTGTTTTGTTTGTTAGAGGTTTGTCTGTAGTCGTTTTGCGAGGTTTCGAATTCCTTCAAGTAGAACAAGATTGAATTTCTTGTAATTAAGGTACTAAATCGTAGAAGAAACAAGTTAAGTGAAACAGATGCTTTCTTTGTTGGAGATCTAAATGAAAAAGAACTTTTAAATACGTTGTAGTTCCAAAAATAAACCCTCTAAATAAAAGTGATCATGTAATGTCTATGTCGTGGCACCCTAACAAGCAGTACCTGTGGAGGTTCTTCCTCTGCCCCCTTTTCTCCTCCACCTGTTGCAACAGCCGTCGATGTAGTGTTACTGCTCGTTGCAGAATTGAGCCCATCCATCTGGATCAGGATCTCAGTCTTCAACCGTCGACTCCCCTCATGCTCGTCTCCACCCCCACGGGCACCCATCACTGAATCCAGCTCATCGATGATAACTTTAGAGTAGGTTTAGGTACAGGTAGTTGTAAGCATACAATGATGGATATTCTGGATGTTCTTGATGTCCTCTGTTTTTCTTCTAAATATGAAGCTCAAACTCAAAACCGTTTTTGCTAGAAGTGCAACAGTCTGTAAAATATCAAACGTCGACACCGGACGAGAAAAAATAGGTCCCTTAAAGATAGTGCTTGGTGCGTGATGTTTGGCTAAGTCAAACAAAACGCGAATCAGTTTCTCACTTTCACCGCGCCACTTGCTGACGATCGTGCTCGCTGAAATATTGAAAAACGTCACGCAACATTCAGTCGCAACAGCCTTCGCCACCATCGTTTTCCCGGTACCGGGAGGACCGAATCAGTATGAAGATGGCTGCGAAGTCACGACGAGGAGTTGATTTTTCATACTTTGGAATTTCTAAGGCACACAAGATTATATGCTTATGGTGCAATAATAGAACGAACAGTAGCTTGTCAATTTATTAGTCGCAATGACTTGTCCTTTTGGTCGGTCCTCACAATAAAACGTTGGTCAACATCAACATAAAAGTAAAATTCCTCGCCACGGCGTGAGAATCCCGCGAAAAAGGCTTGGATATTTCATCGGAAACAAAACCGCTTCAGAGACCAACTGTTTGGGACGCTCCAGCCCAATAATATCCCGCCAGCTAACCCCAGGATTTCGGACGCATATGTCACGCGAGACTTAGAGCAAGTAGATAAGGTAGGATCTGATTTACCGTCCACAGGGTAAGCCTGTACCGTCCGTTCCCGTCGTTCTTCAAGAGGTACTAGTCGATCACCATCAAGATAAAAATATATCCTTGACAGCTTGACAGCTGAGCAGTCGTGGTCTTTTCTGTGAGCTGAACCTGAGCTCTTCTAGTTGTATATCTTTGAAAAAATAGGTATCGTGCTCTTTATATAGGAGATAGCGATTTAGTACAGCTAGGAGCCATAATCTATCAATGTTGCGAGCTCGCGCAATTCGCTGTTGTATGAGTACTCTAGAGGCATCGGTTTTCGTACTCGGTTCACGAAATGGTCGCCCGCAGATCATTTTTAAAGCAGCTAGTACCAAGAAATTAAAGTTGGAGCCTTTTGCTCCCACCTTCGTCCTGGTTCTGGACAAGAAGAAGTTTTTCTATTCTAGTTATGCTTGATGTTCTGGTTGACTGGAATGTTCGATAAAGCAGGAGACTGTAGTTATTCTTTCATAGACTGGTAGCTCCACCTGCACCCGCTCGCTGGCCTACCACATTTAAATTGGGCGGATCCGTTGAAGCACTCTCCGTCTGATCTCCACCACTCTGAGCTGAAGGCGTTCCGCCAGAGGTGCTTGACGTCGCTGGGTCATTTGGCACGTGATTTGCAGCTGACACCTGACTTCCTGGCGCTTGAGGCGGCTGCGTACTGCCTCCTCCAGTAGGATTTTTTACAGCGCGAGTGGAGAGTCGACGCGGTCCTCCACCGTCAGGTGGTCCTCCTAACGCTCCTTTCCCAGAAGATGATTTAGAGCTGCCTACAACAAGTTCTGGTTAATTACACTTACTGCATTTTTGCTAGAATGCTCTCAGTGGTCTTGATGCTCGTCAAGAAGAAGATGTCATGTTTGTCTTTCGTGACGACCGTAAGGTATCAGTCTGCAACTGATCACACCAGTGGAAACCGAGACAGTAGAGACAGCCTACGACCCAAGAACTACTTAGTTATGTACTTATGATATAATCCGGACGAGGAGCTACTCACTAGAGAATGAGAAAGAACAAGTAGGAGCGGCCTCCATAACCACTGGCACTCCTGCACTGTTCAAAATCGAACTATTTGACGCGGCAGCTCCTCCTCTTAGAGTCAGCCCCCTTTACCTATCTCGGTCCCCTCATCTCCACCCCTTTCCCACGAAAAACAAGGGGAAAAGGTGTCGAGATGCTGAGAAAAATGGATATTAAAAGCTGACCTTAATCCTGCATGAGCGCCGTGTGCTAAGAATTTCGGTTTTTTTCCATATTTCATCTCGTAAAACTGTTCGAATTCGCTGAAAATAATCGGCAAATCGACATTGTCTGCAGTGTTGATACTGTCGAGTGATAGATTCGTGTCGCGACTGACCGCAGTTGCCGCATTGAGATAGCCCGCATCCTGCAGATGCCGTTGGATGAAAACTAAGATAGCTTTCTTCCGTTCCGACACTTTCTTCTGCTCCGATAGTCGAGACTCCGACTCGGTCTTGATCTTCGACAGCATCATGGAGGCGGAGGACGACATTTTGATCGTGCTTGCTGGTGCGTAGTCGCACTTCTGCTAACTCCAAGAAGAGAGGTGTCACCGTAGAAGCTGTGGCAGAAGTGTAGAACTAAGAAAAGTTGTGTAGAAGAAGATACTCAACATCAACATTCGAATTTTTACAGTTGTAGTTCGTTGTACCACCTAAGTTGATAGGTTTAGCTGGAAGTGTGTCTTCAGCGTCTCGAGGACTTTCATTGTTGGACCTCGTTGTAAGTTGTTCTCCTTTTTGTTTTTGTACGTCAAGTTTTGGCTCTCCTCTGAATAAAAAATTCACCTTTTAGAAGTACTTCCATACTCTTTGCAGCACCAACTGAAACCCTCCTCGGGCTTCTGTGTTTCTCTCTCTCTCTCTCTCTTGGAGTTAGAACGAACAAACACCTGCTTCCTCTGAGTAAGAGTACGTACTTTTTGTTTTTTCACTGAGTAAGAGACTTGACGTTTAGTCCTGGACTAGAACATTGTTTGTTTGATGGTGTTGTAAAGATTGTTGTGTTGTGGACGACGTGCAACGACTGTGTCATTTGCTACACCATGTTCCTCAAATTCGATGACGACGAAGCATGCTTGTTCTCCAAGTTGCGTGACTTGGGTACAAACTGCTCCGACTCATCCTGAGCATCTGCATAAGCCTTCGCACGCTCTTGCACGGTCGAGCCAGGGTGTTCCGCTGCATATTTTTGTTGGAAATCATTTTTCCAAGCGTTTTTTGGCTTACTAGGACTTCTAGGCAATTTGCACTTGCCTGTCTCTGTCTCGCGAAAGGACGATTCTAAATCTAATGTTTGCAACGTATGCAAGTGACAATGGAGCTACGCACCCACAACGAAGGTGTGGCGTTTCATGATTTCTTGGTTGATGGTCGTGATTTTGTCGGATAACAAATAAGACACGAAGAGGTGGAGGCCCCCGAGGCGATTGACTACGTTAAACATAATATGCGATGACCACCGATGCTGGACAGAGGCAGTGTATCAATAGGGACGAAACTATCACTATGGGATGAAAATAGCTACTTATTGCACAGAGCGAGCTGTGGCTACGACAGAGACCACCGAAAGCTAGATGAATCAACGAGCAACCCTAGAAGTGTTCCTCCAACGACCAGATATACTATCTTCGAGCCAGCGATGAATACGTCTTCTTGACGAGCAGAAGGAAGAACTACAACTGATCGAGTACCAGTTACCTAGCCCTCACAAGAACCACAGAACTACTAAAATATATGAGAGGACTGCCACAGCATTGCGAATGGTCAATCTCATAGTCATTTCGTGTTCTACCTCTCGTCTTTTTACGGTCACCATCACAAAACAACTGGTCTGCCTCCTACCCGTTCTTGGGCAACACCAGGCAGCCGGCTTGCCTCTTAGAAGGGTGTCGGAGCACCAGAGGCTCGGGTTTCGGGTTCGAAGTGGTACGAATCCGCCGTTTCTCGAGACACACGGCGACGTCCTTGTTTCTCCTGCTCCTCGTCTGCTCGCGTTTCACTCTCCTGCTCGCTGAATGTGACCACGACCGGCACCAGCTGCTGGTCTTCCAAGAAGTAGCTTAGTCGCAGTAGTTTTGGGCCCGGGTCTCGAAAGTTAGATACAAAGCAGAGCGATTCGACTGTGTCTAATAGATATTTCCGGAAGTTTTCGCGAATTACAAAATATTAATATTTATAGCATGCTCTACTTGAGGTGACAGCATTCCACCTCACTTGCATGTCAATGTTGTCATTGTGTTGTTGTATTCTCACGCAGCTGGTATCAACTGTCGAGAAGTCTGAAGAGGCCCCCACGACCAGCACTACATAATCACCCGGGAAATCTAGTGATGAAAGGAATAGACGGTGTTTAACAGGAAGATTAGCAAACTTAATTAAGTTTAAGATAGTTATTGTTTGAGACGAACTAGCACAACGTTGAAGGCGCGGTTTATTTAGGGTGCAGAGTTCAAAGGTTAAATTATATATTCCCTAGTTATATATAGTATTATAAATAATCTTGCTCGGCCGTTCTGCTCGTATATGTCGTTCATAAGGTAGACCAGATAGATTCCGTTCACGAAATAGCGTTTCCCAAGGTCCTCCACCCGACGCCCCATGGTCGTGAGACCTTCATAATATCGTCCAAGTCCGCTCCTCGTCATCCGTCCTCTGTCACGCTTGGCCTCGCGCATGACATTGTCCAGGTCTACCGGATTCTGTTGGCGCACATCGTGGTATTGCACGTTGAGCTCGTAAGCGGCTTTCTCCGCACGGACACGCGGTGGCAATCGGTGTAGACTCCTGCTTTTTTCTACTCCTATGAATGGCTAAAATCAATGGGTCTGTTGCTTCTCAATCTGTCGCGATTGCCCCTATTAAGCTTACGGAGTGTTACACGACAGGCCAGAAGGCAATGGATCCAGCTCCTCTTGTAAGCATAATTCCTAGTCGTCCCCTATCGTCCTTTGCTTCGAGAACAAAATCAAAAAGTCTTAACCCACGAAATAATTTGTCCTGTTCGCGGGTTGCCGGCTTCGACCCTTCAAGCAGCATCTGTGGGGTCTCCGAAAACATGCCATTAACCGTAGCGTCGTCAGGAAGTGCCCAAGTGCTAAAATCTTGCCGCAGGGCAACGTTGAAGTGGAACATAGAGGTGAAGTCCCGTCCCTCGCGCACGTCCCAATTTTCTAAACTTAGCGGTCGTAGTACCATTTAAATTTATTACCTGTTATTACGTCGTGTTAGTTTCCACCGTTAGCTTGCACCTTCAGAAAGGCAAACGAACTAACGGCTGTAACAGGAACCCCTAAAAAAGCTAAGGTGAAGGTCTACGCTTAATAAACCCTGATTGAACGCCTGGGAGTAGGCAAACATGAAGCTAAAATCCGTCCCCGCGCGAACGTTCCAGCGTCCGAGCGGAAAGTTGAAGCCACGAGTGCCGGCGAACATACCCCTGAAATTTTTGCAGCTGCTGACGTCCCAGCGCGTTAGGCAATATATTTCGACATCGGCCAGCCCCTCTTTGTCCTCAGCAGAATATAACTCTTCTACGTCACTTGTCACCTAGTATATCTATGTATATGTCATTTCTAAAATAACAATTTAGCTCTTATTATATATAGTGCCATTTTTAATCATCATGCTCTCTTCTTCTAGTTCTATTCTCTATCTCTCTCGTCTATAAATTATAATTAATGAGTTGTAGCGACAGAAATTGATTCTCGTCTTACAAGATTCTTCTTTATCATTCATTTATTCATGTTCGCGGGCATATAATTCTTATGTAAAAATTATACAACAGGAACAGCAGTAGATAGAGTATAATAATCATCAAACTTCTTACAAATTTCACTCATGATTCTACAATTTATTCAATGTCATGTCATGGCACCTCTTGTGTAGCTATTAGCGTCTACTTGCGAGGCCAACCAGTAATCTAGTACCTCCAGAGGAGCGCTAAAATACCGGCGTAATGGTATTTGTATTGAGTAACCACAGCTCTTGTCTGCTGTCACTGATCTTTTTAAGTTGGGAAAGCACGCTTCCAACTAGCAGAACTTTAGCAGAGACGTATCTTGTACGACTCCAAGGATGATGAGCACTGCGGAAAATGTGAAAATTACAATTTATTCTATTTGTTGTGATGAATAATAATGTGTGTGGACTAGACAGCGACTATTTGATTGTTGTGATGAATAAAAATGGCACTAGGGCAGCTAAAAATAAAAAATATACATACTTAGACGCGTGACAAGTTGAGGGACATCATAAGGAATAAGGATAAGCCTCGGCAGGATCCTCTGTGAAGTTCGCAAATACTGTGAAGCTGCAATTTGCAAACATGTAGGACATGTCCTCCACCTTGGAGACGTCCCACCGAGCAAGGATATGAATGGCGTTTTTCCATCTACTAGGCAGACAATCACCTTTTTCTCCCGTCCAGAGGCATAGACTACCCATACTCTTTTCCTCCTTCCATCTGCTAGCGCTAGGCAACATAGACTACCCTTTTCTCCTTAATAACATATTCATAGGCATATCTATGGGGAGCCGCAATAGAAATATTAGTCTGATTCTGATGGATGCAAAAAACGCCATCCAGCATAAAGGAGTTGCGTCGGCATCACGTCGTCCCGACAATTACTGGCGGGATCGGAGCGAGCAAACATGCGGCGCATCGTGCGCACCTTAGAAACATCCCACCGACTCATGTCGAATATTAGCGGGAGGGCTTTGGTCATATTCTGTTTCTTTCCCGTTTGTTACTATACTTTTCGACTTCATCTCCCTGAGAAAGGTCAAAACAAACGGCAACAGCTTTTCAACCAGTTGGAACTACATTTTTATGCTTCAAGGAATCCTCTCTACTTGTTAATCTCACTTGTTCTCACTGTTAGTACTAATGTTCCTAAAGTCTCTGTCTAGTAAATCTACTGCCCTTAATAAAACACTGACCTCCGGAGCTGCAAAAGCCCGGTCGAACATTCCCGACATGTCCAGGACCGAGCTAGTGTCCCAGCGGTCCACGTAACCGAATGACAAGGCTTTCGCTTCCCGAAACATTTCTCGCATCCACTCTTAGAAGTAGAGTCCTCTAGCTGAGATAATAAATGCAGTAAAAACGGTAAAGTTTTGTTTGGTATTTCTTTTTTGCTACTCTACAACTACTTATCCCAATGCGCAGTGGAAAAAGGAAGGAGGCCATCTCGTCGGGTGTAGTTCCCTCAACTCCTGCTAGTCCTCTCGGCCACCCTTGGACTCTATTTCTTTCGTTGTCTTTCATGGAGAAAGGGCGTCGTCTCGGCCTCCTTTATTCTAGTACTTAAATGTAACAAACAATTTTCTCTAGTATACTTAAACAATAAAAGGTGGACAACCGAAGGAGTGGTGCTGAAGAGAAAGCAGACGGATATAAACGCTGAAGACCTTAAGACTGGACTCTGGACACGTCCCAGTCGTTCAAAGGGGAAGAATATTCGAACGTGAAAGCAAAGGTGCGCGTCATATCCAAGACGGAGGATGTATCCCAATAGGTTAGATCTCGATTAAATATACAGGTCCGCATGAAGGTATTGCGTAAGCTCTTCACGTTGCGCACTTTCCTTAGACGAGGTACCAAAAACCCACCCCTTAGCACGTCGTCTGATCTTTTAGCTTGTTCACAGAAGCAACCAGCAGCTAAAAGATGCCGTATTAGATGAATATGGGTTGACGGTACCCATAAATTCCACTGCGATATGTCTTGATTAAAACAACGATTCCCGCACCACGTGCCCTCGAGGCTCGTTACAGAACTAACGTCCCATCCAGTGATGTCGATTTCGTTCCAATCTTCCCGCACGACGGTCGAAAGCGCGTACTGTTCTTGTGCATGACGTGGCGCCAGCTATGATTAGGAGCTGCAAGAGCGGTTGGCCTTTGAGTTGTATCTCGCATATTTATTATGATCAGATGATCTTGATCTATGACTTCCCTATTTACAACTTGAAAAACTACTCATGATGCTAGATTTCGCAGATACATAGAGGATAAGAAGTTGCCCGTCGAAGTCCCTGATCTTGCGTTCTTGAGGAGCACGTTCGCGTCGCAGGCCAAAACAGACACACTCACGCTCAACACTCGTAGTACGGGTCGATAACAAGGCAAAAGACGAAGGAGAGTAAGAATAAATAGAGTAAGAATATTAAATATAAAACACTAAGTATTTTTTTCCGAAAGTACCCAGAAGATGCTAGAGCCCATGGCGTCCCACCCCCCGGATCGAGGCGCTAGATTTCGCACCAGATACACATCATGATAAATAATGGTCATACTAGAGCAGGGGTCTGGGACTCACTTCCAGCCCTTAACTGATGTCATCATGATCGATCCGAGGCCAAGAATCATCGTCAGCATCTTCGTTGTCAATAAAATAGCATGGATCTCGAAAGAGGTTCTTTAAGCCGTCCCCCATATCAGGGCCCATGGTCCATATGCGAACGGGCCCGTAGCGTCGCTCAGTTGCTAGTCTCAGCGCATCCTGCAACTCCAATGATGACAGCTGCGACGGAATAATCTTTTGCTGGTTTTGCCCCTGACGATCATTATATTCTTTAGAAGAGCTTCAACTTGTTTCGCAGACTTCCTTGATGATTTTCGTAAGTCTAACTATACAAGCACAAGTAGAGCCACTTTCTCTTCAACTACTTCATGTTGATCATGGAAGTATACAGCAGATGCACTCTATTATAGAATAGAAACTGTCAAGGAAGTACTTATGCAGTTGCAGCAGATGCAGATGCACTCTATTATAGAATTAGAAAGTGTGGCGCGAACAATATTGAAGCTGCCTTAGTAAGATTGTTGTTCCCGGTGCCGCTTCTTGTACCAATACGAGACAAAGACAGGTGCTCATCAAGAAGAGACTGATGAAGTGGGAACTGTTCTGAATACCGCTGAAAGTACTCAGAAAAGGTCAAGCCGGGGTCGTTCCAACGCGGGAGCAAAGTGTCCGAGCCATAGTAGATCGGATTGGGGATAAAGGGTAGCAGAGCGTGCCGCAGTTCCAGCCCAGTCGCGATCGGTTCCCACGCCCGAACGAGGTATGTTATGTTGCAGTGGAGGATGCTCTGGTGGTCGTCCTCATCCAGCACAACCTCTACCTCATCGTCGTGCGAAGTCACATCTTCATTCTTTTTCTGTAGTTCTTTATTGTTGTTACGCTGTTGCTCACCTACAGCATTTTCTTTCTGCTTATCGTCCTTATCGTTGAGCTTCAATTTTGATTTTCTCTTCTTCTCCGCCCACTCTTTCTTGACCAAATCCACGAAATTTTCCGGCGGCAGCTTAGTAGTTAAGTGAGGACATCGAGCGCAGGCGATTGGCTGCAATTCAACTCCACGATGACTATCACCTCCTTGTTCAACTCCTTCTACTCCTGCTTCTGAAGTAGCATCTTCATGTTCACTAACACTAGGCCCGTCGACACCAACAACAACTCGTCCTCCCGCAGCCAGAGCATGCTCACTATTAGTAACACCATCACCATCTCCTTCTCCTTCGATGCTGACATGATCCAAGAAGAGCACGACTGTTTCCCAGTGCACAGGTGCAGGGTTACTCCGACTCTTCCGCTTGCAACGTGTTGTGTCGTACCAAGAACGCATAAAATCAAAAGATGAAGCACTTCTAGCATTAGAGCTCAATGCAACTCAGCATTTCTTGCCTGCATTTCTCCCAATCCTAACTAGAAGGAAAGAACAGGGGGAAATGACTCGTAAAAATGACTGGTAAGCGTGAGATAAGAGCCTGGAAATACGAGCTTGTTGAATCTACCAGCGCTCAATGAATTCATCTATTTGTATTTTTCCTATGTATATAATACCGCCCACGTGCCCTCGGCGTGCACACACGCCGGGGCAGGGCGGCAGGGTCTTACAAATGCTACGAGTTACACGAAATACGTATGGCCTACCGGCGTACTACGAACTAGGCGAAGAGTAACGCACAGGCTAGGGCATAACTAAGTAGCGCCACCGTTCCAATGATTTACGCGCAGGACATACGTCCCGAGATATATCCCAGACGTATACAGCTAGCCCGTACATCTTTGCCATGATTTGCGACGGACCATCTAAAACCGTAAAACTACTCCTGCTTAGGCCTCAAAATAAGTTTTGATTTGTTATAGTTATATTAACGTAGATAATTAAATAGTACTGAGCCTTAACAGACGATGATGATGCTGGAGCAGCGGAATATGAACATGATGAACTCGTTCTCGTTGTACTATTCCTATTAGTACCTCCAGAAGTAGTGCCTTCGAAGGATGAGAGCGGAGCCGAAGCACGACTTCGGTTATCACTATCCTCGACCTCGCTCTGTGGTGCACCAGAAGTATTCTTTAGACCACGTTCAATTTCCAAAGCAACGGCTTTTTTCACGTCTGTGACAGTCGTGCTAGCAGCTAGTGCATAATCGGTTCCATCCGCAGAACAATCCGCAGAAGTTTTTATCTTCGACGGTCCCTTATCAAAGATTGTATACTCAAATGGCAACCACTCATTCGAGAATCCATTTCGGAAGCGAGCGGTTAAAACAACCGCGAGAGGACCCGTTGGACTGGACGTGTCACCGTCATGTCCGTGGACTTCCTTCTCGTCGGACTTCTGTGTTGAGCAAGCTGCAGTGGTCCCGTCTCCGTCCATGATTTCAAATCTTTATTAATACTGACGTTCCCTAATTCTACGAATTTCAATCATACAGCATTTCTTGAAGAAGATAGATGAAAATTATGAAGTACCAGATACAATTTTTCTACTAGTACTCTTCATAAGTCAAGATGAAAGCATAATCTTGAACAAGAAGAAGAAGAAGAACAAGAAGAAGAAGATAGAACAAATTAAGTAATATTGTGGCAATACGTCCTCGTATGCGGTATAATGGGGAAAGGTTTCCGTTTAGGGTTAAATCTTACAATGCCGGGTGGATCCTGGCGGGGGAACCGAGAGCAGCCGGGTGTAATAAGTAAATGAAGACAGACCACCAGATCATGACGAGTATGAAAAATTGATGTCCTCGTCGTCTGTCTCTTTCTCTCGGTCGCTTGTTCTTCTTAATCTTGTGATGTGATGTGCATGGCCTCCACACAGTCTCATCAACCGTGCTGCAACTCGTCTGCCAAAAACACTGCTCACTCACTGTTTTTGGAAGCGCATCATCCATATCTTCACATCAGACCGCACGTTGATTCATCACAGAAAAGCGTCGAGCATGTGGATGTGAATGGTCAATCTCATAGTCATTTCGTGTTCTACTTCTCGTTTTCTTACGGTCACCTTCACACAACAACTGGTCTGCCTCCTACCCGTTCTTGGACAACATCAGGCAGCGGGCTTAGCTCTTAGAAGGGTGTCGGAGCAGAGGCTCGGGTTTCGGGTTCGAAGTGGTACGAGTCCGCCGTTTCTCCAGACACACGGCGACGTCCTTGCTTCTCCTGCTCTTCGTCTCCTTGCGTTTCACCCTCCTGCTCGCTAAATGTGACCACAACCGGCACCAGCTGCTGGTCTTCCAAGAAGTAGTCTAGTCGCAGTGGTTTTGGGCCCGGGTCTCGAAAGTTAGATACAAAGCAGAGCGATTCGACTGTGTCTAATAGAAATTTCCGGAATTTTTCGAGAATCATAAATATCAATATAGCGCACTCTACTTGAGGTGACAGCCGCATTCCACCTCACTTGCATGTCAATGTTGTCATTGAGATTGCGTTGTATTCTCAGGCAGCTGGTATCAACAGTCGAGAAGTCTGAAGAGGCCCCCACGACCAGCACTACATGATGATGATCACCCGGAAAATATAAATATTCTTGTTCGATCGTTCTGCTCGTTTATGTCGTTCATAAGATAGATCAGATAGATTTGGTTCACGCAATAGCGTTTATAACATTCGGGCATCGACCTCTCCCTCGTGGTGAGATCATCTTCACTTTCTGATCGATTCCTACCACCCCTCGCCAATCGTCTGTGACGCTTGGCCTCGCGCAGGACATCGTCCAGGTCCACCGGATTCTGTTGGCGCACATCGTGGTATTTCACGTTGAGCTCGTAAGCGGCTTTCTCCGCACGGACACGCGGTGGCAATCGGTGTAGACTCCTGCTTTTTTCTACTCCTATGAATGGTTAAAATTACTGGGTCTGTTGCTTCTCAAACTCAATCTGTCGTGATTGCCCCTATTAAGCTTACGGAGCGTTACGACAGACCAGAAGGCAAGGGATCCAGCTCCTTTTGTAAGCATAAATTCTAGTCGTCTCCTATCGTCCTTTGCTTCGAGAGCAAAATCAAAAAGTCTTAACCCACGAAATAATTTGTCCTGTTCGTGGGTTGCCGGCTTCGATCCTTCGAGTAGCATCTGTGGGGTCTCAGAGAACATGCCATTAACCGCAGCGTCGTCACGAATCGCCCAAGTGCTAAAATCTTGCCGCAGGGCAACGGTGAAGTGGAACATAGAGGTGAAGTCCCGTCCCTCGCGCACGTCCCAATTTTCTAAACTTAGCGGTCGTACCCTTCACGTGTTATTACGTGTCAGCTTCCACCGTTAGCTTGCACCTTCAGAAAGGCAAGAAAAGAACTAACGGCTGTAACAGGAACACCTAAAGCTAAAGTCTACACTTAATAAACTCTGATTGAACCCTTGGGAGTAGGCAAACATGAAGCTAAAATCTGTCCCCGCGCGAACGTTCCAGCGTCCTAGCGGATGGTTGAAGCTACGAGTGCCGGCGAACATACCCCTGAAATTTTTGCAGCTGCTGACGTCCCAGCGCGTTAGGCACTCGAATTCGACAACGGCCAGCCCCTCTTTGTCCTCAGGAGAACATAACTCTACGTCACTTGTCAGCTAGTATATGTAGTGTTTTAGGTTTTTAGCTCTTATACATTTATAGTGCCATTTTTAATCATCATGCTCTCTAACTCTATTCGCTCTCGTCTATAAATTAATGAGTTGTAGCGGCTGAAATTGATTCTCGTCTTACGAGATTCTTCTTTATCTGTGTCGCATATAGTTCTTAGGTATGTTCCAGGGCGCGGGGCGACGCACCCCCCCTAGCGGGGGGGTGCCGGGCGCCCTGGACCCCTTTGGGAGGCGTCTGCCGGGGGCAGAAGGCCTCAAAAGGAGGCCAAGGGGCTGCCCCCTCCTTGTTTGCGTGTACCCTACAGACATGAGGGGCCCCCGATGGTGGTGGGAGGCTTCAAAAGGGGCCCAGGGGATCGCCTGCGCCTCCGTCAAGGTGCCTGCCTGTGCCCTCAGTGCATCCGTTCCTTAGGCTTTGCCGCCGCAACAGTGCGCCGGCAGCGGAAGGCCGCCGAAGACGGCAAAAGGCGAGGGGCTGGACCCCCTGAGCCGTGCCGCCTGTACCCGCCGGGCCCTTGGTCATCGGCTTGCTTGCTCTTGCGACCGTGGCCGCCTCCGGCGGCCTTTTACCCCGGAGGCCTCCCGCCTGCGAGGGTCAGCAGAGGCCAGGCGGTCCCTTCGGAACACGCTGAGAGGCCCAAGGGGAGGCCCGCGCCAAGTTTTGACGCCTCCCACCACTAGAATCCGCGAAAAATCCGCGCGGAAAAGCGCGCGGGCGCGCCACCACAGGCTAGACCACAGGGAGGGGGGAGGGGGGGCCGTGCGGCCCTGTGTCATGTATAAAAATGATACAGAAGTCTAGGCAGACTAGAATAATCATCAAACTTACAAATTTCCCTCATGATTCTATTTCCACAATTTCAATTTGTTGTGATGAGTAATAATGTGTGTGGACTAGAAGACGGCGACTATTTGATTGTTGTGATGAATAAAAATGGTACTAGGGCTAAACTATAGAAGCGTGACAAGCTGAGGGACATCATAAAGAATAAGCAGCGGGGCGATCCTCGCCTCTGCGTTCTGTGAAGTTGCAATTTGCGAACATGTAGGACATGTCTTCCACCTTGGAGACGTCCCACCGAGCAAGGATATGAAAATGAATGCCGTTTTTCCATCTACTAGGCAGACAGTCACCTTTTCCTCCTGTCCAGAGGCATAGACTACCCTTTTCCTCCTTCCATCTAGCCATAAACTACCCTTTTCTCCTTACAAACATATGCATAGCCATATCTACTGGGAGCCGCAATAGAAATGGTCTGATTTTTCTGATAGATGCAAAAAACGTCATCCATAAAGCGAGACCGTCGGCATCTCGTCGTCCCGACACTTACTGGCGGGATCGGAGCGAGCAAACATGCGGCGCATCGTGCGCACCTTAGAAACATCCCACCGACTCACGTCGAATATTAGCGGTACTAGGGCTTTGGTCTTATTCTGTTTCTTTCCCGTTTGTTACTATACTTTTCGACTTCATCTCCCTGAGGAGGATCAAAACAAACGGCAACAGCTTTTCAACCAGTTGGAACTACATTTTTGTACTTCATCAAGGAAAAATCCTCTCTAATTGTTCATCTCACTTCTGTCACTAATGATCGTCCTAAAGTCGAGTACATCTACTGCGCTTAATAAAACACTGACCTCCGGAGCTGCAAAAGCCCGGTCGAACATTCCCGACATGTCCAGGACCGAGCTAGTGTCCCAGCGGTCCACGTAACCGAATGACAAGGCTTCCGCTTCCCGAAACATTTCTCGCATCGACTCTTAGAAGTAGAGTCGTCTAGGTGAAATAACAAATGCAGTAAAAACAGAAAAGTTTCGTTTGGTGTTTCTCTTTTGCTACTCTACAACTACTTATCCCAATGCGTAGTGGAAAAAGGAAGGAGGCCATCTCGTCGGATGTAGTTCCCTCAACTCCTGCTAGTCCTCTCGGCCACCCCTGGATCCTATTGCTTTCGTTGTCTTTCATGGAGAAAGGGCGTCGTCTCGGCCTCCTTTATTCTAGTACTTAAATGTAACAAACAATTTTCTCTAGTTAGTATAGATACTTATAAACAAAAAGGTGGACAACCGAAGGAGTGGTGCTGAAGAGAAAGTAGACGGATATAAACGCTGAAGACCTTAAGACTGGACTCTGGACACGTCCCAGTCGTTCAAAGGATAAGAATATTTTTTCGTGAAAGCAAAGGTGCGCGTCATATCCAAGACGGAGGATGTATCCCAGTAGGTTAGATCTCGATGAAATCTACCGGTGCCCATGAAGGTATTGCGTAAGCTCTTCACGTTGCGCACTTTCCTTAGATGAGGTACCAACAACCCACCTCTGAGCACGTCATCTGATCTTTTAGCTTGTTCACAGAAGCAACCAGCAGCTAAAAGATGGCGTATTAGATGAATTATATGGGTTGACGGTACCCATAAATTCCACTTCGATATGTCTTGATTAAAACAGTAATTCCCACACCACGTGCCCTCGAGGCTCGTTACAGAACTAACGTCCCATCCAGTCATGTCGATTTCGGTCCAATCATCCCGCACGATGATCGAAAGCGCCTCTTGTTCTTGTATGTGACGTGGCGCCGTCTATAATTAGGAGCTGCAAGATGAGTAGTTGGCCTTTGTATATCGCATATTATGATCAGATCTATGACTTTCCTACTTACTTGAAAAACTACTCCTGACACTAGATTTTGCAGATACATACATATAGATATAGTACGCAGGACGATGAATTTTCTAGTAGATTGTAGGCGTAGGTACCCGTCAAGATACACCTATATAATATAATGCGCGTACTAGAGCAGGGGTCTGGGGTTCACTTCCAGCCCTTAACTGATGTCATCATCATCGATCCCAGGCCAAGAATCATCGTCAGCACCTTCTTCGTTGTCAACAAAATAGAATGGATCTCGAAAGAGGTTCTTGAAGCCGTCCCCCATATCAGGGCCCATGGTCCATATGCGAATGGGCCCGTAGCGTCGCTCAATTGCTAGTCTCAGCGCATCCTGCAACTCCAATGATGACAGCTGCGACGGAATAGTCTTTTGCTGGTTTTGCCCCTGACGATCATTATATTCTTTAGAAGAGCTTCAACTTGTTGTTGTTTCGCAGACTTTCTTGATTTTCGTAGGTAACTATGCAAGAACTCAGTGACTGTCAGTCAAGAGAAGCAGAGTAAGATATATTTCTCTTCAACTACTTCATGTTGATCATCGAAGTTGTATCATGTAGCAGGAGATGCTCTCTATCATAGAATAGAAACTGTCAAGGAAGTATGCAGATGCACTCTATTATACATAGAATTAGAAAGTGATGTGGCGCACACAATATTGAAGCTGCCTTAGTAAGATTCTTGTTCCCGGAACCGCCTCTTGTTGTACCAATACGAGACAAAGACAGGTGCTCCTCAAGAAGAGACTGATGGAGTGGGAACTGTTCTGAATGCCGCTGAAAATACTCAGAAAAGGTCAGGCCGGGCTCGTTCCAATCCGAGCTATAGTAGATCGAAAAGGGATGAAAGGGTAGCATAGCGTGCCGTAGTTCCAGCCCAGTCGCGATCGGTTCCCACGCTCGAACGAGGTATGTTATGTTGCAGTGGAGGATGCCCTTGCCCTTGTGGCCGTTTTCCTCCAGCACGTCGACCTCATCGTCGTGCGAAATCATATCATTCTGTTTCTGTAGTAGTTCTTTATTGTTGTTACGCTGTTGCTCACCTACAGCATTTTGTTTCTGCTTATCGTCCTTATCGTTGAGCTTAAATTTTGATTTTCTCTTCTTCTCCGCCCACTCTTTCTTGACCAAATCCACGAAATTTTCCGGCGGCAGCTTAGTAGTTAAGTGAGGACATCGAGCGCAGGCGATTGGCTGCAATTCAAGTCCACGATGACTATCACCTCCTTGTTCAACTTCTTCTACTCCTGCTTCTAGCGTGGAATCTTCATGTTCACTAACACTAGGCCCGTCGACACCAACAACAACTCGTCCTCCCGCAGGGCCATGCTCACTCTCAGTAACACCATCACCATCTCCTTCTCCTTCGATGCTGACATGATCCAAGAAGAGCACGATTGTTTCCCAGTGCACAGGTGCAGGGTTACTCCGACTCTTCCGTTTGCAACGTGTTGTGTCGTACCAGGAATCAATATATTGAGCCTTAACAGACGACGATGATGTTGGAGCAGCGGAATATGAACATGATGAACTCGTTCTTGTCGTACTATTTCTAATTCTATTAGTACCTCCAGAAGTAGTAGTGCCTTCGACGGATGAGAGCGAAGCCGAAGCGCGACTTCGGCTATCACGATCCTCGATCTCGCTCCGTGGTGCACCAGAAGTATTCTTTAGACCACGTTCAATTTCCAAAGCAACGGCTTTTTTCACGTCTGTGACAGTCGTGCTAGCAGCTAGTGCACAATTGGCTTCATCCGCAGCATCCGTCGAAGTTATCTTCGATGGTCCCTTATCAAAGATTGTATACTCAAATGGCAACCACTCATTCGAGAATCCACTTCGGAAGCGAGCGGTTAAAACAGCCGCGAGAGGACCCGTTGGACTGGAGGTGTCACCGTCACGTTCGTGGGCTTCCTTCTCGTCGGACTTCTGTGTTGAGCAAACTGCAGTGGTCCTCCCGTCTCCGTGGTCCATGATTTCAAATTTTTAATAAATAATAATATTGATGTTCCCTATGTACTATGATTCTACGAATTTCAATCATACAGCATCTTTATTTAATATTGAAGAAGATGAAATAAAAGTACCACATTCAATTTTTCTAGTACTTGATGGAAACATATTCTTGAAGGAAAACCAGATAGAAATTGATAGTGGCAATACGTCGTATGCGGTATAATGGGGAAAGCTTTCCGTTTTTTTAGAGTTAAATCTTACAATGCAGGGCGGATCCTGGCGGGGGAACCGAGAGCAGCCGGGGGTAATAAATGAAGACAGACCACCAGATCATCATGTTCATGACGAGTATGAAAGATTGATGTCCTCGTCTCTTTCTCTCGGTCGCTAGTTCTTCTTAATCTTGTGATGTGTGCATGGCCTCCACAAAGTCTCATCAATCGCGCTGCAACTCGTCGGCACCAAGAACACCTCCCATTGATGAATGAATAATCAATATAACTTCGAACTAGTAGGAAAAATCAAAGTTTAAATCATGCGTCTTAAGCTTAACGGTCAAAACAAATACAACCAACAGAGACCGACAGAGCATGAATTTTTCATTCCTTAAAAACAGCGCAAGTGACCAAGGAGCTACTAGAAGAACCTGTAGGACGCTGTTTCATTATTGTGGAACATCAATACTGCATTCCTACTCGTGTCGTGAGTATTTCTTTTGGTGCTAGTTGGGTAACCGTTGGCAATTTCTTGATAGCTGAAGCGCAAGACGGAGTCTTCCATCTAGGTTGTATCAACTATTATCAGTGTTAGCAAAGGGTGTCGCTGTGGCGATGTCGTGGTGGGACGAACATATAATTTCGTTTGTCCATCATCATGTGTGTAAGTATGAATTCTTGGTGGAAGATCCTCTTCTAGCTGTATTAGATAGATCGAAGAACTACGAAGTGAAAGTCGCTAGTTTTTTGGTTATGGTCGTTCTTGCGTATACCTACTTATTCGAAAATAGAAACAATCATGACAAGGTGTTCGCCACCTTCTCTATTTTTCATTCATTTGGTTGAACAAGAAACATCAATTTCGATTTCCTACAATAGCAAACTCATCAAATAGCCTGCGCTAATGGAAATAGGCACGACCAACATGAGTTGCATGATCTAATCTTCACTGACTGTGACTTGCTTGTCTAAGAAAGCCCTACCGACCTTTCTTATGAGCATTTTTCTTTCCATTCTTTTCTCCCTGTCGAAGATGTGAGCATATTTCTTTCCTTTCTTTTCTCCTTGTGCGAGCACAATACATGCGAGGGTACGAAGATCAACGAAAAATTGGAGTAGATTTGAAACATAGAGGCGACGAAAGCCTTATGGTCATGATGGTGCATTCATCCAAATTGATAGAAGAAACGAAGAGGTTTTATATATTAAATATGTTGGTGTTGGTGTTGCGTACCAATACCATCTTCATTAATCTGTGTAAAACTGAAATTCAGATAAACTCCTCGTCGACGCCACGTCGGTCCACACATTTTAAACTAAAACTTCCTCGAGCTCGACCATTTCAAGGGAAGTTCCCTTGTTGCAGCTTCCAGAAGTTTTCAGCGGCATTTCGAACGGGAAATTGCCATCCAAAACGGCTAAAATGCTTTACGAAGTTATGGATTCGGCGGTAGAGGAGCCTGTCTTCACCCGCCTCACCCCGCCAAGGGTCAAGCGGCTGTCCGAGCAAAGCTTTCAACGAATGTCGCGCCGCTTCACCGCATTGCTGGGGGTCGTACCTGGAAGATAGAATATGTTGAAAAGTACTTAGTAGGGGCGGGGAAATGATTTTATTCATTCCGGTGCTTGAAGGTGGAGGTGACCACAATCAGTTAGATGATGAATCCATCTTGTTTGTAGTATGACTGTGAAATTATGTGAAAATAATTGTTCTAAGTCGTAAGTACCCTCCTTCCGAATGCAGCACTATCCTTGGACACAACGGCTGCAATGCACGGATGATGTGGGCGAAGACCATAGGTGAAAAAAGACAATCACAGCCAGCTGCCTGAATCTGTTCGCCACAGTGCTGGGAATTTTGGACGTCCAGGGCGTCGAATCCCAAGGAAACCACAATCAAGTCCGGTTGGAACTGCTCTATGACCGGACAAGCGATCGCGTGCGTGTAGGATAACGCTACCACATCTCCATCGTGCAGACATAGAGGAAGATTCACGTTGTACCCCTCGCCCGCGCCGATACCCACGTAGTCGGGTGTACTCTGTTGAAAATTTGATGGGTCGTTTGGCATATATATTCAGCTTCGGCTCGGTAAATCATGCAAAAAATGCATCCTGCTTATCCTGGTGAAACTGAAAAAAAATGATAAAGTATGTTATACCTGATGTTCGATCGAGAGCTGCCCGCGATGAATACTGACGAAGAGCACTGTAGGATCGTCGTAGAACACGGCCTGCGTACCGTTACCGTGATGCACATCGACGTCATAAATGACGACTCGGGGTTTCACCCACTCTAAATGGCACGCTTTCAATCGCTGAAGCAACGATGGAGGACCTGACGTTGTGTGGATCATGAGGATGGGCAGACTAAACGTAAAAGAACTCGAGGCGATATGAATTTAGTTTTTTTTCATCTTCATCTCTTTGTTTTTGAAGGCAGGATTGTTATTGTAGGAGTTATTTGCCAGTCGCGGAGCTGCAGGATGTTGTATCATATTTTTAAACATGAATAAATACCTTCAACAGCCTCTTTATTCGTAGGCAACACTAAGGAGAAGTCCGAGCCTCCGACAGGTTCGCCACTCTCGTCATCTTCTTCTCCTTCACTTTTTCTGCCACACAGCTCTGACATTTCTTCAGCAACATCTGCTGAACCTCCAGTACTTTTCGGCCAAAGCTCCCCAGGACGATACTCCTTCCCAGTACGCACACACTTCCAGGATCCATGCTTGTCTTGCATTTCCCGCACAGCATAGGCGGTCGCATTCAAGTAACTAAAACCACAGCAAACCTCATCGTACGGATCGCGAGCGATGCCACCAACCATGTATTCGCCACTCCTGTCGTGGCTCTGGCCGTGCGACGTCGAGGTTTTTTCACTCGTTGCAGAAGTTTCCGTTTCTGCAGGTGGAAGAACACGAGCAGGAGTACTGGAAGAATTCATGATCGTGTTGTCGGAGGTAGCAGAAGTAGTCGCACTAGAGGCAAGATGAACAACATCTGCTGGGTTCGCATTTCTATCTTCCACCTTTATTTCTGGAGGCTCAATTTGCATCTTGTTTTCATCTTCATCTCGAGTTCGAGCAACCGCAACATCAGCTTCTTGTTCAACAACAATACTTTTGGTTTCACTTTGCTGCTGGATCAGGATGCGAGCTGGACTTCTTGCTGGGCTTCGTCGTCTACTAGCTCCTTCTGTAGATGCTGTAGGCTGTGGATTGAGACGGCGCATTTTTCTTGGTAAGCACTTTGGCCTAGGAGGCACCACCAGACGGATTACGCGTTTATGGTCCTCCTCCGTGTCTCCATCGTGATCTCCGCGTTCTTCAAGACCGTTCGCGTTGCCTCCTACCGCATTTACGAGCTCTGTCAAAACCTGCTCCGTATACTTTTCTCGCTCATCCTCAACAAGCAAAGAACTCTTCATCTTGCTGAGCTGTCCACCTCTGCTCACTTGGCCTGCTTGGCTGGTGCCTGCTCCAACTGCTGCTCCCGGTCCTGCCGCGTTGGACTTGGATAGAGCAGGCTGAGACAGTTTTAAACTTAATGATGAAGACGTTCCAGCTGCTTGTAGTTCCTGCGTGTCTCCTACAACTACAGGGTAATTCGGACCATGCAGCTGCGCAACTCCACCTCTCCTATGAAGATCTTCCAAGAACGCTTTACCACTAGCGGCTTTACCACTGGCAGTTGTTCCATCCTGTTCCCTATCGTCCCTCTGTTGATCTTGTGACGAGTGAAGATCATAATTTCGACTTGGTGGTAGGAGATTTTTACTCACCTTACCATTCACGACATCCATGACTCCACTTCCGGCACCTGTACTTTCGTCATTCCCGATAGCAGCTTTAATCATGTGCTGATCACCAGCCACTGATTGCTGCAAGGCTTGCTGTGCATTGGCCTCAGCACGATTCGATGCTGTCTTTGACCTCAAATTTAGTCGCCTCCAATGTTGCTTCTTAGGCGCGCTCACGGTTTTCGTGTTGCCAGCACGTCCAGTAGAGGCATCTGTACTAGAGGTCATCTGTTGTTGTTGAGTCGAGGACGACATGGAAATGGAATTCGAAGATGATGAAGCAACTACATGTTGTTGAGCGGCCAGTGTTGCAGAGCAGGACGTAGTATTCGATTCGTCATCAGCAAGTTGCGCAACTGTAGTGATCCCTCCTGTTGTAGTAGCTGAAGGTGAAGAAGAAGGACTGCTACTAGCATGATCTTCTTCAGCTATGCTGCTTAGGGGAGAGGGATTTCCTGATGCACTGTCATGAGCAAGAACATGCCCACCTCCTACTGGAGTTTTGTTCTTTTGAATCGCAGCTATTGCTGCCTTTCTTGTCCTATGTCCTACTCGACCAGCACGCATAGACGTTGTACTACTGTCAATTTCCACCATGTCTGCTGGTGTCGATGTGCTTCCTGGTGCTGCAGGATGTTGACCATTTATTGCACCTCCACGACGACCTCCAGGAGCAGATGGACCACCTCCACGACCTCCACCACCCGTAGTAGTACTACCAGCAGGCCTACTAGAATTATTCACCACATTTTCGGCTGCTGACGACGATGAGTCGCTTTCCTCAACGTTCGGCAGCATCGTGACAGACCAGGTTTCCGGCGCGTGCGGAGGGAACGCAGTCGTGTAGTACATCTCGTCTTGACGCATCAATTCGATCCGCTCACGCTGCAGCTCCTGATCACGAGCTTCCGCACACACGTTTCTTGCAGCGGTCGTCACGGAGGTGCTTTCTACGGGAACCAAAGCAAGTTCCGTTCCGTCCTTCATCGGGCATGTAGGGAGAACCACATCCGCGCGGCCATGATTGGCGACAAAATCTACAGAAGTTGTGTCCTTACTGGAGCTTCTGGATCTGCCTCCTCCACTAGAAGCAGAAGATGATGCGGAAGAACTTCCTATCCTGCTCCTGTTCTCTCGCGTCTTGTAGCCGAAAGACGACTGATGACCAGCTCCTACCAGAGCATGGACATTGTCCTCGTCCTCACCGTCAAAATCGCTGGACCAAGAAGGTCTCCTTGCACGTTTACGGCAAGAACCTGCCAGGAGATGAAGCTGTTCCTCTTGCAGACTGACGCCCTCGATCCATGGCATTCGCGTGTCTTCATCCTCCATATCCAGCAGTGGGAAGTCGGAAAAACCGCCTTCGCACACAAGCCCTCCCCAAGTTGTCTGCGCCTGAAGAAGGTCACGCCCAGCTGCCGCTTGTCTAAAGCTGCTGCTGCGTAGCCTGGTGCTTCTACTAGTACTACAACTATTCTTATTACTCATGATTTCTTCATGAACGAGGTCCAGTTGATGTTCTTGCTCTTGAGGTAGTCGAGGGGGATCTTCAAGGTCAAGGTTTTTACTAGGCTTAGTAGAAAAATCTTCAACATTATCTTCCTCGTTCTGAGGCTCCTGTTCACCAGAAGAAGAAAGCTTGACTCTTTTCGCGGCTGGTGGAGCAGCACCCACACCCTCTGCTTCACCACCATCGACGCCATCATCTTCGTTCTCGTCGTTTTCTTTCGTCCTCCTAGGTAGAGCGGATGATGAGGAACCCGCTGTATCGGATTCGACAGCAGGCTGACCTCCCGTTGTACCTCCTGGCGCAGCTACTCCAGCACCACCTGCTCCTGCGCGCTCACCCGTTGATGTACCTGGCGCAGCTACTCCAGCTGCACCAGCACCTGCGCTAGTATTAGTGACTACAGAAATATTAATAGTAGAAGCGGTCGTCGTGGTGGCGTTTCCTCCATGCTGAGAATCCTGACTAATTGCTGGATGTCCTCTCCTTCCGCGCAGGACCTCTTCTGGCGATACGCCGCCTAAGAGTATCCTCTCCTGTTCTGGTGTGAGTCCACTGTTTGTGCTTGCGCACAGCTTGTACACCGACAAAGCCCGTGTGCCCGACTGCGATATCTTGATCTCCTCCATCACGTTCGGGGCCTCTGCGATCCATTCTCCGCGTTCCAGCATGGCTAAATCGAACTTCGAGAACCGCTCATTCTTATCCCTGCTACAGTGTGGGCACATCCATGTAGTTGTCATCACGGGAATCAGCTGTCCCGCTGGAGTAGCAGCTACTGTAGTTGTAGTACTGTTAGAAGTCTTGCTGGGATTCATGCTCTCGTTGGCTCTGTTACCTGCAGATGAAGGGGATATGGAGGCAGCAGATGAAGATAATGCTGTGGTCCCTCCTACAGCTACTGGTGCGCTTGCGACATGTGCGGTGATGTTACTGGACACAGGTTGCTGGAGTTGGTAGGTGCCCTCGCGATAGCTGAGCATCGTCTCGACGCACCTAGCGTGATACATGGCGATGCAGCCAGCAACGCAGCAGCGCTCGATGTCTGCGTGATCAATGGGGAAATGGCACAGACTGCACTTGTGTCGCCACATAGGGACATGGTGACACGCAGGTCGCGCAAAAACTGCTGCATAGGAACGCTCCTCCTGTTCCGGAACATTGTTGTGCTCACTTCTCGCATCATTATGATCTTCTCTAGTATTTGGATTTGTGCTGCTGTTCACCCTGACCATCTGCTGCTGCTGTTCACGCGTGATCGTATTGAAGGCAAGTCCACCGTGCTTCATCACGTCATCGATAACGCGGCAGAACTCGCGCACACGTCCCACTGCGCATGGGATGGTCTGGGCGTTGATCACGTTCTCCACGTAGCTCCAGGCCAGCTGTCGTCCGAGCGTTCCCGCGACAATCGGTGAGGCGAGGTCCAATTCCGTAATCTTCGTCTTGTGCTGGTTCGCGTTGCAGTAGGTCAACGGCCCAACTTGCTGCGCGCGGGACGCGGACACGACTCCTTCTCCTCCAGGACCTCCATGTAGTTGCGTCGCGGTCGTGCTCGAGCTCGCGCCGCCTTTGAGTAGATCTTGGACACAGAGCAAATCGTGTAGGTAGAGTCGGGAGTGGACTCGGTGTCGGTCAGCGGAGATCTCCGAGAACAATATCCGTTCCATGTCGCCTCTCCGCAGGCCGTGGAAGCTGCCAAGATGCTGATATTCACACAAATCACTGATAGCGCAGTGACCGGTTTGGAGAATAACCGATTCCATGTGCTCCTCCTGCTCCAAAGCTGAACTAGTAGAACTGCTGGATTGATGCGCTTGCTCGTCCGGTAATATCATCCCACTAGAAGAACAGCTAGCACTTAAGGAAGCAGAAGATGAGCCTTCTGTTGCTGTAGTTCCTGTTGCACTTGAAGAGGAACTAGAAGACGAGAGAGCTGGTGCAGCAGGATCTTCAAGAACAGATGAAGATGTCATTATTTTCGACGACCACTCAACATCTTCGTCATTCACATTCTCCACTTCTTGTTCTAGTGTATTCGTACTAGCTGCAGGCGGAGCGATCGCCTCCGTCTTTGGCGAGGGGATAGTGCTCAGTGACGGAGTACTCAGCGAAGGCATCGCCAGTGACGGAATCATGTCCCCGGCAGAACGAGATGAAGAAGCATGGTTTGCACTCTTCATCTTTTTCAATCCTGGTTTTCGCACGCCCCCTCTGGTAGAATAGCCGGCTGAAGATGACGCCATAGAAGAAGCCCCATGATTGGTTTTGCTTTTGGTCTTACTAAGACATTGCGCAGATTCAACGGCGTCCTCATCGCTTTCACGCTTCTCACGAAACAAGGCGTCAGCGTCTGCGCGCCAGCACACCAATCGCAGTCTTTGGTCTCTCGGCGGCCCCCGTGTCTGTTTCTCTGTCAAAAGCGTGTAGGCACTGGGTTGCAATTCCACCAAACCACGACGGTCCAGCATCTCAAAGTTGCAAGGACCTAAAGTTTGCTGAAAGAACTCCGGTTGCTGTTCCATTTGAAGCTTCAGGAGATGATGATCCTCGACTCGTTCGGGAATATAAGCGTACTTCGCTGCATCAAGCAAGAGCGGCAGTCGACCTGTACTTGACTGGAAAGGAAAACCGCCTAGCATAGAGACATGGTCTAGATCCAGAATAGGATCTGTATTGCCCCCGGAAGGTCTCCACCATTGCTGTTTCTGACGTATCGTCATTTCGAGGCCGCCACCTTCGATAGAAAGCTGTCCTGCCTTCTGCATTTGAGCACAGACCGAAGCGTAAAAGGAGTGCCCGCGGTACACGTTTGCAGGTGCAGCAACAAGCAAGGACGAGCTGCGTAGTTGTCCTCCTGCTCCTCCTGCGTTAATATTCTGTAGTAAAGTTCTCGTAGTCGAGCAAGATGAAGTTGAAGTTGAAGTTGAAGTTGCTCGTCCATTCTTCAACACGACGTTCTCAAAAAAAACGAACTGGCATACACGCTTTGAGAGGGAATCATGAATGCGAGCAAGCCACTCCTTCTTGTCCAGAGTGCCTCCTTGCGGCGCTGGTTTCAGGAAACCATCACTGAGAAACAGCCTCGGTCTGCTTGGCACGACTGGAAGCAAGCCTCTTCTAGAAGTTGTTGCACCTTCCATCTTGATCTTGTTGTTGAGGATAAATGCTGGTCGTTCCTGCATGCGCAAGTCGTACAATCTCCTTAATTCCTTCCGTTTAGCCTCTAGGAGCGTCGCTGAGTCGTTCATCGGAGACAATCCCTCAGAAGTTGGCGAAATAGCTTCAGATGATGCTGTCGGGGACGTAGCGGAGGTGGCACCTCGGATTCCTGCTAGAGAAGGAAGTGTTGGCACCGGCTCAGCCGTTTTGTTCTTTTGCTCTTGTCCTCTTGCTTGGTCCGCAGACGAACAAGTAGAAGCCAAGTGAGATATCCACACCTGTTTTTGATGCGCAACGTGCCGCCGACAGGCAGCAAGAAGGTTCTTTCCGCCAACATCAAGGACATTTTCAGTTTCACCTTCCGCCATTTCTCTGAGCCAAGACGGGGGAAGCCCTGGCGGCTTGGTTGTAACCTCATCTTCAGTCCTCGTTGTACAAGAAGAAGTTGTTGGAGTTCTTGCCCGGTTTCTTTTACCACGAGCGAGAGCCACGAGGAAGTGTGCTCGTGTTGGACAAGTAGATGACGAGAAGATGTTCTTCTTATTGCCGACAACATCATCTTCATCTGTCATCAAGAGTAGGTGACTTAGTTCCTGTTCAAGGAGCTGCATCTGCTGAAGGACATCGTCGCACCATCCTGGAAGCAAAGGAGAGGAAGACGAGGTAGCTGCAGGATTAGTAGATGCAGCAACGAGCATTTTAGTGCTGGAGCTGGTGCCCTTGTTGGACGTGGAGCTACTATTACTCGTGCCATGATGTTGTGCTCCTGACGCCGTGCCATGATGTGAGACTGATCCTCCTGTACCAGCGTACCGAGTTCGCGCTGTTGCTGTTGTCGTCCTCGTCACACGACTCGCACGATCAAAGATCATCTCTTCAGCATCTCCCTCCTCATGCTCATTTCCTACCTCCGAAAACGTAGTCGACGCTCCTGCAGTCGTTTTCGTTTTCTGTAGTTCTTCAGAAGTTCTTGTAGGAGCAATATGATGTTCACTACCACCAGGGGATGAAGCACTGCCACCAGATGTTCTCGATCTGCTCCTGCCTGCTACTCCTATTGCCGCAAGATTAGCCATATTGACCGCATCTATCTCGTCGGTCGCAGTTGCGAGCTGCAACAAGTCGGGGTTATAGACCTGGACCCTGTTTCTCTTCACGTCACCTTTGAGACGATACTGCAGTTCCATCTTCAGATAGTCGCACAAGATACGCTCAGACTCTCCTCTTACAATCGACCCTTGCAAGATACTGCTCATTTCCGTGTACGATGAGGAGGAGTCATCAACATGGTCATCTTCCCTACTTTCTTGGAGAAGCGAAAGCGGTCGTCCAGAACGACTAAGCGGTCCTCGTAGAATTTCCTCTTTAGCACGACGCAGAAGGGGAGCAATTTGACAAGAAGAGGGATCCTCATGCTCTGCCAAAAAGGATCCACAGCGTAGTGCAACCGCGCGCATCAGCTCACTATCAAGCTTCGCGGCTTTCCACCCCTGAGGATCGAAATTCTCGTCGTCACTTTTAAGGAGCAAAGAGAAAGACCTCCAACGAGGATCAACATGTGCTGATGTAGACGAAGTAGTACTTCTCCTACTCGTCGAAGGGTCCTCGCTGCATGTTGACGTCCCGCTAAGCTGTATCGTGGTCGCGGGTGAGGGCATCCAAAAAGTGGGCCAAGGCGTCGAGAACAATTGATGACGACCACTAGACTGTGCTGCATTGATGTTTTTCATCCTCTGTAGATTTCCACCAACTCCAGCTCCAGCTCCATTTATGCTAGTATTCGTGCCAGCTGCCTTGATATCATTATGGTGCTGGTGAGATGTTGAAACAGCAGACGATGAAATTACATTGCTTCTATTAGGCACTCTAGTTGCAGCAACACTGCTCTCCGATTGCGAATTTTCCTGTGACGTCATCTCCACTGCTGTAGCAGTACCCCAAGCTCGTAGCAACCTGGCGAGAAAAATGGCCTGCTGAGCTGCGGATGCCTCTTGTTGCTCCGCTCCGTTGCTTGACGACCCGCCAGCTTGAAGATATAATTGTTGTTGTTGACTGTGACTCATGTGCTGAATCATCTGTTGAGCATTAGACGAGGAGTTACAAGACCCTCCGTGTAGTTTAATGCTGGTGCCGTTGGTACTCGTCTGCTGCGACTGAGAAGATACAACCGTGTTGTTGTACTGAGATACCGTGGAAATGTGGCGCTTGACCCAGTTCGGATGGCGTCTCAACAGCTTGCTTGACGTAGTCGCAAACTGCGCCACTGCATACGATTCGCGCCAATTTCCGTAGTTCATTGCCAGTTCATGGTATCGGTCAGGGCCCACCACTGCACGTTCCAGCTCCAGCCAAGCGCTTCTCACGTTTCTGGCGTACATGTCATCGTAATCGCTTGCGTCTTCCAGAAATCTCACGAACTCAAACTCAGACGCAAGAGCTACTGCCTTAGTACTACTCGTCAAGAACTCAGTCTCAGACGCAAGAGC